CAAAAGGAGATTTCGGGCCTACTAGAAAAAGGAGTATTTGAATTCGCAAGACGAAGCGACGTCCCACCAGGAACCCGGATATTCAACTCACGGTTCGTGGACGAAATCAAGCACCCAGGCACTAAGAAAGCCTTTAAGAAATCGAGACTAGTAGTCTAGGCGTTCAACGATGCCGGCAAAGAGACGATTCTCACCTAATCACCCACCATCCAACGCGCAAGCCAGCGAATCATCTTGGCTATAGCGGCGATGCAACCGGATATAAAACTTTACCTCCGCGATATCTCCCAGGCTTATGTGCAATCCACAACCAACCTGAACCGAAAATTCTTCGCACGCCCGCCGCGTGAACTCCGGGAGTTGTTCGGATTACCAGAGGACTCGATACTTAGGGTGATCAGACCATTATACGGGATCCCTGAAGCTGGAAATCATTGGTTTAAAACATACCATTCGCACCATATCGAGAAACTGGGAATGACAACATCGACATATGACCCCTGCTTATTACACCGGAGCAATGCAGGGGAATTTGGAATCGTTGGACTATAGACGGATGATACACTTTTCCTAGCCAACCTGGCCTTCGCAACCAATGAACAGAAGCAACTAGATAAAGCGAAGTTCTTGGCAAAAGACCATGAGACACTCGACCACGGAACGCCCTTGAAGTTTAATGGAGGAATGATTTCTTTGAACCCAGAAGGAATCACGCTATCCCAAAAATAGCAATGTAAAAAGTTGTCCATAATTAGAAAAACCCAGCACGAACCGGCCAAAATCAAGGAGCAGTACATTGCCTAACGCGCGAGAGGTGCCTACATCGCGACCGTCTCACAGCCAGAAGCCGCGTTTAACTTGAGTCACGCAGCTCAAATCATCAACCCAACAGCTGATGATGCAAATAACCTGGATAAGCGGTTATCATAGCAGATTCAAAATACAGCGAGAGGATTATCATTCATACCATTACAACGCGAATCACTCCAAATATTAGCATTCGTGGATGCATCGTTCGCAAATAACCCGGACCTCACATCGCAAATTGGCTTCGTTATTGTCCTTGCAACCCCAGAAGCCGAGGGCAAAAACGCTAACATCCTACACTAGGCATCCGTTAAGTATAAGAGGGTCACCCGGAGCGTGCTCGCGTCAGAGCTATACGTAATAGCCAATGGTTTTGATGCTGCTATCGCCATCAAAACGAGCCTAGACCGGATACTGAATACCACCCTCCGACTCACCATTTGCACGGATTCGAAATCCCTATATGACTGTCTCGTGAAACTAGGCTCCACAACAGAAAAACGACTCATGATTGACGTGATAGCACTCCGTGAGGCATATGAGCGAAGATAAATGGAGATCCTCTGGATCGAAGGCGACTCCAACCCGGCTGACGCAATGACCAAGTCAAAGCCCTGCGACGCACTAACGAAGTTGATAGACTCCAACAGAATCAACTTGAAAACCGTCGAATGGGTCAAAAGAGAGGAAAATCTCTCCACATAACCCACCATAAATCGGGCATCACCCAGCGATGACAAACGGCCCTAAAAATATCATCGCCAACCACTTTCTTTCAACCATTTTTCGGTATCCAACATACTTCTTTCATACACCCATTCAATAACAATTCGGCGACGGAAACACCAGGCCATTTTTCCTTTCAGAAAACCAGATCACACGATACCGTTAAAGGAAAAATCCCTGATTTCCCCCGCATCAGACACGGAAATCGCCCTTTTTCCCAGAAATAAAAGAAGAGAAAAGCCCCCTTCTCCTTCTCCGTTCGTCTATCACCCGAACACTCCTCCACCTATTATCTGAAGACCCCAACTGCCGAAAACCTTCCTTTTCCCACAAGAACGCCACCCCCAGAAGCCACTATAAACCACCCGATCGATGGCCGGAAGGGTGACGAAAGCAAAAGGAAAGGGAGCAAGAGGACCTAAAAGAGCGAAAGCTGCAGGTCCAGTGGCAGGTCTAGCGGCAGGTCCAGCTCCAGCAGCAGACCCAGCCCCAGCCCCAGGAGCACCAGCAGTGCCAGCGGAACCCGCCATAGTATTATCGCCGACAACCCCACAGGCGATACCAGAACAGCCAAAGTTCATGACGTGTATTAGATGTATTGGACACGAAAACACAAACTAGGAAGGAGAAACATTTCCCACGTTCAACTGCCTTTTCGATACCATAGCCAGCAAGAAATGCAACCGATGCAGAGGGGCTAGCAAAGCCACATGTCACCCACCACTGTTCGGAATCCAATACAATAGCTGGACATTCCACACACTTATGGACTACGCCAGAAATGCAGACCCTGCCGCAACATATGCGAGTCAAGGACTATCGGCACCATTTAGCACACCGGGAGCAACCAACGCAGCGTTCACCTGGGCAGAAACCGCACCCGAAACAGCCCAGGCGGCAGCTGGCAACCTAATGATGGCATTCCGACAGCTAATCACAATCCACTCGACGGAATCGGGGATCGAAACGGACAAGAAATATGACCCAAAGCTCATCAGGGAATACATAGCCGTCCAGCGGGAAAAGCACAACGCCCAAATCAGACTCCTACCACATCCGATTCGCTTCCCGAACACCTTATGCAGACTGGAATCCTCAGAAGGAGGGTACACCATGTGGCAGTCCGCCATATTATCCTTTTTCCGGGAATTAGCAACGGCTCAACCTGCGAACGCCGCCGTTATCATGAATAAGGCAACAGAATACCATTTGCCATTCTGATCTCAGGGGATCAGTAAAATGCCGCCAGAGAGGACCACGGATAGAAGACGAAATGGAGACTGGCTTCTCTAGGAAAAGCCCACTTTCGTGTTGTCCACTTTTTATTATTTTTTTTCCCACTCACCACTTTCTTTACCCCGCACAAAGGCTGATTCTTCAACAAAAATCGGCCACCCAACAGATACAATATGCAGGGCACTCGGGGGCATATCGTGCACCTATCCACATTCATTTATTTTATCGATCCATGTATATAGCGACTCGAGATTTTAAAGTTGCTCCAGTGTCGGAACATGGATATTGCAATCATGCAATACCATAAACCCGGAACGGAACAAACAGACCCCCGAGTCACGGGGGAACAACTATATTAGGAACTCAAGTAGCTACATGAATCGAACACATTTCACACCACTTTGCACAACGTATATACTAAGAATCTAGGACGAACCATACCCTTTTCCAGTGTATATAGTGCAACGTGTGAACCCTGTCCTTTCAACGTAGTTGATCGACAATTTGAACTTCGGTTTTGTCATGAAGTACAAGCGCATCCCAGCGCGAACATTGAAAACCACTATCATTACTGAATGTAAAACCAGACACTTCAAGCTCAAGCCACTCCTCGGGCTACGTATTGGCTTAGAAGTTAGTGCTTGCACCGGAAATGACCAGAGAGTCACACTCTGGGATGCCCTTCGCTTTTCAAACACGGAACCAGGCACAGGTCAAGGAATACGATGTGAGCACAAAGTTGGTGATTCAGCCTGTATTGAATCATGCTGGACAAAATATTCCCCGTCCGATGACATCGATTCAACGATCAACCTCCCGAGAGATGCAACCAAAAAAAAGGATGATATCCGGCGCATCATCATCGATTCCATCATCGCTCTTGGAGATACAGGGCTTGATCACGAAGGTAACCTACAGGCTTACTGGCCATTCACCAATACTCGACGTTCCAGGTGTATCGAAGCATCCATGGGTCAAGAGTCTAATAACTGGCTTCCAGTGATCAACGATAGCAGGGATTTTGCTGTTGTCAGTCAGCGTTGCTTAATCTATAATCTTTCCCAACACAAAGAAAGCTGTCAGGCATTGACAACTTCGTCCTACCTGCAGCAACATAGCGTGAGACAGTTCTGTTAACTCATGTCGCGCTTAAAGTCAATAATCTCAGCACTGGCAATTGGTTGCAAGTGGGAGAAGCGACTCTGGGTGTGAAGGAGGTTAAACAAGATCAAAAAGTGGTCATTGCTTCTGTGAAGAGGTTCATGAGAGTTCTACATAGACATGGACCGATTAAGAAATACTTCGAGGATATAGATCCTGAGCTCACCCCTGGTTTCTCTCTCGTTGACTTGTTAATAACCTAATACAGTTAAATTCGAAATTGGCTTCCATGTTTTACACAGAGAAAATAGGTTCTAAAAAAGATCTCTTTGCGTGAAACTTGAGGTAATTCGATGAATTTTCTCAGTTTTCCTTCAATTTTGATAACTGAAAAACTATCGGGATGATCGGGAATGATGCACAGGGTAACAGGTATGGAAATGTACTCCAGGCGGCTTCAGCTGAGGCCACCAAGGGATTATACAGCTATTATTAGCTGAGGGTGCGGACATCCGCGAGGGCCAAGGGGAAACCGTGTAGTTAATGGCGGAGAGCGCTACTAAGAAGAAGCTCAGTGTGGATCATCATGGCACACTAACAATTATGTATAGGCAGTCTGGTGATAACGTACTCGAACCAGAGCCGGTGTGAGAGGCCGAGTCGCTCTTCGTGCAGGTAATAGTCTACTAATAGAGACTCAGCGCAGATATCCCGATACGCTGATGAGCATGACCAATCTCGCTATTGTAACAGGCTGGTGCCTGCTTTAGCATTCATGCCTGTGCCACTCATGCTCGTCACGTGCCACCCGCACCCGCATCCCTTATATTGCCACATGTCCATAGCTAGTCTCTCTCTCTTCTCTTCAAGCTTAATAAAGACAGTTTGTCGGCATCACTAGTTCTGCATTCAAGATTGGTATTAGCCCTTCGCAGCTATTACCTCAATAACTTTTTGTCATGCTGCTAAAGCCATCAACTTTCTACGAGATTGCTTAGCCCCGTGTGGAAGCTGACTAATAAAGCGAACTAGTGATTCTACCCCGCAATATGTCCCTCGAGCTTTTGCGCGTCCATGGTTCAGACCCAGCAATCTAGATCGGGCCCAACTCTGGCTAGCACTGCTCTGCGATGGGCTTAAGAAAGCTATTCAAAGGCCTACGTCCATCATATAGAAAAGATGCCTCACAATCTACGTCACCGTCGCCGTCTGTGTCAACAGCGTGTATCAACAAAAATGATACCAAAACAGTCGTGACTAGTAGTCAGACTCTACAATCAGGTGCTTGTATCTCTGATACCAATTTCACTACCAAGTACAGCATGCACAGGGACTTGTGGGATGAAGCCTACGCTGCTCTCGGCAGAGAAGACCCAAGATTAAATCAAAGATATGAAGAGATCTTGCTGTCTCAGGAGGATCGAAATGGGAAACCAACGTGGAATCATTTAGGTGAGCTCATATAATCCTACCACGAATTCTGACTTCTGATAGGACCGTGATTTAGCGCCCGATGGTTCATATCAACGGGAGAAGCAGCTACGGCAGATAGCAGAGAGCATGGTCGAAGAATTAGATCTGGCACAATGGCAACTCAGAATTGGTAGCCACTCTGTGGATGTCGGCGGTCGGTTCGATAAAGTTGTCAAGATTGTGGTTGCAGCCAAGGAATTCGTATCGTCGGCTGTTAGTTCAGAGCCTCATGCCGCATTAGCTTGGGCCGGAGTGTGCATTTTCTTGCCGGTATGTTCTAAAGCTGATGGATGAATTGTGATAACGTCTAATATTTTATCCCTAGCTTCTTTTAAATCCATCAGAACAGAAATCGGCTGTGCATGATGGCCTTGAGGCTATACCATTTACCGTCCACAGATTAAGGGTCATGGACAGACTAATCAGGCCAGGAAACGCTGGACTCACTCAGATTATCTATCAGAATGATAGCCTGGAGCTTGTCAAGGGCTTTGAAGATACAACTGTTGAGCTATATAAGACAATCCTCGAATTTCAGATCCGAATAATGAGGCAGTGTTCAGATAATTGGGCAAAACGCTACGGGCGTGATGTTTTCAAAGCCGATGACTGGACGAGTCTGACAAGTCGGATCAAGACTCTTGAGTTAAGGTGCACTGAAATCGCTCAAGATTTAAGTCGCGAACGGATCGAAAAAGCCCTTCAACTTAGTGAGCACAACATGCAGCGCGGTCTACAGGAAGTCCAGCAAGAGTTGGAGAAAACGACATGTGGCATTAGGCAGCAGACTATGATGCAATCTGCTTGGCGTCAGACTGACGAGGAGCGGAATTGTGTACAACTTTTTCGAAAATCTAATCCGTACGAAAATCAGAGAAACAGAACGCCAAAAAGGGTTTTGGAAACGGGAAAATGGTTCCTGGAGAACAGCAAATTCCTCGATTGGCGAGAGAACGAAGGACCTGATCTTCTTTGGTTGTCTGCTAAGCCCGGTTCAGGAAAGTCAGTCTTAGCAAAGACAATCATTGATGAAAGTCTGGCTACTTTGAGTCATCAGAAGCGGTCCGTGGTCTGTTATTTCTTCTTCAAAGATATCTCCCCGTACCAGAGGAGTGCATCCAGCGCCATATCTGCGATCTTGCACCAAATTTTCTCTGTGTTCCCATCTCTAGTGAAACACGCTCTCATGCCCTATGATTTGAATGGAAAAGATTTACTCCATTTGTTTAACGAGATGTTTGATATACTCTGTAAAGCAGCTGCTGATTCCAGCATCGGACAAGTTGTGTGTGTACTGGATGCTCTCGACGAATGTAGTGATGATGATCAATTCCTTCTGATCGAAGCAATCACCAATTTCTACCATGAAGCCAAGAATACTTCAAACATTGACAATCAGCCCAAGTTGAAGTTTCTCCTAACTAGTCGCCCTTATTCCCATATCCATTCGCATTTCCATGATCTTATGAAGGAGACCCCTACAATCCACTTGTCAGGGGATCATGAATCCGAAAAAATCAAAGACGAGATCGATTTGGTCATTGACACCGAAATTCCAAAGCTTGCTGCCGAAAGGGGATTCGACAAAGAAGCAACAAAATACCTTCTTGAGGAGTTACACGAAGTCGAAAACCGAACTTATCTATGGCTGAGTCTAATCATGGACGAGATTCGGCTCAGTGAGCGACCAGCCAATAAGCGAGAACTACAAAAAATTATCTCAGGCTTGCCGCGAAGTCTGATTGATGCTTACGAAGGAATCCTAAAGAGATGTCGCCACCCAGACCTTGCAAGACAGATCCTGTCTATCATCCTGGCTGCCCGGGAGCCTTTAACAGTCGATGACATGAAAATAGCCACTGCTCTTGCGAGTGACTTTGGATATTGCTCATATGAAGAAATTGGGATCGAACGGTCTGATGCATTTGAAATGAGAATCAAAAATGCTTGTGGTCTTATGGTGACTATTGACGACGGCTCTGTATTTCTTATTCACCAAACAGCCAAAGACTTTCTGACTGAGGCTAGCGGTGCTACTCGAAACAGTGAGAGTTGGAGACATAGTTTCAGTCCGCTGGATTCGGAAATATTACTCGCAAAAATTTGCATCACTCTGCTTTCTTTCACTTATTTTTCTGAAACTCCACTCACAATCGATAACGGCGATGATGAAACTCACAAGTTGATTTCTGAATATACCAAGAATAATCCTTTTCTCAAGTATGCAGCAATGAATTGGATGGATCACTCCCATGAAGCTGAGCTTGACAGCAATTTAGACTGGATGCTGTCGATGGTATCCCTTTGCAGCGTGAATAAACCGGTATTCAGGACATGGTACACAATTCACCAACGATTAGGTACGGGCTGGTTCCCTTGGAAGATGACAAGCTTGAATATTACCGCTGAGTTTGATTTTCCAAATGTGCTTGCTTCTTTTCTGGAAAGTGGTGAGGACCCAAATGAGCCTGATGGCTGCGGGGCAACACCGTTGGCGCGCTCTGTACAAAAATCTAAGAGAGCTGTGGCCCTTCTTTTAGACGCCAATGCAGACATTAATGCCCAAGGATGGGATGAACCCTGGCACTATGAAATCGATGACTCAGGCAGCGAAATTGAAGCCAAGCCGTTTTCAGGTACCCCACTGGTCATGGCTGTATTAAACGAAGACCTCGAAATGGTCAAATATCTCATCAAACGTGGAGCGAAGATAAATTTTCCTTCACATAATTCCCTAACGCCGCTTTACGCAGCATGCATCCAGTATATTATCAATGATGAATCAGAATCAAGAGAGGTTCTCAGTCTGCTGCTTCGCTCTGGGGCGAATGTTTGCTTTGAGCTCAGAGAAGTTGATGGTCAGCTAGGGATGACAGCCCTCCATTTTGCAGCTGAGTACGGCGACCCGTCAATTTTATCGATCCTTCTCAGCTCGGAAACTGCAGATGTCAATTTCCAGCTTCGGAAATTATCGAGCAATGTTTTAATGAAAGACAATGATCCAATCAAAGGCCAGTCAAGTGTCGATGAGCCAAGAAGTTCAAGCGATCAGGGCACTTTATCACAAAATGGCTTTGATTCCGACAGTGAAAAAGAGACCAGTGGATCTAATAAGGATAAAGATTCAAAAGCTGATAGTGAAGCTGATTACAAGGCCCTCACACCAGACAATGTTTCCAGCCCTAGCTTCAATCGTGATAGCCATAAATCTGACTCATCTGAGTCAATCGACCTGTCTCAAAATTATTTAGTAGGGGCCACTCCCTTACATCTCGCAGCGAGAGCTGGATTGGTGAAGAATGTCAAGCTTCTTCTCGAGCATGGAGCCGATCCGCATATCGAAGATTCTGATGGCTATACAGTCTTCGATTTAGTGTTTAGAATACTCCCGACTGTCGGCATTGGCGATGACAATAGCTCCCCTCTTATAAAAGCGCAAGCGGAAATGACAGACTCGCTTGCAAAATATGGTCAATTTTCCTCGGACAGTGAAGAGTCCCTCAGTGGAGTTACTTCTACAGACGGTTAATTGGTTTTCCTCTAAAGGGTTATCAGGCACTGTTAGCACGGCAGCTTTGAGATCATCCAGCGCAGCTGAATTATCTCGGACATAGTCGTAGGAGATGATCCCAGGCTAAATGTGTCGAAAACTTAGATGATTTAGGGATTCGACGTGATGTTTTGCTAGACCGTCCAATCAAGCCGCTGGTGTATGAGACACCGAAGGATTTACAATATTTGAATCTTATCATTAATAGGTTCCACTGCGCACAAACTAGATGAGGCTCCATCGCAATCTATATACACAATTGAGTATGAGCAGTCGATGTCTAATTAAAGGACTTCATTTGGATATGTTGACGCCTGTCCCGAGACGTCACAAGACGGTTCCCGATAACAGAAATGAAGTAACCATAAGTAAGATGGCAGATTTCAAGATTCCAAAATCCCCTTCTTCAGTGAAATATCATCATCCTAGAAAGGGTTCGAAACTCTTCTACTGCCATACTTTGATGAAAGTCTGTACGAGGCTGTTTCCCTTGTAGAAGTCGGCAGGCTAAAATGATTGTCAGTACGGTCTCCATGTCTTCTTACTTACAAGAAGACGATTGCGAGTATAGCGAAAATGATGACTACACCCCCTAGGGTGCTAACAATGGGTTCAATCTCAGTAATGTTCTTCATTGCGACGATGGGGAGATGTTGAATAGATGGAGATTAGATGAGTAGAGGTCAAATGGATGGAGGTAAAATGGATAGGAGTAAAACACAATGGATGACAAAAAAAGGGAAGAGGACGGGAGGAGAGGAGAGAAGTCTACTAGGCATACTAAAGGTAGAAAGGAACGACGATGCGGGAGAAAAGAGGCTCCCACAGACATGTTATTCTTGTCCCGTATATGCTATAGGCACCTCATCCTTCTGAAGTAAATTTGTGTCCAATTCCATCTCGAAGTCAAATACAAAAGAAAATTTGGGCTGTTGCTCAATACCCCTCTTACTTCTAACATGTTGGGACTGATCAAAAAGGGACTGACCAAGAACTTTCTGATGCATGAAGCTCTCGATATAGGATATCGCATGTGGCTAGGGCATCAGTGTCCCAATCTAATTATTACAATATTTTTCCCGAAGCCTCATCGTCAAAATAGCTCGTCCTTTTTAGTATGGAAAGCACTTGGAATAGCTATGGCGGCTATGCAGCGCTCGGAAGTTCCCTGTACTCAATTATTTGGGTTGACTTAAGGTTAACTAAAGTTTTTCGCTGGTGTTACCCATCTTACCTTGGCCTGATCTCGTCCGAAACGAAGGGGCCTTCGTCGTTATCTCTGTTCTCACCATCAAATAGTTCAAAGGGAAATAGTCCTATCTATAATATTATCTCAAGATCGGAGATCCCATTCAGTTGTTTAGGTAGAAGCATAAAGAAACGGCAAAAAAAAAACTTCAAAAAACATACAACAATCAGAATTTGCATGTGGTCACCCTATCACTAGGGGGGTTGGTGGGATGTACTACATCCTAATTCATTATCCGATCAGTGTCAAAAAGTGGGGGACATGAGAACATCTGTGGTGTTCCCACGGTGGGAATTGATACACCCCAAAAGTTTTTACTACAGCCACGCCAAAACCAAGCTTATATCACCCCATCAAAAACATAATAGCCCTTAAAGTAAATCCCATACGAACGGATCAACCCCATACACCATAGTAAACTCGAATAAGTATATCTCAACAACCACAGCGGAAACATATTTTCGGCGCTTTAATATCTCTGTCTCAAACATTATTTGAACGCAGAATCTACTGATTACATCCGAACGCATTAATCCTAATTCGTCTTAATACTAGAGCTTCTTCCAATCCTGGGGCTCGTTAAGGGCTATATGGCAGAATTCTTACAGAATTCTTCTACCGAATCACAATGCTGCGGGGCGTACAGTAACACTTACTCATGGGCATCTGGAGACTCAAATCAGATTAATGAAATTGGAATTATGAATAAGAAACGGGTATAAAAATATTTGTGAAGTTGAGTTGTTTCTATGGAGTATGGGTCAACTATTGTCCCGCGGCCTGGTCTAGAATATAGACTACGACGGAGAAAAATCGGTTTGGCGCACAGTTAGATTCAGAATTGGCTTCTGTTGGAAAAACTGGGAGATGCATTTTGGTGTTCCTTGGTCAGTGAATGGGCGAATCATACCACCCGGACATGGCTGATTTCCTTACTTGTGGATATAACTTCTAGCTTGGATTAATTCGCGGTGTTCGAGCCTTGCCCTAGTTTCTGAGACTGACTTATGATATTTATCATCTCAACAGTTCTTATGTCTTGACTTCAGAGTGCTGTTTATAGATCTGATCTTAAATCTTATGAATCGGCGAACGAAAAAATCTTAGTAAAGAAGGAGAAGTAATTAACTACTGACAAGCTGAGAATTTTGTTAAACGGGGGCATAAGTAGACTTCAAGTAAAAAAGATTTGAAGTAAAGAAAATATGGGTGCATAGGTAGACTTCACGTAAAGAAGATATTAGCCAAAAACTCAGAAATCACTCTCGTCGTCGACATACTCGTGGTGACGGGCAAAATGCTCGGCCTCTCTCCGCCCTTCTGCCTCTGGGTCGTCGCTGACATACTCGTGAAAGTGGGCAAGAAGCTCGGCCTCCATCCTCTCTGCTGGCTCTGGGCCAGCCAGGATTTCACCAACCATGTCAGACCTATCTGGAAGTCAAATTCCCAGATGGGCTCCGTAGCTCCCTTCAAGTTCTTTAGGAGAGTCTGTTGCCAGTGCCAACGGAGAAGGTCATTTGATACAGCGTTTGGATCTACTCGGGTTCGGCAGAAAAGAGGGAGAACACGGCCATCAATTCCATCTTCGTTATTCGTGAACTCGTAAATCTTGTAACCATCGTCGGGGTTAATAGAGATATCATTATCGTTAAAGGCTGCGTGGAGATCGCTACGCATACATGATCCATTTTGCATTGAGTTGATATAGGCGCTATGAGCGCCACTAGACACATTACTGATATAGCGATTGAAATCCTTTTCCCGCCAATAGCTACCACGTGCAAGAGGAAAGATATGGGCAGCCTGGTATTGGGTCCAATTCTACTTGGCAGGAGGAAGATTGGCTGTCGTGTTGACCCGACCAGACATAACACACATCTGATCTCTTTTTCTAACAGCTTTGTAAAACGCTTTTAGACGGGGCGTAGCTCCGGTGTTATTTCCTGATGGAATTCGTCGCTCCCGCACCTTGTCGATCAGCTTGATTGTTGAACCCTCGGCGGGAAAGATATCATAGTCGCCGGGTGCAATAAGTTGCCGAGTCGCGAAGGTATGGGCTCCATCCTCACGTGAAACGATGGTGAGTTCAGCTGGTGGTTTAGAGGGAATGATAATCTTTATCATATCGATAAAGGCTGAGTGAGTGAGGTTCCCATGTTGAGGTACTGAACCAAAGTCCTCTCCGGTAATACCATATATTACGAAGCCATTTTGAAATAAAGAACACGCATAATGGGCTTATTTACCACACGCTCTTCTCTTCTCCACCCTCTTCTCCGATCCCGCTGAGTCAGCTAAGCTGACTTAGTCTACCTATCAAAAGCATACGATCAACATGAAGATTGGGAGGAATAGTTAAGAATATATAATATATTGAGACTAAAGATACCCTACAATATTATAAACCACCTGACTTGCGAATATGCGAAAATTCGTGCCGAGCTCTACTCCAAACTCTCAACATCATTTGATCATCGACTCTTGGGACCTGATGTACCGGTCATACTGCACATTGAAGTCAAGCTTGAAAAGGCGCGTATTCTGAACAATAGGCTTAAGATGCTTCTTGGAAAGTTTTCCTCTGCCTTGCCCCCGCTCGAACTCTGCTCTTGCCGATCCAAGGGCAGTTGTGACAATATTCCTGATTTGACGGCCGTCAAATCCGGAATTGTACACATCTTCCTTAAGCCAGTCAAGGATGTCATCTAAGTCATCCACCAGGTTTTTGTCGGCAAGAGGCTGAAGGAAGCCTTTGAAAATAGCCTTCATTTGTTCCTGTGTGAGACTATTGTACTGAATGGCAAGGTGAATGCGTGAAGGGATGGCCACGTCAAACTGAGCAATTTGGTTCGTCGTGAGGAACACAATACCTTGGTAGTACTCGAGAACTCGAAGGAATACTTTGATGTTTAGTAAAAGAATTCCTAAGTTTTGCGTCATTGTCTTACCTGAAACGAGTGCGTTCTTATCAGTTGATGATGATGCGACACCCTTTCCACGGCTTTCAAGAAATACATCGGCCTCATCACTAGAAATAGGTATTAGGACGACCAGAGCAAAAAAGACAAACCACGACTGCTTACATCAACAGAATAGCTTGCCATGTAGCGGCTAGACTGAATATTTTAGAAAGATTGGATTCAACATGCTTGGCCTTGGTGCCCACGTCGGCGACACTAACCGAGAAGAGAGGCTTTTGTGTCGCGACAGCAATAGTTTCAGCCGTGGATGTTTTCCCCACGCCAGGAGGGCCTCAATATATAGTCAGCAAAGCAAAGACACCATACAGTGGAGTAGAGAAAATTGCCGTACCGTAGAGAAGAATGACTAGACCTTTCCCCTTTCCTGGGATGATATCATCAACTTCGAGACCACGTTCTCCTTGGCTCGCAGACTGTGATACCGATGAGGTGTGGCTTTTCACAAGATCATAAAGCAGACTTTTGGTCCCATCATCAGCAAGTTGCAGGCGAGAGTGCCAAGCGTCGCTAAAATTATTCTTCGGAATGTCTTTGATAAGAGTAACTTGTAACTGCGCCCATTCCTTTTCCTTGAGAATATATCCCAACACGCGGGGCGGGAAGAGCAGGTATTGTTCTTCGTCTAATATTTTCTTCTGCGGGTTGTAGTCAAAAGATTCTCTATATTTCGTTGCCAACTCTTCATTGTTTCGGCAATCTGAGCACGCGCAAGGTGGATCCATTAGACTTGGCTCAAGCCCCCCATTGCGTGCATTCGAACTTCCATATTCAAAATAGGATAGGTAATCAACTATGACCCTGCCATCTGTCTATAATACAGTTAGCTGCCTGATGGGCTTATTCAGCGACAATACTCACGCTGGACGGCCTTGCAACCGGGGCAAAAAGTGCTTCATCTATAGAGTTATATCTCCACAATCTGCGATGTAGCCGCGATGCAGTGAAGGATCTGGTATCGCTGTCATCCTATCAAAAAGTCAAAGACTCTTCCTTCAATGTTCAAGTGGGAGAGCTAGCATACCTCAGCTTCTTGGGCCATCCTACTGAAGCCTTTTCTTTCCAAGATTGTATCACCTTTGTAGTCAAATAGGCGCGGAGAACCTTCAGCAGAGCACAGCTTTTGAAACTCTCTGCCACGCTCAATCAACTCTTCTTTCACATGGTTGTATTCAGGGTGGTGCTCAAATGGATAGTAAGGCAAAGCTGCAAGGGGTTTATATCCATCATATTGTTCAAATACGATCATAAATGGTGTTCGCTCAAATTGAGCTCCAGTCCAATCGTATGTCCAACAGCTCAGCTTCCAGGGATGGGATCGCAATTGATTGTCATCCTCTTCTGGCCATGTTACTATGTTGTCTTGAACGATGAAAACTTGATGCTGGTTTTGGAAAGGCTTGCCATAAATCAAGCTTCCTGGTGGGAAAATGGTCCACAGATCACAAAATTGAATCCTTTGGTGTTCGAGAATCGTCTTCCGTTCTTTGAAATACTTGTCCAATTTACTATCACCCGATGAACCATTTGATATGTGATTAAGAAGAAGTTTCAAGTCATCTCTGGCTTGCTTGTCTTTTTCATTCTTCGGTTCTTCGACGGAAGCAGCTCGGAGAACATCCCATTCAAATACGATAGCCTCATATGGTGAAAACAGGGTAACGGGTGACCCGCGAAAGACGTGATAAGGATAGCCACCCAAGTGCTGTTGCAAGAGCTCCCACAAGTCGAGATTGATGATGTCTATTTCAGACATGTCATTTGAATCAGAAAATTTCTTTGGGACTGTTTTCTTCAAAACAAAGGCGATGTCGGAGTCAGTTTCTGTGTTGGATTGAGGGGTATCGCTCTCGACCTCCTCGCGTTCACCGGTGTCAGGGTTATTGACCATCTTGAGTAATTTGACTCGAGATTTGGGGTTAGCCTTGCCCTGCCCGTATTGATTAGCTCTGGAGCTTTCTTTTGTGAAATATCAAGGCACCCACCTCATTGGTTGCTTTCTCATCATTTGAATTCACTTGGGGCTTTCAGATTTTAGCTTAGCAATTCCGAACATGCTAGTGCAAACGCGTCATACATTGAGGTCCTTTGTCTCAGTAGCCTGAATCTTGCTTTTATTCGAGCTTTCTTTAGGCTCCGATAGCAGGTTATATTTCGCCTGAAGCTCTGAAAACTGCTTTTCAAGGGCAATCAGCCTTTCCCCTAAAGCCTGATGTAGAGATTAGTCCAAAGTCGCCTCTTGGCTGGTGTACCAGTTTGGAATTAGGTTTCTTACGGACGCCAAAGAAGCTTCAGTCGAAGTTTCCATATCTAGAGCCATCTCACGCTTCTTTCGATAGCCCGAATTCGCCGCAAAATAAAGGAGTTGCTCGGAAATCTGTTTGATCGGTGAGCTCTGGAAATCCTGGTCCTGCTTTTAAATCTTTTAAAGTAATCCCCCTGGTTCCAAGACCAGAGACTCCTCGGAAATATGCCTTGATGCACGACATCCCGCAACAACATCAGTTGATTAACAGGGACCACGTCAACAGTCCATCAGCTTGCATCTAGCTGTCGTACATTCCGTGTCAAGGATGCGAATCTTACATGCATCGTGAGTCTACATCATGTATATTTGTTGAATAGATATGCTGCACGCTGCTTCTTCGCTCCTTCTTATTGGTTGCCTTGAAAATACATGAGGTGTGATGGGATTTTGATAGTGTCGGGGGACTAGTAAAAAGAGGCCAAGCCAGTAGTTCACCACTGGGAATACGTGATAATATGCAAAATTTGATTCAAGGTGCTTCGATTTTCGACAATTTATGCACCTATCACAGAAATTAGCCGCTTAGTGCGCTCTAATGTTTAATAGCTACAATTGGAGTGTAGACTTTTGGTGGGAATTATCCAGTACGCTGCGGCCAAACTGATCCCAAAGAGATCGCATACAGAATTCGTCGAGTCGACTTTTCCACTAGTAAAGAAAACGAGCTGGTACTGCAGAAATATTGGATTTTGTATAGAATTAGTGTATAATATCGAAACAAGAAATCAAAATACACCACGCTTTAGGCCCTGAAGTGGTTTAGCATCAGAGTGGACCGGACGAGTTCTGCATGCCGGACACTGTACTTGCCAACCTCTCGGAGGTGACGGAGCTAGGTGCTATAGCCCATTGACTGGCTAAAATTTCGCATATGTACTTAGCTTAGAGACCGATTGGTTCAAACATTTGTTGCCCCGCATATTCGATTTAAGCCCCATAGCCTCGCTAATCCCTCGCAAGTGCAGGCCTAACGATTATCTTCACTCAATTATCACAAAACTCATCATACCTACGAAGAGTCCCTCGATGAATAGCAAAGTGTGCTTTAGTTATCACGACTTGTGAGTCGTAGCGTTTGAATTTTCTCTTTAGAATTATTATTTTGAGTGCTTACCAGCAGTCCAGGGACGTGGTGAAAAGGTCAGATGAGGCTCAACATGCGTTTCGCGAATTTGTCCACAAAAAAGGCAGATTCTCCGAGAAAGAGAAAGCCGCTTTAGACTTTAAGAGTGTGGGGGCTTTTGAGGAATTCTGGAGCTCAACCTACAAAGCGAAAGAGAAGTTCGAAGCCGCTATCAATAGCGAGATCAGATCTAAAATACAGAGCTTTGTGAGCTCGGCGTGCAGTATCATGAAAAATCTGGAACCGATTGTGGCGCTTGTTAAGGATCTCGGAGCTCCCTACGGTAGCTTGGCCATCGGGACAATCTCCTTTGTTTTTACGGTAGGGCTTTAGAGCTGCCGTCGCCAATAACACTAACTCAGCACTCCCAGGTTGTCAACGAAAGAGCTCAAACGGAGAATCTGATATCAAGAACGCTTCTTGAGATCAGGGATAGGGTCCCAGGTCTCAATCTCTATCGTCACATCTATTCTGACGAACACGAGCTTGATCAAGGCTTACAGTCCAAGATTGTGGGCGCTTATGATTGCTTCATGACATTTTGCATAGAAGCTACGAAGTACTACACGAAGGGAGGATTCAGTGAGTTACTTTCTCCGGTGGAGATTGTTTGCGCTAACACAGTGTGACAGGACGGTTGATTGATGCTATATGTGGATCAATAACATTGAAAGATCAATCATACCAGGTTCAAAGGGCCATAGTTGAAGTTAGGCACAGTAGTGAGGAACTGCTCAACAAGAACGTCGATACTATTAAGCAGCTAAGCAAAGGTTATATTCTCTTATCTCCCGATACTGCATTTATTAACACATCGAATGACAGACCAAGCACAAACGATTGAAGGTGGGTAGTTATTTCAAAATGTATATTTAGAATATTAAACAGAAGTTAACGGGAAACAGATCTCAAGATGCAAATCGAAAGTAGGTCAAGTAGCCAGCGTGCTCTATTTTAGCCAATGGTGATTTAGCTGACACACTTGTTCAGAGTTGCAGGATGGGCGCAATAGCGACACTTTAAACAAAATACAGTCCTTACTTAACCTGGAAACATACTCAGCAGAATTTGAACAAACCCTTCTGAGGAGGTACCAATATGAGATCAATCAACATTTTGACTTGCACTGGTCACCTATCTTGGAGAGAATGCAAGGAGAAAAGCTACAGGCCTTCCAGCAAGGACAAGAGTTCCATAGATGGCAACATTCTGACCAGTCATCAATCCTGATTTTAGTAGGGTACAACGAGTTGTCCATCTACAACGATGAAATGTGCTGGATGTCCCCAACTGCCCTACAAATGATTGAAAACATGATCAACGATCAGCAAAAAGATCCTTTTGCGTTCTACCTTTTTGGTCAGCAACGAGAGGATCTTTTCCCTCAGGTTTTGTGCTCCATTATAATTCAGCTACTGAGGAAAAACCGCAAGGCATTGCAGAACCAGATACAGTACGACGAGCTGTATGCAGCAGTGCAAAAATTTCATGAAATGCCCCATAACCATTGCTCAAGCCAGGAAGAACTAGTGTATTATGAAGAAGCGCTTCGGAATGTGGCTCTACGGGCTCTAGACATGTTTGACTTGCGCAAAACGGTATGGATTATTCTTGATCGCGTGGATCAGGGCAAGCATGGAAGACAGGGGGCCAATCATCGGAAAATGCTGATCAAATCAATGGTCCGCCTGGTGGAGAAGGCTAAGGTCAAGTTGAAAGTACTGGCTGTCGTTAATGGGTACGATTGGCCCGCGGATAAGGAGTTTGATGATTTCGAGCAAATCAAAAAGTCAAATGTGGTTGTTCATCCGGTTCGTCAATCACTAAAAGATTACTAGCTAGATGGCGAAGTGGGAAGATACGGTGCGGTTTCACTTGACTATTTCAAGCCTGAGTAAACATTTGCTGAAGAAAGTGCGCCTCACGGCCATAAATGGGCCAACAAATTATTATCGTCCAACCGCATCAAATTGGAGCTCACCAATGCGACAACGGGAGTTCAATGTCCCTGTACCCAGACTTAGTTTGTGGCAAACCCTTTCGTTGAATTTGATTATTGTTATGCTCTTCAAAGTCCACAGAATGGTTCAGGTACTCTAGGGTTGGGCCATGCTTAGTACACATCTGTATTGATGGAGAACTTTTGGATAGAGATGATAAAAGAAAAAACAGAGAATTGGGGCACTCATGGAGCTGAAAAATTTGAGGTGCAAGAATATACAGTTCGATACACAGGCTGGAAGATTTAGAGGATGAGTATTCAGGTGGGTAAATAGTCGCCCTCTCCAGATTCGTGCTAGATGACCACAACCTCTGTATTTGTGTGCTCACCTAGTTTTCTTGATTCGTTCAGGAACTTTTTCTTTGCCGCTCTAGCCTTCAGGCCCTTCACCTGAACGCTTTGAACACTACTGTTTTGCACCTGAAGATCCTGCACGCCCCTGAAGCGCTGGCGTGTCCTTCCCCTCCTGTTGGTTCATAGGGATCTCGGTGCACTATCACTACTACGTTGATACGTGGAGTAAGTAAGTGTGCGGTAAGATTTGTGTTCATTCTAAGTTCCCGCGACGGAATCGGATATGTCCCGATTCCACTAGTTCTATTCACTTCCAGAGTCCATTCACTGCAGTAAACCAGATTCCATTGGTTCCAACACCTCCCCATGCTGAAATCTTCCCTATCCTAAAGGGGTCGCTCTAATCGGCCCCATTGGACTTTATCCTAAGCTCTTAAGTATGGGGGAAACATTGGGTATCACCAGCTACTTGTAGCGACTTTTCTTTTTGCTGATATTTCGATTATTCTTCTAAGTTCTGTAACTTCTTCCAAATAAAAGAGACCACTTCGTAGATGTTTTTCAGGATCATTCCCGCCTATGAGTAGCTACCAGTCATGCAAAGTCAAGACGTGAATAGACAAATTGCCCGGAAGTGTGAGGGTTAATTAGGCTTGGATGTCCACTAGCTGTCGGTCAGCCTTTTTTAGTGCAGAGTCGTCATATTCAAGAGCTGCGGCTTTTCAATCTCAGAACCTGTTGTTGTAGCGTTTCCTCTCGCTGTACTACTTTACTTAAGAGATTGAAGAAGTTGGAGTTCCATAGCTGTCTCGCATATGGAAAAAGTTCGGGACGACCATGATCTTATCGCAAGGTTGGATTCTAAAGACAGTATATAAAAAGCGTCTTGACACTTAACTCGACAGAACAGACTAAGTAAATAGCATGAATCTTCAATATAATGATAAAAGAGGGTGAGATGTGGATACAATATTCTTCCTATAGTCTTCTTCGCTTCCAAAAAATGGAAAAGTCGCTATAATGCAGCTATCAGGGATGATATCATTAGCAGTTGTAACAACACTTATTATTTGGATAAATCTATCCAGAGTCGAGGGAGAAGGCCATTCAAATGCACGATAATCTAAAGTTGCAATTTGCGGAATTTCTTCAATTTCCAAATTCCAAATCTGGAAAGAAGCACAGTTCCCAACGCACAGGCCGAAACAAGGACTATAAATGCAGATTTACTGTCCTCCAAATAGTTAATAACATTCATACCAAACAAACCTGCCACGAAAGTAGACATAGCAAACCCTAACATCCAAATCTCAAGCTGAGCTTCGAATATCATGATCTGATTCCGGCGTACATCCAGGATAGACTTGACAGTTCTTGCTGTGCGATTCACATCCTTTACCAGCGCATTTGCAGACTCTGCAATTGCATCAGCGTTTTTGTAGTAAGCCTCAAGCAGGTATTCGAGATCCTGGTGATCCTTTATATCATGCGGCCTTCCCGCTTTGCGATCTGACAAATACATGGCAGCCATGTCTTCGTCGTTGTTAAGAAGCTCTTGGAGGGCTGAACGCACCTGACGCGCCCGCTGCTCAATGACTCCCAACTTCTTCCCGCTCTCGAGCGCTTCGCGCAAAGCAGTGTACACGGCATCTTCCTCTTTCATTTCACGCATCCGCTTCTGCACCTCTTCTTGCATGAGCAGGTACTCAGCTTCTAGCATCGCTGTGACAGATGCCAGGGCTGCGTCGAGAACGCGCAGCTCATATGGAAGACTGGTCACGGAAGCAGACCCATCCGCGCGCAGTTTGCTCTGGAGATCGTGCTGGAATATATCTTGCATTTTAACACCTGTTCCTTCGGTGTCCAGATGAAAGAGTAGAACGCGATCACACTGCACGAGAAGTCGCAGGCTGAAGATACTGAGGAATATAGTAGACGGGCGGACTACTACATGTGGGATTCCCTCAGAAACAAGATCCACATTCCTTAGGTCGCGGGCATCTATACCGTAGTGTTTCATGATTTCTGCCTTGGTTGTGTGGGTGTCTGCCATCTCGACGCAGCCATTGATGTCGAAGAGCGCGCAGCGCAACTCTGTTGCATCGTTCATGCGACTGCGGGAGAGTGCGATTGATTTATTGAACACCTCCTGATTGAAGGACTTTTGCCAGTCAATCTCTGAGGCAGTTCTTATATCATGACTTAGCCGAGATTGATTGATTACAGAGGTCACGATGCCTCGTCTGTTGACGATTGGAAATTGAAAGGTATTCGTGCGAAGGGCACCGATATAACCAGATAGAGACGTCTGATTTAGAGTCGCAGAAAAACATTTTGAGTAGCATGGCCTTTTTGTAATTGAAAAAACAGTGGTGAGAAGGCGTTCATGCATGATTAGTATAGCTTGCGAGAAGGGGAAGAATAATTACGTAGTTGCCGACCTCGGCATCTTTTACTCTTTACGGAGCAGATCCACTCGCCGCCTTTAGAAGAGTCAGGTGACTCCATACAATAGAACATTAATGCTAGACATAAGGCATGAGATTCAGATAACAGCTATGGAATAATATTTTTTCTCCATAGTAACCCAAAAGGTCTCAGCCAGAACACCAGCATCCACAAACCACCCGCTATTTCTAGTTCGTTTGATCCTTTCACTTCCATTCATAGTCATATCATGTATCATAAGCTCGCAACAGATAGTCCGTTGTAAGTCCATGAATTGCAGCATTTAAAGACAAATAGAGGTCCCTCAAAAAGTCAGCGGCTCCCAAAGACGGGCCCTGCTCATCAAGGACATTTTAGATTTCCGGTACACTCATTAGTCTATGCAGACTAAGAAATGCAATGGAAATTTGTTCCAGACCAAACATTTAAAGGTCCTTCTTGACCACGTGAGCCTTGGGAAGAATGCCGTTGGCACGCTCAATGGCAGCCTGGCGAGCGGCAGTGAGACCGAACTGGGTCTTGATACCATCAACACGGTGAGTCGAGTTAATATTCTTGACCAGGGTGATCTGCCAGCAAGTGGCACCACCCTGGCGAGAGGTAATGGTGGAGGAAGCAAGGAAGTATTCCCAGATACGGAACCATCGCTTGCCGTACTTAGCCTCGACCTTGTCCTTGTTGCCCATCCAGTTTCGGTACCAGCGCCAGAGGGTGGCAGAGTAGTGAACACCAATGGTATCAACAGCCTTGATCTCGAAACCAGCACCCTCAAGACGATCTACAACAAATCCAAGAGGAGTGCTAGCGTCGGCACCGGGGAAGATGTACTTGTTCATGTAAAGACCCCAGATGAGGTCCTCGTACTGCCAAGACTTACGGATACCAGCGATCTGCAGGAAGAAAACACCATCGTCCTCAAGCATCTCATAGACCTGAGTGAGGAAAGTAGAGAAGTGACGGACTCCAACGTGCTCAGCCATCTCGAGACAGGTAATTTTTTGGTAGCCACCCTCAATACGGGGGGCATCACGGTAGTCGGAGCAAATGATACGGGACTGAGATTCCTCAATGCCAGCGGCCCGGAGACCAGTGTTACCCCAAGCAGTCTGATTGCGTCCAAGAGTAATACCGGTGACCTCAGCGCCGTAGTGGACAGAAGCGTACTTGGCAAGAGTTCCCCAGCCACAGCCAAGGTCAAGGATCTTGTCGCCCTTCTGGATATCAATCTTCTCACAGACGACAGCCAGCTTGTTATCCTGCAATTCTTCAAGGGTTTCTTCGCGGTTGATATCACTGATAATACCGGAGGTGTAAATCATGCGGGGGCCGAGGAACCAAGCGTAGAAGTCATCACCTCGGTCATAGTGATCGCGGACCTGCTCCTCGTCTAAAAATGGGAGCAATTAGCAATTGAAATTGAGATTTCTCGGAGGACAATCAAACATACCCTGGGAACGAGTATGCATCAGCATCTCGGGGATAAATCCAAACAGGAAGTGCTTGAAGAGACCCATAGTGAACTTGAAGTTTGCCCAATCGTGGCGGTACTCAAGAATCTCCAGAGCATCACCCTTGAAGTCAACCTCGCCATTGAAGTATTTCTCGTAGAAAACTTCCATGGGGATCTTGCTTTTGCCGTGGTAGGTAGCACGATCATGCTCGCTCTTGAAGTCCAGGTAGTACTCGACAGGGCGGCCGGCATACTTGGCTTTCTCGGTCTTGCGAGGGGAGATAGACGAAGAGACGGACCAGAAGGCCATCAAGATGGGAATAGTGGTGAAGATTGCAAAGAAGATAGTAGTGTAGAAACCTCCGCCAACCTGGCGGGCCAGGTACCAGGGGATCACAACAAGCAAGAAGAACATCAAGGCATTGGAGAAGCTGTCACTGCCAGCCGAGTCGGCAGGCACAGGAGCATTCTTGATAGCCGGGTACTAAATCAAAAGCATGAGAGATCAATATCTCGAGACTTATTAAGCTTCAGAGAGCTAGACAGCAAGCTACATACCAGAGTGGTGGGCACACCACAATCAAAGGACGGCTTAGTTTGCTCAGGAGCAGCCGGGGTGTTAATGAACTCGAAGTCCATGATGGACTCCGGGTGAATGGTCGTCATGGCTGGAAATTGCCCAATTGAGACGGATGAGGAAGCAGAAAAGGAGGAGCGCGTGGTAATCTGTAAATAACAAGGCGGCAGTTCCAGCCAGGCGGTGAGATTATGTAACTAAGAGTTTTGTTCCCATGCGTTTCAGGCGACGTATGCACGTCCCGAGTTCATTATCGACTTAAATTACAGTACAAGGCGTTTCAGATACATAAATCTATTTGGCATGGCTCTCGATTGCTCTTAGTAGGGTTTAGTATATAGTCGATTCATTACTGAGACATGTTACAGGTAAAACAGTTAAGCTTATCATCCATGGGCCCTGAAAATGAAAGTCAATGGTTCCCCTGAGAAAAGGTACAGAGGTTATGGAAATAATGCTTACTAACTCCTCATCTGGTATAAATAGTTAGCTAACTAGTGTAGTGGGGAAGAAGTACCCCTTAGTATTATGGTTTAGGGAGGCGGTGTGATGGGCGGTCAGATTAGTGTTGGCAGTATAGTTGGCGAGGAGTATAGATGGGACTTCGTCCCATAGTTAGACCAACATGCTTACATCCACCTTCATTTCCGGGGCATTCTGTTACGGAGCCCCATTCCCCTACTGTTAGTGCAGTTCCGACACCTAAATCCTAGCTGAATCGACCTGTGCATTTTGACTGTACTGCCTACGAGCGCTCCCCGTATCACTAGTTAATGACCTTGCGTACTACAAAGTATTACTAAGTGTAAAAAGTTGAGTAAGAGGTAGTATCCAATAATAGTTTCCTATTTCGCCAAGGCGCTAATTTGTGCAGGCTAGTACGGTAAACAGAATAGAAAATGAATTCGCTGTCGTGTATCAGACCTAATCTGCTAGGCGCATGAAGGAAAGCGCCCACATTATGCCGATAAGCCTATATAAACCATACCCAACCTAACCCAAAAAGAACGGACTCATAAGTAATACATAAACGGATCAATCATGGATAGAAAAGATGTTTCCTTGAGATAATGCGATGGGGTGCTGAGCATTTAGAGCGTCAACTGGAAGCTCTCTGCCTCTTCATCCTCCCCTAGGATCTGGAGCTCATCTGGCTCCTCGCCTGTGACATCCACATCATTCATTTCAACATCAAAGCAGCCTGCAGCTTTGCAACGAGTCCACATACTCGAGCCGAGGGAAGGTGTACCGTATAGCTGCATATAATCATGAGGAGAGAGTGTGGTCTGCGGACTGGCAGACCGGCTGGTACTCTGCTCACGCAATGAGGACGAAACGGATCGGCCCTTGGAGTATCCGAGTGTGTTATTTGATATCACAGTGGCAGCAGTATTGCGCATAGAGGATGGATTACTCGGGAGTCTGGCAGGTTTCTTGGGCATCAGCATGGACAACAGTCCCTGGGGTTTAGAAGCGGCGGACCTAGCTGAAGCTGCACTTGGCTTGGGACCAGAGAGAGCAGTAGCAGCCTCACGAGATCGAAGCGTGGAAATATGTCGAGAACGAGTGTTGGCTGATGGTCCCCGGATGCTGTTTCGACTGCTGTTTCGAATTTCCCGAATCGGCGCCTTGATAGACTCATCTTCGCTGAGTTCTTCGAATGTAACGTCGTCCAATTGCTTCATGATCATGTTATCGATCATCTTGTCATACAAGGCGGAATCGGCCTTGAGCTTGCGCTGTTTCTTGGTAAGGCCATCACTTCCAACTTCCTCCACTCCATATACACTGGCCAGACCAAGAGCACGGTTCTGGGGACGGAACTGGGGGAAAGTCGTATCATATGTAATATCATCTGGAAAATCTGGGAGATCTGTAAAAACAATTAGCTAGGCCTTATCTTTATCCTGCCACGACTTGCATACCCTTCGGCTTAGGTGGCATGTATTCAATGTCGGGAATATCATCGTCGATAGCCTCAGTGAAAACTTGGCTCTGAGCTTGCTGTACCACTGGGGCGGCTTTCTTTATCTTCTGAGCTGTTGAAGTTCTGCGGTTGGTCTTCTCCGGTTTCTGGGTTCCTCCGAAAGGAGCGGGTGTCTGAAGGCCTTTGGCTTTTTGGTTGGTTGTTTTCATACCAAGAGGTGCACGGTTTCTGGGTGCTATACAGAAAACATATTGGTCAGTCCACATCCTTAACATCTGATCAGACTCTCCGTCGCGTACCCATAGGCGTAATAAATGCATCCTTGCTCGACTTTCCCTTGCCCTTCACGGTGCCTTTTCCAAACTGTAAAGGCTTGTTTTCGTCATTGAGAGGGACGGTGAAAGTTGCTTTGCCTGGAGTCTTGGGAGCTCGTTGTTTGACGCCTTGGTTCAAGGGCTTAGACGCGGCGGCGGTTTGATGGGCGTTTACCAGGTTTTCCTGATCTCGAAGGGCCAACATCGTGGCCAGTAATAACGGTATTTTAGCATAAACTCAGTATCTTCAAAAGACGGTGTAATTTGAGACGCGTGGAGAAGGACAAGAGTTCTAGATGCGCTTGTTGTCTAATGGTTGCCCGTGGAGACGCGCCGATCTGGAAGCCATGATTGGAGGAAAGCATGAGGGGCTCCGGGTGTACGGTAAGGATAGTACACTGTAAGTACTGAGTACCTCGACCGCCTTACATTTTGTGCTGTAGCTACGTGTACTTAGTACCATCATAGTCAGCAATATTCCTCCCCTTCTTCCCCCCGACTCAACCCAAGGAACACACCACCTTTCTCAATCATCTACCCTGCACCCACACTTCGGCTCGCTGAGCTATAGCCTAAACTTCTTTTTCCAAATACATATTTCTTGAAATCCCCCGTTCAATTATTTCAAAATGGACAGAATTAGGGAGGTGAGTCCCCTAATCCTTCCTGGCGGGGTAGCTTTCACAAGCTGTCCCTTTTCTCCCCCCGGGCCCTTGACATGCATATTACTGCAGCTTCACTTCCTCCAAATCCATTTATCAGTCCAGTACGATGCTAACCTGGTTCGTTCTAGCGCATGAACGTCCTCCGTCAGGAGTGTGACGACGCTCACGAGAAATCCGAAGAGCTGGCCAAGACTATTAAGATCCTGGAAGAGCAGAACCAAACTCAGGGGCACGAAATTACATCCCTTACGGTCCGTAACAAGAACCTTGAGGATGAAGTTGAGAAGCTGGAGGCCAGCGTAAAGGAGGCCAAGGACGCCGCCAGCACCAGTGCCCAACATGACACTCACAACGAGGCTCTACAGCGACGGGTGCAGCTTCTCGAGGATGAGGCTGAGGAAAACGACAAGACTCTGCGTGAGACCAACGAGAAGTATGGAATCTGTCTTATCTTTTTCTATTTGAACACAGACTGACATCTCCGCTAGGCTCCGCCAAACCGACGTGAAGGCTGGCCACTACGAGCGCAAGGTGCAAGCACTTGAAACCGAACGTGACAACTGGGAGGCCAAGTACGAGGAAATGGCAAAGAAGCATGACGATTTGAAGAAGGATCTCCACGAACTTGAGGTCTCCATCAGCAACGTTTAAGCTGGACTATATGGAATATCGTTGTGAAGTGTAGTAGTGTGTTGGGGGACGTTGCGTTGGATGCAGGCTCAGTTATTCTACCAACTGTATGCTTTTTCCTCATATTGTGACCTGCTGCGTTCATGTCTTTCCCCTGTCTACCATACTGTGGAGACAGTTTTTCCTAACCATATCATCATGTTGACTTGTGATGCCTTGCAGCGCCAATTCAACCACCTCTTCATGGTCGATAGTTATTCTTTTTGAATTATAAACTCTCTGTACTGTAGCCGCTCATATTGGCCTAATAATGTGGTATAAGAATTGGTTTTTGAACAAAAAAAAGTGACATTCTCCATCAACCCTCTTTCCGTGCGCTGGCCTTCTTATTCTTGTTTATCCGTTGCTTTACCTGGTTGAGTTTGCGGTCCGATTTACTTTCGTATCGGAACTGCTTTTTCTTCTTCTTGATTGAGCTGGTCGTCTTCTTGCGTTTTTTAGCTGATTTCTCCTCGGTATCAGCTGTCGTCTTAGCAGCTTCAGCTTTTTCAGCATCCTCCAAATCTGAATCCTCTTCTTGTATAGACTTGCGGAGACCTTCACGAGAAGGATCCATTTCTTCAACTGTCACGGTAGTGTACTTGTCTTCGTCGATATATTCAGCCTCATAGTCGACCGGTGGCGGTTCTTCGATGCCTTGCCACTCTCCATCGCTGTCCTCGCCTTCTTCTTCTTCGTCGCTACTACCGCCGTCTTCTGCTTTGAGGCGTTGAAGTTGTCTTTTGTGCTCCTCGATGGCCCGTTTGAACTCTGCTGCCCGTTCCTCGCGCATCTAAATAGTTGAATTAGTCTATGCTGCCAGCTCTGAAGAGTAGAGATCATAATTCATACCACTTTGCGATCTTGTCTTTTCTCTTCACGGGCTTTTTGCACCGCTATCTCTTGCGCCACCTTGGCGCGTTGCACCTTGCGCTTGTGGAAACCAGTGAGGTATTCATGGCGAGCATCAGGGTCGAAGTTGACCTCTTCGACTTTTGTGACCGTGATCTTACGACGTTTGTTCATCGGTTTGGAAATCCGACCCATTTTGAAATCAAAACGCAGTGCGTATGAATTTTTAGAGTGAGAACGGTTGTAGTTAAATCTTGTCGAACCAGAAAAAAAAAGACGGATCTAAGCTCGGGCGGGCCGGGCTCTCGACCGCCTCTAAAGCCAAGTCGGACCTCCCATTTGGCAACATCACCATCTACTCCGACCCATCTTCAACCACACACAATGCATCTGAGCAGGTTTGGTCTGCTGTCCCTTGGGGTTGCGGCAGTCGATGCCTTTAAGGACACATCTCCATTTTTCCTCGCTTCCACCTCGGAGTAGGTCGATCTACGCGAACGCCTGAAGCTGCAGCCAGCTAATTACTCCTTAGGGTCCTTGCGAACTCCGCTTACATCAAGAGCGGCGCCTCCGTGCTTGAGGAGGTCTCCTCTTCTTTGAGCAGCTGCCCGTCCGATTACTATGTCGTTGTCTCCCAACCTGGAGTTCACAGCTCCGACTTCTCTACCCGCAAGTCTGCACCCCGCCTTGGCACGAAGATGCTGGGCAAGGACAAGTCAATCCGGTCGAAGATGAGCGTCACTGAAGTCTCTGGCTTGGTGGATGACAGGCAAATCAAGAGGCTTTTGGAGGATAAATGCAAGGCACAGACTACCTCTATCAATGGTGCCTGTAGGTTGTCTAACTTGGCTAACATCAACTTGAATTGAAACTGACAACAACTTATAGCCGGATCATACCCCTCCTCTTTTGAATCGGGTCCTCGCATCATTGATGTGCAATTCCCTATGCTCTCATTGGGCTCAGACCGCGCAGACCAGCTCTCCGACAATGGTACGTGGTCAACACCTAAACATACTTTGATATCACGCTGATCATCCCAGATGGCATCCTTTCCGATATCATTGAGCGTATCCCCTCGTCCTCCAAGTACACCCTCCTTTACATCACCTCACCTCGGGAGTTCCCTGAGACCGACTCTGTAGTCTATGATACTACCGAGGAATACGGAGATTCCATACGGATGGAGCTCAAGCGTGATTATTCTGCCCACACCTCCTCTAGTTCATCAAACTCTACAGGTCGAACAGTATCGCTGTTTGATGAGTACCAATACTTCACTCCTGGTTTGTCCTGTCCATCCATATCAGTGGTTCGCCTTTATTCTGACATCTCACAGGTATCTTCATGGGCCTTTTGGCTTCCTCATTATTCATTGTGATCTTATATATTGGAATTAGCGCTCTCAGCAGCCTCCAGGTTCCCTATGCTGCTTTTGAGAAGGACACATCTGCTGCCATCCAGAAGAAGGCGCAGTAGGTATTTGATACTGCCTTTGGAGTTGGCACAATATAGTTTCAAGTCTTGATCTTTGCATATGTCAATTGGCTTTTTGTTTGGCTTTCGGGTTCAAGAATTTCAATTCTTGCGTATTAAATGTATGATACATGACAGCTGCTGCTGGTATTTTAGGTAGAATTCACCCATCATGTGATGCGGCTGTGTAGGTATTAGCACCATTTTGGTTACGTAGTCAAATTTGATTCTCACCGTTCAACCTTACTCTTGTTTAGTTCTCTGCATCAGATCATCGTCATCCTCGAGACAATCGATTGTTTCCCTTGACTCTTCAATGCTTCAACACTAGACAGCAAATCCCTCAACATTGCAGTACGGCATCAGCCTTTCAGCCGAATTAGACCGAGTCCAATTATCCCCAGGATCAGGGATTCATTTCATGTGTTAGATTGGCAACTGCTTTGTCCACAAACCCTTGCTACGATCTCCCGTCTACCCCAGGACAGCTGACCCGCAGTGGAGAACCGATCCAGCAGTTCGATTTTTCGGACTTGGCTACCATGAGGTTCCTACCATCAAGTCTCGAGAAGACTCGGTCGTCCTTCATACTCCTCTTGTTTCTAGTCTTAGCAGCAGTTGCTCGAGTGTCGGCAGAACCTGCGGGGACGGAAACTACTGCATCTACATCTGACGCACAGACACAGACCACCGCCGATCAGTCTGCCCCTAGCGGGACTGAAACTACCTCCACCTCAACTAAGACCACTTCTACCTCGACATCAACATCAGAGAGCACTACATCCGAGTCCACTTCCACTACCACTGCGATGGCTACGACATCTACGACATCGACGACCTCGTCGCTCACCTCATCACTCACCTCAACCACAGATGGAACCACCGCAACCACAGCGGTTTCCACAACAACGACAGCCTCAGCCTCATCAACAACAACGAACACTATCGCGACCATTCCACCCACGGCTGGCGCACCGTATATGCAAACAGAGCACATGCCGGAGGGGACATTTTTCATCATCATCGGTGCTATTCTAGGGTGTATCGGACTGGGCGTCCTGGCCTGGCGCGGAATGGTCGCCTGGTCAGTCAACCGCTCTGTGCGCAACGCAGCATTAGTGAGCACAGCGGAGTCGAAGCGCCTACTTCGTGGCAGCCGTAAGAAGCGGACTCCTGTTTATTCGGCCGCTCCAAAAGAAGATGTTTTGCTCGACAAAGTCGGCACAACAACGCGAACAAGCTATAGGCCTTCTCCTCAGAGAGCATCCACTAACAGCAGTCTCTTCTTTTCGCCCACTGCAGGAGGCCATGGTGCATCTCATACCAATCTCAACCGCAACTCGACCTATCTCCCTGCGGGATACTATGCGGCTGCTGGAAATTCTACCCCTGTCCGCGATCCTGGCCTTTCGTCGCCAGTTTTCTCGTCTGGTTCTCCTGCGCTCACTCCTACTGGTACTTTTAATTCGCAGCATCCCCGTCAATATTATGCCGGTGCCTCGACAAGTTCGTTGAATCTCAATCAGACCCCACAGGGTCGCGCCCCTAGCGCATACTTAGATGACTTGTTTGAGAACCACACTTCTCAGAACCGCACGTCTCCTCGGGATCTAGACTCAGGTCACCGATGAAAAGTACCACAGCGAACTATGTTATTTACTGGATGATATTTACAGGGTTTGAACTGTCTTTCGAACCGTTTCCCTTTTTCTTGATCTATATTTGATTTACTTGTCGATTACTTTCTATGCTTTTGAGCAGGGTCTTTGTCGCACTGGCGTATTGGTTCTATAAACTGTATATCTCTGTTTTTTTCATAGTCATTGAGTTCTTGTTTTTGATATACTTCCACATATTATCCCTGAATGTTGCGAGAGCGTTACATGCATACATATGGCATCACAAGTCCTCCACATTTTCCCGAATGCTCCTTTATTACTCCGCGTTAACAGGATATCAATGAACCCCTTTCCGCATCTGTTTTCCATTTTCTACAATATACTTGTCATTTGATCTGTTTCTTCGGCCTTTTCAATATAGGCCGACCCCAGTATATAAATAGGCAATGATAGAAGCGGATTTCCCAATAAATTGAACGACCTGATGAGTGAACGCTGAGACCAAATTAGAAAATTACAGATAAAAATGATGTATCAGCTGATGGTCTCGGTCCAAACAATAGGCAAAACACGCTCAATTTGCATGTAACCGCTTATAAATGGGCTATTGATAACTACTATATATTTTTGCTATAGTTATTTCAAGAGCTTGTTTCAACCCAATGCATCATCTGCATCATATCTATCTGCTGGTCCAGGAGATCAAGGTCTAGATTGTCATGCCGCTCTCTCTCTCTCTCTCTCTCTCTCTCTCTACGGTATGACTCTCTGTGGTATGATGAAATAAGGTAATGTGTCATGCAAGCAGCTGTAATGTCCTGTACGGGAGTTAGGGCTACATCAACCATGCATTATCTCACGTATTTTTGATAACATGTCATCTATTGGCTAGATATCATTAGAACACAGCGAGACGCCTCCCTCTCCAACGCTAAAGTAAATCCGAGAGAACATGGATCTTGATCGTTGGCGCTAAGGCTCGACGTATAGATTTTTCCGCTTTAAGCGCCATGCTAACTAGAGCCTCATGCTGATAACGCCATAGTTTCATTTTACGCGAAAACATTTGAGTCTTACTGCTTTCCTTTCCTATAAGAACAAAGTCTATCCACGAGTAGTTCTAGAAAAATAAATCAAGCCATTAATATCTTTTATGTGCCCTAACTCTCCATTATGAATTCTCAGCACAAAGCACAGCAGGCCCAGCCAATGCGACCTGATCCACCACAGGTGAGTTTGAAAATTTCCCGCTCGACCTATCCCACGGCCAAATGCCTACGAAAGCCGACGGCTAACAACCAGAAGGCCACAGAGCACGACTTCGTGGTGGTACTAGTAGATGGAGATGGAGCCGTCTTCCGTGATGAGCTCTTGAAAAGACCCGAGCAAGGCGCAGTAGAGGCCGCCGGAAAACTTAGGCAATCAGTACTGGCATCGCTCGAAACTCCTCTCGCCAAAAACAATATCATAGTCAAGGTGTTTGCCAATCTCAACGGCCTTGCAAAAGCATTGCAGGATAGAGGGATCATCACATCCAAAAATGACTTGTTTAGATTTGCCCAGAGCTTCACGAACAGCGAGACTGGTTTTGAATTTATCGATGTGGGTTATGGAAAGGAATGTGCAGACCACAAAATGAGAAGTAGGTGTACCTAAACTCACTTGCGACCTTGGGTGTTGCCCAGGTGGGAACTGTTTCTGACCTTATGCAGCTGCGCTTTCCCATTTCTATCACAGAGCTCAATGCAAGAAGATCTTTTTTGCTGGTTGCCATGATAATGGCTATATTAATGATCTTGGTGCATATACTATTGCGCCTGGTGCTTCAGAACGAATCATCCTAGTGGAAACCACACCGGTTGAGCCTCATTTCAGGACTACTCAGTTACCCATTCTCAAATTTGGTCAAGTTTTTAGATCAGTGTCTCTCAATGATGTACCCATTCCCGGTGAGCAACGTCAGGCTCGTGTACATTAACTCCAAAGGATATTGGCCTTAGCGATGGGAATGGGAGGACGGTTGATTTATCTGTTTTGTTTTGTTTTGTTTTGTTTTGACCTAACATCTTTTTTTTTTTTTTTGCTGATTAGGACCCGTGGGGATGTCTTGGTCCTGGAGATATCTTGTTAGCTGGACTTTAGATTGGGTAAATACCTAATTCTAAACTTGGCGAGTTCTGGAGGTTGTGACGCTTCCACAAGGTCTTTATTTCATTATCTATGCACATATACATCAATTGATACCAGGCAGTTTGCTGACCTCGGGAACCAAGAGGAAAATGAAAAGAGAAATAGAGACTTGTAAAGTATATATACATAGCAACGCCCTGCAAAATATGCATTATGTCATCCAGTGCTCAATATAGAGAGCCCCTACCAGAAATTAGTTGTCCATGAGGCGAATATCCTGCAAAAAAGTGTAAAATAGAAAATAAATACCAAGACCAAGACCATCCAGACCAAAAGGGAAAGGAAAACAAGAAAGGCTCCGAAGAAACCGCCTAGAAGGGGACATATGCAGGGTTAAAGTGAACAATTGAAAAGAAATAGGCATACAGGTAAATGAAACGATGCTCCCTTGTACCGTACAAATCCAGAGATCCGGATCTCGTATCTATATATGTTCTAATTGCGAAAGGGCGAAGAGAGGAAGAGCCAACAAGACTCTGAGGGTGTATGTGATCGCTAATGACAGTATGTTTTGGTGTCTCATGCTCGTAGGGAGAGAAAGAAAGGCGTAATGCATTTGCGAGTTTCAATCTGCGTCAAATTTGTGGTTGTATTCGCCCAGTAGGACGTCATCTAGACTGGAACCGTGTGTATTTCGAACTGCTTCACGCATTAGGCAAGTTTCATACTCATAAGGGCAAGGGTATCTGCGCTCAGTCCACATTTTTTTAGTTAATGTTTCGGGGGTAAAGTGAAACTTACTCCATTCAGCCTCAACACGGAAAAACACCCACATCCAACGTCGCACTACTTCAAGGACCATGAGCAAGAATAGGCCCTTTTCGGTTTCGGATACCCACGCCAGTCCTGGCAATACGCGCCAGAGCCATGAGAAGCGGAGTACGAAGTCTGCCACGATGACGTAGTGGTACACCCGATCTGAGGCAAAGTGTCGCGTTCGTCGCAATCCGTATGGGTAATCCTTGTGCTCGCGCTCTGTTGACAGCAGTGTGAAATCCCAATCTTTGACGATGTCCCAATAGAAAGAATAGCTTGAGTTAATGAAGCAGAAGAGGAATCTGTAAATTAGTTAGAGTTTTCCTTTGAGAAGGTCGTATGGCGCAAACTTACAATAGACGCATGATGGTAACTTCACTGAAGCCGTGGGTCTCAATTGGGTTATAGTTCCGCAGCTTCGAAGCGATCCAGATGACCGGGAATGCGGTGGCATATTTCATGGCGTTGGCCAGGTGCTGGTTTCCCCGAGTGGGGTCGCGACGGGTTACGATCTTTCGCGCCCGCACATATTCAGTAAGACATTGGCGAAGTCGGATCGCGCTCGGAATGGCGATAATTATCGGCACAACCATGTCGGAACCACACGCGCGATTCGGTTTGGAGGTGGAGGAGATGCCATCTGTGAAAAACATGCAGAAGCTGACATAAAGGTCCCCAAGAATACGCGAGTAACTTGTCAGAGCATCTGCTAATAGCACATCGCCGAACTTCCCATCCTGAGATTCCGCAAGACCTCCGATAGCGACCCGCTTTAATGTTAACAGGAACCGTATTCGGCCAGCACGCGAGGCCCGGTTAAGAGGACAGATCAGGATGAGCAGCAGGATAATGAAGATTGACTGGGGAATGAAGTCGAGACGTTCTACCAACTCCGTTGAGTGGTGGGTGACAGCCCAGAAAACTATGAGCCAGATAACGAGAGGAATGGAGAATAAGGTAGCTAGGCGATAGGCGGAGACATGGAGCGGCCGTTGCGAGGGAGTTCGAGCAGGGTATCGAATAAGTGAAGAAACATCCTAAGACAAAATGTTTAGTATTGTGACACGGTTTATAGTAGTTCCCTCCGACTTACAATGTTGGCTTTATCCAAATACTGTAGGTTGATGGCCCATCCCCAAAAACCTATAATATGTCAACCTCAGCTTCCACAAACTATCAGGATATACTCACCAGCTACTAACACAGCAGCTATCCTTAGAGGAAAAGGGAAGATAAGCCCAAAGCCATCCAATTGCGCATGTTGATCAGGACCCATTATTCCCTGGATCAGGGGTGGAGGGTGGGATGGAGGGAGCGGAATAGAAAGGAGGGGAGTATATCGAACGGTCCAGAGGCTTGAGCCAGAGAAACACCCAGAAGGCGTGGGGACAAAATAAGAGAATTGACAAGAAGGGGAAAAAGAGTGACTAGGGGTGAGTTTGGATGTTGAAGTGTGCTGTACAATTCCCCAGCCGTTTTCAGTAGGTTAATTACGTAGTAACGACCAATACAAGTTTCTGGTCTGGACTCCACCAAGAACTACAAAGGCCCCGTTATAATTACTAGTTTGCCACTTCGAAAGTGTGAAGATCTTCCTAAGTTAGATAGGGGTGAACTAGACAACTAACTATGATAGGTTTGGTGACCTAGCATGCCGAGGTCCACTCTTCAAATAAGATCCTTCATAGTTATTGCGGAGCACTTAAGGTTTTTTTGCCCTTGTATTTGGAACATTCGATTTCCATAAATAACATTTTCAAATACTCAGGGGTCTTTTGTAGGCCAATGTCTATGCCCGGATTATCTGTATCTCCGACTTCCTGTTTTTCATTACCGTTATTTTCAATATATTCCTTCGGGTCCACCATTTTAACAAACAACTGTAATAACCTGGTCTTCAATACCGACTCAATTGAGGTTGTATGTAAAATGCCCACGTGATACTGACAGGTTATATAATCAGTAGATCTCCCAAAGCGGTACCATGAGTGATACGGGGTAAATTATCTACTTCGACGGGCCAATATCATACGGTCCCATGGATGATATATATGCCCTATACAAGGACAATACCAATACCAATACCTTCCTCTCCGCTATGGACCACCAATTTTTTTTATTTACATTTCACTAAACGACCATACCTAATGATAATATTACGAGGTTATTTCCGTTTTCATCGGTCCGAACCCGAGTGCCAGGTGGGGCTCTTCTTTTTATTATCTTGATATATATCCAGGAATTAAACATCCTCTACTACCTTGTTCCACAGACTCAATGTTATCATCATAGTGTTGTATCTAGGATCATGGCCCTATAAGTTCTAGGGCTTGCCCCTTTTACTTTGACATTAACGGAAGGGAAAGGGTTTTCCAGGATAGAAATCCCGATGAACTTGCCAATCAACCAACAATTCTTCGTTAACTAATAGTTAATCATGAAAGCAGGGAAGGATATGCTTCAGGGGCTTGCTTTGTGTTGCAAGTTTATGTTTGGACTTATTGAACTGCGTCTTGTTCAGCTTGAGCTTGAGAATTAGATCGACATCGCTATTCCAGCTTCTTAGTTTAGAGTATCAACTGTATCAGGAAGGGACAGTAGGCCATGACAGTGAGATAGAACGGCGTGTATTCCAATTTTTCTCAATTTGTATAGATTTTTTCAGGTGAAATATTATCAGGTCCCTGTTTCAGTAGATCATAGAGTTTCATAATCTATTCCGATTTCGAGAGTCCTGGACATCAACTCGAGCATACCTAAGTACAAAAGACGCGGACCATAGCAGAAATCTTGGGAATTATAGTTACTAGCATTAAGCAGAAACATCAAGTATACATGCACAAGACAAGCGTAGGCTACAAGAAGGAACAAAGAAACGAGATGCACCAGCAGTTTTCTCAAAAAGAAAAACTAACCCCATCCTCATAAGGAATAAGGAAAATAATAAAGAGATAAATCGCAACATGCTGGGCAGGAGCAGAAGGGTATGAAGCAGTCATGCCTGAACAACATGATGCGAAAAGGAGATCATGGAAAAGAAAACAAAAAACTGGAATGTTCAAAACGGTCGTGTTATGTTTGATTCCCATCTTTAGAAAAAAGGAGTAGGAATATGCATATGAATTTTTTTTCGATACAAGGCCCTTGTATGATGAAATTAATCATCCATAGGCTTGTCCTCTAGAGTTACGCCCTTTGGCTCTGCAGTTTCACTCTCGACAACGCTACTCCTGTTGCTGTCAGTGCCGGTGGCGTTGATACCAGCTAACGTAGGGAAGCTGGAGATGCTGCCGAGGCCTGGCTTGCGGGTATTCCGAAGGGAGTTGCGGGAAATGGAGCTGCGCTTTTCAACTTCGCCCGAAGCAGGGGCTGGAGTGGGTGTTGGGGTTGGAGAACCGTCGGAGACGGAGTCGGTGGGAGGTGAAGGGCTCTCGGAACGCAGGGACGCGGTGGCGCTGGCAGGTGTTGAGCCGGGAGAGTCGGAAGGAGAAATTGTTGCTGCTTCTTCGGTCTGGGCTTCCACAGCGGCAAGTTCCTCGGCGTTGGTGGGAGAGTCGTTTTTGACGGGGACGTCTAGGGTGTTGACGCGGGGAGCTGAGCGACGATCCGCTGGGCTGGCAGCTACGTTGATGGGGAACCGGCCATTCTCTGATGCGCCACTTGAGCGGTCACGGCGGTGTCGGGAACGACCTGTAGGGCTGGTGGCTCGACTGCGGTTGACGATGGCGCGTTGGCGAGCTTCCATTGCTGCGCGGCGGTTGCTCTCATCAGTGCTGATGGCCCGAGGGCGGCTGGAAGTTGAAATTCCCAAGGCGCTGGATTGGCGCTTTAGCTCGCCGAAGATGGCGTCCTTGTGGGCAAAGAGGTCGCGTATCAGACGGTAGCTGTGTCGCTCATCCATGGTGAGGCTGCTCTCCATGCGAGGCCGGAGAACACAAAGCGACAAGGTCTGTGCAAGCGTAGAAGTGTACTGCTCGTCGGCTGAAGTCAAATCAAGCAGGCGTGTGAAATGGGTCATAATAGCATCAAGCGTGGCAATGTTGACGAGACGGAGCTGTCCAAGCGTGCTTTGCAGGACTTTTATCCGACCCTCTTCCGTGGTTTCGTGAGCTGTAGTCGAGTAAATGGTCTTGACGATTTCGTAAACTTGCGAAGAAACAAGGGAGTCTGGCAATTCAAGAAGGTATAGTTTTAAAACGCTGGCAACGATGGGTATCTCATATTGAGGAAGAACTTCGCGGTAATCCACTTTGCTGTTGTTCAGGGTATAACGCAACTTATGCGTCTCCTCCAACGGTGGGTTGTGAAGCCAAATGGCACGACGGGCCTCATCGCCCTCGAGCTCGGGGTAATGGTCATCCAAGTAAGTCAGAATAGTGGTAACTAGAATAGGCACGCGTTTGCGATCGACCCGAGCCCGGGCTTCAAGATCGACGCCGAAATTTTGTTCTTCAACGGAACCATAGTAGTTCTCGTATGCTTGCACCCGTGGAACAAAGCCACCAGTGCGGTAATTCTCCAGGAGATATCGCAGATCTCCAAGAGGCTGAATAGTCTCCTGATAAAGCATCATGTTGTCGACTGTGCTTTGCAGGTTAGGAATGACATTGCTGATGGCACCGGAAAAGTCGAGCACCACTGCCTTGATAGCCTTGAGACGATCTAGCTCACACTGCTCCATAAAGCGCAGGTTCCCAATGACTTCTTCCTGTAGTTGGCATCGGATTTGGTCAAGACGGCGGACAGCAGCTTTGTACTTTTCGTCGGCTTCCGTAGCCTCTCGCCGCAATTTGTCTGCGGGAGTTTCGTTTGGATAAGGGTTGTTGAGAGGGTTCCAGCCAGCAATCATCTCCGAAACCGATGAAATGGGTGACTCGCTGACACTACCACCATCCTCACTCGAGGCCATAGAAGTGACCCGCATCAGGGATTTCTTGTTCTCGGGAATTCCAGTGATCTGGAAGACTTTTGAGCGCCATTGGTAATTCATCTTCGAGCTATTAACGAAGCTGCTGCCAATGTTACCGATCAAACGGAGGAATCCCTCATCAACCAGATCCTGTCCAATACGCTCGGCCTGAACCAGGCTGGAAGTACCCATGTTGTTGAGAATGTACTCCACGATGGCTGCACCAGAGGAGGTATTCTGATATGTGCCGATGATCGGTACCTTGACCTCACCCAACTTGATGGTATTCAGAATGTGCAAGAAAAGCCTCTTAACCTCTTCAGGCGGATAAATTCGGTCACCTAGCTCAACAGGCTCCTCCTCAGGCTCCTCCTCAGTAGGCAGCACAATCTTCGGAGTCGGGATGACTTTAGGACTAGAAGTTTCAGGATCCTGAAAAGCTAATTTGTTCTCCTCCTCCAAATCTTCCACAACGCGGCACTTGTTAAAGTAATTGCTGCGCAGCTTCTTGACCAGTTCCACCTGCTTCGTATGTTCCTTGATCCGCGCCTGGAGATTATCATGTGAAGCCTGTACGCGGTATTCATGCTGGTCGCCCCATCGGCGAAAGGGAGTAACAACGAGTTCACGGATGTTGTTGGCGATTTTCTGGTGGTTGCGAGAAGCCTCGATCATTTCAGTCCGAACACCTTCGTATGCCTGAACAAAGCAAATGGAAAAAAGAAAATTAGATCGTTTCTTCCTTCAACGGTCCTATGCGACAGCGACATACCTTTTTCACACTCGCTCCATCATCTTTGCCAAAACCTGCATTTGACAATCGATCCACGCTCGGTGCAATTTCTCCCATACGAAGGCCATAAGCCTCCTCCGCATCCGCCCGCATAGATGCGATGGTCAGGATCTGCTTGTTCTCCACCACACCCTGCTGCAGTTTCCCGTACAGTACCCCGAGACCCGTCGCATAGTCGGGGGTCCAAAAAGAATCGGTGAAACTAGGCATCGTGGCGGTTGGTCGGCTCGGTGGGGAAATTCGGAGTAAAATGTGAGAGGAGGACCGTAGCGAAGTGACGATGTTCGGAAGGTTAACTTCAAGTTCCAGTCGAAGAACTGAGGCGCAAAGCAGAACCGAACCAGAACCGAATTCAATCTATTGGATCAGATATGTTCCCAAATGCAGGAACCAGCGCACGCCTCCGAAGAAGAAAAAAGCAGACCAGCTGTTTCGTGATCAGGAACTAACTGCTCTGACCGCACTCGATGAATTTTTTGCCGCTCTGAAAAAGGTCTTGTATTTGAAAGTATGTAGGAAGACTTTCTTCCCCGGGAATGCAAGCTGAGCGCGCGGCAGGGCAAAAGAGGTAAGCAAGCGCTCCGGTGCCGAGCGGTAGGGAAGGATTCGCAAAGAGAGCTGAGCCAGCAATAGTCTAGTAAAGAAAGAAAATGGCCCTCAGATCAACAACACAAAGGAGAGAATAAGGGGTTTGTGATTACTCGAAGAGGTAAATGTGATGATGTTGATGAATTTCTACCTGGTTCGTCAGGTGGCTTGTAATATTACGCAGTCAGTACCGGTATAACCTAGCCAGCGCAATGGGCTCCACTAAACTTGCTATTTTTACTTGCTATTTCTGGTGGATAAATCCTTGGGCCGTTGGATAAATACACTACCGTAATAGAAGTAAATACAGAGCAAATAAAAATGGAGTTAGAAAGGGTTGTATTGGATGCTATTTGAGGATGGGGTAGGTGATACGGAGTAAGTACACAAGGCAATCTGCCCCTATTCCCAAGTCTAATATAAAGTGGCACAGCCTTGTAACTTCCAGCCACAATCTGTCAGATTTCTATTATCATCGTAATTAACATTTGGACACAACTTTAGTCTACATACTTGAAACACAGCCACAACTGTTGAAATGCCAAGTCTAGCTAAGTCTGATTGATTACGAGAGTTCGCGGTACTAGTGAGCTGTGGAGTACAATATTAGAGAAAAAGAGATTTTAGATTTGATTATACAGATCTCAAATAGATCTGAATCGGCTGAAATCGAGTCATTAAGCCATCAAGATGGGGGATGCTGAGAAATATGATAGTACATGTCCACATCAAAGGGGTTCAGAAGCCCCCCGTAAAGAAAAATATTATGCGACAACAATGAGAAATATTCTTCTACATCTAGCAGAGAAACTTATACACCTTCTTCCACTTGGGCCAAGCAGCCTGCTCAGCCTTCTCCTCCTCAATGAGGTTGCCGAGATCCAGATCACGGCGACCAGTGTTCAGATCCATGTCTTTCGCGCGAAGGAACTTGGTGCGGTACCAGAACTTGTAAGGGATGTAGAAGGCGATGACAATAGGGGCTGCAAGGTAAGCCTCGAAGAAGCTCTCGGCTTTAGCACCAGCGGACATGGTAGCATATCCGACCGGGGCAAAACCGACCCAGAACTGGGCAATCAGCACCAAGATGTTGAAGATCAAACCAATCCAGGAACCAATGACACCTGGTTGAGAACGGAATGCCAGCTCATCTAGAGAGTGGCCTTGGAGCTTCCAGGCACGTCGGAAACGAATGTGGCAAGCACAGATCGATCCCCATGTGAAGATGGATGACAGACCAGAGATGGCCATCAACCAAGCAAAAACGTCGGCCTCTGCGCTAGAAGCAGCTAGGAAGCAGAGGAGACCGATGATAGCAGAGACGATGATACCCCACATCGGGCGACCCTTGCGGTCGATGTATGCGAGGAACTTGGGAGCCTGGCCTTGCTCGGCGAGAGCGGCAAGAGTACGAGAGGAGCCGTACACAGACGAGTTACCAACAGAAAGCACAGCAATCATGATGACGACGTTCATGACAGAGGGGAGACCCTTGACACCGGCGTTTTCAATGGCGATAACGAACGGAGAAGCCTTGGCATCGGCCGCGTGAGAGGCAAGCAATCTTGAATCAGTATAGGGGACCAACAGACCAACAATGGTCAGGGAGACGATGTAGAAGAGGGCGATACGCCAGAAGACCTGCTTGATGGCGGTCGGGAGAGACTTGCGAGGGTTGGCAGTCTCGGCGGCAGCCAGACCGACCAACTCAGTACCAGCAAAGGCAAATGCAGCATTGACAAAGACACTGCAAACACCCTTGAAGCCATTATTGAAGGCACCAGGAGAGTGCCAGTACTTTCCACCGATGTAACCACCTTCAGGACCACCACCACAGTTGGCCACGATACCGAAGATACTAAGAAATATCAGAGTCAGTACTATGCAAGAAAGAAGTTGGAAGTTGATGGATACTCACATGAAACCAATAACAGCAACGACCTTGATAATGGCAAAGACAAACTCAGCCTCACCATACCCGCGAACGCCGAACAAGTTGATGGACACAATCAAAACCCAGAAGATAGAAACCCAGGCAGCATTTGATGTAATGGTTCCCCAGTATTCGATCGTAAGAGAAGCGGCGACAATTTCCAATGGCAAGACGACCAACCATTGCAGAGCATAGTTCCAGCCCATAGCAAACCCCCAAGCAGGGTCGATGAAGCGAGTCGAGTAAGTGGCGAAAGAACCAGAGACGGGGAAGACAACAGCCATTTCACCCAGAGCGTGGACAGTGCAGTAAAGCATGATTCCGATCAAGATGTATGCAATGAGCAAAGCAGCTGGCCCACCTGTGGAGAGCACACTACCTGAACCAACGAACAGACCAGTACCGATAGAACCACCAATAGCAATCATCTGTAAGTGACGGCCCTTTAAGGTACGCTTCAGCGGAGATTGAGCAGTAGCTTGAGCGGCATTCTCGATATCAAAGCCGCCGCCATCAGCGCCTGCTGAGGTGGAGACGATAGCGTTGGGATCTTGCTTAAAGCTATCGATGAAGCGTTGACTCCATGTTCCTTTAGTGACTTCTGAATCGCCATATGTGGGTAGAGGCTCCGCAGAGGGCTCTGAATATTTTTTCTCTTCCATGGTGTTCCAAGGTTGTACCTAGGTACCTTCTGTAACGTCGTATGGTAATAAGGGTAAAAGGGTATAGTTGAGTTGGGTAGCCCTAAGTTACCCGATGCGGAAAGTAAGGGAAGGAGTATGAGAGTAGAGAACAAAAGAGAGGGGGAATTAATGTTTATTTAAATGTAGGGAATAAGAGGGGGGCCAAAGTGAAATATTTCCAAGATAACATTATGTATTTCCTTGACGATGGCAAATGCAGTATCATGCTGTTTTCACTCAGTGGGCCAATAGTGGTAGAGATAGATATGTCCTACATTAAATCAGTAACGCTTAGACTTGTAGTAAATCCTATTTGGGACCACCCCGGTCACCTTGATTAATGTTTTTTCTCTAACAGTTACAGTCACAGTCACAGTTATTTTATTTTTATTTTTTATTTCTATTTTCTATTCTGCTATTGTACTGCTATTCTATCACTATTCTATCACCATATTATTCTACTCAATATAACTCATAGTATTCTGTTCGACTATTCCGGGCCGCAAACAGGGTAAATGATAGATAAGGCTTACGTTTCGTGACTTTTTCACTTTTCCTTCCCACTTTCCCCGGTGGATCCTCCTCCAAAACGCCACATCCAGCCCGACTTATCAGCTTAGAACTTGGTCCTCTTAGAATCGCAGAATCAGGTCGATCGGAGTGGCCGAGTGGTATGCTGGTGCTGATGCTGACTCCGTTCCGAAGCTCACCCCCTGATTCTCTTCCCTCGTTTCATGGAACATTCCTCTAGACCCCATTCCCTTTTGGCGAAGGGATCGAGCCTCTAGACTATTCCCCTTGCGTATAGATCTCCGCATTTCCGATAGGCACATTATGTTCCAATCAGAATATGCACGTTAGTTTGCCTGATAAGAACCTCGTTCTTGTGGATTCTGCCTTTGCGATCCACATTCAAGTTTCATCATAGCTACAAGGCAATATAAGTGTATTCCAAACCCTTCAACCTTAGAAGACTTCCCGTCAGAGGCTGCTAGCTATGTCTAACACAAGACGCAAAAAAAAGTATCAGATCTCGAGAATATGCGCTACATGCGGCTATTGCGATACTGCGCTATATGCTAAGAAATATTATTCTATTGACAAGGCTACACAAAGAAGGCATAGTGAGAAACAACTCCTTCGACCCACCAGAGCTTGCAATTCCATAGCGCACAGATAGGACTTTGCTCCACGGTCTGAACCGATTGGCTTTTCACAATGCTAGCTTCTTAGCCCGTAACCGGTGGCCACGATTCGGTTGGACAGGCTCGAGTGGCTTGTGGACACTGAATTCCGATATGCATAGAAGCACGGGAGAAACAATCCTAAAACGAGAATGCGCGGTCTCACCAAGCGCGGTCTATTGTGGGGAACGAGTACTAATCAATCATGGAGTCGTAGAGCTTTAGTTTCAATATCGATCCATTCCACATATGTTAGTTACTACGTACTATTCAAATTTATGATTCAGCTGCCAAGCCATATGTCGTAACTCTCTACCCAACTATGGCTCTTTCCGCGCCATCAAACCCATGGAAATAGATCGTACGACAAGGGAAAAAAAACACTTCAGAACACCAGCGCCCGACTGTAAAGCTGTGGGAAAAGCAAAGAGACTAAGACAAAAAGATAAATATTCAAGCCATTAAGATGCCATTTCCTTATCAGTTCCTCCGATCCTGCGGGACTAATTTGGGTAACAGGCCACAAGCCGAACCCACTCGCCCTCTTTCTGTGAAAAAGTACGAAAGAAACATGCTGAGTAAGGCGGGTAAGCTTGCATAATACTAACACGGAAAAAGGAAAAAAAAAAATCAAATCAACTGACTTATCGGTAGCTCAGCCACTGGCCAAGCCGATGGCGCACTTAGGGCTCTATTACTGGCTCTTGAGCTCAAGGTTGATAGCCATGGTAGCATTGGATTTATCTAGACTTTGTTCCTTTGTTGCTCTTTCTATCTGAATAGGAATCAACACCGGCTTGGCCTTTTACACCGCGGGTCCTGAGAATTTCGACCATGCAAGATCTCTCATCGCTCCTTCGGGTGACAAGGATTTGATACTTGGAAGATTAGAATGATTCTATGACAAATTTAATTCTGTACTCGTGAAACTGGTATCGTCTTCCCACCTTTCTCTGCTACTTTCTTGTAGTACACGCACAGACCACTATATTGAAATATCTTAAACATCATGCGATCCACTTTTAACTACTAGGTAACTGAGGTGAATGCTAAGTGAGAACTGTCGTGAGCAGATACATTTACCGAGGTACTAATCTGGGTGTTGGACGTAGATGTCTAGTCGCTTTAGAGTTGTTGCTGATCTCAGATTAACTATGCGGGGTGTGGAATCTGTTACCTAACAGATTCCACATCCCGAGTCTGGGGAAAGGCCACTGCGTAATAGAGGAGACTTGAATATTAATTAACACTACAAATGACATATCAAGGCTTCAATAAGAAGTTGATATTCCGGGTAGGATATGATCGCTGTATAAACGCCGGTACGGTTAAGTACCTCCCTAATCAAGTAACAACTGCGTAGTCGCATCCGCTTTCCAGGGTTCGTAGTAAACTGGATTATATTACCCCTCAACCCCTCATTTGCCCCTTCTGCTTGCCCAAGAAATCTCGATAAAGTGAAACAAACTTCTAATGTTTCCAAGGCTCGGATAGAGATATAACATGAAATGTAGATACTTGTGGTCGCGTGACCTCCAAGTCTACGGGTGAGCATTGATAATCCGGGGTAAATCTTAAATCGCAACCAACCATCTAGTTTTCTGCATCAATGTTCTAGCGTTTCTAGTTTCCGTGGTCGGATGAACACGTCAGATCTAGGTTAGTTGTTCATGTATAACATTTCTGCAGCCGGAATTTTGATAAGGGGGGGAAAGTTGGCCTATCTTTGTGGCGTTGGGCTTATCATTAGGATAGGTTAGCCGCATGTATGATGCTTGCTTTAAGTTTGTGGGGGCTGTAGTGTATGTAGTTGTCTTCCGGTGCTGAACTAGCCGGAAGTCATGACTTTTCTGTGTGCCCGTGGACTCGATGGTCAGGCTGAGAGAAGTCCTGTTGACATGATAATAGACTCGCAATTGAAAATTCAGGATTCAGAATAACTCAAGCTGTTCATCTGATTCACAGTAGTTGTTCGTGAACATTTGTCTGCCATTTGGATGTCGCCGCTTGATGCAATTGAAATCATGATTGATTTCGGAGAAGGCATATCCATGTAGTGCAGCCTGTTAGTAGCGGTCTGATGATAGCGGTCAATGCTCTCGATATCGGCTCGATAAGCAGCTTGGCAACATCCTAGCGTTCAGTGCTTGTTCATTGCTCGCTCATTGCTCGTTCAAACACTGGTTGAAAAGAATAGTATTAAAAACAAAGAGGACCTTTAAAGAACTTCAGCATTTGAAAGGTCAGGTAACATCCCAACATCTTCATTACTAAAACTAAAATGTCTGTAGATGTAAAGGAATATCTCGTGGCATTCGAGAATTGGCATGGCGCTTAGGCGTCCGCCGTCGTTCAGATTCGGTATCATTAACGCAACAATGTTTTCATCATAAGAAGACTGAGAACTGAGTAGTTCTAGACCGCCATTTCCTCATCTGGCTTTCCACCAGGAACCAACTGTGAAAAATGTCAGAGATAAGGTTAGTGAAACTGATAAGGAGGAGATCTACCATGCAAACATTGTTTCCGTTGAGCAAGATTCGGTCCAGCTTGATTTGTGTGCCTTCACCCGACCAGTCACTTTGGATAAGTTAGTATATTTGTTCCAATTAGCAGCTTATACAACTGCTTCGGCTAAATTCCCGCAAAGCAAAGCAAAGTATATCTGCAGATATTGCCAGCGGTACTTGAAGGAGAAAAAAAAAAAAAACTCACTATTCAGTAACATCGGTCAAAACCATATCTAAACGCATCATTAGCACTTCAATCCTTGATTTTCAAAAAAACGAAAATAGAGGGATGACATACTGACGTATTCATCGAATCCGGCAAGGATACCGGTGAACTCTTCGATTTCAATCCAAGTTAGCCTCCATAACAACGGTTAAGTACCCGAAAGTCAGCTGCAGCAAACTCACCCTTGTCACCCTTCATGATGACCCAGACTTGAAGACCGACAGCCTTGTCAATGAGTTCTATCGCAGGGTTAGTGGGGTCGTCTCATTGTGCGTAGGAAATCTGTCAACGAACCGAGGGGCTGAACCTGGCTTGGGTTGACTGCCATTATGACGGTACTGAGTTATTAAAACGAGTGAGATGGAATGGTTCCGTGTTTTTGATTCAGGAACAATTTGAAATCGAGCAAGTCAAGTCGCGTATAGAAGTCGCTGTGATATCTGGTTTTCTCCGGGCCGATAGGCTAGCCCGATTTGGCTTAGACCAGCTTTTTATGGCAACAAAAGCGGTGTAGGTGTAAATATTCTGCCAGAAACGCGGATTTCATATACTAAGACTTACTTCTTTGCAAGCCTTGAAATTTAGTTTGAATGGTTTTTGTCGGAACATGGATATTGCAATCGTGCAATACCATAAACCCGGAACGGAACAAACAGACCCCCGAGTCACGGGGGAACGACTATATTAGGAACTCAAGTAGCTACATGAATCGGACACATTTCACACTACTTTGCACAACGTATATACTAAGAATCTAGGACGGACCATACCCTTTTCCAGTGTATATACTGCAACGTGTGAACCCTGTCCTTTCAACGTAGTTGATCGACAGTTTTATTTCAGGCCTCTTTCTATTTGATGGCAGTGCCACTATCAACAAAAGTAATGACAAAAAACTTAATAGATATAGGGACCCATATGAAAAATCAGACTCCCCCAATGCGACGCTGTGTTAGACATTATGGAATGCCAGTAGACTCCAAAAATGCAATAAGGATACCATGATACAAAATTTACAATCCCTCACCGCGAAGGAGTCGTCTGAGGATGCCTTCGCCGGGACCTGCAATCTGGCCTTCGATTTCCGCCTGAGAAACAAAGCATACTAAGCCCTGCTCATCCATACCCTTGTGAGGAGTCGACATCACACTGCCAGACTTGGAAGGCGTACGGCGAACATCCGAACCACCGGCAACAGTGCCTCCTCGACCACGGCCTTGATACTCGCCCACTAGGCCCATCGTTTCCAAGTTGCCGAGCACATCCTTGAACTCGGTGGCTGTCAGAGGATGAAGCATGTTGTCGTTCCGTAAAAGCGTACAGTAAGTATTGAAGGCCTGCTTCACTGTTGGAGCCATACATCGAGATTTTGATGGTGTGAAGGTGACATCCAGCTCCCGGCGCTTGCGCTCCAATGCAATCAAGGAGCAGATAGCAGCCTTTTGCTGTAGATTCAAGTTTTGGAGCCGCTGGATAGTACCTTGCCCAAAAGCAGCGCTCGTGATACGAGCGATGTGAGCAATACTTGCACGAGGGGCTGTTACTGCAGTATAGCCCAACATTGAAGTAGACCGAGCAGGGACTACCTTTGTAGGCGATGACAAATTCTGATTTTCAGAAAGTATCAATGGCGGTTCAGCCTCGGCGAGTTGCTTTTCTAATTTCTGCATAGTTTCCTGCTCAATTGTATCAATCGCGCGTTTGATCAGTTCAAACGCCTTGCGAAGATCACCGGTTTGCGATGCCACTTTCTTGGCGCAGAGCTGAATAGCAGCTGGTTGCAGGAAAGGGACGAATTTTGGATCGGTGTCTGCACCGGCAGGGAGCAGAGAGCGAAGGCGGCCGGTGATGACATTTGCGATTGATGCCGCATTGTATGGCAAGAATGGCAGGAGAATCGGCTTGAGGTTCTTTGCCTTCAGTTGCGGCAGCGACCGATCGGTTAGATCCAGAGCGTTAGCAATGCCGATCAGGATCAAGGTCGAGTTTTTATTCAAGGACCATTCAAACAGGGACTGCAGCACGCCGGAGTCGCTGATGAGTAGATGGTCCATCTCATCCAGACTGACTAGGTATAAGCCATCCGCCTTGGCTGGTACAAACATGGCCTTTAATCGTTCGGCCTCACTCTTCTTGAAAACCTCCGAGTCCTCACAAAAGTCCTGGATGAGCTTGCTGTAGACATCTCGGGCATTCCGCATGCTCACGCAGTTGACGTGAGAGACCTTGACGTTGGACAGATCGATTTCCGGGCAAACTTCGTTGACCATGGCACTCTTGCCGGTTCCTGGTGGACCGCTAATATATAGACAGCCGCCTTTCTGCGATTCAACACAGTCTCCAATAAAGGTTGCCACTTTTTCCCGTTCAGAATCTCGCCCAATTAACCGACCAGAATTGGCACCACGTGCGAACAACTGTCGAGCTTTGGAATAGACATTTTGCGCTTTAGTCGGAGTCGTACTTTGGCGAGGAGTAGGTGGGAGGTCATTATGGCGAGGAGTGTGTGGAGTCGCCGCCTTTGCTCCAACTTGGACTCGATGCCGAGGAGTGCTAGGAGATTGTTGCAAAGCATCGCGGAAACGCGACTTTGAGGGAGTCTTGAATTCAGGGGCTGGTTTCTCTTCTGTACAGATGAATTAGCCATGTTCTTATTTATGCGCACAAGTTTTTGTCACATACCTCCTACTAGCTTGGAAGTGCGAAAATGTGAATTGATCTTTGTCGGAGACCCGTCCTGGTCATCGCGAAGCGCGTGCTTTGACACCTTCTCCGTCTTAATAATCTCTTCATTTTCCTGATCTGATGCGTTGGTATTCTTCGCACTTGACCGAGTTCGGCGCGTTGAGGGAACGGCGACTTCGCGGTGGGCTCTGGGAGCAACCGTCCTGCGCTTGCTTGCCGTGCGCACCGGGAGCGCTTTACATTCGAGTCAGCCTGGGAGCGAGAAGTAGTGGAAAGAGCTAGGGGTATGTACCTTCCAAATCACTAGTACTGCGGGTACGCTTTCCAAGATTCGTGGCTGCCATACTTGATGAGTGAATTGAGTAAGGAAATTGGAGGCGCTTTCCAAATTCCAACGAGTCCAAGTCCCACTTTCCGTTTGACGCGTTCGCGCGTCTGCACTTTTGGTCTCTAAAGTTTACCGTATCGATCTTACTGCTTATGGAATATCATTGCGCTATTGGTGTTTATGGAACACCCTAATACCAACTCATTAATAGCTACCTAGAAATCAATGCAGCTTCAAGTAACCTTCAATTCATCTGAATTCTCAGATCTCCTTTGTCTCCCAAAGCTCTAGCCCCTATTTTGGTTCATTTGATGCCATCACCTGTGACAAGCTGCGTGGGGTACTGATCTCGGTTTGCAGCTGTTTGCATTGCTCCACATCTACTCTAAACGCTTTGCGATATTAACCACTCTTTACAAACACCTTGTTTTCTTTTACATTTCCCTCTCTCCCATTCCGCTCAAACACCTGCATTCCGGTTAGGCACATCCGTCAAGATGGACGATGATCTGGTGGCCCAGTTCACTGAAATTACTGGCTCAACACCCGAGCTTGCGACACAGTACTTGCAGCTCACCGATTTTAACATCGAGCAGGCCTTGCCACTCTATTTTGAGAATGGAGGAGCTCAGTTGACTGAACCTGCGCGACCAACCGAACGTGCCCGACACGAGGATGAAGCTGGCGTAATTCATGTCGGCTCAGATACCGATGACGACATCCGAGTTGGCGAAGATTCCCTCCAAGACACCAACGCAACATTCGAAGACGATGCTGCCATGGCCCGTCGCCTCCAAGAGGAAATGTATGGCGGTGGAGGTGCAAACAACCTCGATGATGACGGAGTGCGGGCGCCTATGGCGCGTACAACCGAGACGTTAGTGGGGCCAGAAGCTGATGATGCGGATTTTCCTGCCGACATTTTTAGCCAGATGCGCTCTCGTAGTGACCGTCGTGGTGAGATATGACTTTTCCAACGCCTTAAATGTTGCGAATCTAATTTGACGTCGTTTAGGTCGACCTGGCATATTCAACCAGCGTGACACTTCATCAATATGGAACCAAGGCTCTGCTGCATCGCACCAGGAACAACTCTCGAGAGCGACCGGTGGTGCGTCGGACGAATCCAACAAATCTAATATGCTTGCAGAGATGTATCGCCCCCCGTTTGAGATCATGTCACGGCTCCCGTGGGATGCGGCCCGCCAAGAAGGAAAAGACAACCAAAAGTGGCTGCTGGTCAACATTCAGGACTCCTCCATATTTGACTGCCAAGTCTTGAATCGCGATCTTTGGAAAAACAAGGCTGTTCAGGAGACAGTCAAGGAACATTTTATCTTTCTACAATTCTCGAAGGACGACCCTCGAGCTTTGTCATATCTTCAATACTACTTTCAAGGCCACAACGTCTCTGATAACTTCCCCCACATCTCCATTGTTGACCCTCGAACTGGTGAGCAAATGAAGGTGTGGTCCGGAGCTCCTGTTGTGAAGTCCTCGGACTTTCTTATTCAACTCCACGAGTTCCTTGATCGTTACAGCTTGAACAACAACGTGCGCAATCCTATCGCGAAGCGAAAATCAGAGAAGAAAGAGGTGAACCTTGACGCGATGACCGAAGAAGAGATGATGGAGTGGGCCCTGCGAAACAGTCTGGGTGAAGAGCAGTCCTCGGAGCGGAAGACGGAAGACCTCGACGACCTAACCCGCAGCATCGACGATGTTAAGGGCAAAGCCCGGGCGACAGATGAGGATGACACAATGGATGAAAAAGCAGACGACCCAGAAAGCTCTGCATTTTCCGCTATCCCTAGTGACCAACTGCACACCGAGCCTGCAGTCGATCCAGCCACGACTACCCGGATTCAATTCCGCCACCCATCTGGCCGCATCATTCGGCGGTTCGCACTGGCCGACCCAGTTCAACGCATTTATGAATGGCTTAAGGCCGAACCTCTTGAAGACAAGGCGGGTGTGGCATTTGAGCTGAACGCGATGGGACGCAACCTCATGGACAAGCTTAGCACGAGCATTGAAGATGCGGGATTGAAGAACGGCACAGTCATGATCGGTTTTCTTGAGGATTAGAGAACTCACTAGCTTGAAGGGTATTTCTAGCTTATGGTTCAGTCAGTGCAGGTCATGAGTCCATGAAGTGAGATTGTGAGATCTTGAGCACTTCTGGGCGATAATCCAAATAACTAGAGAGTCTTACTGTTCGGACTTATAGAATCCACATCCTAAGAAATGATTTATGAAAGACCAACAATTCCTAGAGCTGTTGATCGATATAATGAGCTATTCAGGCCTAGTTGTAAGTTTCTTGAAGAGTGTCTTAATCGTACTTGGGTATAACACCGTCGATAACAAGGGAATTCATGCATCTATAATAGAACTATTTCCCTGAATCACTCCGAAGGTCTTTCAAGCAACTATCTAGAACAAAATCCGTTCAAAGAATCCCTTCTTACTTGGCAATTCCAAAGCTGCTATAGAATACTCGAAGAATCAACCAATTCCTGTCGATCCCTAAGCGGACTAATCCATTGCATATCGAATATACCTATTTCGATCCAAAAGCTGGTCACCAAGGTCCACACGAGTAAAGAGCTCCGGATTTAGAATCTACTCTCTAAAGAGCTGCCAGCTCATAGCCCTAGTCTGGTCATCAGAATGAGGATAATGAACACAATAACCTCGCAAAGTAAGTGAAGTTCTGGCCAAACTGCCGCTCTGTCCGTTGTAGAGTGAAAGTGAAAGTGGAAGATTTTGATTAACTTCAATCTTTTCAGGGTATGGATCTGGGCTCTCCATCTTTCTTACTTCGTCATCCTCCACATTTTCCTCATTCATATTTTTTGGAAAATAGTCACTGGTGTCAGAGATCTGCAGCAGTTCTCGTCCTCCAAGACTTCTTCAGCTCGAGCCCGCCATAGACAGGTTGCCAGCAAATACAGGAGGAACTGCTATCCTCTCTTATCACAATCACTTCTAAAATCAATGGAAACCAGAGTTCTATAATGGAACTGATCATTTGATATTTTGCAAATATTAAATCTCTGGTCAGGTCACAATCAAGTCTGATCCCTCTGTATTCAATTACTTGGGGAATCCTAGGGCTTATAAAGAGGAATGGGTGGTCTCCAAAGAACTGGGGATATCAGAGATCCACAGATCTCCTCAATCCTCCGAAACTCGCCTTCTCACACCTCCGTTGCAATGTCTTGACCCTTTACAAAAGCAACAATCAGTCGCTCTAGTGCTGATGATTTGCAGAGCCTCGCTCCTGTTCCTGGTTGTACCGGCTACTGGTCTGTTTACCAAGCACGCCACGGGGTTAGCATAGAGGACTTTGTACCAGACCGCTTATTAGCTTTAGCCATTAGTGCCAAAGCACTGCTTAATTGTCTGAAGTTTCTGGTGAGAAATTTTGGAAGTGGATGAAACACTGACCATGGGAAAACCGGAGGCGTTTTCAAGTCAAACTCCCTGTGCGCCATTGTCGAGATCGCCCTAATCACGATCGCTCAGATGGATGAGATGAATACGCCAATTTATATGGACGGAGAGTTGAACTCAAATTCCGGCCAAGACTGCGAAGACAAAGCTATTGAAAAGTTGATGGCTGCCAATTTAGTCAAGAATGCGGACATCACTACGCTCTCTGACGAGTACCTTGACTTAGCATTGGTTTCTGGGAGCAAATGAGTAGCCTCGCAAGTCTATTCTACACACATGAAGCAGCTTCGCCGATGTCCTATATCTCTTCTGATAAGCGGATGCCTCGCAGAGGCGCAAAGCTCGCGTCAACTAGCGTGGCGGCCTTTGTATTTTAGTAGAAACCGTACAGCTGGTTAGCTAGCTAGCTAGCTAGGCTGTGCGCGCCGAAAACCCCCAAGGGATGCTCTAGCCAGGACTAACCTGCCTCGGTGTTAAGATAACTGCTACTACTACCTCCCTGCTGATTTCCTAGTTCGCAAATTGACCTACAGTGCATTTTATGCCATCAAGACAAATGAACATCCATCATGAGTTCAAGAGATACGATTATTACGATAACAAAAACAATTCAACTATTTAAAATGTCTTAGAAAGATCTTGATAATGTCTTTGGGAGTCTGGGACTGAAAATACAGTGGCGCACAAACGGCGTAGAAAAGAAGCTGCACGTCTATAATATGGCGATTGCATCCAGAGAAACCATAAGAGAAAGAGCTTGAATCTCTCAAAAAGAACTCAATAGCCACAGGAATGGCGGGTTCAAGCCCAAAACCTTGATTTGACTATTAAGAGTCCATCGAATTCGGACAGGATCCCATCATCATCCAAAATGGATCACCTGACCTACATTGTGCGTCCCAAGCTCATATTTCTCTAGTCAGTGATCGGACGAAAAATTGGCCAGCAGATAAGTCCATTTATAACACCTGTGATGTGAAACTGTGAAGCTTATGAGTTCGTGTAAATGGAAAGGAATAATGGCAAAGCTCAAACCACACTCACATCGTTGCGGTGGGTTGAACTCATGATCTGGATAAGGTATTCGTGCCCTAAATGATTTACCTGTCGCAGGCGGAATTGGGAAGTCATTCCTAAAACATCCAGGTGGTTCTACACTACTTCCAATAGTTTTGAGGGATAAAATTCCCAGAATAAAAACATCATGTACGTGAAGAAATGAAGAAAGACCCAGGGAGATGAGATATAAAGACCATTATGAAGGCCCCAGCGCCGTGAATCGTCATAATCCCATTAAAAGGTAGAGACAGAAAAGCATCAGCGTATAAAGATTCATAAGAAACGAAATCATATCAGGTTGGCGCTGGTACAGGTCCGAGCCTAACAAGCACTTCCTCCAGGAAAACATCCAGAACGGCATCAACACCGCCGCTCATCTCAACCGGATCCTCCATATCCCATCGGTGGAGGTTATTGAAAGACCGGCAAATTTCTTCGGTCATTTGTTCCATAGCTCTGTGAACACGAACACTCCGCTCCCATTTCTTTTCTTCCTCTGGAGTCGGTTGTGCTCCGGTCTTTCTTCCAGGTTCAAGGCGGGATAGGTAGCGGCCGCGTCGGTTCATGGCAGCGCGGAGGGCTGGGAGGATGATTGAGCCGTGAGCCGTATCTTGATCGTCTTCGGTGGGGGGTTTGGGCTGGCCAGACTGCTGCTTTGGCTCATTTGGACGAATACTCTGAGGGGGCGTGTTAACTCTTTTCGCACGCTCTTCATACTTGGGCCCGAGCTTCGATTTAAGACCGGGAGGCTTGATATTCTGTGGTACTGACTGTTTCCTTACAGGAACGGGACTGGGGAGAGGGCGTTGTTGAAGTAGTGCGGGCGATCTAGAGACTGGAGATTTGTCGCGTCTCGCATTGCTGGAGGGTGCTAGGGGAGGAGATATTGGCTTGGGATCAATTGATGAGCGGGTGGCTGTCGTGAAGGATCTTTCACTGTGATTCTTGGAAGGGGATGTCTTTTCAAAAGGATTTGGGGCGTTGATAGAGCGAGGTTTGACAGGTGGAGCCGAAGGTAGAGACGGTATCTTAGTCGGCGATGACGGTGCAGAAGGAGGAAGAGGCTTTTTAGAAGGTGAAATATCAGCGACAGAAATAGTCCTCTCTGATGCTAAACGAGTTGGTGTTGATTTGACATCATCCTGCAAATCCCACTCTTCGGTCTCTTGAGCGCGTGAATTGGTCACCGAATCCTTCAATGGTCGTAAAACCGGTGCGGCACTTCTGCCGCCAACGGGGCGGACTGTGCCAAAGTCCCAGAGGTCTTCATTCTCCGTAGACCTCTCCTCTTGTTCATATGGCTCATCGTAGTCATCATCATCCTCATCATCATTTTGGCCACGGTGTGTGGCCTGCCAACGCTCAGCCCGTTCAATCAACTCTGTTAGGTATGTGGTTCTTTTCGCACGTTTAATAAATGGATGCTCTAGCAGCTCCTTCGCCGAAGGTCTTTCCTTCGGGTCTCGACGCAGACACAGCTCCACAAATTGCTTGAAGGGCCTGGTGAACTCGCCCGTGAGGGTTGGTGGAGGGTTTTTGGGGATCAAAAACAGGACCTTCATCGGGTGGATATCGGCATAAGGCGGATCACCGCACGCCAGCTCAATAGCAGTAATTCCCAATGACCAGATATCAGCCTTGTAGTCGTAGCCAGATTGCTTGATAACCTCAGGAGCCATCCAAAACGGCGTTCCGACAAAAGTGTTCTTCTTGGTCATTGTGGCTGATAGCTGGCCAGATACACCAAAATCAGCCAACTTGACCTGTCCGCTTGCGCTCAGAAGAATATTTGCAGCTAAATAATAATAATCAGTCTTGTGTATGTCATGGGATGACAAGGGAATTACCCTTGATATCTCTGTGCAACTTCTGGTCGTGGTGTAGATAATCCAGACCACGCAAGAGTTCACGCAAAATGATCGCAATATACTCTTCATGAATCACTCCTGGGCGCAAAAGGCCATGGCAGCTGCCACCAGAACAAAACTCCATAATAATCCATAGGTGGGAGCCTTTCAAGTATGATCCGTGGTATTTGGTGACGTATGGTGATTTGAGCTCGGACAATATCGCGATTTCTTTGATGATGTCGTCCACTTCGTCTTCTGCATTCTCAACATCGATGATTTTGATGGCCACTGATTCACCCGTACGTCTGTCGACACTGCGCGCCCATCACATCAGTCAGCAATGTGTTTCAATGAGAGGGGGGCTCTACACTTACCCCTTGTAGACCCTACCGAAGCTTCCACCACCTATAAGATCAATAAGATTAGTTATTGCAGTCTGTAATTTCTTTGATTGAATTTACCAATGCATGTTTGTTTGGTGTAGAGGGTTTCTGGATCAATGGGCCCAGGCATGCTGGCGGTTTATCGGATCTCCGTCAGAGACTGAATTCTAAACAGATTAGCGATTGTGATTATCAAGGTGTTAGAAGATAGTCGCATTAATGTGTTGCGACAGCGTGTTGCGACAACGTGTCGCGACAAGATAATGGATTTCTCCAAGGCATTGCTGAGGTACGTACTCCGGGATCAGGCTGAGCTGATATGGGCGGCTTTCGGAAAAAATAAGGAGAAAGACAAGGATCGCACCGAGAACCGGAGGTTCAAGATTCAACAGGGAGCGGTGAATGTTCAATGGCACTAAGGAATGGATCAATAATTGAGAAAGAACAAGATTATAGGTGAGATTGCGTCAGTCCGACCTGAGTGGAGTTATTTACCTCGAAGAGATGTCAACAAAGACGAAATGAGAGGTTTGGAGGAGTGACTTTGGGTCTAAACCCTTCAAGTTAGAATTTCGTAAGCTTCAGATATTCAATATGATTGATTCAAGTGAACCTACCGTAAAAATGAAAGATCGAATGATCAAGGGAGAATATGAAGCCCTTGCGTTGTTTATCGATGCGGGGCTTATACTGCCGATGGATGCTTATCTGGGGCGGTGGACGCGCCCGGGTAACAATCTCCAGACTCCTTATATAAGCGAGATAGTCAGGGCTTCGCACATTCTTGCCTTGGATTCCACCAGAGATAATTGTCCGTTTAGTAGAAGGGTTTATTGAAGTCTTTTCAAAAACAGCTACCAAGCTACCATAGCAATAGATAGAGATTCCTAAGGTCTATCAGGGTATTCCAAGGCTGATTGCGATGTAATAAGCCTGGGATCATTGAAGAAAGTTGATATACAATGTTCTTTACTATATCTATATTTATCTATTACACGTAGTTCTTCCACTCGCCGAAAGAGCTGAATGAACCAGAAAAGGTCTGTTTTGTAGCCAAATAAGACTTTCCGACTCTTCATGTGGCTTCAAATATAGAGAGGGAAAAAGTTAAAAATGGAAAGTTAAAATCAGCCGCATCAGGTTGATCAAAGAAAGGCTCGTCCGTCTTCAACCTCAAAAGAGCAAAAAATTGACCTACGCAGGGGTCGAACCTGCAATCTCTTGATTCGTAGTCAAGCGCCTTGCCATTGGGCCAGCAGGCCTGCTTATTAATAATTCTATCCGAAAAATGGGTCTAAATAAGGATTATTCCACCACTGGGTGACACACGACCTATAAGTAGTAGTAAAGTCCTCATTCAGCTGGTCGAAACAACCAATCTGTCTCTGGCGTTGGGATGAGATAATTGGTAATATTAAACTCGTTCACATTGCACGAGTTACCTCCATCCACGACCGGACTTGTATCCGTAAGTCCATGAATGGACATTGGATTCTGAACAGGATCCGAGACATCTAGATGCGATGATGATGGTGCAGTTGGATCTGGAGCACAGGCAGGTGGCACTCGTGGGAAATTGAAGAATCCAAACACGTCGAGGTACTCCAACTCGTTTGGAGCAAGGCTCCTCGGAGTAATGGCGGAAAATGGACGACGGACATCATTTCCATTTCTAGTATTTCTAGGCGGAGACTCGCGAGGCTGGCGGGATATGAGAAAGTCTAGGTCAAATGCACAGCGTCGCATGTCTGCTAAGATTTTGACGGTGGATGGCGTTGTTCGCTGTCCATCTGTTGCGGCGGACTGTTGATATTCACCATACTCGTCAAGAACACGTTGCAGGATGTCGCTGTAGCGCTCGGCAACTTTCCAGTGCTGTCCCATGCGAGAGAGTGTGTCGACAAAAAATAGAATGTCGGGACTAACGGTGTGAGCTATGGTGGATCCGTGAACAAGTAGTAGGCGAGCTGAGACCCAGAGGGTGAACGCAAATGGCGGTCCGAGTTTATCGAGGATGTTCTTCTCGACTACGAGTCGTGTTACGGAGAGAATGTTTTCCACGGCAAGAAGACACCGTTGGCTGGCGCTGTATGAGGGCGTGAAGATTGGGGACCGAGTCGTCGGGTATGCAGCAGATGAGTGGAGACGAATCACAGCGCTAGAGGGGATTAGAATGTTTCAGTGGAGTCCTGGAGATAATCTGCTCACTCACGTTTGATATGTAGCGTGAAGCTGTACCCATTCGCTACGTAGAGTACCCGGTTTAACTCCGCTGAAAATTCGAAATGAATTATCGTAGACGTACTCTGCAGGCAGATTGAATTCCCATGAGGTAAGATCGCTATCAAGCCTCCGATATGTAGCCTGCCATTCCTCAACGTCGGATAGAGACCCGATGTCCACGGGACGCTTCAAAAACACATGGATACGAGAAAGGATACCCAATATTTCGGCATACAGCCCGAATGAACCCACATTTTCTGTATGACTGCGATAGTCGGCACGCTCACTAGAGCAGTTGAACCTTCGTGTTTCAACAGGCTGATTTCTCATAAAAAACTCATCTTTGCAGGGAAGTTTGCGATCGATGTCTTTGTCATCCAAGGCAAAGTCAAATGCGGTGGCAATTGTCGAGTACCGATCTAGAAAGTAGACCATCCAGAACAAACGACGTCTGCTCTCATCCTCAATCCATGAATCTGGTTCTGATAAAGTTACTGCTCGCAATGTGTAGATTGAAGGGTAGATCGGTGCAATGAGGGATGACTTTGACTCCACAGCCAACCCCAATTGTACTACTGATCGGGTGATCAGAGCAAGCAATTTCCAACCAGGAGGTCCATTTGATGATCCGACCAAATCCAGCGCCAAAATTACCAGTGCCTGAAGAGATCTGACGGACGAGTTTTCGAGACCATAAAGAAGCACCTTTTGTTTGGAGGAATCATGGTAGCGCTTTCTGTTTTGGTCGTTGAGCCGTTTGTCAGTAGAAAAGCGAAGAGTGGTTGCCACAATGGCGTAAAGGACCATGCGATTCTCCTCTTCAAGTGGTGATGGGCCAAAAAAGGTGTCCAATATTGATCGGCGATGGAGGATTGGGCACCAGGAGTTGATATGATCGAAATATAGATCTACTAGTGCATAAAGGAGATCATATGGGGGAAGGTCAAGATCAGGGTCTGCTAAAGACTGCTCCTGGTTGGCAAAGATACTGACTGGAACTTTCAGTGAGGAGTCGTTTCCAGTAAAGTCACCGTTGTATACATTCTGAGAAATAGATAGCGAACTACCACTCTGTAGATTATCCGGGGCTAAGTTCTTGAGTGAAATGTCTGAGGGACTGGTGGTTATATCGGTATGTCGCGCAATCGCCGAAGGAGCCGGCTCATTATGATAGAGTGTCATCTGCGGACTGAGGCCATGAGCTGCAGATAGCTCGGACGGAGAACTATATGAGATCGATCTATTGTGGACCGCTGAAGGTTTACTTTGCAGTACATGCATCTCAATTATTCTGGCCTGTGTTTGGATGACTTGTTCTAGCCTGTCTGACATGGGGTGAGATTGATGAGATTGATGAGGGAGGAGTCAAGTTACTCACCGAGTCGATGCTCAAGTTCCTTCCCATAGCCGGCACGTAAACCGGGCTTCTTGCGTTCTCTGTACTCACAAAGCTGCCCATTACGAGTACACCAACCACAGCTAGGTTGCACACGATCTAGTAGCTAATTAGACCAGCCGCAGCACAAGATATTGACTGATTTACCGCATTTGACCTTTCTCTGCTTGCAAATCTCGCATCTTGAGAATTTTTAGCATGAAAATTCATTGGATACCCACACATAGTTTAGCACAGATACATACGAGACAGTGAGAGGTCGCTTCCGCTTCAGTCCACGCGTATTGCCAGAGCCAGAGCCATTGGAGCCGACAGGGTCATTTTCCGAGTCAGCGGACGAGTATTCCAGCCCACTCTGCTCCCTATCGATATCCTCCATGCCATTGTTAACAGTGACGATATTATTTGCGAAAGTAGCACTGTTTGTCATTTTGCTACAGTGGACAATGTTTTATTAGGGATCGACCATGATTTGAAGGCCGCTCGAAAATCTGGATATATTAATTGTTCAGACAAGGCGGCGAAAGTCCGATGAAGAAGAAAACTTGCCCGGCAAGAGGAAAGAGGAGAAGGTCTTCGGTTAGACCTGTCAAGGGCCTCAGGCAAAAACCGGGGTATATACTTAACCCCGCATTTCTCCACTTTCCATGTTCCCTTGATCAACATCAACCTCCAAGAAGCTGAAATATCATTTGTACAAAATATTCGAGTGCCGGAGTATCATTGATGATGATTTGCCTTGATGGTCTCAGCAGTGTTGATACCACTACTTACGTAGGTACAAGGGTGGATAATTTTGGAATCAATTTACCTACTTATTCAAAAGAGAGAACGGGAAAAAGACGAAGGCAACTCTTCCAAATGTCCGCTTTTTGCCTGAGGCCTCATCTTCAAACTCCGCATGAACGTCAAGCTTGGAAGTTACTACGTCGTATGTACAGATTCTGTAAATAAATACTATGATGTCATGCGAATATCATAGACAGCATCCAATACATATTTTGCCTTTCTTGTTTTGTCGTAATTTGAATTTGAATCATCAATCTGAGCCAGTTAGTAATATTTGAAGTTCAACTTGGGTATTTTCAAGATGACGTTAACATGGGAAATCATTTATCAAAGTTAGCGAAATCAGCTTCCTAACAACCGCTGTTATTCTCTCGGGACTGCTAAGGCACTGCAAAAATTATTTGACGTCACTGAAGATATGACTGTGCTAAGTATTGCGAGGTATTTAATACTAATATTGCGGCCTTAATTTACTAAATACATACGTTAGGAACCACCATCGGATAGTCATCGCCCTCAAATTACAGGCTAATGTTGAAAGACCCATCTATAAATAATCCAATGTTGAATAGCATCGCATAAATTCAGGAACATTGACGTTGACTCTACGATCCGTCACTCAGCCTTAAAGGGTATTTTGGTATGGCATCTCACACAGCCGACAAAATACACAGGTAGGAAAATCCAAGCAAGGTCGTACTCTTTAGCAATTTGTCTCACAAATCGTGAACTGTAGAGCAATCAATCGACTTAGAGGTAAGCATCCAGGGACTAAAAAGATATTTTTTGCTTTTTCTTTCTTCGTCGAGTGGGGGACAAAGTAGGCGCCTCCCGCCAATGACACTTTTTATCTTGCCGCCGCTGCTGCGCTTCGTGTTCACGAGGCTAACCATTCCAATAATGACGGTTTCTCTCTTTCTCTCCTCTTTCTCTCTTGTAGGCTTCTTGTTGATTTCCTTCGAATGATCACTCAAACTTTCCTGGTTAAGGCCTTACAAAATTAGTGTACTGTGTCCCATCGTCGACGCAGGCTTAAAGCACTTTTTCGACGCCTTTTGCTCGAGTAGTAGGCATGTCAGACCCTGCGAACTACACCGTGGGCTGGATCTGCGCCTTGCCCGTGGAATACGTTGCCGCCCAAGAATTCCTCGATGAAGAACACGAAAAACCCCGCTCTGTGTCGTCAAATGATACCAACGACTATACATTAGGCAAGATAGACGAGCACAAAGTCGTCATCGCCGTCTTGCCTGATGGTGAATATGGTACAGCTTCAGCGGCCAACGTAGCAACGAACATGCTGAGCACCTTTCATAACGTCAGGATAGGCCTTATGGTCGGCATTGGTGGCGGCGTACCAAGTGAAAAGCACGACATTCGTCTGGGCGATGTTGTGGTTAGTGCGCCTCGTGGTTAGTGCGCCTCGTGGTGGTCAGGGCGGTGTTTTCCAGTACGACTTTGGTAAGTCAGTACAAGGCCAAAAATTTCATTATACGCGATTCTTGAACCAACCACCAACTATATTACGGACTGCTATGACGGGAATCCAAACACAATACGAGAGGAAGGGACACCGGCTCGGAGAAGCTATCGACAGTATTCTCGACAGGAACAGAAGACTACGCCAGAAGTATGAACGTCCGGAATCTATCACAGATAGGCTCTTCCGGCCTACTTTTATTCATGAAACAGATTGCGATACTACATTATGTGTAAATGATACCGCAAACTTGGTCATTCGACGCGAGCGGTCTAAAAATGAGGATAATCCTGAAATTCACTATGGTACGGTTGCTTCTACAAACCATTTAATGAAGGATACTTTAATAAGAGATAGACTAGCTGCTGAAAAAGATGTTCTCTGTTTCGAAATGGAAGCAGCCGGGCTGATGAACACTTTCCCCTGTCTGGTTATCCGGGGTATCTGCGACTACTCAGACTCACATAAGAACAAACAATGGCAAGGATATACAGCGATAGTGGCAGCTACATACGCTATAGACCTTCTAAAAATGATTCCTCTTAACAAAATTGAGGCCAAGGAGAGGATTAGTGTTATTCTATCTGGTTAGTCTAAATCGGTCTTATAATCGCTATATGAATATATCATAACCTACTGATTAATATAGATATACTAAAAAGTACTAATCAGAATTCAGATCGAGCGTATAAGCAAAGAGAGCGACACCAAGATGAGCAGAAAATAATAGCTTTAACAAAGCAGCAATAAAATTGTCACCAGGTTTTCAAGATATGTAACCACGAGCAACAGAAGGATATCAATCCACGCCGAGCGGAAGAAACTTGCCAATAGGCGTTACAGAGTCATGAATATATCCGTTGGCAGGAAAGCCGCTCTAATGATCTGCTCTAGGTGTCCGCCGACCCAGGTTGCGGGAAGTCTGTGCTAGCTAAACCAATTATCGATGGCTACTTAGCTTTGAGTCCGGCAGTGACAATATGCTACTTTTTCTTTAAAGATAATAAGGAGCAAACCCATCTTGATCAAGCACTATGTTCTATACTACATCAGCTCTTTGACCAGCGGCCTCATTTACTAGCTCATGCTATACAACCATGGGAAAAGAATAAGGAAATGCTTCGAAACAGCATCGTTATCATGGGACATACAGCAGCGCCTTGAGCACCAGCTTCTAAATATGGAAAACCGTACATATCTTTGGCTACATTTGGCTATTGAAGATATTCGATGTACGTTTCAGAATAGCCTTTGGCCTACCGAAGAATCAATTCAAATGATACCTCCTTCGGTGAATGAGGCATACAAAAAGATTCTTAGCCGAGTACCTTTAAACCAGAAAGGCACTGTGAGAAAAGTCTTCCAGATCATTGTGGGAGCACGACGGCCTTTGACAATAGCGGAAATGGCAATAGCGCTTGGTTTAGCTTTCCCCCACAGTCACGGACGGCAGCTAGAGTAGATCCACTACAGCTAGGGAAGAAGCTCCGTCATTTATGTGGCCTTTTTGTTTTCATCAATAACTCCAAAATCTACCTTATTCACCAGACAGCGAGAGAATTTCTCATCCAACAGGGAAGCTCGAACGATCTCAAATTTGCATAGGCATGCGGCCTGAGTGATACCGAGAACCTTATGGCTCTTATATGCGTACAATACCTATTGAGAATGGATTTGGAAGACAAATATTACGAGCCTCACATGTCTCAGGGCTTTTTAAAATATTCAGCTGTGTATTGGGTCGATCACGTGCGAAACATAACTTCAAATCAAGAGTGACTGATCGGCTATATCGACTATATGTTACAAGTAGAAAGCGATTTGCGCTATGGTTTCCAATCTTTTGGAGAGAAACGCATCAATCAGACCAAATACCTCAACTGAATCCACTACAGCGGCAGCATTCAACGGTCATGAGCAGCAGGTCAGTTTATTATTTGCTATAGGTAAATGGGATATGAATACGCCAGATGATACCCAGACATACCCAATCATATGGGCTTCACGTAATGGGCACGATAAAACTATTCAGTTACTACTAGAACGAGGAGCCGATGTCAACGCCCAGAGTTTATTCTACGGAAATGCTCTTCAGGCTGCTTGTTCTAAAGGAAACGACAAGATCGCACAGATGCTGCTAGAGCGAGGAGCCGATGTCAACGCCCAGGGTGGAGAGTACGGAAATGCCCTTCAGGCTGCCCATCAGGGAGGATACCATAATATAGTACAAATTCTCCAGGGACAACAATGTGCTGATCAATCGACCTCCTATCCCCCTTCTTCAAAAAGGCTGAAAGTTTCATGATTCCATATTGAAATCAAATCTTTAGTCACTCGATCTCTTAATTATTTCTCTCTCTCTCTCTCTCTCTTAGTAGTGGTGCTGGTGCCATAGTCCTTGCTCTTGCTCTTGAGATACTCTGTCAATGATCCTTAATCCAGCCACTCATATAATATGTAAGGTATTAAGAAGCACAAAAACAAAAGAAGCCCGCTCGTTCCTTTCAGCCGATGTAATATTTGTATAGTCTAGTGTAGTTAAGATTTTTTAGTCTTACAATGTATATGCTTGCAATTTATCTATGTAATGGATGCATCTGTGGTGTTGTACATAAGAAGTCGTTCTTTCAATCCAGTAACAGTTGTAAATAAGTAGTCTTGGTTGCCCTACTATTCTCAACCTATCAGGCTTCAATTGCATTAGATCAACATCATTGGTCCAATACAATTTACCTACCATTGGCTACGACGCTCAGTAAATTAAAGACCTTTGTTTTTATTGCTTAGATCAGCTATTCAGTACCTACATCGTGGACTCCTACAGCAATTGTGTTATATTATAAGAAAACTGTATTTCGATTTTCGTCGTTATGATATTCACCGAGGAAAAACTGCGCACTGATAGCTTGGCAGTGGGGCATGCTTAGGGCGGAAGTTGATTTCGCTAACGACTGACAGATGATTCCTGTCAAACTGGGGAAAGAACCATAGTTCTTGATTTCGAGCCCCTGACCCCTGTTGAAGAACCACGCCTTGCCTATTTGGGATGGCTTCGGGGCTCGATCTGAGATCATATTATGGATCAGTGTTTTCCCCGTATTGACCTTCTTTATGCCGAATCAATGTTTCAAAGGGGTCTAACATTGAACCAGGTATTTGGCAACGGGTATTTCGTCACCTAAATGTTGTCATTTGTTTCATATGTCGCGATCAGAAGAAGATCAGAAGAAAAACTAGTAATTAGATGACGCAAAATAGAAGGCAAATGGGCAACTCCATTAGATAGTGATGAACGTTTGAAAGAACGGATTCAGTTAACCTGATATGATTGGTCAATTCTATTAAAAGTTTGGGGTAATTGAAGTGGCGTTGGTATGACGTTACCCGATGTCATCGCTTATTTGATTAAGTATCAGAATATCTTGAATGTTTGGATCAAGTAAATCATCAGTATCGACAGTTGCTTGCGTAGAGTATTAACGTCATTGTAAACCAGTATACATGGCGTCATTTTGTTTTTCTTTGTTATATATACCTGGTAAATGCTAACCCTACATCTTTCATCTACAACAAGCATTTCTCAAATAAAATCATTTTCACACAAGTTATTCTACTTCTAAATATCTCTTCCTTTACACAAGTCCCATCAACCGCCCATCATGTCTAGCCTCATCAACAAGGTCAAGGATACCCTCTCTCATCACGGTGACAACTCCTCCAGCACCCAGGACCACACTGGCCCTACTGGCAACGCCGTCGATTCTCACAAGTCATCCAACCACGGTCCTCACGACAGCAGCCTAGCCAACAAGGTCGATCCCCGTATTGACAGCGACCGTGATGGACGTGCTACTCATACCGGTGGTAACACTACTCACACTGGTGGTAACACCTTTGGTACTTCCACAACTGGCACACATGGGTCTGGATTGTCTTCCAACCACGGTCCCCACGACAGCAGCCTAGCCAACAAGGCCGATCCCCGTATTGACAGCGACCGTGATGGACGTGCTACTCACACCGGTGGTGCCACTACTCACACTGGTGGTAACACCTTTGGTACTTCCACAACTGGCACACATGGGTCTGGATTGTCTTCCAACCACGGTCCCCACGACAGCAACCTAGCCAACAAGGCTGATCCCCGTGTTGACAGCGACCGCGATGGTCGTGCTAGCCACACTACAGGCTTCGGTTCCTCCACTGGAGCTAACTACGGAACTACCCACGGAACTACCCACGGAACTACCCACGGTACCACTGGCAACACCTTCGGCGGTAACACTTACGAGTCTGGCCTGTCCTCAAACCATGGCCCCCATGATAGCAACATCGCCAACAAGGCCGACCCTCGTATCGACAGTAACCGCGATGGTCGTGCTAGCCACACCACAGGCTTCGGTTCCTCCACTGGAGCTAACTACGGAGTCACCCAAGCTACTCCCAACTCCTTTACTTCTGCCACCGGAGCTGACCCTACTCGCGCTCCCGCCTATGGCTCCAACTACCCAGAGTCTGGCCTATCCTCTAACCACGGCCCCCATGACAACAACCTAGCCAACAAGGCTGATCCTCGTATCGACAGCGACCGTGATGGCCGTGCCAGCCACAGCCACAGCGGCTTCGGTTCCTCCACTACTGGAGCTAGTTACGGAGCTACTCACTCTGGTGCTACCCCTAACACCTTCGGCTCCTCTACCGTTGGAGGTACTCACCCCTCTACCCACTCGACCGGCACCGGCCCTGCCTCCAACACTGCAGGCCCCCACACCAGCAACCTAGCCAACAAGGCTGACCCCCGCATCGACAGCGACCAAAGCAAGAATGACACTTTCTCTCATGATGTTCGTAAGGGTAGCATTGGCGGTGCCGGTGTGATGCATGGTATGAGCGGCAACAACGGTCACCCAACCACTACCAAGACTTTTGAAGACGCTCAGGAGCATGGTTCCGCCGGACACCACAACGCTGGTTCCAGCTACAACAGCAATAAGACTGTTGGTCCTCACAGTAGTGACATTGCCAACAAGCTCGACCCCCGTGTCGATTCGGATCTTGATGGCTCCAAGACTATTGGATCCCAGCGCATCTAAGTTGATGCTCAGCGCAACTAAGTCTCATGAATGTTATGAAAACTAGCTTTAGCTAGCTTCGCCCTATGACTAACGACCATACCTCGATTGTTTGAGAAAATTGAATTAAATTAAGTTTGAAAAATAATTTTCACTGTAGGAAATGTATCCGAATCGTAGATCTCGTAGTACCCCACATCATATTTGATTCCGCATCTCGGGGTAGCAATACCCCGAGGCTCGGGGTTTTCTTCAACACATCAACTATAAAAAAGGACAAGGGTTGCAGTCACTAAGACACTAAGACCCTTAACTTACATTTTTTGCTCAAACCCTGTTCTCTTTTCTTCTTACATTTGAGATTTGCCTTCGCAGTTCACCCCTCCGTCAAAAAAAAATATAGAATCTGTTGAAAAATGAGTTCCGTAATTGAATTTCCCCGCATTAAGGAAATCCGTACCTTCGTCATCGATGGTGTTGGCTCCGGTGGTGATTATCACAATGTACGAGTTACGGAAAAAAATAGCCAGGTCTTTCAAATGCTGACCTACTTCTATAGGTCAAAGGTGGTCACTGGTTGATCGATAGCAACATCTCCACTCCAATGACCAAGTGGGCACAGTACCGCGGCTCACGCACTTCCTGGGGAATCAACGTCCTAGGATCATTCTGTGTTGAGATCGAGGCTACAGATGGTACAAAGGGGTTTGCAACAGGCTTTGGAGGACCTCCAGCTTGCTGGTTAGTTCATCAGCACTTTGAGCGCTTTTTGATTGGCGAAGGTATGAAGAAGCTCCATATATCCAGAGGAAAGACCGTTTCTGATTCCTTACAGATCCTCGTGACACAAACACTCTGTTCGAGAAGATGTATCGTGCCTCGATGTTCTACGGCCGCAAGGGTCTGCCTGTAGCAGCCATCTCGGTCGTCGACCTCGCTATCTGGGATCTACTGGGCAAGATCCGCAAAGAGCCCGTGTACAAGCTTATCGGTGGAGCGACTCGCTCACGTCTAGACTTCTACTGCACGGGACCGCAGCCTGGAGCGGCGAAAGTTGCGGGCTTCAGCGGCGCAAAGGTAGCTCTGCCGCACGGCCCAGACGAGGGAATCGACGGTCTGAAGAAGAACGTCGAGTACCTCCGACTACAGCGAGAAGCTGTTGGGCCTGATTTCCCTCTGCGCGTCGACTGCTATATGTCCCTGACAGTGCCGTACACGATTCAACTAGTCAAGCGTTGCGAGGCAATTGGTCTTGATATCGACTGGTGGGAAGAATGTCTATCGCCCGATGATTTCGACGGCCACGAGCTTCTGAAGAAAGCTCACCCCACCGTCAATTTCACGACGGGCGAGCACGAGTTTTCGCGCTACGGCTTCCGAAAGCTTGTTGAAGGGAGAAATCTCGATATTATCCAACCGGATGTTATGTGGTTGGGCGGTTTGACCGAGCTGCTTAAGGTCTCGGCTCTTGCTGCGGCTTATGATATCCCTGTTGTGCCGCATGCTTCCGGTCCGTACTCTTATCATTTTGTCGTATCGCAGACAAACTGTCCGTTCCAGGAGTATTTGGCTAATTCGCCTGATGGCGCGTCTGTCTTGCCTGTTTTTGGTAATTTGTTTGTTAACGAGCCTATTCCCACGAAGGGATATCTTGATGTCTCAGTCCTTGATAAGCCTGGTTTTGGACTCGAGCTTAACCCGGCTGCTCCGCTAATTCCTGCTTCTGCTCTGCTGACGCCGGCACCAATGAAGAGTCTGCGTGCTCCGGATGAGGTGGTCAGGGGTGAGATTTAGGGTATTTAGATGTCAATATTTCTTTTGGGTTCTAGGTTTGTTGATGTTTATTTCATGAGCTGCAGATTTTGACATGACATTCATGTACATATAAATTCCAAAACTTCCATCTTCAACTCTCTTCTGTGCACACGTAAAGACTTAATATCCCATCAGGCCCTCCTCAACCTCCATAATGGCTGACGTAGGTGAGGATAAGGGTAAGAAGCCCAAGGCTAAGAAAAGTTCAAAGAAGAACTCCAACTTCATCATCATCGTCCATCCCTCCACCATCTTGCTCTTCCCAAACTTTATGAGTCCCAACCCAAATGAGGTGGACAACTATCCTCTTGCTATGGAATGGATTTTGGAACCCTTGAGCGCAAGTGCAAAAAAGTTTAAAGATAGAGCCTTCGAAACCCGCATCAAAGACAATATGACCATTGCTGGCATCTCTAAACTGATGATCGGCTCACCCCTCACAACCCCCGAGGAACTTTCCAATTCTTTTCTGCATTAGTTTACACATCAATGCTGAAGCTTCCCTCAATGCCATTTTCAGTGCTTCATAGCAAAGTAATTGCGTTGTAGTTCCAAAGCAAGTGGAGAATTCAGCCACACTAAGCAGTGACGCAGTCGTCTGTCAAGGCAATAAAAATCGTGCGTGGTGATACTAGCTATGAGTTATTCGTTTTCCGAACCTCTCCAACTAAGTTTCTACAGGGATCTACCTTCTGATCCCACTTTTTCCTTTTTCTTTTGTTCCTCCAGGCCAGAGACAAACCTATACATAGCTATCTTTGTAGACCTAATACGCCCCCGTGAAGCTGATATTGATAGGTCGACAATTCCCATTAGCTTATATTTTGTTTCTCTTGGATTGTGAGCTTTCGAATCTGCTGTTCATATTAAAAGAGGCTCCTCATGAACAGGCACCATCCTGGCGCTCTAGAAGCGTGATAAGTATATACAAAGTTGCTAAATTCAGTTGGCTAGCTTAGTGCGGCTATATACAAATGCCAAATTATTCCGGGGTCGCTTCTACTAGTTAAATGTTATTTAACTACTTAAATAACTAAATAAGTATTTATAACGAACTATTTTCTGAAATATTAGGTAGTCAAACTGGCTCCACTTTTTTGAACTTCTCCAATGCGGGGAAGCCCCATAATTCGGTCAATATTATCGCGAACTTCCGAGGCCATACGTCGTTATACAAAAACATTCAACGTTTGGGTTTGATACGAATTCATCGATCAACCATTACAGCTATCCCAATGCCTCTCACACAGCTACTTGTTGGTAAAGTTGCCGCCATTACAGGTGGACTCACTGGCATCGGACGGGTATGCATTCATATCATTCAATGAAATATCGAGGATAAAATTACCTACGTATGTAACTGATCCTGACTCTTTCTAGGCAATCGCTCTCGAGTACCTCTTCCAAGGCGCAAATGTCTCTATAAGCCACCTGGGTGGTCCAGAAGAAGAAGACTTACTAGCAGCAATGCGCGCAGACGTGAACGAAATAACAGCCGACCTTACCCGCTTCATTACGGTAGCAGGCGACATTTCTCAGCCCGAAACTGGGAAAAAATTCATCGCAAATACTGTAGAGGCATTCGGGCGATTGGACATATTCGTCAGTAATGCTGGTGTGTGCCAATTTGCTGATTTCCTCGAGTAAGTACCATATACCCCCGTTTTAGTAAAATACAGGAATTATGAATCTGACATAATGTGCCGTAAAGAATTGAGCCCTCTCTATTCAATCATACCCTCTCAACCAACCTCTCCGGCGCATTCTTCGCAACCCAAGCCGCGGCACGGCAAATGGCCCTAATCCAATCCCCACCTGGCGGCTCAATCATCGGCATAAGTTCTATTTCAGCCTTAGTCGGTGGTGGCGAGCAGACTCATTACACGCCAACCAAAGCCGGGGTTTTGAGTCTTATGCAGTCGTGTGCGGTGGCATTGGGCAAGTATCACATTCGCTGTAATGCGCTGCTTCCCGGTACCATTCGCACCCAGTTGAATGATGCTGATATGGCGGATCCGGTTAAACGGGAGTATATGGAAGGTCGGATTCCGCTTGGTAGACTTGGTCAGCCGCCGGATTTGGCTGGGCCTGCTGTTTTTTTGGCTTGTGAGGAGTTGAGTGGCTATGTGGTAAGTTACGTCCATTGTTAATTTTTTTTTTTTTTTTTTTTTTTTTTTTTATAGTTGCTGACAATATTTTAGACGGGTGCTCAGCTTTTGGTTGATGGTGGACTTTTTGTAAACCTTCAGTAGGATTAACGTTCCATTTGCATATGTTGAGCTTGTAGACTTGTAGTGATTAACAGCCCTCTTCTTTTGAATACCCACTATGTCTCCAAGAACGTCCCAAACCCACAGATATAGATTTAGTATTAGGGTGAATGGTATTTCCTATGAAATTCTTAATGATAACCAACTTAAGTCTATTTGTATCACTACTGAATCCATCTTTTAGTATGTCCCGAATAGCTCTATAACGCCGAATGAATAGTTTAGTTCAACTTGCTCATAAATTTTATTTTAGCTTTGGGAGTTTTATCAAAAACCTCAAAATCACACTACTCTGGTTTAGTTTGATCAAAAAAAAATAGTCGGAAAGTACAAGTTGAACTTCCAGGTGAAAATGACCTCGATATCTTCAATTTTGATAAATATAAAATAGCTATATGTTGGGATATCGGACAACGACACCCCGGTTTAGACCACATCACGAATCCCTGTTCGGAGTGCATCAAACAACAACCTTGAACAATATGCATATAACTAGGATGTCCCTTCTTCACCGGCTCTTCTATCCTAGACGATGGAACACATTCGTCTCAGACAGAAGAGCAACTTGTAGGATAAATAGCTAATCCTCACCATGAATGAAGAATCAGATTTTACAACCACTTCAAAAAGACACAGATATTATAGGGGCGTAAAGCGTTACCTGTAATAGGTGTCAGAAGTGGGCGTTAGCCTCTCACCAACCTTGCTATACCCACCGGTGTACCGACACTATACATATTACCTTAGTAGAAAATCGTTTGAAAGGTCGTATTCTGTATTGAAACCCGCTCTAGAACGGCCATCTAGTCTATTTTCCCAACGTCGTCATCTGTAGAAAGAGTGATTTAGGACTATGAAGATAGCACGATTTACTACACTAAATTTAAGGTGCATCGAAATTTATTTTTTGAAAGAGACTAATACAAAACTAGAGAAAAAAACAGACTGTGTTTAAGGGCACATTATGGTCATTAGAACCTTAATGGTGCCCAGGTGTGGATAATGGGAATGGTGAGAATGGTGGTCATATATATCTGGGTGGTGTCCCTATCAAAAAAGCATGGTGTGCCTATTAAGTCCCTTTTTCTTCGACAATTGTATTGTCGGTTGACTAGGTTATTACCGAAGCAGACAGCTATTGATATCGTTTCTGTACGTATATAATAGGTGTATGCATATTGGGTAAAAGTGAAGTGTCATTCTAAAATGCTCAGGTGAAAGAAGATATAGTAGCTGCCATGCCAAGATCACATGATCTTGGTATGTCAGCTGATATTCGTTCCAACATGTATTTAATTAAACAGATAACTAAATATTTCGTTATCTATTTATTTAATGATGGCTAAATATTACATAGGTTCCTTATTAGATAATTTTTGTTGTGGCCTTAAAACCCCCTTCACTCAAAATTTTGCCATTCTTCCCCACTGAGCTTAAAATTCTCTGTTTGAAGATGGCTATGGGTGTAGGAATATAAAGCCACTTCTCGCCGACGTATCACATCAAATGGTTCCATAACTCAGTTGGTTAGAGTGTGGTGCTAATAGGACGCAATCAATCGTGCTACGCCAAAGTCGAGGGTTCGACCCCCTCTGGGACCAATCTTTTTGGCTTCTTAATTTTTTGGGGTGTCCACCAGAGCTTCTAGGGGACAAGTACAAGTCCAGTGAGTACCTATTCTACTTAACTAACTCTATATTTTGTATCTTGTATTTTAACATTGCTATCTAAGTATAATTGAAAGCTTCGTGGCGATAAGAGCCCTCAATCATATCTAGGGTTAATTTGTGAGCAAGTTATATCCTTCCCGAGCGGCAACGCTAGGTATATGATTACCAAGGCACTTGTGAAACGCCTGGGTGATACTTCGAAGGATGCACAGCTCCAGAGTTCGAGGTAAATCAATTTCTGCCGATTTGAACCCTGGAACAAATGAAACTATTCATCTTTCCATTTTCCAAAATTGAGTTTCCCCGAGGTCAATTTCAAAAATAATAATAACAGCTCTCTCTCGGCGTGATTGAGAGATTTGAAATCCATATCCAGTCAAGTGAAGCCTTGTTAAGGGTTTGATGTTTCCAAAATCAGCAATTACTTGCCCTGAAGCTTCCAAGGTTCTAGTATTTCCCTTCTTTCTTGCAGTACATAGCTTGAGCCACCTTTTTGTAAGACGTTGATTATAAGCCTGTAGAACCTGATCAAGATTTGTAAAGGAATATTTTTTTTTTGAGCGGCTATTTCCAGGGGCTAAAAATAGTGATTTTGATGACCCCCGAAGTCTTTTCAGTGGAATGTTAGGCAGTACTTTGAAGCATGTCCACCTCCAAACCATACGCCCTCACAGAAACTTGACCCCAAATCCCTTTCATCTCCTCTTCATTCAACCCTCTTCTCTCCAAAATCAGTTCAACGATCTGTCGCCATCTATTCCATGCATCTTTTCCGCCGCCGACATTACACACCGGCCAATCGGACCCAAACATGATACGATCAGCACCAAAGACATCGAATACAACATCTGTCCACGGCCTCAGACTATCAGCAAGACCAAATATATCTAGATCCTCCACAATTCCTGGAGGAAGCTCAGAAAATACCCCTGAAAGCTTCATATATGTATTCTTGCTCAGTCGAGCCATACCGGAGATAAGCTCCTTCCACTCCAGATACTCCGGATGAGTAGCAATAGAATTGGGAGAAAGTTGAAGATTAGGCTTACAAAGATGATCTATGGAAAATATCAGCAATGATACATGCGATGTTTCTTTGAGTGAAGTCTTTTCTTACTGATAATGATCTTCACGGCGCTATCCTTCTCATAAACCATTTTCATCATCTGTACCGCTTCTCGTAACTGATGCAACCCTCCGCACCTTGCATCAACCCCAAGGTCAAAACTAAGTCCCGCCTCTCCTAGCCAACGTATACTAGCCACAAATCCAGGCTGAAGAATCACTCCGCTTGGTTTATCTTGAACAAGATATCGCACACCGCGTATCTTGCGCTGGACATGAGGTGTTTTAGCTCTCAGGTACACTTTTGCCATGTATTTGCGCATCACGGTCGGTCCGGAAGGGACAGGCGCCCATGGTATTATGCCCAGACAAAGATCTTGGTCTATAGTCTGGTGGCCTTCTCCTTCGAGTGGCTCTCCGAGGGCTATTCGCGCTAGGAAGGATACTTCATCTAGAGCGTGTTCCCAGCCTGGGTTGACGGTTGATACGCTCTCTTCCAATGAAGAGATACGATCTGTCTCTAGAAAAATAAAGCCGCGCAAGTATTTGTTGCTTGTAGATGTGGATATGGATGATGTTGCTTGGCGGTATTGGTCGACACTGTGCTGGGAGGCGAGGCAATGGTTTGCGCTGTACCAATTTAATGTTTGGAGGTGCGAGGCTGGGAAGAGATGGATATGAGAATCCACTATCGGAGTTTTCTTTGACATTTTTGGCGTCTGAAAGTGGTAAAAGTGATGATGGTTTGACTGTCTGCGATTGAGTACAGTGCGGGGTATAGGATTTAGATTAGGTACTTATGAATTGCAATACAGGGATTAATGATCCAGAAGTTTGGCCAAGCTGATATGTTGTGGAATACTATCGGTTCAGAGAAGTTTCAATAAGAACAGCGGAAATATCAGTTCAGTATCTTGTATTCCCCTCGGCAGCTATTCTCCCGAGAACCCAATATTCACGGCCTGGGAACACCCATCATCCAATCAATGTAGTTAAGAAGAGTGATAAAAATATGAATATAATGGACGAAACATGGGCTAGATTATTTTTCGATGAGGCAAACGATAGAAAACCGAGTCAATATACATACATGGTGCTCAGTCACATCAAACATCCACTTAAATTGACCGAACAGCCGCTGGAGTGAGATGCATAATCTCAGCAACTTCATCATCAATGAGTGGGCCCGAGTATTCTTTTCTTGCACGAGCAAAGTACCAAATACCGCTCAATATCAACACACCTCCCGTAACAACGATACTATAATTCATAATGGAAGAATCTACAGGAGTTGACGGGGGCCAAACGCTCCAGAAAATGACAAATATCATATAAACGCAAGCATAGGCGTTATTGATAATTCCAGGGATACCGGAGACCTTCCAAGGACCCCAAATGAGAGGTGCTTTGGCAATATCAAACTCAGGGCGCGTGGCTTTTTCTGCTTCAGGTATGTTGCGTTCGGAGCTGACGGATGGACCAGCTTTAAAAGTAGGCTTTTCTTGGGCGGTTGCTGCATCTGGGAGACCATTTATCATGGTACCGTGGGGCAAGACGTTTCCTTTAATGCGGTGGTATAGAAGAAAGGCGCTTGGGAGGAAATAAGTGCTGTAGAAACCAGTCACAGTCAGTGAGATGACATCGTTGAAGGCTGTGGTAGAGCCGATATAGATGAGCGTCAGGGCACACGCAAATCCGCAAACTACAGAGACAGATACGATGGGAACTTTAGTATGTTGATTCACGCTCATAAGGTAGCGGGAGAATGGCAAGCCCTGGTCTCGAGCGAAGCTCCACGTCATACGAGATGCTGTGGCAGTGATACCCGTTGAGCAAGCTATTGTTAGCACCATGATGAGCGCTGTCATGACAGAAGCACCTACGTAGGAGGCTGTGCTGTCATAGAAAATTTGAATAAATGGGAAACCTGTGGCTGAGTTGAGAACCGATTTCACATCTCCTATGCAGAATAATACTGTGAGCATCATCGAAAAGCCGAGGACACTGTTGACGGTCATGCCAGTGATGATTGCTTGCGGAATCACTACGGCTGCATTGGCGACTTCTTCGGCCATGTGAACGCTGGCGTCGGCGCCGACAAAAGTGGCAATGTTTCCAATGAACCCCACGCAGTAAGAGAGGCCCTGTGTAGGCCAGCCACCTTCGTTAAGGGAAGTGTGGAAGACAAAATCTGCCGATTTCTTAGGAGACATGGCGAGAAGAGTGGCTGTAATGGCAATGAACCCTGCTATATGCAGAACAAGTATGACAATCTCAAATCGAGGAAGGATGTTTGGCACCACGATGTTGATGAAGAAAGTGCCAGCCACACTTGCCCAGGCCAGCAGAGTATTCTGCCATCGCTTCTGTACGAAGTCGGGATTGTTCAAAGTAATCAGACCTTCAATCATAGTCCCTAGGAAGATAGTCTCTGTTGCGATCGTCGCGATCCATGCAAGAGATGTAAGCCAGCCAATCAGATAGCTTGACATCTTCTTCCATCGTATGGGCGCAAGCATATAGACCCAGTAGTACTGACCACCTGAAATTGGTGCCATGGAAGCCAGCTCCGCAATAACAGTATAAGTGGACAAGGTAGATACAGCAGCGATTATGTACCCAAAAAAGGCACCAGCTGGACCACCATTGTCGTAAGCTTGGTTGAACAGAGTGAGGACGGTTTCCCAAGTGATCAACTCGGCCATGGCAAACCCGACAATTGAGAAAAATCCAAATCGACGCCTGAGCACCTGCTTTTTGCCCAAACGAGCCAGAGCCTGGATATCGGCCGGCTCGCTGATTATTTCGGGCCTCATTATGTATAGTTCAAGTGGGGTTGAATAGATGAAATTGACCCCGATTAGGTCATGCAGATGAGTCAAGAAATCATTATATGATCTGATATATTCAATGGATCTCACAATATTAGAGATAAGAGCTGCAAGGGATTGGAGAATGCAAGTTAAGACGTGGTCAAATTTTAGTCACTGCCGAGGCTTTCAATGTTTCGCTACACGAATGCGGTTTAGCTCCGGAAACGGGGATATAGAAAACGGTACCTAGGTCTGTAGCAAGTTATTGTATAGAATGAAATTGGAATAAGAGACAGTCTCCCTATGCTTCGTAGTTTTAACTACTAATTCATCCGCTACTAAGGTGCACTAAATTAATTAAGGACTAGTTTTATACATGATTTCTTTCATATTGGCTGCTCTTGTCTCTGCTTACCTAATTGATATTGTTCTTTCAACGATGGAAATGATAGTTATCCATAGCATTTATTCTTGAAATTTCTTTTTAAAAGGTTACTTGTAGCGTCTCAATATTCATATCTTATCAGATAGATACTATCTACCCGAGAAAACTATCGATTCGCATATACAAACACGGTATGATTCTTCAAGGCTTATTATTCCAAGGTTGGATCAGGGTTGGGACGATTTGAAGTTCGACGACAGAGCTCACCCTGAAAATTTGAGCAATCTTACGCATCAGAAGTCTAATAACCTCATCCCTAATGGTTGCTCGAATATGAGGTCATGACAAATGTTCTACAGCTGCATCTCATTCTCCCAAGTCTGATTTCTTTTCTCTCGGTCTGCCACCTAGTCACCATATATCTTGTATTTTCTAGAGACCACATATAGGTTAGATAGTGTCACATCCAGGCAGCCTTTCAAATGGAGATAGAATCCACAGGGCGATGTGGAACATGTCAGTATGGTCTGGATCGTCCGTGCGAATGTGTGGATTACTCCGGGCCTAGTAAGAAATCGTTTTTTTTTGGCAATAAATAGTATGCAACTGATCATTTTAGCTTTATCAACGGAGCTTCGCCACTGAGGGCCTAAGTAGATGATAGCGTCTGTATAACAAATTAAATCCAGTCTCTTTAATTGGTTCTAATTGGACGCTAGTATCGGGCAATTTGTACCTAGGTAGCTATGGATTCATCTTATCTTTCAGAACAAGAGGAAATATACATCCTATTCAGTATTACAAAACAGCATCCCACTTGCCTAATTTTCTCAAAGATACGATAGCTCACTCAACAAAGTTCATACCTAGGTACCTAGACTTGCCAAGACCACATGCGACATATCCGAGGTCGTACGTTCAATCCTGTGGGAAGATGTTGAGAAGCTCTAAAAAAACTTGTAACCGTGTAGCTAATTACTTTGGGGCCAAACGCCTAATCTTTCTCCCGGAAATCCTTTCGGTACAAACTACTCTGTACTGCTATTAGAGGCGCTAAGCCTCGGGCACGTCCGACGTATTCCGTACTAGCAGGAACCTTATCCTGTTTTCGGTGTACTGCATGTAATATTTGAGATGTAAAGATGAAGATCCTCAATGGATACATGTTATGGCTTGTTTTAAATTCCAATGTTGTCAGTAAATGGCACTGGTCAGCACTCAACTATGGTAATTTGAGGGTATTTCACTCCAAATCATCCGAAAGTTTAAAATTTTTTAATCTAGGTCTAGCTATTCAGATTCTCTATATAGTATTACAAGTAAGCACCTGCTTCAAGAATTATCAAGAATCTCATTTATCTTAAGCTCTTAGAATGCTCTTTCGATCCAGATTTGTGCTTTCTAAGATTGCTTGAACTGGCCTTTTGTAACCTTGGAACTCCGTATGCAACGCCAATCCGTGTTGTGGTTCATAGGTATCATTTTAATTAGATACTCAACTGATGCTTGCCACTGGAATTTTATGGATTAAATTTTCAGTTGTTGCGGAAGCTCATATTATATGGGCCTTGGGAGTAGTTTTGATACCCAGATGGTATAAAGGCCTCAACTGTTCATAACAAGAACTAGGTAGCATTTGAGCTCGATCAGATCCTGGAAATAGTCAAAATTTGAAGCTCCTCGCCCCCATGACCTGTGAATCCTCCACTCCTTCTGTGCCGTGTGATAACTTCTCACACTTTTGAGAGTAGCAAACGTGCCCAAAAGACTGACTCAGAAGATGCTCCAGTTGAGAACTGCGAGGTGAAATTTCAGAATACAGAGCAATGGTGGAAAGATGTTGCGTCCGATCAAATTTTATTCATTAGTATTATCAAATATTGTAATTAAGTACACAAATCCGCCTCATAATGCCCATTGGTAATGGGAATCTGTAAATCACATTCAGGCCGACTTACCCTGGAACCCCTGGAAGAGGAGATCTCCCAGATCACGAGGTTATCTTGCTACAACAGAGACTGGCAATACATGATACCCCAGAGAACCAAACCCTATATCTACCTACACTCTCGAGAATCGATCAATTGATTTTTATCGGAGATTTCCTTGACACATAATCCTAAAATTCTTACATGCGCGGTTAGATTGATGGAAAAGATGTTTCTCAGATAGCTCTAGACGTTCCTAATTGGGAGGAAAGTTCTGGAAAAGCGACCGGCCCGGTGTGCTTATCATAGGATCCAAATTTCAAATGTTAAAACTAGTTTTGGGATTTCGAGAATATTTCGCTTTTCGCTAAGGATCAGGGAGTGCCTAGGTCGGTACCCCGGAATATCAAAATCAAATTCCACAACACACTCCTAGTAGCAATACGTACATTATACTGGCGATATTATCGTATATTCCCTTCAACAAATGTATATCTCTAAAATATTCTCATGCGCGGTTAGATGGAAACAGATGAGTTTCAGATTACTCTAAACCTTTCTGATCAGGTCTAAAGTTCCCCAAAAGGTACTAGTCCGGTATGATCTCTTAAATTACTCAAAAAGTGGTTTGGGAGTCAACCTACCTTGGTTTGGATGATTAGGTCGATGACTTACGCGTGTGGTATGGCCAATCTTCAAGGCCAAGCTGTAAGAATATAAGCTTCAAACCACGCTAAACCTAATATGGAATTAAGTTTCGGCAATTTTAACCCCAATGCTTTTACGGACTAAGCGACCGATAAGAACATACCAGTAGTCTGTGTTTATATTTCTGCCCTAGAGTTCACTTATCATCTCTCTCAGATATCTTTTGACTACAGTTGGTAAGGGTCCAGCCCCGCTTATCTATTATGTTTTTTTAGCGTCCTAACTTTGGATCTTGATGCTACTCGATTTACCTCACTCAGCAACTACTATTTTGGTGGTAAAAGTAGTTTTCAGTATTCGTAATCTAAAAAAGCTTGAACTTGTTTAGTACAGGCTTAGTTCTGTATTTCGAATATAGTTCTAGTCATATGTATGGACTTTTATGTTACATGTTTCTCATGCAGTAACACTAAGCAATATCAGAATGCGAAGTATGCGGAAACCCCCAGGTATGCAGAAAAAGGCAAATCCAGAGAAATGTATCATCAGCTTCAAGGTCATACACCCCATAATACTTTTCACCCCGATACCTGGTAAATTATTCGGTACAGTAGGTATTGACGTGTCTGTCAACCGAGGCACTATCTCTATGAAAGCGATAAGCTCACTTTCCAATTTGAGGACTCTATTTCTAATTGGTCACAAAAACTAAGTAAGCGCAATATACAACCTAGTAAGATGTCTTATCTTTCAATAGAATGGTCTGATTGCAAGCTAGATCGCGTGTTAAGTAGGAAACTTTTATAGAATCCGCCACATGCCCCGTGGGTTCTCTCAGGCCAATTCAAGCTCTAGCCCTCGTCCCCTTTGTATATAAAATTACCTGCATCCCACCTGCATGTCTGAATAGCATTTCATTCCTCATCCAGTGATTTCTCCCTTTACCATGTCTGCCTCGGATGAAGATGCCGAGAAGAGGGCCAAAACGGCTATCCAGCCTACTAACTCTAATGGATCTCCCGTCTACGATGTGGATATTGAGACCTCACATGTCTACCAGGGAGAAGGCCTGAAGCGAAATCTCAAGGGCCGCCACATGCAGATGATTGCTATTGGCGGTGCTATTGGTGCTGGTCTCTTCGTTAGCACTGGAAGTGCCCTCCAGACTGGAGGTCCTGCTTCTCTGCTCCTTGGTTATTTGATCGTCGGTTTCATGCTTCTCTTGACCATCCACGCTCTGGGTGAACTGGCTGTTCAATACCCCATCAACGGTGCCTTTTTCACTTACTGCATTCGGTTCATCAGTCCCGCATGGTGAGGACCCTTATCTAAGCTTAAGCTTATCCGTGTCAACTAACGTCTTTTAACAAACAGGGGTTTTGCTGTTGGATGGGATTACGCAATATCATGGCTTATTATCCTTCCATTTGAACTCACCGCCGCAAGTATCACTATCCAGTACTGGCGAGACGATTTAAACGTCGGTATCTGGATTACCGTCTTCCTCGTCGTCCTCTCTTGCATCCAATTCTTCGGTGTCCGCGGTTATGGTGAAGTCGAGTTTGCCCTCGGTTGCATCAAAGTCATCGCCTTGCTCGGATTCATCATCCTCGGGATCGTCATCGACTGCGGCGGTGCCCCCAAGGGTGGCTACATCGGAGCTAAATACTGGCACAACCCTGGAGCTTTCACCGACTTCTATGGTTTCTGCGCTGTGTTCACCACTGCTGCTTTCGCTTTTGGTGGTACTGAGATGAGTGGCCTTGCTGCTGCTGAGGCTGCTAACCCTGCCAAATCTGTCCCCAAGGCCTGCAAGCAGGTTTTCTGGCGTATCATGATCTTCTACGTCCTTGGAACATTCATTGTTGGTCTGATCGTGCCACACAACGCCGACTACCTCCTCGGTGCTTCCGGTGCCAATACTAAGGCCTCCCCCTTCGTCGTCTCCATCAAGAATGCTGGTATCTCCGGTCTCCCCTCAGTCATGAACGCCGTCATCACCATCTCCGTCATCAGTGTTGCCAACTCTGCCACCTACGGATCAACTCGTACCATTCAAGCTCTGGCCAGCCGCGGCATGGCTCCTCGCTTCCTCGCCTACATTGACAAGAGCGGCCGTCCTCTCTGGTGCATCCTGCTGCAGATCGCCTTCGGATTCCTTGCCTTCATCAATGAAGCCACTGCGACTGGCGGGGTCATCTTCACCTGGCTACTGGCTTTGTCCGGTATCTCCTACTTCTTCGTTTGGGGCAGCATCTGCTTCGCGCACATTCGCTTCCGAAAGGCTTGGGCCTATAACGGCCGCGACGTGAAGGAGCTAGCTTACGCCGCTCCTCTTGGTATTATCGGTAGCTACATTGGTATTGGTCTCAACGCCCTCTGCCTTATAGCCGAGTTCTACGTCTCTGTCGCCCCCAAGAGTGCTGAGGTTTTCTTCGAGAATTACCTTGCTGGTCCTATTATCATTGGCCTCTTCTTCATCTGGATCATTTATACCTATTTCAACAAGAATCCTGACCTTGACCGTGGTGGCTGGTTTATTAGGGTGGAAGATATGGATATCACAAGCAACTGCCGTGATACCGCTCTTGATGTCGACTTGCCTCCTAAAATCGAGTATGCTACCTGGGGAGATTGGTTCAAGGCTGCGCCTATGAGAATTGTTCGCTCAGTCTTCTGAGAATTTAATTATTTGTTAAGTGTTCATAATTTATTGAGTATTATCCTAATTCAATTCTTCAAATAAGTGTCAAGATTAATGAAGCCTATGACTAGAATATCGTTCTATTTGTCGTTCGTCAAACCTTAAAACTTGCCCTAACTCTGTAAATCTTCTACAGATAACTTGAGAAATATTATCTAATACGCCCTCTCTCTCATCTTGAATCTCGTTATCGGAAAATCCCCAGCGAAAGAGAAAAAAAAAAATAGATCAAAATCAAAATCAGCCGCAGCAGGCGATCACAAAAGACCTCGCAGTCAACGATAATCAGACCTCCAAAACACCAAAAAATTGACCTACGCAGGGGTCGAACCTGCAATCTCTTGATTCGTAGTCAAGCGCCTTGCCATTGGGCCAGCAGGCCAGCTGTGGAGTGAAAACGGAAAAACTGCGTATAAGATGTGGATCCGAGATTGACCCCACCAGAGCAGTACACCTGTCTGAAACCACATTTACAACCACAACATATCTGATTATTATCTTTTGGATTTCAATTTGACCCTCTGTTGGAATTCCGGATGGATTCCGGGTGGATGATGAGGTGATGCATGCACGACGATTGATGCAACGTGGTCGTGTTCAGCTTCATGGCGGTGAGATCGTCGTTGTCATGTATGACTTATCACTATGCAGGTCTCGAAACATTCTGCGCTGTTTTATTATTGATATCGAGATTATGCTGCTAGTTGCTGCAATGGTGGGTCGGGTCAGTTCGTGTAAGTGAGGTTGGCATGGTCAAGGAAAGAACAGAGGGAGAAATGAACAAGTGTGCTATAGGGGGAATCTGTTCAATCCCCGCTAGCCCTTGAGATATACCAACTACGTCACAGTACTAAGTATCCTATCCTCACAATTTAGCTTCATGGATTGTCCACTTTTTTTAGCATTTAAGTTGTATTATTGATTCAACAGCCAATCTCGCAGTTTCACAGATCTGTTCGCAAATATTCTAAGATTGTCTCCAGCTTTATTTGTGCATGGGGAAGATGACCGATCTTCACATTGCCAATGCTGCAGGGAAGCCCACTTTATCATGTACCTAAATAGTTCAGATGCACTGCTGGAAACAACCTTAGAAATTCAACTCCCAGGTTTATTTCTTGATTACTTTGATTCCTCGTCACTGTCCTCCGTATACCATGAGATGGATATAATGTGACCAAATTCTGTACACTGTAATACTCCGCCGGACATGTATCCGGCCCATATTCCAAAGCTCGGATAAAGATGTAAACAGCCAATCAGAAGCGGGAATCGCAGAGCCCGTCAATAACCGAATAGGCGTAATGCCGACATCGGTTAACTTATGACAGTGTGTTTGGACTGATAAAGGTTGTCAACATCCACAAGAACTTGGGGGTAAACATACAGCACTCTGTAACTTCACCATGATCACTGGCATCGCCCACGTTAATCTCGCAGTGCCACCTGGTACACTGGATCAAGCCGAGGAGTTCTATGCGGGGACTCTCGGATTAACCTCGACTCCGGTCCCAGTTGCTCAGGAGGGCACTATCAAATGGTACATCATCACATCCAATTATCAAATTATAGACTGGACATAGACTAATCATGCTATAGGTTTAATATTGGCTCGAGTGGACAGCAAATTCATATCAGTCATGGGACAACGGATCCCGTACACAGACGCCACCCCTGCTTTCACATCCCATCGCGCGAGGAACTAGAGAAATTGAAGCAGTTGGTGTACGATCATCACATCCGAGGAGGTCCAGCTGCACCTATGGAAAGTGATAAGCCAGGCGAGGTCAATTCCGGTAAAGCTCTATCCATTTTCTATTGAAAACATTCTCTGACAACTTTCGAATTGACAGGTGCTAAAGGAGTGGAATACCGCCCTCGGTTTTTTGCGCGAGACTTCTCGGGTAATCTATTGGAATTCTCGACTTAAACGAATACATATAATGAGGATATGAATATGAATATTTCTTCTTCTGCATGTGGAGTAAATGCCGCTCGCGGTAATTCTTAGATATCAACCTTGCCGATGCGGGGTAACACCATGGATCGACTATTGGCCTAAAATGGTCTGCGCTTCATGTAAGAAGGGAATCTGGGTCTCGTGATTCCGGTCTTAAAGAAATTTTCAAGGAATTGCCTGTCAAGTATCTGCAATGTACCTAATAATACAGAAAGTAGAAGCTCACTCTTGAATTCAACGAGAAGTACAGCCCAGTTTCCAAATCAAATAATCAAGGTCCGAAGTTCTTTTTCTAGTTATTCTTCTTCGATTGAATGGTAAGGCTTTGCTCAACCGAAGTTGAACCTCAGTATCTCCACATTTTGCCCCCCATCGGCACCATGGACCCCGGATTTAACCCACACTAAGTTCCACGCTTATTCTTGTACGAACTCAATGCTTTCGATATCCCGAGCCCCACGCCCAGTGCTCCACATGATACCTATTTTCTCCTCTTTTTCGGTCCAAGAAATACCTAGGTACCGTAGATTCGTATATAACCCCCTGCTCAGCTACTCTCTCAAGTATCTTTACACTCAGGTATCTACTGTAAATTCCTCGAGTTCAAGTTTTAACATACATTTCTTCGCTTTGGCATCATGGCTGCTACGGATATCCCTCAGAAGCAGAAGGCTGCCGTTTACGATCAGCCTGGTTCTGTTTCTACGAAGATTGTGGAGATTGATGTCCCTGAGCCTGGTGTTGGGGAGGTTCTTGTTAATTTGTTCGTTCGACTCTGTTTATGTTTCGTGGAATTTACTTTATACCTAACCTTCCTTCATCCAGAACACACTCCGGCGTCTGCCATTCCGATTTTGGAATCATGACTAACACAGTATGACTTGATCCCTTCCATACTACAACAACTTGCTGACTTGAATCAGTGGAGTACACTCCCTTTTCCCACTGCAGAAGGCCAAGTAGGAGGTCATGAAGGTGTAGGCAGAATAGTCAAGCTAGGTCCAGAATGTGGAGATTCAGGACTCAAAATCGGGGATCGCGTTGGCATAAAATGGGTGTCAAGTGCATGTGGAAACTGCCGTACGAGCATTCTCATCGCCATTGCAATGTTCTCTGAACTAGTAAGCTAACTTCATTCAGAACCCTGTCGAGCTGGATCCGATGGACTTTGTGAGAAGCAGAAAGTATCCGGCTACTTCACTCCGGGCACATTCCAACAATACGTCATCGGCCCTGCAAACTACGTAACTCCCATCCCCGACAACTTAGACTCGGCAGAAGCCGCACCGATGCTCTGCGCAGGCGTGACCGTCTACTCAGCGCTGAAGAAGAGCAAAGCCCAACCAGGCCAATGGATCGTGATCTCTGGCGCGGGTGGCGGACTCGGCCACATAGCCGTGCAGCTAGCGAGCCGTGGAATGGGAATACGCGTAATTGGAATCGACCACGGCAGCAAAGAAGAACTAGTCCTAAACTCCGGTGCCGACCACTTCGTCGACATCACCAAGTTCCCGCGAGATGACAATGGCGTCGCGCTGAAGGAGCACGTCATTTCGCTGGCGGATGGACTGGGTGTTCATGCTGCCATTGTTTGCACGGCTGTTAATGCGGCTTATGGCCAGGCTTTGCAGATGCTGCGCTTTAATGGCACGCTTGTCTGTGTGGGGATTCCGGAGCATGAGCCACAACCCATCTCTACTGCATTCCCGGGCTCTTTTGTTAATAAGCAGTTTACCATCACTGGGTCTGCGGTCGGTAATCGGACTGAGGCGATTGAGACGCTGCAGTTTGCTGCTCGGGGAGTTATCAAGGCGCATTGCCGTATAGAGAAGATGGAGGCGCTGACTTCTGTTTTCGAGGAGATGAGCCAGGGTACATTGCAGGGTCGTGTTGTGCTAGATTTGACGGCTTAGTTCTGTCCAGCTGCATATTTAATTTAAGATAATATCAAAGCCTTAGTGGCTATATTTGAGTTCCAGGGTTATATTTGAATAGGTATAAAACCTGATTTCAACATCCATTTGAAAGTCAACATGTTTTAACTGGTAGAGAACCACCTGCATTCATCCCATGCATCATGATTTATGGATATCTGTGGACCAACTGGAGGTAGCTATTCTCAATATGTACTCTCCATGACCAGGTGGCTGGAGATTGAAGACAGATGGACATCCGTAAACCTATGAGCAGTCCATACCTACCTATATAGCCTTGGGATTGGACAAAACCAGTTGCAGCCTTGGACCTCGGGCGGGTATACAAACCTCTAGGGCTGGGCATGAATGCTCCCGGGCTGGAAATTTGCGGAATACTATGTCCATGGGTGTCATGTTAACATTTTCCAATGTTGTTATTTAGGTACGGGTTACATAAACTACATATATTCCGGCTCTGTTTTGTCTGAAGTGGATGGTCTTCTACCAACATCGCATTGAAATATTTATAGAATGTGATGAAGAATTTAAAGAAGATAAGTTTTTTATGTAATTAAAAACAATCGAAGCAGAACTAAATTGGTTACTAGGTCGCTGGGTAAGAGAACTAAAAAAAAACACCAAAAAATTGACCTACGCAGGGGTCGAACCTGCAATCTCTTGATTCGTAGTCAAGCGCCTTGCCATTGGGCCAGCAGGCCAATTCATGTGAAAGATTCAAGTTAATAATAATATATTCTAAGATAAAACTTACTGAACTCAAATGAAATACTAGCCTTTTTGAATTAAATTTTAATAAATAGCCACTAGAAGGCTAAAAGAACACAAGAATACGTAGGTAATCCTCAAAACGGCACTTTCAGATTTTCTATGAAGCAACCCCACTCCAGATCATAATACTAGTGACACATATTTTGGTCCACAGAAATGAAAGGTAGTAGCGATTGATGAGATTCAATAATTTCATATTAATCACAGCAGAGACAATATAAACCAATGCACCCTGATTCCGAGATCGGGTCCGAGCCTTACAAGATGAAAGACAACAGCACGGATCTCAAGTTGGACCATGAAAGAGTACCCTTACGCCGTACTAGCCGCTTTGACTTCCAAGGTTCAGGCAATATAATTATATTTTGAGATTCAGGAATAAGCCAAGTAAATAATGCTGATCATTACTGGTAAATACTTACTAGTAATGAGCTAGCTAAATAGTTTCGTATAGTCCACGGGTCATAGTGTACGAATGCCTTGACGAAGCCGATTAGTTAAGACTCAGTTCCTTGAAGAAACTACTCCATAGTAAGTCCAATAATCATCGAAAAAGGGACTAAATTCGGCCGGTCGCCAATATAAGAAAGGAGGGTTATCCACAAAGAATTAACGGTTCAAAGAGGGGGCGTGACCTGAAAAGCGGCAACGAGTAAACAACCCGTAAGTACAGTAACAAAACCTGGGAAAATCCAAGGTCTCAGTCAAGTGCCGAGTGGGATCTGTCAACCACATGGTTCTAGCCCGTAAACTTGCCCGCTTTCAATGTGATATGAGGGCTCAATTGAGTCTCGCCATCTTCTTGCGCGGTAAATACAGAGTATTGAGCCGAATAATCCGAAATCCACTAGACTCCACAAAGCGGCGTAAAGTATACCAACGTATGAGATGGTCAAAAGAAACAATAACTAAAATTCAAATTGGAGTAGTATAGACTGCAGGTATAATACGTCAGGCAGTGTACATCAAATAATCAGCCATATGAACCCCCGTACGAAGTACAAAGGTCCTATGATCTGGTCTAATAGGGTTCCAAGGTTCTCTCCTTTTCGTTAACAAAGTGGGTCACCCACAACATGCCTTATCCATGGTCTTAGGTAATTTGGATTGGACTAATTCCACCACGTTATAAAAGTGGCCCACGTGTATCTTTCCGGGCCATGGACGCGGGTCCCCGACGCCATAGCAATGGGATATTATGACGCTATTCAGCATTGTATTTGAACTACATTTTGATATCTCCAGCGCTTTGGATATATATGGGATCTAGTTATTTAAATCGTATGATTTATATGAAACATGGTACCTAAGTATCAAATTGCGAAACTCAAACCAGATAGCTACCTAGGTACCATGACTGTCGCATGAGCATAGAAAAGTAAATGCAGGGGGTATTGGGAAAGACTTGAAGAAGATGGCCACCCAAACATAACGAATGAAATGAAAAAAGGCAAAAAAGAGACCCGATCCCAAAAGGCGAAAAAAAAAGAACAAAAGAAAATCATCGACTTCGTTTCGAATACCCTCCTGAGCTCCCTACTGCTGGCCGCTTCTGTCCCGAAGGTCCTGTTGCAGCCGACTCAGCCATCCGAACTATAGCACCCAGTTTGAGCAGGTACAGTTTTGGTGCGCGGTTCACCTCAATCCTACCCTGCGCATCCCGTAGTCGCTGGACCCATTGCATGAGATCGGAGGGAGGAAGGACTTCTAGAGCGTCAAGGATGAACAGCTTAGCGTTTGGATCCAGATCCATGTCCTCCGAACCTATCAACAAATGGTACAGGTTGCGTTGATCCTCATCTTCACCGTGGAATGATTCACAGCCCCAGGTATTCCCCTCGAGAGCGTCCTTATTCCGCGAAACAACCGCTTCGAGTATGGTAACGAGAGCTGCTGTGGCGCCTTCGGCACCGTAAGGGGATCGAGAAGTAATATTATCGTGAATAAGATCCACAGCACGACGTAAATAATGTACTACGTCGTCCACTTCCACACTGCTCGGAGCGCTGGCTTCTGCAGGAATTTCTCCTGTCGCGCAGTACCGGTCGAAATCGGCAAGTAATCGACGTATGTGTTCCTGAATCTTGTCGAAGTAGATTGCCGCACATGCCCCGGCTGGCATAACCTTGCCTAGACTGCTGAAAAGACTGTCGTCGTGCACAGCCAGTCTGAAAATTGTGGCTTCGAAATCTCCCTGTACCACACATTGCTCGGGTGTGCGACCTTGCTCTGCCTTCTCCTTTAGATCCTGGCGGTAATCTTCTGGGAGAACTTGCTTGTCGAAGGCGGACATGACGTCTCGTACTCGCTGTTCTCGGGTCATCCCCGTCTTTCTACCATCCTCGTCTACCCGCAGGTGCTGCCAGTTGAGTCGTCCTGCCACTACATCTAACTGTCCTTTGAGTAAATCTTCAATGCGCGGTGTCAGCTGGGGGTGGCCGTCCTTGGTTAGGGTTACCGATGTTGAAGGTCTAGAGTCGATACAGCCACGGACCTGATCAATCACCCCCTACGAAAAGAAACATCAGCCCTGATCTCAGGAAGATATTCCTTTCTGCATGATCTTTAAGTTTCGGGGGAAATATGGGGTGTACGGGGATAAAAACTTACAAAGATGTGATGACAGGCAACATCAGGCCGTCGTTGAAAGGTCGGACATGTACAGGTATATGAATCTTCGCTAAGATAAACTCTAGGATGTTCGATGATCTGGAACTCATAGCCAGCGGGAGAAGCACTGCAATTGACGACTTCGAGATCTCTAGTCAAGCCCACCAAGGCCCGAGCTTTAGCATCAGAATCTAGATTGCTTAGATCATAAGTGATTCCAGAACGACCACGAACGGCAGATCCAGATGCATATCCCCCCTCGTCGTCTGTTGATTGGGCCCTGGCTTCAGACATGGTTTCAGCACCGATTGATAGCCTATTCAACTGTCGTGTTGGGGGAGACATGCTGAGAATTAAAAAGGGAGGGAAACCACAATTCTAAGGTTAGAAGGAAGGAGGGGCCAACCGTATTTTCCTTAAAAAGTGGACTGTAGATGAGAGAGTTCTTCCGACCCATGGATGAGAGCGGGTACACTTGAACCATGGAAACAACTTACTTAACTTACTTCCTTTAATATTACCTTACCTTTTAGGTATTATTTATTCCGTCACTTAGGCGCTCCATATCCCAACCCCCTGCTACTTACTGCTTGGGCGCATGGGAAGCCAAGCTGTCGGGGTCAATGATTGTACCCAAAGCACGAAGGGAAGGGAAGTAGAAGGCGGAAAAAAAAAAAAAAAAAAAAAAAAAAAAAAAGGACGGCGAAAAAGGTGTGGAAAAGCACCTAGGGAATTAACCAAATTCTGCCTGACTTTGCCCCCCTAAATGATAGGCACAGAACAAATCATAGTGTCCAACAGCGCTTAAAAATAACCAAAAGAGTGTTCTGGTTCTGGCGTGAGAAAAGGGGAAAAAAAAAGGAGCCGCACGTTGATGTCTTAGAAACGAACCGTTATACTCCGTCCAATACGCACAGACTGGATCGAAAAATAATAGATCTGGGGTTCTTTTGGTGGCTGGGCATTGAGATAGACTAGAGTTAAGCCTGCTAAGGAGACTGGAGCTAAAAATTACTCCATATTAGGAGAAAAGAATAAAATATTCTCTATCAAACCAACTCTCGGAACATACCGGTTAATCATTAATCACTAGAGAAGATCAAGAACTTGCTTTAGCTCAGCGTTGCCTGCTTGTCTCCACGTGGCAAACTGATATTGCTCTAAGTTCCCTTAGATCGTCTGATGTGGTAGTATACGCAAAGCACAGTGCCACAGTCTTGGCTAGTTGAATGATGATCCCACGTAGTCCGTACTCCACTTACAGATTTCGTTGCGATCGGGGAAGGAATACGTCCATATTTAGGATAAACTGACTCGCGTTTCCTTTCTCCTTGCATCGACTACTCTTCCCCTATTTCCCCTTAATTGTTGTTAGTATAGACTGACTCGTATATCATTCGACGTTACGTGGCTTCCCTGCAGTGGCAGTTCTACCGCAGCTCCCACAAGCAATAGCAAGGGGGACCCTAGGTTGAGAAGCCATGCAGTATGATCTGGAAAAGGGTTTCCCGAAATAAGCGAAAGGAAACCCATGCAGCAGCAGCGAAGCTCTCGGACGTCCAACACACCAGCCGACGCAGAAAAATGGATAAAAAAAATTCCAAAACTGGCCGAAAACCAAAAAATTTAGTGAGATATAACCCGACTTCTAACCAGCACTCGAGTTAAAAAGAATTGTTGGTGATTCGGAAGATCCCCTGTTGCATGGTCTGTCTCTTCCATCTGCCACAGCTAGATCATAGACCTCCTTATAACGGGCTTCGATAGTGCCGCGGATTGTGCACTCGTGTATTTTTATGATCAGTTTTGTTGGTTTAGCGCAGGGGCGTAGCGAACCCGAGCACGTCTCGGAAGAGCTGTGCCGTACACAGTTGGACCCGCCAGTTTGGTTCGGGTCTGGAGATTCTTCATCCTTGTCACAATGTTATTTGATATAGAAGAAGGGAACAAGTTCTGCTTTGGTATTTTCTGTTCAACCCGAATCAACCACTGTCGCTGTAGTTGATATCGAGAGGAGAGAAGACAGTCCCCCCTGAGTTATGACACTGAGAGTCATTCTGGAGGGCAATGACTTTCGGCGCCCAATCTTTTATGCCTTGGCGCCTAAAAATGTGCTTTATTCTGCACTGGAACCGATTTGACAGCATACTCCATATGCGTAGAAGTTAGCTTTTGTCTGTGCCCTTGAATCACCTGACAGCCACTGGGGCATAATTGGCTATGGATGAAAATGACAAACAACGTACTGTACTTTTAGTATGATCAGAATCATCCATTTGGCATTTGCTGCAGAGTTTCGTCACAGTCTCGCAGCCTTGAGGTTGGAGGATGGAAAAGAATACGTTCTGTTTCCAGAAAAGAGCGCATTGATAACAACAACTGTGTAGTGGGGAGTATCTAGGAGACATTCCTATTGGTCTACACATGAGCTTATCTTACTATTGGATGTATCCCAAAAATGCAGGCATTAAATTGAGAATAATTGCAGCTTATAAAGTGAAGGGGTATAATAAATCAAAAGAAAATCGTTGCTTCATGCTGAGTTTTGTACCGAATTATTGGTCGTCTTTGGCTGCATTGCGTTTCTTCGCATCTTCCAAAGCTTTGCGCAGTCGTTCCTGATGCTCTGTTTTGAGGTCGGGAGTTTGTGACTTGGGAGGCGGACTCTGACCCTGACTTTGACTTTGAATAGGAGGGGCCGTGGCAGAACGAAGTTCTAGCGGCAGTTCCAGTGGCGAGTGAGAGCTCTGTGGCGAAGAAATCGCATCATCTATGGGAGCTGGAGCTGGCGCTGGAGCTAAAATTGGAGCTGGAGTTGAGACAGGTGCCTTACCTAGGCCCCGGAGTAGGGATTGAACGGCAATATCAATCTCTCTCGGAGCTTTTTGGATGCTTTGTAGCTTGGAGTGCAGATCACGCTGGAGAAGAGTATCCTCTTTCTTCTTTTCAGCCTCAAGACGAGTGAAAATATCCGGCTCTGAATCAGCATAGCGCGCTTCGGCAACTGAGACATTGTAGTCAGCATTGTTGAGGGCCATCTCTGCAACTCCCGAGCCACGGAGGATAGCCTCTGAATCAGCACAAAGCAATGCAGCAAACTTTGTCGCAGACTTGAGTATCTGCTCCATCTCAGAATTTGAAAGTCTGCTTGCATGTATGCTAGTGGCGTCTAGCCGGGCGATTTTCGCTTCAAGATCGTCCATCAGACTCTGGTTTATACCAAGTCCGTGCAAGATTGCATCGTCGAACGAGTCCATCAACCGGTTCGCTCGGTAATCGTGGTCCTTGGCTGCCTCTAATATGTTTCGTTTCTCCATTCGGTCAAAGTCACCATCTAACTTTATTAAGCCGGCCTTGTCACCCATAAACACCATTGGACGGCGCTCAGCCTTCTTGCGGCGCCGCTCGCAGTCTAATGCGATTTCCAGTCGTTTCTGGAACCGAAGCTCTAGTTTGCCGTGGATATCATTGATCAACTTCATTGTGATGGATGGACTGCATTGCTCGATAGGGGAGCTCTTCCTCTGTCGATCTCGGTCAAGTTGACTGAGAGCAGAATCGTAGGATTTGCGAAGAGCAGAAATTTCATCGTTCAGTCGCTCGTCCAGAGGATTGAAAACATGCTTGATGAAGTCGTCCATTTCATGCCGCTCCTCATCGAGTTGAATACGAGCTTCACTTTGCCTAAAGTCTTCTTCCAGAGTATTAATATCTCCATAACCAATCTCCTTTGCGTTAAAGAGATCGTCGATTTGGGCCTCTGAATCCTCCTGTCGCGCTGTACGATCCTGATCTATCTTGTGCCTGTGGGCTTTAGTAGCGACTTCCCAATCATTGTTCGTATTTTGAATGTACGAGAAATCATCAGGATATTTTCCAATACTTTCACGGGTTGTTTTATGCCATGAACTCTCAGACTGCTTGTCCAAGGGTGTCAAAACCATAGCGCGCAGATCCTCAACTAAGTTACCCGATCGACCCATTTTAAGAGCCTCGGGTAACAATGGAAGTGGTGTTGTGTTGCGGCAATCATTTGACCGATAGGCACTGCTCTTATGCCGAATTATGCCAAGAAAAGTCTCATCGTGGTCATTTGGGAGAGGGGAAACAGTCAATGTGGCAGATTTTGTCTGAGCTATAGAGGGTGGACCACTCGCTAGGACACGCCCGTTTGACGCTTGACGGAGATCTGAATAGGCCTGATATGCTGGCCGGTCAAATGTGAGATTGTCTGAGCCACGCTGGGGCCCTTCAGTGTATTGGAAGGGCGTATAGATCGGTCGCGGAGGACTTGATGTAATGGGTTCGGGAGCCTTCTCATCCAAACGCATCGATGAAGTCTGAGATGAATGGCCCGTATTATCTTCACGTGAAAGATTAGAAAGATCGGGGTGCCATTGTGCCCCTTCAGCTTGCTTGCGTATAATGGGTCGCCCTCCAGAACTGTAGTCACTCCCGGCATCGTCCACATCTTCCATATTTTGATTTTCATCGGTTAATGAAGGACTTTCTTCCGTTTCCACAGGAATTAAGCCGGATTCTATAGGCACCTTGCTCTCCTCAGAAAGGCTAGAAGAGAATCGAGACACTGGTGATGGCTCTGAGATATGAATGGGTGGTACTTTGACAGAGAGTGGAGGCTCCGGTTCGATATTGTAAAGAATCTCTCGAAGTTTGATTTCTTTTGCCGTGAAAGCTGTAAAGATTTTATAACGCTCTTCGTCCGAATCAGCCACCGCTTCCTTTCGGAGCATCGCGACATAGCGCGTAAGGGAGGATTTGAACCAAGGATCTAGATCCTCATATGGATCTGATACTTTCGCCACCAGGTCTTCTGTCTTTGGAGAAGATGTTGCTGCTGGCAAGGTCTCATGAACAGGTTGGATACCCTGGACAGGAGATTGAACGATATTCAGTGGTTCAACCGTGCTACTTCTGTTTTGAGCGACGGGATCAGGATGAGGTGAACTATTGGCAAAATCTGGTTGAAAAGGCTTCTCGGGTGGCTGAACCAATGAATCAATGACATGATCGATGCTCTCTGTTCTCTCTGACTGCCCCGAGAAAGAAATTCCAGACACTACACTGTCGGTTCGAGCGGGAGGTGGGGTATGTACCCCTTGCGTTGGAGCAGAGCTGACAGGTGACAGAGAACCATGTCTCTGCACATGTGGAGAGCCATATATTGCGCCCACTGGAGCTTGTTGAGCCGTATTAACATGCGAGATATGCCCAACTGGGGGACTCGGCATCCCATGATTCGGCGATCCAGTTGAGTACACAGGCGATTGAAACGTCCCTTGGGGATGGACCGGGGCTTGCTGAGCTGCGTTTGCCTGTGGAACATGACCAGAAGGGGAACTAGGCATTCCAGTTGAATACACAGGGGGTGATTGGGCCGTCTCATTGGGATGGACCGTCTCCTGATGATGGTGTACACGATCTGGAAACCAAGCTGCGTCGTCAAAGTCGGTATTTTGACCAAGATGCTCCCAGCCAGAAGGCGAGCCATAGCCCAAAGCCGAAGAGCTGGCTTGAGATGGATTGGGGTCAAAGTTCATCAGAACAGATGGTTGGAACCCGTAAAAGCCCATGTTTGGTGGCTCTGGGCCTTGTGTGGGGAAATAGGGCCCCACAGGTGGGCTTGAATATTCTTGAGGTATCTTAGGAGGCGGAGGTGGAACAGCACTTTGCATCTGATGGGGCGTAGCTGGCGACGTAATTGGAGAGCTCACGTACGGCTGCGCAGTTGCAAACGAATCAAATGGTTGACTTGTAGGAGCTTGACTTGGAGGAGCTTGACTTGGAGGAGCTTGACTTGGAGGAGCTTGACTTGGAGGAGCTTGACTTGGAGGCATAGGTGGAGGTGAGAAGTGCGACTGAGCATATTGGGAGGGTGGTTCATTGGTACTTGGGGGCCGAGGCTTTATAGTCGGACTTTGTAAGTGATGCATTTCCTTATACCCATTCGCATATTATCTGACCTACCGGTAGAGGTGGAGGAGCATAGATCTGGTGCTGTTGCTGGGTGTACCTCGCTGGAGGGGCCCATGGTCGGTCGTTTGAACCTGATACTGGATTCGGTGGATTTGAAGAAGTTGTTATTGGTCCATAATTCGTGGGAGTATATTGCAAATTCGACGTATGTGGTCTAGGCGGCGGCGGAGGTGGTGGTGGGTCATGACGGGCTGGCGCTTGCCATTCAGGCTGCGAAGAGTCGCGTTGGTATGAATTTCCGTACATTCTTAGTTATCTCATGGCATGGGAGAGGAGTAGAAGTAATTTCAAGGGGAAGGAAGGGGAGGCAGGGGGAAGAGAGAAAGAGAGGAGTAGAGAAGCAGAGAAGTAGAGATGAGCATGGGACTAGAGAGGTCATAGGGGTATTCCAGCTGCCAGCCCCACTTGATCAATCTCCACACCATCTTAGACTGGTCGATTTATCATATCTTAGTCTATCTTGAGTCCACTTTTGATTGACAGAGTATATTTTAGATTATTAAATATGATAGTAATTTTTTGTGAGCTCTTTTAAGTTTATTGCAATATTAGGGCTAACTATGGCTAATTAATCTCACATAGCTAATCTTCCCCGGTCATTATGAAGCAGTACTGTGGAGCTAACAAAGACTATTACAACTTAATCTTATGTAAATAGATAGTGTCAAGAATAAAAATCTGATAATTGATTTTATATTGTTATAGTGAGGTGTGAATTAAATATCAAAATTGCACAATCTCAACCTTGATGTTGTCGATTCGACTACGAATTGATATGCTGGATGTATCAATCGGGAGCTCAAAGTGAATCAGAATCTGACTCCTCCCAAGGCTTCCCTTCATGAAAACAATATTTGTCGAAAGTTCGCTGCACTTTTCGATGCAGTTTGGAGGCTGGAGGGGTGACCCTTTGATTTGATCAAGTTTTGCGCGTTCCGAGTCGGGACAGTGGTTAAAAATGGTATCTCGGGATCATATCATTGGAGGATGAAATATTTCCCAGGAGAAAATGATCCCAAAGTATCTGTAAATAACTGCATTTTAGAAGTCGAAGGATGTAACAGCACAGGAAATGATTAAGCCTCGATATCCAAGGACATGATCTGTGTTTGTGCCAGGATCCATGGTATGATCGCTTTGACAGTGTTAGCAAAGAATAAAGAAGCCAGGATACTTATTCCACCCAAGTGATAGGGTGGCAGATCCGATGCTGGCATTGAGAGGTGAGAATAGTGAATGAAAGTAGGTAGAAGAGAATAAGTAGATTTAGTAGGAAGCTCACGTGCGAATAGAACATGTAGGGGTTGACTATGTATGAGCGAAGCAGTTATATGAAAATGAAAGTGGACGCACTCCGTATGAGTGAGAAAGTGAAGTGAGAGTGAGAGATCCCTAGTTAGGGCTAGGTGCCCACGGGAACCCACAATTATTCCGTAGTACGTTAGTAGTTTAAAATTAATATTTAGCTTGTCTTTGATCTAGATAATGACTTTATCCAGTACATTTTGGGTATTCACCAAGGTAGAGCACAGATACAGAAGGGTGTAGTCTATTAAAACCTTCCAAGCATGGGCGAGAGAGTCCTGAAGGTGTTTAAAGACGAAAATAAAAGAAGAAAAAACAGAGAAAAAGAATTCTATCTCATGCGTATTCATAACCTCAATGACATAGCCTATTTGTCTAATCACATTTCCAGAATTAGATGGTCTATGCGAGGTGATTCTTTGTTCATAAACAACTATTTTCAAGAATTCCAATAGTAAGAATAAATCAAGATTATCCAAAGATAGTTTCCTGTTTGCTTTGTTCAAATATCTGTGGAAGCAGACAAAACACATTTGCTTTCTACGGCTAGACATTGTTTAGCCTGTTTCGATGTTGTTTATGTGTGAAGTTACCTTGGGCATCAAGATATTATCCAGGAAATCATCAACACATCCATACTCGTAAATGAGCTATAATTAGGCCTAGCTATAGTAAACTAGCTTGGTTTTTCTTCATTTACATGGTAATTGAAAGTCTCATTGTCTATATGATGTCTTTGTTAAGGGGATTCAATCCAAAGCATTGAAAGTTAATAAAAGGGCTAGAGAACTCGTCACAGAACTCGAAACATCTTTCTCATACTCACCTCTATAGTTTGACTCATACCAAGTATTACCTGAGTAGTATCAGAGTGAAAAATATGGCTGAATATGCGGCTCCCGACGATAAACACAAGATGCGCTCTTCACAAAGAACTATCAGTCGGAGTCCCAAACACTTCCCACGCCCTGATGTTTTTGACGAAATCCAACTAGGCCCATATGTGACCAAGGTAGATGCAAAGCTTGCCCAGATTGTGTGGAGCGAAGCAGATACTCGTCTGGGACGACATTGGAAACGAATGAAAGGCCGCCCATATACCGACACCAGAGCACCAATCACCGAGGAGGTCCATGTATTGGTCAACAATGTCTACGAGCACCTGATGAGTCGGCCTTTCCTTCCAACATCCGCCGTCGAAGCTGTGGACTTTCAAGATGAATTTCTGTTCACAAAGTTATGGAATACAGCTGAGATAATTACACCGTTTAAAAAGGACATCATTCTTGGATCTCCTATTAAAACGATTGCGGTCTGGGAGACGAAAGCAATCAAAGACGAACTCACTCTGAGAGGACTCAAAACAGCTGGAAGCCGGGATAGACTCATAGCCCGACTCGTTGACGACGAGGTCGAAACACATTGCGGCATCATGCGAATGAGCAACCTTTCTCACTGGGGAATTAAACGCCCCGAAAAATACGTATTGCAACCAGCAAAAAGCCATTATACCAATGCGCTGGACATGTACACATTTGCTATTCATCTGAGTCCGTACAACCCTGCTTACTGGACCAGCCGCGCCTACTGCTGGTACCAACTAGCGCACTTTGACATGGCGCTCGGAGATGCCTGGCGTGCAAAAATCTTGTGTGATGTGCTGCTCAAAGAAGACGAACACTCTCGTCGACCTGGTCTGTATCCGCGTGTTTGGCACGCTATCGAGCAGCATTTCCTCGCCGATCCTCGAAAAGGCGGATCACTGAAACCAGAGCTTCTTCGTATGCGACAGAGCGGCGTTGACCAGTTTATCACCCCTCTGATGAAAGCAATTGACAACATCAGCACTCTCTGCCTATTAGGTGTGAACTCTGGGACTGAGCTGCGCGCCGGCCTTTTCGAAGGGGATACCGTCAAAACCAGGCTTCGCGACGAATATGTGCCTGAGCTTCGCAAAAGGGTCACCTTAGCCGCGCAGACAGCCTATGACAAACGACCATGGGCTCCGAACCTCTTCTGGCATGAGAGATTTACGGGTGCGATCTCAGCTCGTGAGAGATATCCATTCAATCAGGAAGACTTGGATCGGACAGAACCCAGTTTCCTGGCCAAATTGAACAAATACGTTTTCCAGTCCTCAGGTCCGAATATAAATGTCCGACAGATTACTACTCCGCGTGAAAATTTCATGGGACTTGAAGTCTGCGCGAAAAAGCCCATCAATAAAGGGGATCTGATTTATTTTGAAGAGCCAACTATTCGCAGTCATCTTCCGCCCCGAAGAATGGCTCTGGATGAAACTGCAAAGCAAGATGAAGTCCGGTGTGAAAATTGCCAGACTTTGATACCTAAACGAGATGTGGAAAGAGCAGCCAAGCTTGCTGCAGATAAAACCCTAGCCTGCAAATGCTTGATGCCTGAAGAGAACAGACCCAGTACAGATGGCAAGATATTCTGCAAGACAATTACGCCCGAGGGAATGACCTGTCTGCAAATTGCCCGGCAGAACTATCACTTCACTAGCTGTGGCAAAGACTGGACCTGGCTGTATGACACGATGCGATCCAACATCGCTAACTGGCAGGGCTTGGAGCATATAAGCCACAGTAACGAGCACTTTGGCACAACGATGAGTTTGCTTTTGAGAAATGTATTTGAGATCACACTCCACCGCCGGGAAAAATCTGGTGATCCATATATTTCTCCACATGAGATCGACGAGCTTCTTGTATTAGATGACCAAGCACTTTCCTGGTCGAAGAGTTACTTCCCCTTTACATTGCGTGGTAATATCGTTGTACCGTTTGATATCCTCCAGTGTCTGGGTGTCGATATCTTCCGTGACCTCACCTTCGATACGTGGGCTATCCAGATTGTGATGCGGAAGCTTCTCACCAACGTCGTGCCGTGGGAGCATAGACGTCGAGGCAACGTGCCTGACATGCTCCACACAGATCAATTCAAATACCCCCAGCTTCCAAATGATCAAGACTTGAAAATCAAGCAGAAAACGCCTTTCACGGATTGGGATCCTTCGTTCCCGAACCTATATCTCTTCCCAGGGCTGAGCATGTTCAACCATGCCTGTCGAGGAAAGAATAATGCAGACTGGGGCTACGATAAGAAGGTTCCTAACCGAGTAGTTGTGTGGGCCACCGAAGACATCGCAGCTGGGCAGCAGATCAGTATTCGCTATCGATACGGCAAATTCCGCTCTCAGAATCGCGCTATCCGGTTCTTCGGTGATGTCTGCGACTGTCCAGCTTGCAAGGAAGAGGTACCACCGCCCACCTATGACCCAAAATTTCAGCTGCCTAGTCCTTATTACGATAGCGATCAGAGTATCTTGACAGGTCAGTTTGATACCCCAAAGCATCAACAGGTTGCACCTCAAAATATAAGAAGATTTGGTGAATATGCAGAGATCGAAGACGGCAGAGTGGTTATCCGGCGTCGTATTGGAAATGAGGGTTACGGGAAACCCCAACTAAACGACGGGCCACAGGGCTTTCTCATGGATACCCCTCGTGCGTATGGAAAAACTAGCAGAGAAGAGAGGAAAAGAAGGACTGGAGAGACAGATGCTCAATGGAAACAGAGATTGGTGGCTTTCGACGAAGATAAGAAACGAAAGTACACAAAAGAGCAGGAATCGAATATCGAACTAGATGCGAAGAAGGCTCGAGTTGGGAAATGAGAAAGATAACGACATGGTAGATGATATGGAGTTATGGATGAACTAGTCATATTTCCATAGTGATATTGATGATTTAAGTTGAGGACCTCAAAAAGGACACTACTTTATATGATAGATCAGATATGATGAACAGCGCACACTTCGGACGTAAACAAACATTCGATTAATTGGCTACTTAGTAACTAAGACCGGAGCTTTAGTAATCCGATGCAGCTGAAAATAGCCGAGTAGAATCCGTAATAATGCATAAATTCCAGCGCATGACGCATCGTGATGCTGAGACCTACATGCATATCATCGCTGTCCGAGATTCACTCGGAAAGCGCGGGAAGTCGACCACATAATATCAGCCATCTCACTCCCTGAAGCTGTCAATTCGCTTAGAAACAACATAGCAACATCCCCTAAAGAATAAAAATCATGTCTATGGCTCCAGGTCCAGATCCCAAGTCTCATCTTGGTCGATACCGTCTTCTTGCACCCACAGCAGCGGTGAAAGTAAGCCCACTTTGTCTGGGGACATTGAACTTTGGAGAAAGCTGGTAAGTGAAGTACGAAAGACTTGACTTTGTCAGTACCTAATCCAAAACAGGAAAGGTTTGACAGGAGAATGTGACAAGGAAAACTCGTTCAAGATCTTAGATACATACTACGAGAAAGGCGGTAACTTCATCGACACGTAAGGCAATCACATCCATTCATTTTCCCCTTGAAAGAGCCCGGTTCCGTCCTAACACTGAATGAGCCAGTGCCAACAACTACCACGACGGAGAATCCGAGACATGGCTCGGCGAATGGCTTGAAACCCGGGGCAATCGCGACGAGATCGTTCTAGCTACGAAGTATACCTCGGGGTACAGAAAACACAACCCTTCCGAGATCCAGGCCAACTACATTGGCAGTAACGCGAAGGGCTTGAGGGTCTCTGTGGAAAATAGCTTGAGAAACCTGCGCACGAGCTATATCGATTTAGTAAGATATCTCTACATTTAAGCCCTGCGGAGACGGCAGAATTTGGCTGATATCAGATTGCAGCTCTATGTCCACTGGTGGGATTGGAGCACCTCAATTGAAGAGGTAATGACCTCGCTAAATCAGCTCGTCACATCCGGCAAGGTAATCTACCTTGGTATAAGTGATACGCCAGCATGGATTGTGAGTCGAGCAAACCAATGTAAGAAAGACCCTAAGCTCCAACCAGACTCCAACTATATCCATGCATCCAGTAACCCTGACATAGATGCTCGCGACCACGGTCTCCGCCCCTTCTCAGTCTACCAGGGCCGCTGGAACGCCGCCTCCCGCGATTTCGAACGAGACATAATCCCAATGTGCCGCGCGGAAGGCATGGGAATCTGCCCGTGGGCAGCGCTAGGCGCAGGCCAATTCAAAACGACCATCGAGCGCACCTTGCTCGCGGCCGGCCCGAACCCAGGACGTCAAACGCAGCCAAGCTCAACGGATATAGCCATCTCAAAAGTCCTTGAGAATGTTGCATTGCGTCACGATACGGCCATCACTAGCGTTGCGCTGGCGTATCTGATGCATAAGTTTCCGTATGTGTACCCGGTTGTGGGCGGGCGAAAGGTGGAGCATTTGTTGGGGAATATTGAGGCGTTGACGCTTGTGCTTGGGGAGGAGGATATGAGGGAGATTGAGGGGGCTGTTGAGTTTGATGTTGGGTTTCCGATGAATTTCCTCTTTAGGGGGGTTGATAAGGAGGCATGGGCTGGGAATCAGGAGATTATGAAGGTTGCTGCTAGGTTTGATTATCCGGGGATTGAAAGGCCTATTGTGCCGAAGGGGCTGCTTGATATGTAGGTATCCTATAACTGGCTTCCAAAGATTACTTACGATATATTTCGGGAAATGATCCAAGAAAAGAAAACATCCATTATATGCATACAAACACTGAAGACAAACCAAGGGAGACTTTATAAGACTTGTAGAAGTACAAGAAGAGGCGTGAGACAAAGTTCCAACATCTCATTTACTATACAGCACCTGTAAGATCCGGATGCATAGAGGATCCCATATGCAGAAGGTCAGGTATAATCTAAGAGAGGTGCTCTGGCAGAGGCTGGGCGGTGGAGCGAACGTGACGACCGAGTTTCTCCAACTCGCCGATGACGCCGCCGCCTGACAAACTCCATTTCTCGCTAACCCACTTTTCATTGACAGCCTCGCGAACCAGGCCACTTTTGGCGAAGTACTCAAGGTAACCACGAGTTTCGTCGCGGGTGAGACCGCCAAGTTTCAGAAGCTCGAGAGGGCCCTCCTTGTTTGATGTCTTTGTTGAAGGCTTGAACAACTCCAGAACGCGGGCGTCTGGGTTGCTGTAAGCCTCAGCTGATGGGTAGTCTGGGGAAGTAGGGCTAACACCTTCTTGGCGGGCGGTGATCTGGTCCAGACCAACCTCGAGACTGTAGACGGTGGGGTTGTTCGAGGTCGAGGTCGCGTACAGCAAGATACCGCCATTTTTCAAAGAAGCCTGGCCGTCCTTCAAGAGGTTGATGAAGTGTTGCACGAAGACAAGGTCGTGGGAGTGGACGGGAGTAAGGTCGGGTGAAAGATAGGCACTTTCATTCATCCAGTGAGCGAGACCATCCACAGTTACCACGATCGGAGGACGAGCCTGGAAATCCTTCTCCAGACCCGGGGCAGGAGCGGTGGCAGTCAACTCAGTCCAAAGAGCTTGGAACACGGGCCAGGCAACGGCAGGATCCTGGAATCCGAGTTTGGCAAGGTCTTCCAAGGTGGAGGTGGGCTTGAGACCCGCAAGACCCGAGTGTTTCTGGGAGATGCGGAGGCTGGCAAGAAGCTCACGGTTGGCCTCTACAGTACGAATCAACAAGGCTGATGTCGCGTTAGGCTGGATGTACTGGACAGGCTTGGAGCCTTCGATAGGAACGTAGCTGGTATCACCTGACACAAGCTCTCGGGCTGGAAATTTGCATAATCAGCCATTGTACATATATATAGCGCGAGAAAAGAAGAATACCTACCATCAGGAATTGTAATGACTGCCCATTTCTTCAAGAATCCCATGGCCATAGCCTGCAATAAATGCACAGTCTTGCCAGATCCCTTCAACCCAGTAACAATCCGTTTCACAACCTTGCCTTTCTCGGCATCAGAGATCTCATCGAACAGACGGCCCATCTCAAGAGTATCACGACGCATGATGGTACCCGGTCGACGGAAAATAGACCAACCCTGCTTAGGCTTGAAAGCCTGCACGGCTCTCAATTGATCGATCATAGTGATAGGCAAGCCGAGAACAGTACCGCGGAGACGAGCATCGACCATAGTCTCAGGTGAGAGGTCTAACATGCCCTCAACCTCCAGGGCATTGGGATTGCTCAACACAATGCGTTTCCGCAAAGCCTTGCGCTCTCCGACAGCCGGCGGACGTGCGCGATCGACTGTCTTCTTCTTCTTTTTCCGCAGAGTTTGACCCTGTCTGTATCTCATGGGCGTTAAGCTGGTACCCTTCTTCTTAGCGGGCAAGGCATATTGAACTGCAGTAGAGTGGAAGGGAGCGCTCGAGATCCGGGCCGGCGGAGGGAGGCTTGCTCGTGGTGTCGGACGCAGCCGCGAGAGGCAGTTCCAGCACCATGCGGAGGCCATTGATCAAAAGGACTGGCACCACGGCCAGTAGGAAGAATCAAGGACGGGGCAGGGGGAGGGCGGGCTGGTGGTGGACTTGGAATTGCGCAGTCGTCGCGGAAGGGAAATGCACCCATAATAATTTGATGGAATTGCTTGGCCCTGATTAGGCTGGCGGTAGGCTCGTGCCTTAGTCACCAGCGGCAGAAAAGTGCGTTCCTGATAACCAACTTTTTTTTCTTGATACTGCCGCAGTGAAGCATCTGAGTTTTTTTTTTTTTGTCTTTCTTCAGGCAAATCTGTCCCGAGGAAATTCTTATTACAATGGCGGACGTCGAGATGACCAACGCTGAAAAGTCTGAGAGACTGTAAGAATCTACCTCATCTGCAAACCTGTGAATGAGAAAACTAACATATAATTTTAGCCCTATCACCGTCTCAAAGCCAACCCCCTACACCTTCGACTTGGGCCACTTGATGGCCAATGATCCGAACCCGCTTGAGATCTCAACAACCGAGTCGCTCAACGATTCTCTCAGAGCAACTGCTCGCGATGGCGCACAATGTCTGCTTAACCAACTTTTGACAACATGCACCATCACCCAATCCGCCGAGCACGGCGTGCTCCTGAGTCTCCCACCACCGAACACCCTGCTTCCCCGCCACAAGCCCCTGCCAACTCCTAAGCCTCCGACCAAGTGGGAGTTGTTCGCGCGTAAGAAGGGCATTGGAAGATTCAACACCACTCCCGGTGCCACACTGGCCGACAAGGAGCGACGCAAGAAGCTGGTTTACGACGAGGCTTCTGGCGAGTGGGTACCTCGATGGGGCTACAAGGGCAAGAACAAGGGCGAGGACGAGTGGCTTGTTGAGGTTCCTGAGGACAAGTGGAAGAAGGAAGAGACTGCTGCTGATAAGGGAGGAAACATCCGAGGCATGTCGAGGACTGAACGTAAAGAAAAGGTCAAGCGGAATGAACGCAAGCAGCGGTCAAATGAGAAGCGGGCGAAGAAGAATTGAGGTGGTTGAAACTGATGTGCCTCTTTCGCCTGTTACCTTTCTAGGTCATTTGTTTTATCGCTTTGGGCGTTGGGGGTTTGGAGTCGTGGTTTTAGATCATTTACAACGGTCAATAGTGATCATACCAAAAGCATTGTTCATATCACATCTACTTTCTCCATATTTCATTCTACAATCATTCATAAAAGATGTTTTAAATTGAAATGAAACATTAATGGTTTTTCCATTGGACCGAAAATCCCTCCACGGCCACTATTGTACAAATCCTATGAGAACGCCAGAACAGAAAGGGAATCAATGAGAGTAAGACGACTTGGAGATAATATGAGATAGGAAGAGCCGCAAAGGGGAATCTGAACGCAGATAAAGCAGATAGCAAAATAACGTGATCTTCGTCTGTCAACCGGGGATGTGCAAAGGGAAGCAAAAATTGAAATTTTCCCTCATTCGCCTTGATGTACGAAAGATAGCGGGATGTATGAACGTGAAGGAAGGAAATGAGAATGATAGGAAACCCCAATACCTGAGACGCCAGTCCATGCACTCCGACAATGATGTTTCGAGATTAGAGTAGGTGGAATCAAAGAAACGCCACTGGGAAAATGAAAACCGGTATAAGAGGGGGATGCAAGGAGAGAATGCATGATAAATGAGAGGATATAGCATGAGATGAAAGGATATAGGATGGAATGAAATGCGTGTTCACGAGTCTTCCGAGTATCGTTCCGCCGTAAAACCAAAACTATCGTCTTCCTAGGTATTGTGAGCTTCAACAGACGGAAAATCGGTCCAGCCGATTGAGAGGGCATAGTACAACACTCATCGAGTTCTAATAAGAACGCGGAGAGCGAGAGTAGTACTGCAGAGCTTTCAACGTAGTCTACTGCACTTAAATTTTGATCGGTGAGAGTGGAGGGCCAAGTTCAGGAAGCTGTGAGATGCTTCGCGAGTGTGTGGGTCTAGTCTCAATGTTCTTTGGCCTTGCTTTTCGGCTTCCGGATGTTTGTGGACGAGGTCGCGGCTGCTCTTCTTCGGTATGTGAGCTGGATCCTGAGGATATGGCACGTTCATGGCTTGAAGAGTTAAGAAGTATTTCAAGCCTTGGAGGGGGTTGGTCATCCGAGGGCTTGGACTTAATATTTTCCTCATCATCATTCATTTCTTGCTCTTTCGCTATGAACTCCTTTTCAGTCCAGCAACCCTGCCAGCAGTTCTTCCAGTCACAAACCAGGAACCAGAAGCAGAAAGCGTCAATACGCATGCAAGGCTGGAAGCAGATGCACAGATTGCGGTAGTCCATTTTGTTTTGATCGACGTATGAGTGGAGGAGATTGAGATGGCATGTGATTGCGAAAAGAAGGTAGTAGTTGTAAGGGGGGAGTTTCGAAAGTTCATCCTTGAGGAGCTGGGGAGCGGTAGTCGCACCCTCGCACTGCTCTGCGATCATATCCTGAGTCGCTTTCGGGAAAAGCTCTTCTGGTAATTCTCGAAGCCAGGCTTTGAACAGGGACCCAACCGTATTTATGTCATAAAGGTCAGGCACGTCAAATAAGCTGATATCAAATTCGGTATCAAATCGCCGCTGCCAGTGTTTGACCTCTCTGCCACTTCCAGGTACTCGGTAGAGACCCTCTTCTTCGCAGCCCTTAAAGTTCAGATAACTAGAGAATGAGTTACTATTGGGAATCTTAGAGGTTGAGAATGTCAGATGAGCCACTTACTCGATGCAACGGTATGGAAGTGCAGGCATCCAGAACTCGGTCTTATCCCTGCAGTCTTCGAGTTTCTTCGCAATGCGAGTCTTTCGAGCCTGTTCGATGAGGGGGAGGTTGATGATATGGCAAACGTAGGTGTCATCGTTGATCAGCTCCCGTTCGTTGGTGCTGCCACTCCGAGTGATCTTGCCGAAGAAGCCCTTACCTGCCTTACCAAGCCGGTCCGCAGCGCCGCTTGATGAGAGCTTTAAATAATTGGAGATCGCCGTTGATGCACCCGATACCTGGCTCAGTGAGTTAGATGGGGTTATCGATACCATCGATCCTCCATTTGATTTCGATTCACTGCGAGCGGGGATGGGAATTGGGATGGGTTCCGTTGGACGCTCAGCTGGGCGTTGCGATCGAGTTGGTCGCGGAGGCTTTGTCGATGGTTTTACTGTCTGTGATGGATTCTGGCTCTGCGGTTGATCTTGGCTGAACTCTTCTAATTTGGCGAGACCCGTTGACGGTCGTCGATTAATTGCTCTGTTTTTGGACGAATCATCGACTCGGATAGATCGAGTGCGTGTGAGGAGGTTTGCAAATCGCTTGTTCTTTTTCGCAGGCGCTGTATCGGCTTCAGGATTGGCCGTCTTTTGGTCCGACTGTTGACCTGTCTTGTTCTTGGATGGACTCTTTCGATCTAATTGCCAATATCTTGTTAGCGTCCTGGACGAAATAAATAAAAGACCTAAGGAACACCCACTATTCTCATACTCGGTCGCCCGCGCAAGTTTGCCGGGCAAATCTGGCGTCGACTCGGACATCTTCGGTGCCATCGATAACCTCCGGTCTTTTGAGTTGTTCCAGCTCTTGGAGTAGTCTGTTGAAGTTGAGTTCTCTGAGCTATCGGATCTATTTTGTCGATGTGATGACTTTGGTGCCTTCAGATTGCCAAAAAACGACTTGGACGCATCGCGCGCATGCTTCCCTGGGTCTTTGGGGGAGGGGAAAAACTGTGGAATGGCTGTGATGCCAGGCGTAATAGGTTCAGTCGAGAGTTCGGTGTCCGAGTGGCCATGTGAGACCGGGCTGTTGGGACTTGTAGGACTGGTCGCTGAGATGTTCGAGTCTTGCGTGACAGGACGGATGGTCGAAGGACCTTTGAACAAAGCGAAACTCGAATGGGATTTGTTCGAACTTGCAGACATGGGGCTCAGGCCGCCCGAACTTTGGGCTCCTGCTGATAGAGGATATGAAAGTTTGCCATTGCTTGATTTGACATTGCTCGATTTGACATTGCTCAGGTCCAAGTTGGGCACAGTGGAGTTTCGTGATGGCATGGTATGTGACTGGAGGGGACGGTTATTTGGAGCTGTTTCAGGTTTGCGTTGTGGCACAGGCTCACTGCGTCGTGCAGAGTCGTCGGATGTGATTGTCGCTGTCAGAAGGGGTAAGCAACAAGGCCCACTGTATCTTGCAGTACAAGATACCTAATCGCTGGTAGGCCCCTGTTGTTGTAAGACTATGGCTGAGCTCTGAGACTGAGAGCAAACAAGGGCTGGGGTGAATGCGTGGATTCGTGGATTCGTGGATTGCGTGTATGCGCAAGACTGGGAAAGTGGAAAGGGTTATCGAAGAAGTGGGATCTGAAAGAAGAGTTATAAAATCAGTAAGGTTATTCAATACAATTCCAAGGGAGGAAAAAGAAGGCCATCTAAAAAAAGACCAGTGAAACCCCGACAGGTGCAGGGATCGCGTCGTTCAAAGGTCTTTATCAACAACATCCAGGTACCGGGTCACCCAGACAATGGCGGAAGAGAGAAGGAGAAAAAGTCACGCGCATTACAATACTCACAAAGAAAGCCCTCATATTACTTGAGAGAATAGTTGGTTTAGTTCGTAAAGAATCCTGAATCACCTCTGAAGTCAAGGAGTTGTCAAGAGGACAATTCAGTTGCCCCCCTCTTTTTCGGTGGATCGAGGATCGAGGATCGAGGATCGACAATGACAAGGAGGACGGAAGTCGCAAACACGCGCTTTATCTCTGAAGTAGAAGATGAAAATGGAAACGGGAAAAAAAAAGAAGGGAAAGGTGATCAAGGAGAAACCGGTTGGCAATTTCGGATACAAAAGTTCCTCCCCCTAATGAGCGTAGCGGCAGCGTTAGCCAAAAGCTCTGACTAGGTAGTTATCGTTGGACTAGTAATTAGCCCGCTCTAGCCTCTCCCTGTTAGAAGCGCCTTGAATAAGAAAGAAATACAAGAAAATAGAAAAGATAGGTCTTGAACATCGGGAATGCCGTAAAGCAAATTTACTACAGTAAAATCAACTTATCGCAAAGTACTCCGTACAGTGGAGACATTAATCAATTTAGTTGATTTTCCCCTGATTGAGGGGAGGACGTCATTTGGTCTCCAAGTGCTGTATCTATGGATCTACGGAAACAAAACATACCGTTTCATTCCCATTATAAGCAGTATTTTGAAAGTTATTTTTGAAAGTTATTTTTGCAATTATAAGTTCTACGAGGGATATAGTAGGTGTGTTGATCAGCAGGAAACTAGTGAAAATAATTAAAATGGAAACTAGTATAAGAAGTGCATAAAAATGTCTGATTCCACGATACAAGTTCATCCCCACTAGAAGGAGCCACTGGGTCTGGCAGTTGAAGCCACGGAATGGGGATTATGTGTTTACCTTACGTTGCAATGATTGAAATGGTTGGTTGATTGGAAGAAGGTGGAGAGAGACTTCCTCTTCTTCATCCATGGTTATACTTGTAGCGGGTATAAGATATGGCCGGATGAACCATTATTACAAAGAACATGAATATGGATGAATCATACTGGAACACTTTTTTCATCGTATTCGGTTCGTCTAAACATAGTTACCTAGCATCCTAAACATAGATTATATTGACTAGGGTGGATGTATAATCAAGTATCCCCTGCGCTGTCGGAGGGAAGTTATTTTAGCGTATACCGAAGTGGAGTATAATATATAGCTATAACTGGCTAATAGCTTGACCGCTTTTATGAAACAGTAATGTTTACCCACTACTAATAAATAGCTCTGATTGGCTATCATCTATGTATGTAAAAAAGTACTCTACTCAACTTACACCGTAGTTCTACGGTAGAATACGAAGACTCCCAGGGCTATCCATTTATTACGACCGGCCTACCTTATTAGATTAGTACAAACCCCTCCTAATCATATTTTACTATTCTTTGCACCAGCTTGCTCGCGAGATGAGGGCAATAAATTATACCCAGTAACTCAGAGTGCTAGAGGACCTCACGCACGACTATGGGAACCAATAGTACCAGCAGAGATCCAGATTTTCATCGCTGTTCTTATCTATGGGCATACATATATCGGAAAATGTTTCTGAAGAGGATGTTCCGTCTGAAAAAGAGAAGCCTTATCACCTTTCCCCCTGATTATACTTACCTCATTTGCCCGCTTTAAGCAGATTGTAACAGGCTGGTGCCTGCTTTAGCATTCATGCCTGTGCCACTCATGCTCGTCACGTGCCACCCGCACCCGCATCCCTTATATTGCCACATGTCCATAGCTAGTCTCTCTCTCTCTTCTCTTCAAGCTTAATAAAGACAGTTTGTCGGCATCACTAGTTCTGCATTCAAGATTAGTATTAGCCCTTCGCAGATCAAGCATTTGAATAGCATCAATCTATGGTAAGTTTTTTTCTCTCTTTTATTTCTTTCTCATTTTTACTAAGGTACTCTATAATAGGTCGCTCACCTGCTTAAGCAAGCTTTACCTATGGAGCGTAACCAATATCTAAGTTCTTTTATATCGATACCTAGGTAGCTTTTGAAGTACCTTCCAGATCAAGGCATTGGTGTAGTTAGGACGAAATAACCAGATACATCAAAAGGGCGTTTCCTAAGGGCGCTCCAAAAAATAAGGGTAGTTAAAGGTTATGAAACTAAAGTGGAATGAGCTTTACATAGCGCGGTCTTTTGCTTTATAAGGCAAGATAATAATGTTGTTAGTAGTTGCTGATTTTAACAACTATACACACTATTCATAAAGGTTCAGACTGGATCACACATATTCGGAAACTCCCTAGAAATATGTTTCCTTGTGTCAATATTACTAGACTGGCTTTTAATGGTGAACCCGTAGTAAAGCTTTTACAGCTCTTGAAACCTGGCGCAGAAGAGCTCAACCCACAGCCACGACTTGTACCTAATGCAGTGCATAAGGTAGTTAGACTTCTAAGGGAGAACTACTACATCATCTGTTCAGAACAAAAGAGATCACTCAAAGCTGGGAAGTTCAGGGGGAAGGGAAAACCAGCCCAGACTTGTGTGGTCAGTTATGTCAGTGTCCTTATGTAGGGATAACCATAAATCGCGGATTGTAAATTTGGGAAAGATCATCATGGGTTTTTATTGGCTAGACTAGGTATTGATTTATTCCTTTTCTGGGTGTAATTATAGAGACTGTATTGGCAGAAAAAAGGCGCTAAAGCAACTCCCTTGTAGGGGATTTCAGGGGCTAAAATGAAAATAAAAAGGGAAAAGGCCCTAACAAAGCCTCAGTCGTCAAACAAAACGTGTCCAAGGCGCTTACCAGACCCACATATTGCCTATCCTGGATTCTTCAATTTCTTCTGAGTTTCAGATTTCGACAAGTTCTTTATAGTAATGGTGGCCAGGGCGTCTTTCCGTATCAGATTGGATCACGGGCCGAAATGACAGTACTTAATGCTCTGTGCTTTTGTATCCTGTAGAGATCTCGGGATGTTTAGATATGCTGGGTACATAATAGGATAGGAACGAAAATAAAAAAAGAAAATAAAAGTAAAGAAAAGAAAAGAAAAGAAAAGAAAAGAAATTTCCGAGACCAAAGTGGAAAATGCCCACTGAGACCTTTTCTACACTTGGGTGGGCTTTCCAACTTTTATCAGTCCTCAATATTGGTAGACTATAGCGAACCAATCACACTTTCCAGTTCCATTATCAGCTCTTTTACCCGAGTACCTAGACTTGTTTATTCAACCATTACTTATCTAGGTTCATAATACTCTATTTCTACTTCACACCGCCTCCATATATCTTTTGCAACCATAAAGTATGTCGGGGCAGGATCCATTCAGTCTGAAACAATGAAAGTGGAATTGATGACCGGAATATTGACATATTTGTATGGGGCAATCAGCCGTGCGGCCTAAGCTTGAATCCACTTGAATACTATATACCACGTGACTTCTTGTCTCGGAGTCCGGAGTCCGAACGCATAATCACTTTAATCTCAGCCCCCTGTTGGTGCCAACCGCTTATGCATTGAACATGACAGCATAATTCAACCTCGGAAACTGTTCTAGCAACCAGCTGTCCCGGCAACGGTCAACCCGAACAAGCTTTTCCTCTAAAAAAGTCTTACTGTCTTACTAAGTACTAACGACATATCTCACCCCGCTCAAATTATTAACCCCGTCCAATCAGCCCCGCTGATACTTGATAAGCACTACTATCAACATCGTATGGCTTTGGTATCTGGCCCTGGCAGGGCTGGAGGTTTCCCTTCTGAGGAATTACATACCTTGAAGCATGTTGCTTACATCAAGAACCTAGACAGTGTGCGTACTATCTTCTCATCATACGTATCTGGACCTGGTTGACGCGGACTATAGCGGAAAAATGAACTGGAATATTGGCTGACTGAGCATCTGCGGCTGAATGGTGTCTACTGGGGTTTGACTGCCCTTTATATTTTAGGCCATCCCGATGCTTTGTCTCGGGAAGAGACGATTGATTTTGTCCTTTCTTGTCAAAAAGAGAATGGAGGTTTCGGTGCCGCTCCCGGTCATGATGCCCATATGCTATATACCGTCTCTGCTGTCCAGATTCTTGTCACCATTGATGCAGTAGATGAACTGGAGAAGAGAGGCCAAGGTGGAAAAGAGAAAGTTGGCTCCTGTACGACACCCCTACAATGTGATTCGGTTGTAGATATCCTCGCTAAACGCTTACAGTTATTGCCAGTTTACAAAACAAAGATGATGGCTCCTTCATGGGAGATGAGTGGGGTGAAACCGATACTCGCTTCTTGTATGGTGCCTTCAATGCCCTGTCACTCCTAGGCTTAATGGACATGGTCGATGTGTCCAAGGCAGTGACCTATGTTCAAAGCTGTGAGAATTTTGATGGCGCGTATGGCATCTCTCCCGGTGCTGAGTCTCATGCCGGCCAAGTCTTTACCTGTATTGGAGCTCTGTCCATTGCAGGACGCTTGGACCTGGTCAACAAGGACCGCCTGGGGGCCTGGCTCAGTGAACGTCAGATCGAGAAGGGTGGGTTTAATGGCCGCCCAGAAAAGCTACCCGACTCTTGTTATACATGGTGGGTTGGATCAAGCCTTGCAATGATCGATCGACTTCAGTGGATCGATGGCAAGAAGCTTGCTGGTTTTGTCTTACAGTGTCAGGTCAGTTACATTGTCAGTCCTAGTATCTATACCTGCTTAACTTGGAACAGGATCCTGAAGCAGGTGGCTTTGCTGACCGACCTGGAAACATGGTCGACGTTTATCACACCCAGTTCGGTCTGGCAGGGTTAAGTCTGCTTGGCTTCGAGGGTTTACAAGAAGTAGATCCTGTTTAGTATGTATACCCGATTTGATTGAAGTACTTTTATGCTAACCACATGAAAGTTGCATGCCTAAATCTGTTATTACCCGATGCTTTGCACGATGATGAATCTTGGTATAGACTTACACTTTAATAAGTTGTGTTTGTTCTCCATGGATCAAAGCAGCTGCCTTTCTTGGCTTATTTCAGCTTCATGCCTCTCACAGTGTCTATGACAAGACAATGTGAATAAAAATACGTTTCCAAGTACCTAAGTACCAAATTAAACATTTGAAATCAAACAGGTCAAACTTCAATGTTGACGGCCGATTTGCTCCTTCCCTACTAGGGTTCCTTCTGTGTAGTAGGCTCTCTCAACCTTCTTGGCCTCAGGGACTCTTCACACCCTCTTCCCTTCCTCCCACTCCCTCATAAGTGAGCCCTCGTCGCTCCTTCGTCAATACATTTGAACAGCCTTTCTCAGTCCAGTTTTGTTCAGTCTGACAATCGCTTTGTTGCTTTGTTACTTCCGTTAGATCGGCCAATCCGATCCGCCCATTAGACAATGGATAGTGAAGATCTGCAATGCATAATCTGCACTGCAAAGCCCACATTCAGTGATATATCACATCTTTTAACCCATGTTGCCTCCAAAGCCCATTTATCTTTTTATTTCAAGCTTCAAGTCCGCAGTCATCAGGAGGAGGAGGCAACGCAGCTCCTGGAGGAATACGATGCTTGGTACAATGACAATGGCCTCGCCGTACTACTGTCTGAAAGAATGAGAACCAAGGAAGGCCGCAAAATGAAGAAGGCCCCCAGACAAGCCTCAAAAGCCCCCGTTGCCGGCAATCCTCGACCACAGAGAAAAAGCGGAAGATCCACTACAAAAGCCTCAAATTCTGCTTCAGACACATACTTTCCCGATCTCTTGGATCCACGCCTTGCAGGTCCGTCCGACAACATCAAACCAGATGCGGAAGAAGATTCATCATTCTACTTGACCTCTTATCCTCCAGCCACACCTTTGGCCAATACCCACCCAACACTCAGAATAGAGTGTGTCCCTTCAGGGCTGACACAGCCCATGTATATGGGAAACTCGACTGATTGGCATGGCGAACATCCGTATGAGCCCAGACATAACGCTCATACATCCATGAACGCTTTACAGACCCCATTGCGGACCAGACGACATGCAGCAAGTGATCCGATACCCTTGGCTGAGAGCCAATCACAAGACGTCTTCCACGAAGATGAACAAAACGAAGTTGCGGATGAGAAAACACGGGCGGAGGAGATTTCACGGTTGAAGGGCATATTTTGGCCTGGTATGGACATCTTCGACTCAGCCACACACCAAATGCGACGCAAGCGTAATCAGAAAAAGGACGCAAATGTTTTGAAACTATTGGAAAAGACATCGTCACTCGTGGAGCCTACCGAGCTCATCTTTTCTCCAGCAGGAACTTTACGAAAGGAGCGGGTGATTTCGGGCAATGTTGAAGACGATAGCCCTTTGAAGGGTGAAACTCCGGTTCCCAAGAAACGAATTTCTCGGCCAAAGAGAGAAGTCCTTCGCCAGGTGGATCCAAATATTCCCCTTGCGCAGGACAGGAAGGGTTCCAAAAAAGTGGTCACTCAAAACCTCAACGGAAAGGTCCAACAAATAGTCGTGGATACTACAGGATCCCCGCGCCGGTTGAATGATATGGCAGATTTTGGACCACCGAAGCACACGATAGATGATGAATTTGATATCTCTATGCAAGAACTTGGCAAGCGACCTCGCCAGGCCTTTACCATTTTCTCTGATGAAGTCTTAAACCCCAGTGTGACCCGAGAGGTATTGACATTGACTCCAACTCGTCTGGTTCTGGATCGCAAGCCTGATCTCTCCCACACTCATGGAATGAAGGCCAATCGAGACAAAGAAAACATCGAACCGATTTTGAATTCACAGGGTCGCGTCGGTCTCAACAACTGGCAATCTCCTTTTTTTAACCGATCTGACATTGGGAATGTCGGCTTTATCCCCGGGTACTTCTACAATGAACCTTTGGGAAATGGACTCGGTGATGATGGAAAGTCTGGTTACCGACCCAACCCTCTCCTGGCCGCTCCCAAGATGAGTTTCTATGAGGGTAACCCATATGATGATGATTTCACAGTGAGCGGAGCTTGGACGACAATATCACGTGAAGTATCAACTGAAGCGACCATCTCCGAAGCTGAGCACCGAGATCTTGCTCGGATGTACCTGGCGTGAATTGTCGAATGGAAAAATTTCACAGCTTGAGTAGCTGTGATCGTTTGTTTGGTCATGCAATTCTGAAGCATATGGACTATCGAGACAGCCAAGCCCTGGAATGTATGTCTCGACGTCAAGTTGTCTCTCGTTCAAACTTCACATTATATTGTTATTTCTTATACATGAAAACACAGCTTCATTATGATTCCAGATGTTGAGGTATGTGGATACTGAGGATGAGTGTGTATTATCCTCTACACTGTTGATGGCTTTTAAACTAGTCATACATTTTAATTGAAACCCTATAATTACCTGGTAGCCAGGCGCTTCTGTATCGTATGTTTCTCCAATTCCTCCAATTAATTAACAACGTTGGAAATCAAATAAATATGCCCTAGTTAGTTACTCGACTCATCACATGCTGAGTCAGCATACAATTAACGCCTCAGCGCGTCCATACGCGTCAAGCTCGAATTGCTAAGGCACTTGGCATCGGATCAGAGCACCATTGTCCCCGACTTTCAACTTGCATAAACATTCCCTTTTCTATAACCCTTATAGTAGACAGTGTTAGAGGGACCATGGCGCCTCTATCCTCGCCATCATCCTCCGCACCATCTTCATCCTTAAAGCGCAAGCAACCGACAATATCTAGCTTCTTCACCCAAAAGCCCGTCCCATCACATCCTAAAACCGTTGTATCTGATGAAAACAAGCCTCCGCAAGAAGAACCATCTAGAAAGCGACCAGCCGAGCCCGCTGAACCACGGATTGCATTGAAGCAGTCTGATCCCTTACCAGACGATGAAGATGATGACGACATCGTGGTACCTCCTACAAAGCGCGCCAGAACAAGCGCTTCCACTCCAAAAGATTCTATTTCAATAGTTCCAGTTGGTGGCCAATCAAACCCAGCGTCGCCATTAAGCGGCAGTCAACGGACGGACATCTTCAAATTTCAAAGCTCCCCTGCCGTTGTTGACCAAGACATCAAGCGTAAGAAGGAAAAGGACGTTCTTCACCAGAAGTACGTTCGGAAGCTTGGTGGCCCGGACTGCTTGATTGGCATTGGAAAGAGTGTCCCGAATGACGTCGTTGATGCAGAGGCGGAAGAAGGCGAGGAAGATGACGAACCCCCTCCGCCAAAAACCAAAGGGAAGGCTGTTAAGAAGGGCGGTAGCAAACTGACTCCGATGGAACGACAAGTCATCGACATAAAGCGAAAGCACATGGATACTGTCTTGGTGATTGAGGTTGGGTACAAGTTTCGGTTCTTTGGCGAGGATGCTCGCATTGCAGCCAAGGAGCTGGGGATCGTGTGTATTCCGGGGAAATTCAGGTTTGATGAGCGTATGTTGAAGAGTTCTGTTAGAGAATGATTTGCATATTAATTTTTGGTTTTTAGATCCGTCCGAGGCTCATATTGGACGCTTTGCTTCTGCTAGCATTCCGGTTCATCGCTTGCATGTTCATGTCAAGCGCTTGATTACAGCGGGCCACAAAGTTGGAGTCGTGCGTCAGATCGAGACGGCGGCTCTCAAGGCTGCTGGCGATAATCGCAATGCACCTTTCGTTCGCAAATTGACGAACTTGTATACTAAGGGAACGTATATCGATGATATTGAAGGCCTTGAAGGCCCGGCGCCCGCGGCTGGGGGTGCTTCGCCTGCTACTGGGTATATGCTCTGCGTTACAGAGACCAATGCCGGAGGGTCGGGTAGTGATGAACGAGTAAAGATCGGTATTGTTGCTGTTCAGCCTGCAACGGGCGATGTGATCTACGATGAATTCGAAGACGGATTTATGCGCAGCGAGATCGAGACGCGGCTGTTGCATATCGCGCCTTGCGAGATTTTGATTGTCGGCGAGATGTCTCGTGCAAGCGAAAAAATTGTGCAGCATCTTTCTGGCAGCAAGATGACTGTTTTCGGGGATGCGGTCCGAGTTGATAGAACGCCAAAGAAAAAAACTGCCGCTGCCGAGGCGCATAGTCATGTCACTTCTTTCTATGCAGGAAAGATGAGCGCTACTGGCATGGAAGAGGATGTTCAGGCTGTGAAGTTGCTTCAAAATGTCCTTGCGTTGCCGGGGCAGGTCAATATCTGTCTTTCTGCGATGATTGAGCATATGACCGAGTACGGACTTGAGCATGTATTTGACCTGACAAAGTATTTCCAGCCCTTCTCGGCGAGGTCGCATATGCTCCTCAATGGAAATACCCTCGTGAGTCTGGAAATCTATCAGAACCAGACGGATCACTCGGCGAAAGGTAGTCTATTTTGGACACTAGATCGAACACAAACGCGGTTTGGGCAACGCTTGTTGCGGCGCTGGGTTGGACGGCCCTTGCTGGACAAGAATCGCCTAGAAGAGCGCACCAGTGCAGTTGAGGAGCTGATCAACCCCTCTAACGCCGTTCCTGTGGAGAGAGTACGAGGGCTGCTCGGAAAAATCAAGAGTGATTTGGAAAAGAGCTTGATTCGTATATACTACGGCAAGGTAGGCCATTTTTGGCTTGTATCTGTTGAATCTCATGCTAATCTACTCAAAGTGCACAAGACCTGAGCTTCTCACCGTTCTGCAAACCATGCAAATGATTGGAATGGAGTTCGCAGACGTCAAGTCACCAGCTGACACCGGGTTGGAATCGACTCTGGTCAGTGAAGCTATTGCATCATTGCCAACCATCCAAGAAGACATTATTCGATTCTTAGAGAAGATCAACGGCCATGCCGCGCGAAACGACGATAAATACTCTTTCTTCCGCGAAGAAGATGAATCCGAAGACATCAGTGAGAAAAAGCTGGGAATCGGCTGCATTGAACACGAGCTACAAGAGCATCTCGCCGTGGCCGGAGAACGTATAGGCAGAAAGAAGGTTGAATACACGACTGTGGCCGGAATCGAGTACCTGATCGAAGTCGAAAATAACTCGTTGGCCATCAAGCGCATTCCAGCATCGTGGATCAAAATCAGTGGGACGAAAAAGGTCGCTCGTTTCCACACACCAGAAGTGATCCAACTCATCCGACAGCGCGATCAGTACAAGGAAGCTCTAGCAGCAGCCTGTGACAATGCCTTTAAAGAGCTCTTGGCTGAAATCGCAACACAGTACCAATCCTTCCGCGACTGTGTCCAGTCCCTCGCCACTCTAGATTGCCTCCTATCTCTAGCCTCAATAGCCCAGCAACCCGGCTACAACAAGCCAGAGTTCACAGACTCACCGTGCTTACAAATCTCACAAGGCCGCCACCCAATGGTCGAGCGTCTCCTAACAGACACATATGTACCAAACGACACACACCTCGATCCAGAGGGCACACGCGCCCTGCTAGTGACAGGCCCAAACATGGGCGGTAAATCCAGCTATGTACGACACGTTGCCCTAATCGCAATAATGGGCCAAATAGGCTCCTACGTCCCGGCCGCATCAGCCCGTCTAGGCCTCCTAGACGCCGTATTCACGCGCATGGGCGCCTTTGACAACATGCTAGCCGGCGAATCAACCTTCATGGTCGAGCTCTCCGAAACAGCCGACATCCTAAAACAAGCAACGCCCCGATCTCTTGTCATCCTGGATGAACTGGGTCGTGGAACCTCAACGCACGACGGTGTCGCGATCGCCCAGGCAGTCCTAGATTACATGGTCCGTTCAATCCGCTCGTTAACGCTGTTCATCACGCACTACCAGCATCTTTCGCGCATGGTACGGTCATTCCCCGACCACGCTCTCCGTAATGTGCACATGCAATTCACGGAGTCAGGACAGGACGGTGATGATATAACTTTCTTGTATGAAGTCGGCGAGGGAGTTGCGCATCGCAGCTATGGGTTGAATGTTGCCCGTTTGGCAAATTTGCCTTCTGACATCCTTGATATGGCGAGGACAAAGAGCGCCGAGTTGGAAGAGTCCATTAAACGGAAGAGATTGGGGGCTCTTGTTGCTGCTGTTGGCCGTGTTGTTGGGGAGAATTGTGCTGAAGATGATCTTCTTGAACGGTTGATTGCTAGTATTGATCAGATTTAGCTTCTAGCTTATATACTAACGACTCTATATATAAAAATTTAAGGGCATTTTACAATTTACTTAGAGAATGGTATTTAAATTTGAGTGACATTAGGGGACGAGTACAAGATAGATTTTGCACAGATCATGTTGCTCCGTTCAAGTTGACCCATAAGATTGCGCCGAGCTCCTCTCCGTGAAAAGATGCTCGTCTATGCAGAAAACCAGTCTAATGAGACGGTTGAAATGCACGGGATAGAGGATTGCACAGAGTGCTTTTGTACTCTGCGAGAAGAGAAAGTGTTTGATCATTTCAAGATTCTTGTTGATCAAGTCGTTGTAGAGGAGGAAGAAAGGTTGGTTCTGTATAAATAGTTGAAGGAATATGTTTTTAACTTCTTCGGCCTTGAAGTTTTAGAAAGCTCTGCTACTTCTTTTTCCTTTTCCTCAAGCGTTGCAGCAGGGGACTAGTACCCGGGTCGACTTGATTCATTTGGAACACAGCCCAAGAAGCGACTCGACTATATCGCACATGGTCACTGTTATTAGATTTGATGATCTCCAATCCAGTGGGTAGGTCCACCGACTGAAGTTTGCTCAGACTGCTAATAGCCTTCTTTAAGGCATCAAGCCCAAACAAGTCAACCCGGACTAGTGTGATGGAAATCTGTTAAGTCTCAGATGTACCGATTACACGATGTGTTCATCGAGCTGCCTAGACCAGATCAGTCGGTCTGACTCTAATTTGTCGCATTTGAGTCTCAGCTCAGCTCACTCCTCCCGACTGACGACTGGCATTGAGATCCTTAGTAGGAATTTCAACTCGAGGCACTCTCGCTCTGAGACGATTCAAGGTATTGGGTTCATCGAAGTCCTCAGAAGCATGTACACACTCATTCAGCTCAATATTCGTGATTGCAGGTATAACCTCGATCGCACCAGGCCCAGGGCCAAGACCAGAGGGATACTGGCCAGCAAGGTGGGCGGATATCACGGGTGTACTCGTCCAGCTTGAGATCTTCTCGCAGTAGAGGTAGATCAGGGTAGACACCACCTCTGCTAAGATCCACTTCGACCGTTTAGCTCCTGGTTAGGAGGCTGGTCCCACTGTGAGCTCTGTTTTCATAGGCTGTCCTCTTGGCCGAAGAGGACTGGGGAGGGGACTCTTCCGCCTTCATGTAGCGGATTCGGATTTTGTTTCATGATCAAGAGCCTGCATTACTTGAGTCGCTGATCATGCGTCACATGATAATAGGCATACTTGCAAGAAGCGGCAAGGCAAACATCCTTGTGAAAAGGCATCTTGGAGCATATTAGAATTCGCCTCTGATTGTTCTGTCCATGCTGTAGAAGAGGAGATCCGCCAGGACCACCACTGAGGTGCTCTGAGTGGAGTGTCTTGATAATCGCTTGCATGACCAAGACCCATCCAATATCAAACCCCACAAATACAGATAGGTTCTTTTCAAGCAGCATAGGCAGCGTTTGGTGCACCATCACCGCTCCGATATAGGTGAGGGAAATGAGAGCCAGATGACGCACGCACTGCATTTTAGGCGACCAGAGAAGACATCATATCCTCTCCTCCAAACTGCGGAATCAATGTCCAGGCTGCTTGCACAATTTACCAGGTTTGTTGCCTAGATCTCGAAGTCTCTGCTGTTCCTGCTCTGGATCTGCTCGTAATTAAGCAAGCCATAGATGGCTTACCCTGGTCCATACTTTATACCAGGTACAAAGTTCTGTCCTTGCCTAGCTGCGCGATTGCATTTGCAGAGCAATGTAGGGGGCAACTGGTTCTGCTTTTTGATGACACTTGAAAAAAGAGAAAAATATTGCTTTTGTTGAATCAAAAGAGAACGTGCGTTACGTAGTCAGGTCTGCCGCCATGTGCGTGCGCTCAATTGATAAGGTAGATAAATTAGATCCATCACAGAATGGTTGTCAAGAAGAGATGGAAAGGAAGATCGGTTCCTTGAAGCACTGCACCCAGCCTTGGTGTGCAAAAGTGAGACCGGCTCCCCTCTCCATCAATAGTTGGGATATATGTAGGAAGGAGAAAGGAAGTGAGTGGAACATTCAAGTTATGCCCCAAGTCCTGTGAGTTTCGCCAAATTGCGGTGGCTGTATCTCACGGGGCTTGAATGCTCTGGAGTAGATCATGGATAGTTATTGGTTAGGCAGAGAAGTTCCAATAAGGGCCGAGTCTTCATAATTCTTCGAAAAGTAGGCGAGTGAATGTAGGAGGAAGAATGGTTTTGGGTGGGCATTGTCCGGTTATAAAACAATTTAGATAGGTATTAATTGCATTAATTCATTACCTCTGTTGCTGTTACTGCCTGGATGACGCCAAGGTGAGGCCAAGGTAAAAGCAAAGTGATATGAAAGTGAAGTGACGTGCGTTTTTGGCGAGGCCAAGATCAATTAAATACTGGCAGGGCAGTAAGGATCTCGAATTCTCACCATAATAAATCCTCATTCTCCTCGGACGAGGATGATGAGTTGTCAGCAATCACAATGCCACACCAATCACGCCATACCATTGAGTGCAGTGTGAGGCTGTCTCATCTGAGCCATTTTCCGGCCATGGTGAAAATGAGATAAAGATGACATGACAGCCGAGCGCATTGCGCTTTAGACAAAGCCAAAGTGAGAAGGAGGTGAAACTGAGATGACATGCGCATTGCGTTTTATGCAAGGTAAAGACAAGAGTGAGCTCGGCAAATTTGCGATTTGATGCGCATGGTGCAGCTTCCAATCAGTTGGCAGTTGTGTTGTTACATAACATGATTGCTTGAATATCAGCAACTTTTGTGCCTTAAAGAGAGTGTTAGCTACAGCCATGGAGTTATTTGTCATTGAAAACAAAATCTGTGTGCTGTTAATGGCTGAAAAGTAGTGGATGAAGAAGAGAAGAAATTCACTGTAGACTCGGCCTTCATGATTGCGAGCTGTTGAAGGAGAGAATCACCTTGATCGAAGGCGGGGAGACTTTGTGCCAGTTCAAGTTGATCTGCGGCTGTTCGGGTTGGGGAGATTTATCGTGAAAGCAGTGAAACTTGAGAGATGGCAATACTAGCTCTCCCATTCCGAAATGAAGGTTGGCTGAGATGTCGGATACAGCTTTCTTGGCAGACCAAAGCGCATCGAGATTAAAGTGGTCTAAAATTAAGTAAGAGAGGTGGAGATATCATGATATTTTTGACAGAATCGTATTGTCGCCTTTCAAGGTTACTTGGTGACATTCTCCTTTTGGGACTCGGCGGATGGGTTGACATATTTAAGATGTTCGTGCATCGTCCACACTGTAGCGTATTTATTGAATATTAGTGTCAATCATGAGATTAAAACGTCCAGTTGCTGACATGGCCAGCCAACATCGGAGGACTGATGTTGCTGCTCCCACATAGATGCTCCGAGGAAGCTTGCTAGACACCTTGTAACAACAGATGGCATCACATGACATGTTGAGTAGCAAATTCACCTCACTAAGTGAGGTGAAAGTGATATGAGAGTGATGCAGAAATGGCATGAAGTACAAAGGTTTTCAATCCTTCCTAGCCATCGCCATTTGTTCAAGGCCCTTTCGGCACATGATTCCTAGGAAGAAGCTTTGGCTTCCTCTGGTTAAGTCGTTTGAGCAACCTTGGAATGCACAAGATATGACATGAGCCAGGTATTGAAGTGAAATGGTTCAGTCAAATTGAAATAGTTGAAATAGTTGAAGTAGTTGAAGCGGGCAACCTTATATCAAAATCATTCGTAAGTAGAAAGTTACTTGAACAATATTGAAGCGGAAAGTTCCAGACTCAATCTTGAACTGCGCCCTTTTATCTACCTAGGACATTGGGAATGTATGAATCACCACATACACAATGCCTCGGTGGATTCAAGGCCATGAGTGCCTAGCCCTCGCCCGATCTACGTTAGATCCCCACACCTAGGCACGGACGAAGACCTAGTTTACGTCCCGGCGCTTAACCATGTTAGGTATCACTTAGCTATCCATCTTTGAGCGGGTTGGTATCCGCTGAAAGAGTAATTGTGAACTTTGGCGAAGTATCTACTGATACTGCAATGATCCTACGGAGATCACCAAAAAGCGAGACTTTTATCTGCCAAATGTTCTCCAAAAGTGGGTTCATACTCCGCAAAAACAGGCTTACAGAAAGTACCACAACCTTAAAATAATAGAATCATTAAATCATGGTGGGTAATATGGCCGAGAGCTACTCCGTACAAAACGTGTGACTGCAGAGGTAGACGTAGGCTGAGGTAAGGGCTTAGGGAGTCAAGATACTCGACCCCCGCCGTCGATATTGATTAAGATACAATAACTTGGGATTGTGGCCACACACTGCTATGCCTTGCTGTAAAATATCCTTGAATTTCCCCATGAAGTCATTTTTGCTCAGCCATTGAAGACAAAAACACAGTGTCGAGCCGAGAGATAGAGGGAGACGAAAGCGCGGAAAAAATGTCGTTTTGGAGAATTTTTAACGGAGACGACGGGCCTCACGCTCGGACTCGAGCAGGCACAGGATGTCGTCAACACGGACTGTTGTGGAAAGTAATTCATTAGTGTTTTTGATGCGAGTGGTTGATTGTTGAATTTCCGAATCGACCACAAGAAATAAGACACAGGTTCGACAGAGGTTCGGCATAGATTCGGTATAGATTCCATATCGAATTCCATCTTCATGAATCCACCTGTATCCTTCCTCTTGCGGTCTTCCTCGAGATTCAGTGAAATCGGAATCGGAATCGCATACCTGGGCCCTTGACGTTGCGGATAATGCTACGGGAAGTGTCGTCCATGAACTCGACGCGAACCTGGGTGACACCACCACGGGAACCTGGCGGAGAAGAAAAACAATCAGTATTCGCGGTATTCTCAAAAATGGCGAGCACTTCGTTATACGATTTGGGATGGCGGATGGCGATTTGGATGGGTGCGATTCAGGAATCCCGAATCTCGAAATTGTGTATAATTGTAGGTATTTGATGGCGGAGAATGGACGTACCGGTGCGACCGAGAACACGGGTCACCTTGACGAGCTTAACGGGCTGCTTGCTGGAATCCATCTTGAAGAGGAAGGGGTAAGCTCGGTGGTTGGTGAGGTGGTGGAAGTGCTGGGTGAGGAAGGGCGGATCGGATTTGGTGAAGACTTTGTGGGTTCCAAATTAGTTACGCGAGGGCTAAAAAATTATTGACACCTGACCCGTCAGGCGATGATAAATATTATATTGATGACTCAGCTGGACCGACCTCGGGATGCGACCTGATAATTCAGGCAGAAAGACTTTCCTTTGTACGGCCTAATTAGTACTGGCTGTAATACCGAGTACAATAACATAGATTGCTAAATTGTTTCTGTAGAGAGTCCAAATTTCATTCTTGATAATCAATTGTAACATTGAAGTTTGAACAAACCAACGTCTAAATTCAAACAATCTGATCCACGTGGGCCTGTCGTTGAATCTCCGCCGCCTTTGATCTTACCTTGGCTCCGCTATCGTCACCGAGGACGGAGCACACCCCTCTAATTTTCTGCCGCAAAGGGTATCACTTCCTTCCACGACATAGTACACTTTTGAAGGTCCATTGCCTTACGACATAAGAAGGCAGTCTTCCGCAATTATTCCGATCCTCAATTCTCACCACCTTTATCCCTCCGAACACCCGCAAAAAAACAATATCGTGTCCCGCGCATTAATCATGGATCTCGTCAACCAGTGAGTCACTGACGAAGAAACATATACTAGAAACAGTTGATAACATGCAATTCACAGCCTCGAAGGAAGACTCCTTTTCGCCGTGCCCAAAAGCAAGTTCTCCCTCATCCACCACCATGACTCATAGCCCTATTCGCAAAGCAAAGCAAGAGCGATATCATACCATAGAGAAAGAAAGAGGAAGAGAAAGAGAAATACAACTAACCGCGCGCAAAACATACAGAGGGCCGCCTGCAACAAGCAACCCTTGACCTGCTATCCGGCTCGGACATCCAATTCCGCCGCGAAACCCGCCTCGACATCGCACTGGTCAAGAACCTGCCCATCGCGCTGATCTTCCTGCCCGCAGCCGACATCCCCACCTTCGTCGGTGAAGGCCGCGTCGACCTAGGCATCACAGGCCGTGACCAGGTCGCCGAGCACGACTGCACCCTCCCGCACGGCGAGACCTCTCGCGTCGAGGAGATTCTTGACCTAGGCTTCGGCGCCTGCAAGCTGCAGGTGCAGGTGCCGGAGAAGGGCGATATCACCGAGGCTAAGCAGCTTATTGGCCGCAACGTCGTTACCAGCTTCACCGCGCTTTCGCAGTCTTTCTTTGCTGGACTTGAGGGTACTGCGCCTGGTGAGAAACTCGCTACTAAGATCAAGTATGTGGGAGGTAGTGTCGAGGCTGCCTGTGCGCTGGGTGTTGCAGATGGAATTGTGGATCTTGTCGGTATGTTGACCCTGTCTCTGAATGATTGAAGTGTGTCCCGTTCTAACTATCATTTCCTAGAATCTGGTGAAACCATGAAGGCAGCCGGCCTCAAAGCAATCGACACAGTTGTCTCAAGTACCGCAGTCCTAGTCAAATCCCGCGACTCCAATAACAAGCTTGTGGAACTGATCACCTCCCGCATCCGTGGTGTGATCACCGCTAAGAAATTTGTGTTGTGCCAGTACAACATCCCCCGGTCTGAGTTGGCCACCGCGTCTAAAATCACACCTGGAAAGCGCGCACCCACTATCACTGCCCTCGAGGAAGAGGGCTGGGTTGCTGTTAGCTCTATGGTTGAGAAGAAGCAGATTGCGACTGTTATGGATGAGCTGATCCAGGTTGGAGCTACTGATATTTTGGTTATGAACATTGCCAACTCGCGAACGGATTAGCAGGGACTTGTGACTCCTGTTTGATTCGATTTCGAGGATTTTCTTTACATATTGGGGGGAAAAAACAATACAAGAGACTTGTTAGTTTCGGGCGACGTACATAGAGCATTGAGATTTATAGCGGGTTTGAAAAAAAAAAATAAATAATATGTTATTTTTTTACCTTAGTACTAGAAATGTATTTTTCTAAATGTGTAATATGTAACAATGAAGAGGGAAAAAACGCCCATCGTAATATCGTACAAGTAAAAGAAAGAAAGAAAAGATCATGTCGTAACGCGTAGCATGGTATCATCAAAGAACGCAAACAATGCAAGGCAATCAGGTAATCTGTCTGCCAAAAGGCAAATTAGTTCTATCGTCTAGTTACCCAACCCAACTCCCTCCTTCCTTCCACGAATAATCGCTCTTAGACACTGTCCCACTCCCTCAAGGTCACCAAGTAACCCGACATGGCCGCGGTCACTCTTCACCAATCCATCCTTGATAATGCGGTATCCAGGCGGTAGCATCGCTGCAGTGGCGAGACAGACTCCATCACCAGCAGCAAAGGCGAGGTCATCGTAGCAATCTGTCTGCTTGATTGACTCGCGCGAGACGACGCGGGCCCCGTATACAGTTGGGATGTTCTTGGTGTAGATGACCGAAGCGGGTGGGTAGCGGTTTTCGGATCCATGGGTCGGGATATATTCTAGTTCCTTTTTGAAGCGCTTCACTTCGGCTAGGGTGCGTTCTAGATACTCCATTGCCGCGGCGCGGGGGATCGTGCTTGTTGTTGAGGTTTTGTTGGAAGTGGAACTTCCGCGTGGGTGCACGATTGGGCCGGGGATGCCGTCATTTTCACGAGATGAAAATTCCTGTGAGTGCTCGATCGGCATGGTTGCTGCGTGCTTGAAGAATTTTGGAGCATTTTCGTCATCTGTCGGGCTTGTGTTGGGGTCGTTGATGTCGAGGTCATCGCGCGGACCGAGCGAGAATCGCTTTCCGATCTGGGCGAGGTCTTTGAATAGAGAGCCTACTGGTGGTTGGATGGCGGGGCCGATGCACGGGGAGAGACGGTGTTCTTCCCACGAGCGGGGGTCGAAGAAATCGACGGGGAACTCTTCTTTGCTCTGCTTGTCGATGAAGCAGTGGCCGTCATCTGGGAGAAGAGCGAAGCTGGTGCGGAAGGTGAAGTTGACTTGTGCTGTCAGGACTCGTGAGCTGATGAGCACGTCATCGCCAAAGCGCAGTGGACCGAGGATGTTCACGCAGTGCTGTGGTACTCCTGCATATACAACGCCGGCGAAAAGTTCAGGTCGCTTGTTAACGGCATGACGAGTGATGAGACCGCCCAGACTGTGGGCGACGACGATGGCGCCACGTCGACCTGATCCGCCTTCTGATGTCATATTGTTACACGGCAAGCTCTCGAGGAAATTGATGAGGTTTGCGGATAGCATTTCTGGACTCAGTCGCCAGTCGTATCCGTAGTCCCAGACACGAAGGTCACCACGCACGGAATTTTCACACTTACGCAACCGCTTCATGAGTCGTCGGCAAATATCCACAGGTCCGACATGAGACAGAACGCCAGAGGGGATGATTGTCTCTTCCATACGTTCTTCGTCCTCTCTGGTCAATCCGACTTCGAGGTCTACCTTACGCAGATTCAAGCCCACCTTAATTGGCACCCAAAGTTGACGATGTGGGGGTTTGGCAGAACGCAGTATCGAGCCGCGGTATCCTCCCAGAATCACAACGTCGCCAATCATTTCCGACATGGCTTCGTCCAAAATTGGATGGCCTGACTCTGGGTTGGCCTTGGGGGCTGGAGGTGGCGATGCAGTGCGAGCCGGTCCATTGTTTGTATTAGAATTGGAGTTCGTATCGAAGAGCGACGGTAAAGAGCCCCAATCATTGCCCAGATGAAGGGTTGGCATGCTGAGCAGCCGGCTACTTGAATCCTGGAAACTATCCTTGATGGCCTTGAAGCGACTATTGACTTGTGAATGCACATTCTCATAGAGGGGGCGCTGGTCAAGCGACGAAGCTGCTGACGAGGCGCGCAGGTAAAGCGACCGATCTGAAGTTGATCTGTGCAGACTACGCCCCTCCCTTTCAGAACTATTTCGTCTCTCTGCCTCCGGTGGGCGTAGTCCAGAGGTTCTACTACAATCTCCGCTGACAGTCCGCCTTGTAAGAGCGTCTCTGCGATCCAACGACGAAGTTCTCGTATCTCTCTCGGAGTTTAATTTGATAGAATCCTGCACAGTCTGGCTGCGGGCTCTGTTTCGAGAATTGTCTCTAGAATTGCCATGGCGGAACGACAGCGACGGCCTTTTCGTCAAAGAGCCCAGATCTGGCAGGAACTTCTTCAGCTCCCCAGACCAGGCTCGCGGCCGACTAGGCAATGAGGTCTTCAACAGCGACCGAGTAAAGCCAGAGCGCTGAGTGGCCTGTGACTGCTTAGTCCCAGATCCTAAGGACTTAGTTGGAACGTGTCCGCTGGGGCCACGCGGCGCACGAAGATCCACCGATACCCCTTGCGCGAAGCGGTGCGTCGCCCGATAAGCTTCCCCTTCTCCGGCTGCTGCTTGCTGGCGGAGCAACCTTTGTTCCACGGCTTCAGGCTCCACTTCCACACTCACAGGTTCCGCCGTTATTTCCGAGGCAAAAAGACCATCTTCACCGACAGTATCCGGGATTTCGGTGAAGTATCCACCCTGGGCTTCCAATACTCTGTTTTTTTCCTCGGCTGGCGTGGCTCTCGCTTTCATGCGGCTCTGCTGTCGGCCGATGCTGACTCCCACGACGTCGCAGGCGGCATCTTCGTCGACCTCGTGGGCGGGGTGTGCATGTGGTTCGTCACTGTCCGAGCTGTAATATGACGAGGAGTGCGAAGGTGAATCGGAGGCGATGACATTGACGGATGATTCAGATGTATATGGCTCTTGCTGTTGCAGTGGCGGTGCTGGGTCTGGGACTGGCTCTGTCGAATGAATGGGACCTTTCACGCCTTCCGGCAGAGAATCAGGCCCGTCTGCGGCGAGGGAAGCCATCGCTAATTGAACAGATGCTATAGAGTACCAATGAAATGATCAGGCATTAGGTGAGTCGTACAGAAGATATGTGCAATGACCCCAGAAGAAGAAAGAGGGAAAAGAAAAAACGGCGTTCAGCTCAGAATCAGCAGTGTAAGATGCACAGGTCAGATTGGGCCGCAATGAAGGATACTAGGTAATATATAGAAATAGGATAGTAGATAGGTAGAACAAGAGCTAGACCTTGACTAAAATGCGGGCAGAAGTTGATTAGTTATAAAACTAAGAAGTGGACGGAAGCAGAGTGGAGAAGAGCACAGCCGGGCCACCCGGAGAGAACTCTGATCAAATCTCTTCAATGGAGTCAACATGAAAATATTAATTAATTGTGATACTATTTACTAGAAAAGGTTTGAATGGGTGAGGCTCAACAGATGAAACATATTGAATTGTTTCAAGGCGGACTGGTTGAGACTGATGATGAATACTTTATTCAGGGAACTAATGGACTTAGGGAAACTATACGAAGCTTGGCATGACCGCTAGTCATGTCATTCTAACTAGTTTACATAGAATGTTCCAGTTGATTTGAAACTATTCACAGGATCATCAGCACTAGGGTCAACAGGATTAAGAGGATCCGGATCTTCATTGAAGATCAATAGCATAATATAAACGTCTACCTACTCATGAATAAAAAGGGTTTGAGGTGTTGGGCCTCAACCCATATTTAATTTCCGATAAGCTAATACTGTACTTTACAGCCTAACTATACCTAAATAAGATATTTGTGATGCTAAGATAGTAGTATTAATATCCCATGACCATACGAGACCTCGGGATCTAAATCCACCATCTGTACTTGTTTATGCATTGCATAGCATAATCCTGAATAGTTCATCAGTCCATCGCCAAGTCCATCAACATACATTTCATTTCACTGAAAAATGAAATCAATAGCATCATTGATCTAGTGGTGCTGTGATGCACAACTTCTTTATTATTCTATTCCAAGCTTTTTTATTTTTATTTTTTTTATATTTTTATTTTACTCTTGCAACTTTGATACTTACAAAGCTAGGTTTATGCTGGGAAAAGATACTCATGCCTGAATTCTAAGGTGTCTAAAATATATCAAGTTAACCTCTTTAGTCTACACATGGGTAACACCCGTGGACCTTATAATTCAGGTATCAAAACAGTAGCTAGAAAGACATATCTATCAAGATCAAGGGGATCCAGGAGTTGAAGGAACATCCATGTGTTTCGAAAACCAAACATCAAAAATTAGAATCTGTAAATCTGGAGAATATTTTCTTGTAATAGTTTACATATAACAAGAGGGGTATGACTAACTAGTTGATACCTAGGTAAAGCACATTATAGAGAGTTAAAAAGAGATAAAACCCTGCCAATTGATCTAATAAATCACTTAGATCTTCCCACAAACTTGCCCGATCTAATCTCATCCTCACCACGACGAGCAATCTCTTCATTCCACTGCGCACTTTCGTCCGATCCAAAAGCCTTGTCAACAGCCGAAGTAAGCGTTCCACGAATTGCCTCTCCAGCACCCTAGTTCTTATCAGAAATGTCCGCTCCAAATACTATAGTGTCTGAGGATATAGGACCACTTACATGAAGACCGGCTGCAGCACCCTTGACTCCCTTTCCAACGTCATTGCTCACTTTCGTGGACTTGGGCTCTCCCAAGCCACCTGCAGTTTCATTTTCCATGTAGACTCGCTGCTCGTGCTGATGGTGCGGTCCTCCAGCGGATGAGGAGGTATATCCAGAACCTGTGGCTGAATTGTAGCCCGTTGTGGCTGGGTCATATTGCGAGCGTGTGTCTAGTTTGCCTGGGATGCCGGGTGCTCCAGTTGAGGAACCGTGGGAGGGGATGGGGCCGGGGTGAGCTTTTGGGGTTGAAGATGTATCCATTTTAGATATAACTTGCACTGCATATAACGAAATAGAATTGAATAGAATATGTGACGATTAAAATTATCCGAAGAAGGCGAATTTATATAGATTCTGGTTAGAGTGAATGACGTCAGACTGACAGAGTTGCTCCGCTTGCATAAAAGACCAAGAAAATACAAGTTCAGTAGATCGAGATCGACTTGGTACTTTCTGTGTAGAAATTATGGAGTACTAAATGACATGTACTCTACCTAATTCCTAAGATAGGACTGAACTTTTGTACTACCCACCCACATGCCGAGGTACAATCTATAGTTGTGGAGCTTATTCCCAATCTGGGGATACTCCGAATGTCTATTGTGCATCTCCAGTTTTCCCAGTCCAATTTCAACTCTCTAAAATTTCATTCCTCAAATCAAACATACCACAGATCAGATCATCATAATGTCCTACAAGCAACTCCTCTACAGTATCCCGCCCGCTCCGGCCATAAATCCCTCCCTAACCTCCGGCACTTTCAAATTGAACATCGTCCCAAAACCCGACAATGTACCTACAGACAAGATCCTCGTGCGAGTGCACTACCTATCCCTCGACCCAGCCATGCGCCAATGGTTAACAGCCAAACGCTCCTACATAGCCCCGGTGGAACTAGGAGCCGTAATGCGCGGCCAAAGCACCGCCCAAGTCATCAGCGTCGGAAGTAACCTGAAAACCACCTTCAAAGTAGGTGAATGGGTCGTCGCATTTTCGGGATGGCAAGAATACGCCATCCTAGACCCCCGCGAAGTGCAGAAGGTGACTCTTCCACCTGGTGGGCGCCCGACAGACGCTATGTCCGTTCTGGGTATGACAGGCCTCACGGCATACTTTGGTATGCTGGAGGTTGGGCAACCGAAGGCTGGCGATACTGTTGTTGTCTCTGGAGCGGCGGGCGCGACTGGGATGGTTGCGGGTCAGATTGCGAGGATCAAGGGTGCGAAGCGAGTTGTAGGGTTAGCGGGGAGTGTAGAGAAGTGTGAATTCTTAGTGCGCGAACTTGGATTTGATGCTGCGATCAATTATAAAGATGTGGATTGGAGAAAGCAGTTGAAGGAGGCTACACCTGAGTATATTGATGTCTTTTTTGATAATACTGGTGGTGATATCTTGGATGCGTGCTTGGCAAGGGCTGCGCGGGATGCGAGATTTGTGATCTGTGGTGCTATCAGTCAGTATAATGCTGCTAAGCCGAAGGGTCCGGCGAGCTTCATGACTGTGATTGTGAGTTTTGTTCTTATTCCAACTCCCATTTTTTTTTTCTTTCTCTTTTTGTTTTGGAATTTTTTGCTAATCGTGGATTTAGTCGCAACGTGTCACTATCAAGGGCTTTATCGTTTTTGACTATGCGAAGAAGTACTCGACTGCGCTGCAGGAGCTGGCCTCTTGGATTTCGGCGGGCAAACTCAAGCGAAAGGAGCATATTGTTCATGGTGGGTTGGAGGCCGCACCTCAAGCTTTGGTTGATCTTTATGCTGGCGTCAACACCGGCAAGATGATGGTCGAAGTTGCAACGACTAGTGATGCACTGGGAGGAAAAGCTAAACTATAAATGTTGGAAGAGCATTGGGATGGAACCAAGATTTAGTTAATACGATTATGTTAGGATGATATGAAGGTTACTATTCTTTTTAGATTGGCTATGGTAAGTAAGCTCCAATAGCTACTGTACGCTAGACATTTTGGCTCGCAATCCTTTCAAGGAAAAGTGCAATCCTTGTGGCTGGTCCAGCTTCCATACTAGAATGTCGACAGTGGCATCTCGGACATTGTCCCGATACTATGCAGCACGCAATAAACGATGGATGTTAAATATATGACGGCACTAAATCAAAGTGTACCATCATAAGCCCAATTGCCCTGCTTCACAGATACAAACGCCATTGATCCATTCCGACTGAAGTATCTGCATGGAAGTGATTCGCTTAAGAGAATTGGGGTTTAGCATTGCGTAGATAGAATTTCGACGCCTCTAGAAATAAAGTCGATGTTAAGAAATGACTCTCGGGATTGAGGAAAATATCCATACCTGTCCAAGTGCTTCAATAGGGGGATAACCATCTTCCGTACGGCGACTCTCACGGTATTCCAAGTATCGAGAGTCCTCATGATGGGGACGTGCACTACGCCACAAGAGACGACCTGTTATTAGTGCCAGATAGATGATACCAGTAGCCCAGACATCCTCAGGTCTAGGATCTTGGATTTCATAATATTTATCTGCATTGCCCTTATTCTTATCTCTATGTCGAAATCCCTCCGGTGGAATGTAGGGTAGACCCATGAACGGCAACCAGGCACTCGAAGGTGCTTCATTACCAGGACCAGAGCTAGCGCCCCGAGGCAATAGAGTTCCATAGACGAACGATGAAAAAATACCAGGTAGAGAAAAAGACCACTGCGCTGATGTTGACGGGTGTGGGTGAGATGCCGGCTGAAGGGCTGGTTCCTCTTGCTCTACTGGAACCATGCATTCCGACAAAATACGACGCACATGTCCGTCACCAAAACCAGCAATTTTGACTGCACCATAGCCAGTGAGAAGAACTGTTTCCAAGCGGATGTTCCGATGGGCAGTATCATGCTCGTGTAAGAAGGAGAGGGCACCTAGGATTTGTGCCACGAGACAATCGGCTTCAACAGTTGGAAGAGGGCCGCTGCAGGAGAGTAGATCATGCAGATTTCCTCCTTCACAGTAGGGCATGACAAGACAGAGCTCAGCGCTATCATTGTATAGGAGATCGAGTATTGGAACGATATTGGGGTGTTGGGGATGAAGATTGGATAGTAGGGTAGCAGAGAAATGGGACATGTGATGGTCTGATGAGCCGAAAGTATTTGGCCGGTAGACCTTTATTGCGCGTAGCTGTTCTGATTTGGGACCTTTAGCAAGTTTGTCATGGTGTATACGGATGGTGTTGTTGGTGCCGTAGTGTGATATTTCTAGGCATCGACCATACTTGGCATTGAATGGGAGATATGGTTCTGTGTGGGCTTTGATGCTGGTATCGGAGGTTGTCTCAACTCTCATTAAAGGAGCATGATCTGTTGAATTGGAGACAACATTGAGTTGATCATTCTTGAGTGAATGTTTTATAACACTGAGAGAACGGTATTGGTCGTGATAATCAGGAACACTCCTTGCATGGGTCACATAGTGCTGGTGAGGGACTTGGGATGATCGCCGCACAGCTTTCCAGGCGTTCTGGTCAAAATGGTGTTTGTCCTTCATCGAAAGGATTGAGATAAGGTTGAGAATGAAGCAAACGATCAAGTTGGAGACCACGTTTAAAAGGGGATTGTTGTGCGAGGTTCATCCTGGCGCATTTAACGTGAAATATTATTCCACGTGAAATTCTCAATGGAGTATAAAGATAGAAGAGCAAGTGACGGTCACATCTTCACCGCTTATATCATATCATCATAGGTATCATCATATCGACAGCATCCATTATGATCCATGGTTCAGCTTAGCTCCATTTATCGAATGGATTGGATATGACAAACTGCTCATCTCCAGTCTACAGATGAGCTATTTTCTATTTCCATTCAAATTTAGAAAATTATAGTATTCTCTCTGTGGATCATACAAAAGAGCTTTGAAGTGGGAACCATATAATGTTGTGGCGAGAATTAATCGCGCACATGGATCCATCTACCCAGCTACAGAGGCTGTGCACCAACTAAGCTGGAATTGTATGCGCCTTTTTTAATAGCCATCACAATGAGGAATCCATTTTTTCTTCTGTTGTCTGTTCCCAAGGAAAGTAAGACCGATGAACCAGAGAAAACATATAGAACTAGATGTAGTTGGTTACGTATTGTCATAGTGGGTTAATGGAAAAATTTGGTTGGATGTGAGAAGCTTCAGACAGTAATATTACCGTATTTACAATACATCCCAGGATGTTTTCTACATCGGAGTCATGCTCATCCTTGTTATGATAAGCTTATACCTTTCAGTATAGTGTACTTCCTATTCCATGGAAAAATCCTATTACATGCGGGTATTGCCCTGACTTGGAAGGTCCCAAACGAGAGTAAAGCTCCGTACTGTGGCTGATTTGCTCCTCTTGGTGGCTCCTGTCGCATGGCTTTTGCTCTTGCTATTGCGTACGAAATACGAATTATTCCTACTGTTAATGCGTCTACTTGAAAAATTAGGACAAAATCCTTTATCAAGTGGAGTGCTCTCATCTTATCTAGTTTTCCCCAGCCATCACATCAGCCTACATAAGACGTTGATCCGCATTTACCTTCCTACACTTGTCACCCCATTTCCATCTCCAAAGCAGTCCCTGCACAGGCTACTTGCCTTTTCTTCATATACCAATCCTCATGGATCCTGCTTCCTCCCTTGGTAAAGATGAGATCAGCGTCGAGGCTGAGGAAATAGAGCTGAGGGCCGCACGCAATCGAGTCATCAACTTCGAAGATTCGTCCACTGAAGCTGAGGCAGGGCAAGTTGAGGCAATGCGTTCAATATACCAGCCAGCTCAGTTCATACGCACGAAATCCATTGGTTGTGAAAGTACCAACAGCCGGAGAGAAGCTGCTGGGAATGTTGGATTTCCCATCGAGTTCCGTACTCTCTCTATCCAGATCTCTGAGTCCCAGATTGTCTCGAAGCAGACATCCCAAGAGCCAGATAAAAAGAAGTTGCCAAACCAGGATTACTTTGAAAGCCTTGATTTCCATACCATTGACAAGGAGAAGCTCTGCCAGGAGTTCAATGTCGACGTTCGCACTGGCCTGAGTGTGGAAGCTGCTTCAAAGCGTCTTCAACAAAATGGCCGAAATGTTATTGCTCAAAATCATGAAAATTACCTTAAGAAGATATTCTTCTATGTCTTCGGTGGCTTCTGCTCTGTGTTGTGGGTTGGGGTCATCATATTCTTCGTCTGCTGGAAACCGCTAAGCAACCCACCATCTGTGACCAACCTTGCCATGGCAGTCTTGGTCATGATTGTTATTGCTCTGCAAGTCGTTTTCTCTGTTTTCCAAGACTGGTCAACAAAAAGGGTTATGAATTCTATCTTGAACCTTCTTCCCTCGGATGCCTTGGTCCTGCGTGATGGGAATCTGATTCAAATTCCCGCTACCGAACTTGTTACCGGAGATATCGTCCACATCAGTATCGGAAACAAAGTACCTGCCGATATGCGCCTGCTCCAAAGCTCGGGTGATGTTCGATTTGACCGCGCAATTTTGACAGGAGAGTCGGACGAGATCGATGGTGCTACCGAGCCAACTGAAAACAACTTCCTCGAAACCCGGAATATTGCTATGATGGGAACTGGTGTTACAAATGGTAATGCCGTTGGTATCGTTGTTCTGACGGGTGCAAATTCGGTCATGGGCCGAATTGCCCATATGACAGCTGGTGTCAAGCCAAAGCCTACCATCATCCAGAGGGAAATCACCCGTTTCGTCATGATCATCATCGTCCTGACCATTATTCTCGCAGCGATTATCTTGTTTACATGGCTGGGATGGCTTCGCAAGGATCATCCTACCTACATGAGTGTGGTTGCTATGCTGAACAATGTTATGGGCTGTGTTGTCGCTTTCATTCCCGAGGGAGTCCCCGTCGCCGTTGCCCTAACACTGATGATGGTCGCCCGCCATATGAAGCAGAACAATATTTTGCCCAAAGGACTGGCAACTGTGGAAACTCTGGGATGTGTGAATGTCATCTGCTCTGACAAGACTGGAACCCTTACGCAGAATCGCATGTTCGTCAAGTCTCTTGGTATGGTGGATTGGGAGTTCAAAACCGAGGACTTGGTATCTGACATGGAAAGTTCCGAAGGATTATCGAACCTACTGCGCGCATCCGTCTTGTGTAATGATGCGTTCTTCGACACGACCACCCTATCCCTACCAACGCACGCGCGTAAAGTCAATGGAAACGCCACCGACGCTGCCGTTTTGCGACTTGCAGATAGTGCGGGTGCTGCAGCTCCTCAGAATCTCGAGCCTTATGAGCGTGTGCACCAGATTCCGTTCAACTCCAAGAATAAATGGATGCTTACCATGCATGTTGATCCGGTTGTTTCATCTAGATATGTGATCTACGTCAAAGGTGCACCAGATGTTCTGCTGGATCGCTGTGATACCTACTGGTCTGCCATTAATAATGCCGTCCGCCCTCTAGATGAGCAGGCCCGTCAGAAGCTTTCTGATTTCCAGGCCAAGCTGTCCCGTCGTGCTGAGCGTGTGATTATTCTTTGCCAGCGCCACTTCGTGCCAAGCAACGAGCTCGGGTCCAATGGGTTTAGTGATGAGATCATGGTATCTGGAGTTCAAGATCTGACAGTACTAGGCATATTTGGTATCATTGACCCACCTCGTCCTGAAACTGCCCAGACTGTTGCTTCTTGCCGACGTGCAGGAATTCGCTTCTTCATGGTGACTGGTGATTTTGGACTGACAGCTGCTGCGATCGCACGGGATATTGGAATTTTTGAGGGTCACGCTGAGCCGGACCTGATCGGTGATCTACGCGATAGCCTCGACGCGGAGTCCAAGATTCATCACTCTCGATACAGCTTGCTCTTGGAGGGAGGAAGTTTGTCCTCCTTAACCCAAGAAGAGTGGGCGGCGGTCTGTTCATACGAGGAAATTGTCTTCGCCCGTACCAGCCCTGAGCAGAAGCTGCGCATTGTGACTGAGCTCCAGGCCAAGGGAAACATTGTGGCCGTGACTGGTGATGGTGTGAATGATGCTCCAGCTCTCCGTTCATCTGATGTCGGTATTGCAATAGGCTCTGGTAGTGATGTGGCCATTGAAGCAGCTGACCTGGTCCTCCTGGACCGCTTCGATTCTATCGTTGAGGCAATTCGTCAAGGACGTCTGGTGTTCCAAAACCTGCAGAAGGTCATTGCATACCTACTTTCCGCCGGCAGCTTTTCAGAGATCTGGCCTGTCCTCATGAACGTCTTCTTCGGCATTCCATCGCCGCTAAGTTCATTCCTGATGATCGTTATCTGCGTGTTCACCGATCTATTTCTCTCGTTGTCACTGATTATGGAAAAGGAAGAATTTGACCTTTTGAGTATCCCACCCCGTCGCCCCAAGCACGACCACCTGATCAACCTCCGTATTTATGGCCAGTCATACCTATTTGTCGGTGTGATGGAGGCATTTAGTGCACATGCCATGTTCTTTCTTTACATGTGGAAAGAGGCCGGAATATCCTTCAGCGACCTCGTTTTCGCATTTGAGAAATACTCCGACGGCTTCCACGGATACACCCAAGATGAACTCACCAACTTCAACAACGTCGGCCAGTGTGTCTACTTCGTCACATTGGTGATCATGCAGTGGGGAAATATCCTCTCAGTTCGCAACAAGCGCCTGTCTATCCTTCAGGCCGATCCCATTCGACCGGCACGCCGCAATCCCTGGCTACCGCTGGCTATGCTCACTTCGCTGCTTATCGCCATATTTGTCACAGAGGTTCATGGAATCCAGAGACTTTTCAATACTGCCCCTGTTCCTCTTGAGTATTGGTTTATTCCCATTGGTTTGGCCCTTGGTGTGCTTGCCATGGACGAGTTGCGTAAGGCGTTAGTACGGTTGTTCCCTAAGGGACCAGTTGCTTGGGTTTCGTGGTAGAATTTGAGGAACGAAGTTACGATTTATCCCTTATTGTTCAGCTGTTGGTTTGGTGGCATGTTTATCAGCTTCATTATTTTATCTTAGCTCAGTTAACCTAGCGACGAATGTCAGGTCATCACTGACTTATGTACGTCAATTCCACTTATAAAGTAGGCCATACGTTGGTAATAGAGGTTAATAGAGCTGTAATTGAGATTTAAGAAGGTTGCCATTCTGAAAGATGACTGCATTGTTGATGTTTTGATGATTTGGAGATTTTGCAAGAAGCCGCAACGCGACTGTTGGAATAAACCTTACCCACATGGAAATTCTACTGAAAGATAAGATATCAGGTGGAAGACAAATACAAGCAAAATAACCAAATATTATCTCTAAAATCTAATAGCAAAGGACTACAAAAAATGCACCACGTCGCATTCCACCCGCCATGAGTAATGAAGTGAATGGAACCAATATCCAGTGGCAGTCAAAACATTAATGATAGACGAAGAAGAAGAAAAAAAACAGCATTTGCCATACATAATGCGCGACTAAAACAAAGACCCAAATTTCCTCCCAGCTTTAAATGATCCAGCAGACCCAGCTTGATTGCAACAAGCCCTTCAATCGACAGGTGGGCGCAGGACTCACAGATGATATACAGTAGGACAAGCTTAGTGAACGTGGCCAATGTCCGTCTCGTAAGATAGAATATTATAATTCTGAGATGAAGGGGACTGATAATTTATAGTAACATGATTGAAGAAAAAGGCAAAAAAATAATTAAGAGGATATGGAGGAAGCCAGCTATAGTCTGAAGCGCGACGCTAGTCCGGAATAGGTCAATGGTTCATGTAGAATTTTGTCACGTGATGGATAGAGCTTGTCAAAGGCCCGATTCCATTTACAGTTAGTCTATTTTTAGTCAGCATTGGAATCCCACCATGGGATTCCCACCATAGCTACACATACACACATACGCATACTGCACTCTCATTTGCCCACTAGAATCCACTATTCCTTTGGTAGTCAGACCTCCATTTGACAGTTATGAGCCCGGCTCGCCGATAATTACCCTAAGAAAGAACATTTTAGGGGTAAACGAGACTGAAAACCGTGTCCGCGATGTCCGGCGATATACGGCGATATAAGACTGAAAGACGCCTCACAATGGCAACAATGGTACAGACGAGTCAAAGCTGTAGCCATTGGCGGCGACGTCTGGGACTACTGCGATCCTGAACTCAGGACCGAACGACCAACATTGGGTCCAGAGCCACTAGACTACCCGCCTAAACCAATGCCTTTACCAAATACAGACGATATTTCGGTAAAGAAGAGCGAACAGCTACGACGGGAATGGAGAGATGACGTTGAAGACTACAAATTCCGCCTCCTATTCTACCAGACCAAGAAACGAGCGATTGAAGCGGTGAACGATTACATCCTAAAGCATCTCACCAAAGCTCTGGCAGAAGGAGGCCTCTAGAGTGCTCTTAGGCCTTGGCCTTACACAAATACTAGAGGATCCATGCGTTTTTATTGGTGACGGCGTCATAATATTCTTCTATGTTGACGACTTCCTGATCGCCAGTCATAAAACGAAAGCCAAATACGCCAAACAGCTTGAATCAGAGCTTGAGAAGACGTGGGAATTGACAGACCATGGCGACGCAGAGTGGTTCCTAAACATACGCATCGTGCGCGATCGTAAACGATGCCAGCTCTGGTTATGCCAGGACAGCCATATTGACAGTATGGCTGCCCGTTTTGGCCTAAATAACCGACCGTCAGTGGCTACACCAATGCCAATTGAAGAGCTCTTACCTTACGACGGAACTATAACTCCTGAAATGATCAGGCTATACCAGGAGAAAGTGGGATCGATACAGTATGCAGCTACTATAACCAGGCCTGATGTGGCCAAACCAGCCACTAAACTGGCCCAATTCCTGCAGAAGCCGGGTCCTAAACACCATGCAGCTGCAGATAGGACCATCATATACCTATTCCATACCAAGAATAGAGCAGTCAGATATGGTCTTGGCCACCATTCTGACCATTCCGGTGACGATCGAAGCGCTTTTACCAGCCACACTTCCCACACCGACGGTACCAATGACCCTGTTTTCGGCCGAAAACCAGAGTTATTCGCAAAACACCATTCCACTGGCTCAATGGTACTAACCATAGCCAGTGACGCATCTTATGGAGACCATTCAGACCGTAAGAGCTCTGCAGGCATGATATGCATGCTCTTCGGTGGCCCAATCGACTGGAAAGCGTCCAAACAGAAGACAGTGACGACGTCCACTACCGAAGCAGAACTGCTTGGTTTGTCTAACGCAGCCAAAACATTGAGTTCCTAATATAGTCGTTCCCCCGTGACTCGGGGGTCTGTTTGTTCCGTTCCGGGTTTATGGTATTGCACGATTGCAATATCCATGTTCCGACATTTATCCTGTAAATCCATATTGGCGTACGTGCGTGCCTCTTTCCAGGGCACTATCCAGGTGCCAATGGCGTTCGTTGGCGTACGATTTAGGATATAAACCACAGCCTTTACCGCCTCTGGCCATAGGCTGATGGGGAGACTGACGAAGTCCTCCAGGGGGAGATTGGCGTCATACAAACAACAGACGCCTTACAAAACATCTTACAAACGACGATGCCAGTTGAAGATACAACGCATTTAGACCCAACTGAGCAGATAGATGCACCAGCACCACTAAATAGCCAGGATCCTGGCCAAACCAGCCAGCCAAACAGTGCTAGTGGACCATTTAACAGCCAAACGGTTCAACCGACTGACGCATCTACTGGAAAAATTGATGCCCAAAGACCACTTTTCGGCCGAAATACTGGCCAAGTTGAGCCAAATACACCACGATACCCTACCCCAACAGAGATAGATTGGCTGCCTGGGACGTTCCCAGAAGAACCAATTGAGCCTGATACGCCTGGCGGCGCACCTGAGTCGCCTGATTCGCCAGAGTCAGTGCCAAATCAAGGGGTGGAGGTGGCTCTAATAGAGCCAATTGAGGGAGATTTGCCCCTTTTCTCTAGGAGGGCCCTGGCGCGTGTAATTATGGTGCCGCCTGCCCGTTCAATTGGACCATTCATCTCAGGTTGTCCTGGGATCGAATGCGTTACCAGAATACCTTGGTTATCCAGGAAATGCTCTGCAGTGATGTCTGCAGCTTTCTCATTATCGTAGTGGATTGCCCGTATAGGTAGATTCCACCAGTTCTTTGCCATCTCAATGAAGTATCGAATCGCGTCATTTATCTGCGTTTTTGTACGGCAGGTGATGAGCCAATGAAAATGAATGCCGTCGACGTAAAAATGGCATATCCAACGCTCTTCATTATATGCGATTGACATCTGTATCAGGTCTAGGGAGATTTGTCCGAATCGACCATACCTGCGTCCTAGAAAGCGACGAAATATCTGTCTAGGAGCTCTAATAAGGCTGCAGACTGGGCATGGGCTCTGTATTTGGCCGTTCGTACGGTCACTGATTGGTTCAGTATGCATCGTTTAGGCAGTTTGGCCTCTAGTCTGGCCGCCGACTGGGCCAGTTGGGTATGTTTTATCTGTCAAAACGGCGCCGTCGACAAGCTTGGGTAGTTGGTGTAGGGCATCATAGTGTAGGTGGCCTAGGCGACGGTGCCAGAGCTCTAATGATGTCTTAGACTCTAGTGGTCTTCTAGAATCCCTACCCATGTATGCGTGTTTTTCTGCCGAAAAGTTTTCGCCTGAAGTCTTTTCGGCCGAAAGCGGCTCGACGATCAGTAAATTTGGATTTCGTATCCTCTGAATGGCCAGGACAGGTGTTCTGTCCCTACCAATAAGACAGTCTTTTCTTGGCTCCTAATCTCCCCCTTTATCGTTCAGGGCATGGTATGAGAGTAGATTCAATCTAAACTCTGGACTGTATAGAACGTCTGAGAGTATAATTGACGTAGCTCTCTTGGTTTTTGGGTCAATCCCATTGACCTCGCACTGTCCCGTTGTCCCTTACCTAGGGTTCGTCACCTCTCCATTCCCGTCGTAGCTGTTCGTTCTTCTTTATCGAAATATCGTATGTAATTGGTAAAGGTCTTGGTTTAGGCGGGTAGTCTAGTGGCTCTGGACCCAATGTTGGTCGTTCGGTCCTGAGTTCAGGATCGCAGTAGTCCCAGACGTCGCTGCCAATGGCTACAGCTTTGACTCGTCTGTACCATTGTTGCCATTGTGAGGCGTCTTTCAGTCTTATATCGCCAGACATCGCGGACACCGTTTTCAGTCTCGTTTACCCCTAAAATATGCTTTCTTAGGATAATTATCGGCGAACCGGGCTCATAACTGTCAAATGGAGGTCTGACTACCAAGGAATAGTGGATTCTAGTGGGCAAATGAGAGTGCAGTATGCGTATGAAAAGTGTATGTGTGTGTGTGTAACTATGGTAGGAACCCCATTGTGAGATTCCAATGCTGACTAAAATAGACTAACTGTAAATGGAATCGGGCCTTTGACAGAGCTACATAAGCAGACCCACTTTTACCCCAGATTCTTGGCTCAATTTACTTTTTGTTTTCTGCTCGGCATTATATTGATTCCTATCCTATCTACAAAGCACCACTTGATTTGGACGAACAGTAAGCTAGGTCGGTGATAGTTCTTCGTGGGACATAACTCCGAGCGATTGAAATTGTCAATATCTGCAGTGACTACTATTAGCTGGCCCAACAGCTGACATCGGCCAAATGTGCTCATGCCACGGCTGTGCTGAAATTTCAACGGCTTAGGGGCTCTAACGCAGTGGCAGCCCTTGTTTAATTTACAGGGTCATGGGCAAAGCGACCTGCGGTAGATTTCATACTAGTTGCCAGGGTTCCTAGGCTGACTGAAGATGATGAGCGAATAAGTGGTGTTCGTTAATTATGTAGCTGATATTTATATCACATTATCTGAAAATCTTGGAAATATTTCAAGAGCAAAGAGCGACAAATGATTTGATGCATTACAAGGTTATATACGGGCATACCTAGGTTGTAGTTCGATGCGGGTTTGAAGTCTTGATACGATTTGCACAGCAAGTTGTACTCGAAATTGATCCGGACACCTAATTTGATACCATTTTTTAATACTACAGTCAAATACCAAAATTAATAGCAGAATAATGATTAATGGGGTTTGCACTTACCATGGCGGTACAAACCACAAAAAGCTTTATGGACACTCGTTGAACAATCACCCAGAACCTTATATGGCTAATCAAGACTTTTGACGTAGAATGTATGATGGAGGCAATAGGCTCATCAGCCCGGGCCATTCGGTCCATTCTGGCCCGTCTCTGGAATAGGCTAAATCTCGTGACTGTAAACGCCGAATTTACCCACGTGCAGGTGTTGCAGGCTTGAACCTCTCGAAGGAGTGTCGCTAAATGTACAGTCCTGAAACCCGATGCATGATTGTTACTATACCAGGCAGACCTCATGATGCCGTCGCTTGTGATTTCACATAGCTTCTGCAAGTCCACTAGAGATATTCTCTTTATTTAGATGTTGAAGCGTACAAGGCATATATTGTTCGAAAAAACCTGATGAATCGTGGATCCCCAATACCCTTCCTCCTGCCCGAACCGAAACTTGACCCATTGTTGTGGGGTGGAAGTCGGAGTCTGGGAGACTAGAAACAGGCTCCTGGCAGACGCATCTTGGTGGATGGCGAATAGTGAGGATACATCCATGTTGTTATAACTGTGTCGGTCAATCGGACTGTTGCAGAGATCACGTTTGAATCCATTGTGCCCAAGTAGCCACTTTTGATTTTGCGCAACAGTCGGCCTCGCTATCAGATAAGCACACATCAGTCAACTGTGGTCTCCCGGCCAGCGGTCTGAACCAGCCGATTACTTCTGTACCTAATACTCCGCTTATAATTTCCTCAGAAGAGCTCCCCCGGGGAAGCTGACCCAAGAATTCCTATTGCCTCCCTGGAGTGGATTGCGTGGCTCGCATTCACATGGCGTTAGCAATTTCTTTTAAGTTGGTTTAGGGTTCCAGCTTTTTCTTTTTCAAAGCTTATATTAGTATTCAGTACGATACCCAGTTTGCTGTTAGCAATTGAACTATAGAAATTGGCATTATTCCCCTTATGATCCTATCTTCCTAGTCTTTTTCCTAGGCGCCACAATCCTAAGTTCTCTCATAAAACTCTTAGGGGTTGTCTGTAGCCGTGACTCGATTGTAGCTCGAGGACAGTTCCTTAAGAACGACTGTTATCATCTTGGAGATTCCTGATTCTATCAGCTATGCATCGTTCTTAGGGGGTATTTGGCTGTATGTCTCGACGGGCATTGTGCCTAGATGCTCTTTGAATGCTTTCGGGAAAATAGTAGCAAGAAAGACTTATTGCCGAGACGGACTCAATGCAGCAAAGAAACACGAAAGTAATGAATAATGCGGGGGTGACGAGTCCTGATTCATGACATGGACTTTGGACAATACCTACTATGGTATGGCCCTGTGGAGTTGTTACAGTACTTCCTCGACCCAATTTTCTGCCATATTTTAAATACCGGCTTTACACCTCTAGCTTCAGTGGTATTCCTTTAACTCTACTGGGAAATCATCGGACAAGGATATCGTTCCTTCACAGCTACCCCACCACCCCTTCTTTCCCCTCTCACATTCTCTCTCTCTCCCCCTCCATCATCCCCTTTCAGACACATCATGCCAACCGAATACGCCCTGAAAAGCAATTACCGCGAACAAGAGGTGGCAGTCCACTCTGCGGACCTTTACCTTTTGGTATTGACCTAAACCCCCTTTACGAAAGAAAAAAGTGCGCTAACAAATGTTTAATTACAGCAAGAATGGGATGACGGACTTGCAATTTCCGATAAAGACCAGCGGTCTAAAATTTTTAACAAGTGGCTGGAGATTGGTTTGTCGGGCCGGATGGTTAGTCCTACCCACTCCCCAGTGCATCATTTGACAATGGATTGTAGCCATATACAAAACGCCTCGAGGAGATGCATTCCAATGATGAAGACATTGCCGATCATGAAAAGGATCTTCTTATTCGCGTCCGAGGTATCCCTGCCCTTCAAGCTGTTGGTGATATGTGTATCGTACGAACGTTCTACGGTGATGGCTCAAATGAGGCATTTGACGAGATGATCCGTTCAACCGAGTTCGATGGGCCATCATATACAGTTTTAACGACCCCGCCCTCTTGGATGAAGGATCAAAAGACGGGTTGCAGTCACTGCATAATATCCTGATCTTGCTACCACAAATCATTGAAAGCTCAGAAGGTCTTATGACTCAGTGGGCAGATGGTATGGTGGAAATTAAAGAAGAGGCTAAACAGGCCGGCCTAGCAAACTTCCCTCCAGAGGAATTTGACCAAGAGGACTTTGACCATCATATGGACATGCTTCAATCTGCAGCCCAATTTGGACATGTTTTGGTCTATGATAAAGAGGCTCATAATACTGGTGGGAGCCTAATGATGCTCTATTTGGACAATCTTGGCCGAATAATACGCCATTCCCGGTTAGACGGATATGGGGAATTGACTGATGTTATGGGTCTATTCCTCGCAAATTGCTACGATGAGGGGACTTTCCCGTGGGAGAATGGGGAACCTGGTGAGCACTGGAAGCCTGATCAGATGGCTAAGCGATGGGGCGAAATTGAGCCTCTGGAGGAAGTATAGTGTAGCAATGAACGATCCGAGCCATCGTATTTAAAATGTATTTTACACACATAATACATAGCTATAATTTTAAAAATGTATTATACTGCTCCACATTCTACTCCATATTCTACTAAGTCAAATACACCAGAAAAAGGTAATAAAAAACCCGAAATATATTCATTCTTTAACTAGAACTTAGTATAACCTCCATTCGCGTCGATAACGGCCTGGCATCTTGCCCCCATAAGGCCAATCTGCTCTTCCAAAAACTCCTCTGGGACAGCATCCCAGGCCTCTTTCACCACCTCACGTAGCTTATCATAAGAAAGCTGCGTATCAACACGAAGATAATGCCTCCCAATCCAATCCTTCATCCAGTTCCAAACCATTTCGATAGGATTTAGATCCGGAGAGTTGGCTGGCCAAAATATAGGATGAATTCTGCGGCAACAGAATTCTTCCATTGTTTCCGCCGCACGATGAGCAGGGGCATTATCCTGCATAAATAATAAATTCAAGTCTTCTTCTTCCCACACAAGCTTTGTTATACCTATAAAAATCAATAATATATATCAAAAATAAGCTTCATCATACTTACCTTCCACTAAAGGAACGATTCTCTCGCAATAGCTCTTGCTCCTAATGGTCCCCCATTCCTTCTCCCAGAAAAGACAAGGCCCTTTCTTGGCACCATAAAAGCTCCCCCAGAACATCCACCCAGGATCTCGCTGAAGCCATGTACGCATACACAAAGGATCCCAAACTTCATCAGGTTTCCGGGTAACCCAGATTCGTCGGTGAAAGACCGATGTCACCCAGGTCTCATCGGACCAGAGAACTCTACCCCATTGCTCCCTTGTCCAATCAACATGTGCCTCAGCAAATCGGAGGCGAGCTTCCTTTGTTTTATCGGTCAAAAGAGGCTTCCGAAGAGCAATACACCTAGTATAGCCCCTCTTTTTCATAGAAGAACGAAGCGCTTTCCAACCAACATCGAGTTCAAGATATCGAACAAGCTCTTTCCAGCTCATTCGGCGGGCAAGCTCAGAAGAAGAGATAAACTCTTCAATCATATCTAGCTCAGGAGTAGATAACTTAGCGACAGCACCTTTCCTTTTACGCGGTGTAGGCCGCGAACCCATACAGGCACATTGAACCTGCCGAGGGCTTAAGCCTGTCTCAGCTGAAATTTCAGCATAGGTACGCCCTAATTCTCGTAAAGAACGAGCCAATAAACGCTCCTCTCTAGTAGCCGGAGAACGAGCTTTTGGTGTTATAGGAGGAGGAGGAGAAGAAGGAGGAGTCTCAGGGATCTCTAGCTCAAGGATAGTGAACACCAATGGTATTCCAGTCTGGGGCGTTACATTGCCCACCGGCACCTCTAGTGGCAATCTCTACATGACTAGGTCAGTGCGACAAACACCGTTCCCAGTTGTCATCACACCGTAAGTCTCCCTCCTTCATCTCAAATATCTATAAAGCTCCGATTGTGCCAAATTTTGCTACCTCTGTAATTTGGCCGCAATCTAGAAAGTACTCCATAATTAACATACCTTTTTCAGTGTGATCGATGGAACTACACAAATCAATGGAGCCACAACTACCTACACACAGAATGCGTCAACCTTTATTTGGAGCACATATACGGACTATAAATCTGGAGAGACAGTTACACTTGGAGGTTCAGCCACAGTGGTTAGTGGCACAACTTTAGCCCCTACTACGACTACTATCACGCCCCATCCCTATCCAACAGCAGTCGCATCTACCACCGACCGAGTCTTGAACACCGCTCTAACCTCTTGGACTCCGGGAAAACCGTTAAACCTAGTACAACTAGTACTTCAAGCCGCGGCTCACCATGTAAGTCTACTCTATTCTGTTTATAAGAAGTTTACTCACTCGTATTTCAAAGGCTTCCCTTTTTGCTTTTCAAATTGCCCAATTTGTTTTCCTGGTTTCGGCATCGATACGAGTAGCAGTGGTAGTGACAGTAGTGGCGGCGGTAGCGATGACGACGATGGAGATGGGAGCAGCTCCTCTAGCAAGACTTCTACTTCTACATCTACCTCCACTGAGGAGAGTACACAGACAGCCGCCGGCGGTGCCGATTTCACTCTATGTGATTTTCCCACCACGGTAGCAGCGAGCAGTGATTTGGATGCTCTTAGTTCCTCGCTGAGCTCAGACTGTATGCATATGCGGCTATTACTAGCACCAGCACCACAACAAAGTCAACCACAGCATCCAGTGCTACATCTACCACACCTACTATCTATCAGTATACAGGTGATGAATGTGACGACCCTCTTGAAGAAATTTTTGAGCTTGATCTTGATAGCTGTCATTCTATATCTTCTACTATAAAATTAGTCAAGGTAGAATATGACGACTCGATCTATCAGGCTGAGTTATGGGCAGGAGAGGAATGTACTGAGGGTGGTATAACAGATATTGCGCCTTCTGGCGAGTGTATCTTCGTGATAAATACTTTAGGTCTTAGGTCTATGAAGCTTCTTAGTAAATAATTCGATGTGAACATTAAAAGTATCCTATCCTATCCTATATCATTTTCTTACCAAGACTGAATGCTCAGCTCTCAGAGACGTGCTCAGTTCTACTCATTGAGCAAAAGCAGCAAGGGACGAACACTAATACGGAAGGTAAATGCCAAGAACTGGCATGGAAAATCCGGTACATACTTCTGCACGTTATCGTATGTGGAAATAATTCAGATCATACCTTGACGCGGGATTTGTATCCTGGTCTCTCAGCCCTACCTTGGCGGCCGGCCTACCTCTGCCGCTTCCAAGGTAAATTAACCTGCTGATTCTACCTGAGGTTATTCTATTAGCAGTAGTAATTCATGTAAGCTTACTTTCCAACTTCAAGGCAGTCCACTAACCCAAGTTTGACGATGTGGTAGGCTTCGCTACCCACCGCCATACAGCACAGAGTGCACGTGGATACATACCTTGCATGAGCAAAGACATGACTGATCAGAAGTTCGTAAAGAGTGCTTCTCATTCATCAATGAAATCCTCAGCTCTGCGGGGAAGAGCTGAATAATACCAAATATGGTTAAGCGCCGGGACGAAGTCCACAATGGCTTCGGGTGTTCGCTCAGAAGTGGATCTGAATTGAATCGGGGTCCAGGACTAGGCGCCAATAGCAGGAAGCAGCCTCATGGATGTGGATATGGAGATGCAGATGCAGGATTTCTTGAGATCGATGGGGCAACCGCTCCACGTCTACGAGGCAGATGAGGGGTCTAAGCGGTTGCAAAAGAAAATATGGGAGTGCATAAATACGAGTTCGCCTTGTCTCATTTCAGGTCTCAGACCTGTTTGTCCTCATTCTTATAAGATCATTCTTATAGAGACCCCATCTTTTTGAAGGGATATCACCCCTTCTTGATTTGCTTTATTGCATTCACCATCTTCATGAAGTTCGATTTGGAGCTCCAGGGTGACGACTACATCCTCCGACAAAGGAAGGATGTAGAGCGAACTCCCATCTCAAAGCGCATAATCATCTGCTGTGACGGAACATGGCAGTCAGCCGTATCAGGGAAGAAGAATATCCCATCAAACGTGACCCGACTCTGTCGAGCACTCAACCGAGTCGGAACAGACGAAAATGGTAAAGAGTGGCAACAGGTAGTCTGGTATGACTCCGGAGTCGGCACGAGCTCAAACCCACTCAGCGACGTCATAGCAGGAGCCTTTGGTAATGGGCTGGAGACGAATGTCATCGAGGCATACAATTTCTGCGTGCTGAACTATAACCCCGGTGACGAAATAATGTGTTTTGGGTTCTCGCGCGGAGCATACACGGCTCGAACCATCGCTGGCCTTATCTCGGATGTGGGAATCTGCTATAAAATAGATCTGAACCGGTTTCCGGATCTCTGGGCTGTTTATAAGACTTTTCCGCATGGCGATCGGTTTCATCGGAGTGATCTTTGGTTTGACTGGTTGTGGGGGAAAGCAGATGAGCATCAGGGTGCTGGATCTGAAGGAAATCGGGAGCTTATTTGTGAGGAAGCTCCTCAAAGAGATTGGGCACAGGAGGGTTCGAGAGAGGTTAAGGTTGTTGGTGTTTTTGACACCGTTGGCTCGTTGGGAATGCCGGAGGTCATGGGAATTAAGTTGCCAACCACGCCGAACAACAGCTGGCACAATGTCGGGCTGTCAGATAGTAAGGCAAATTTTCAATTGCAGTAACATGACGCAAATGCTAATATGATACCTTCTAGACATCAAGAATGCCTTCCAAGCCCTGGCTCTCGACGAACACCGCAACGCATTCTCGCCATCTGTGTGGCATCTGTCTAACAAGACAGCCACACCAGAGGAGGTACAGCAACGAAGAGACGAAGAAGATCAAGCAGAGAAAGATTACTGGTCAACTTTGCAGCAAGCCAAGGATCTCAAAGCAGGAGGCAAGGCCACTGATAAACAAGTGAATGATGCTGCTCGACACGTCAATGAAGCCGCCAGGGCATGGAACAAGGCCTCTAGAGAACGTGTTATATTCCAGAATCGTCTAGAGTTGCATCCGACTCTGAAGCAGGTCTGGTTCCCAGGTTATCACATCCACGTCGGTGGAGGGTCAAATGACACGCTGAAAAATGAAGGCGACATGGAAGAGATGTCCAATATCACATTCCACTGGATGTTGGACCAAGTCAAGATTTATTTGTCACTTGATGAGCGTTATATTGCCGGAGAGCATCACGAGCGTGAATCGAACCTTGCAGCTATAAACTCGGCCTATACGAAGTGGAAGACGACAGAGCAATCTCTTGAGACGACATCGTGGGGCAACAAGGCATGGAAAAATATAAAAGCCGTGGCTTCAGCACTTAAACATCCACTATCTTTCTTCAATGAACCAGCTTACAAGGCGTTACGCGAGTATGGCTGGGGCACGGGCATTCTGAATGACAGCTTCACGGCAATTTACTGGCTCAATGGACAAAAAAGACGCACACCGGGCGAATACGCCATGGAGAATGGGGAGCCCCTTGGTGACACTTTCGAGTTTATTCACCCAGTGGTGAACTTCAGATACGAGAACTTCAAGAAAATTAACAGGAAGGACCACAAACATATCCTGTACTCGCCAATTGGCCCTGCTGTGAAGTATGAGCGCTGGAAGACGACGGACAGCAATGAAAATGTGTCCTTCGTTTATCACATAGGCAACTCGCCAAAACCAATTCCTGAGTGGAAACTTGGAGGGTTGGATGCCTATGAGCGATTATCTATCGCTGGAACTACGGCTTATGACTATGTCGATAATTTGGACGAAGAGCTCAAGACAGGAATTCGAACGATCCGTCGCACGGCTCGGGATAGGTCAGAATTATCCACTGAAGTCCCTGTTGCTGCAGTACTCGATACTGGAGACAACCATGTGGCAGAACGGGAGGAAATCGGTACTTCTGGTGTGCCTTCACCAACAGAAGCTCCTATTTCCGGTGTACTCGATACCGGGGACAATAAGACAAGTACCGCCAGCGTGTCCTCAGACGAGGAAGATTGGGGTAAAAGCTCCCAGGCGACAGAGTTTGACGGCAGACAATCGGGGAACTTTCACCCAGAAACTGTCGAGTCAAAGATCTCAAGCACACAAATTTGCCGAGACGCTTCACATGACCTGATCTCAACTCCCATCCATTGATGGTCACTTACGTTTTATATTCGGATCCAAGACTGCCTTGCTATAATATTTTTTTGATATGATGTTCGTTAATAATGTTCGTTAATAATGTTCGTTAATAATTCAAAAACAAGCATAATAAACACAGAGTGTTGATAGGGAGTCGGTTGCTATTTAAGCTACAAACGATCTTAGCAAGCTTCAATCCAGAATATAATATTTTGAGTTGAAAACAGGTGTGAAGAAGTGGATAAGGTGGAGTCTATGACAGAAGGGAAAAAAAAATGTAAAGCGCAAAAGAAAAAGAAAACCAAGAGCCAGCGAGCGAATTATGGAATATACACATAAAGCCAAGGGATAAATGAATCAACAACTGGCGTAAGGTGGCACGAAGCTACCAATGTCATTGTAGTCAACAGCAAATATAGTGTTGAGTCATTGAAACCACACTCCCATTAGATAACTAAGTGGACATCAGGTGGAAGAAGTTGGACAGATAATATAAAGTGGTGAGGGGATGAAGCGAAAGTATGCCTGCGGCGTGGTAAGGTGCAGTCACAGATATCAGATGATTATTGGACCCGAGCCTTTCCGGCTTCTCGTACGGCGGCCATGAACCCATCCTCGTTGCCTGCAGCGGTCAGGATCCAGTAATCAGCCACTCCGGCACTTGAGACTTGGCCTGAGAAGCCAGTAGCTGCGGGAGCACTGTGGCGGTCTTTGGGCTTCTGAGTGTTGACGCCCATATGGCGAGGACCCCAGCCTAGTATTTGGCACACAGCTTTACGAGATTCGTCATCTGGTTGGCTGAAGGATAACAGCTGGACTTGGAGACAACCGAGAACTGCGACGGCGGCGCGGATCATGATACGGTCACCTTCAAATACCCAGCAATCCCACACGCGAGACACGCGCTCAAGATCGAGGCCGTTCGTGAGGAGGGACTGGAAGATAGGTTCCCAAATTTCTTCATCTGACAAAAGGAGCGTCTGCTGAAGATGGTCTGCTAAGCGACCGAACTTATAACGTAAGGTATCAGATGCCAAGGAATATGTCCGAGCCATAGCCCCGCGATCCCAAGTGAGGAAGGCGACTGGAAGGGGCCGATTGAGGACATTAGCCATGGCAAGGAAAGCCGAACTGGGAGTAGGGAACTGGAGCACGAGAAGAGCCGCAATAGTGTGAAGACCGTGAACGTAGCCCACATCACTGCGGTACATCGAATAGGCTTGCAAAACATCAATCAGAATGTCCCTCAATGGACCACCCTTCCCAAAAAGGTTCAAGTCTGGGAATGCATGCTCCGCATCTACATCAATTGCATCGAAGCATTCAAGCATTCGCTTATTACTTTCAGATTCCGCGTCAGTCTTCGACCGAAGCTGCTTAGCCCGCTGTAACGCTTTCGTGAATGTCTCGTCAGTGAGTTCAAGTTCGTTGCCTATGGCACGCGCCCACGTAGATCCTCGGCTGCGGGCAGGGATACCACGCCACCAGAGTTCTCGGGTACGAGGTTGGCGCATGGCGCGGTCCCAATTTGGACTAATGACGTCGTCCCAAATGTTTTGGAGGGCTGCCCGTGTAGTGTCCTTCGCGCATTGTTCGGATGCTGCGCGGGCAGCTTTGCGTTTCTCAGCTTCACGAGACTGCTCCATCATCTGTTTATACTGCCTCAAGTGCTTCCTCTCTTCGCTCTGGTCCTTGGGTGGCAGCCAACTAGGGCGGGTCCGCGTGAGTACCTTCTCCTTCTCCTTGCTACATGGCAACGGGTCAATCATAATGTTCGATTTTTGCAACGGCGGCAACTGGATGTTTTCTTGCAACTCCCGTGGAGAATTGGAGGTGCCATTTTGGACTGCATCCTCGAGTTTGCGCTCACTATCGTCTGCATGGAATTCAAGGGCCTCAGTGATGATCTTTGCCTCTTCGGAAAGGTCCGAAAGGAAACTATTATAGGAATAAGTGCGGGGGTTACGCGGTGATATTTGACCCCGTTCCGGCCCAGCGGAACTCGAGCGCTGCGTATTGCGCTTCATGCGGGCGGCTCTGGATGCGTTGGATGTTGATGGGACTGGCGATACAGTAACATGCTCGATTGGCAATGGTCGTCGACCAGGACTGCGGCCATTCGGACTCGCGCTACGTGATGGAGCACGTTCTTGAACAGGGCGTGGGGAAATAGGAATGTTCCATAGACTGGCATCGTCGGGTAGATCATCGTCGGAGTCATGGTACTCGTCTTCCAATTCCTTCACAGTCTTGCGATTCGGTTGCCATGTCTGCTTATTATTTGACCCGCGGGAGGACAGAGGCGACAGAGCTAGACTAGAGCTACTAGCATTAGACTGGCTTGAAGTTGGCCGTAGTGGCGATGTTGATCGGGACCGACGAGACGGTTGTAAAGGGCTCAGGCCACCCGTTTGACCGTTAACTGTGTCTCTCCGATGCGGAGATCTTGCGGAAAGGGAGCTCGAAGGCTGCGAGGGGCGAAAACCTCCATGGAAGTTTTTGTTTTTTGGAGGCAGAGAGATTCGTTGCCTCGTCTTTGTCGCAGTCAGATCGCGTGTTGTGGCCGTAGGGTTCTTAATGGGTAATTTAGCGGCGGGCGACCGCACTGACATAGAGAAATCTGCATCGTCACTCAGACCGATTTCTTCGAAGTTGGAGACATCATTGAAGAGGCTTTCGGGTCCGTCAATATGCGATGAATGAAAGGAGGATGACTTCGAGGACTTGGAGCCGGACAGCTCGGGCGGAGAATTAGGTGCTGGCATTACGGTAGCCATGGTCGCATGTATATGTATTCAAACACACTGTTGCTCCACAGATACCATCGGCGTATAGTTCGATATGGGTGAGATAGGCAAACGATCGCACGCAAGATTCGGATTTCTATTTCGGTGATGATGTTGTTGCGGGTAGGACTTTGATATAATATAGAAACACAATAACCGATCGATCAACGTGGTACAAGCGAGAAGCGAAGTGCAGGCTCAGCCGCAAGCCTGATAATAACCAGATCAGGAGTTTGTGTTTGGCGGAAAGTTGTTTCAAAAAAAAAAAAAGAAGAATCAGGAGGCCAAGATGACAGGGTCAATGATGGGGCCGCGAGACAACCTGGAGTTGAAGTGGAGGAAAAGTGAATGTATGTGGAGATAAAGCCAAAGACCGGGAAAGAATCAGAATAACAAAAGAATGAGAGACTAGCTAGATAGATGAGAGAGAGAGAGAGGAAGAGAGAGGGAATGAATGGAAGGATGAAAACGAAGGTTGAAAGCGGAGCCTCAGGCAAGTACGGCCGGTCTGGCCGAGAACAGGGGGAAGGAGCAGACGGAACAGGAGCGCCAGATACATAAAAGGAACATGTGGACATCATTAATAACCCCCCTATTCCACAAGTACCTTGAAAGTACCTCTAGATGATTCTTTCTGCCGATCTTACATGAGATTCTTTTAACTTGTTTTTGCTCCATACTTAATAGTAGCAACTAATTCCTCGATCTATTATCCCCTGATCCAAATTTAGGAATCAGTCCACTCGGGTTTCTATCCAATTCTAGACGATCCACGGTTTAGTTTGATCTGGCGCATGATGCTTATTGGATAATTTTCATCAAAGCGGATAAATTGATATATTGGCAAGCCTTCTGCAAGCCGTCACTTAAAATTAAAAACGCCACGGCTTAAATAGTGCCGTTCCCTTCTTGACTACATGTAACATTCGTAAGGCTTCTGCATCAGTAGTTGGGCGTGATTCTCTGCCTGATTTGTCCAGCCATTGCAGCACTGGTGCATAGCGTGTTTGTTTGCGTTGAAATACAAACCGGAATGCGGCTGCAGCCAGATACTGGAGTTGATTGATATGCACTGGGCATGAGAGTGGAGCTAATTTTGATGCCCGCCGAGCTTGGATGATACCATGAGTCTGCTGAATTAGATCCCGGATGATGTTGATTATTATGGGCGAGTCAGGATGGGCACGGCCTCGAAGAGATTTCATGTACCGGTACATTTTCATAGCAGAGGTGATGAAACCACAGTAGAGGTTGGACAGAACAACACTTCGCGAATTATGAGCTCCATCGATATACATCGAGTGGAGCTGAAACCGAAGAGCGGTAACAACTCTGCGTTGAAAGGTCCGACCAGGAAGGCGGCTAGTCTCGACAGTCAATGTATTGGACAAGGTTGCGGCAGCTGAGTCGCCGCCATCCAGTAGACGATCTTGGTCTCGGTTGATCCCAAGTGTGTGTGTGTCAATTAAACACCCGCAGTAAGGGAAAAGAGATGACCCCTCGAGGCGGGGAATATGAACACCGTCAACCATTGTTGTAAAATTGACCAAGCTCTTTGCTGGGTTGACGGTCACGCCATACGAAGGCTGACCGCGTATCATGACTTGCAGAAACTCCGTTGCTTGGCCGATATCTGTGGTGACGAGAAGAAAGTCGTCAACGAGTCGCAGAAGCAGTGACTCTTCAGGTCGTAGGAATCCCAGCACGTTTCGTTCCAGCTCCGCGTAGAAGAAATTGCACAGCAGGCTTGACACAACAGAGCCCTGTGGAATTCCACTGCGCTGGCGGAAGTACTGCTTACCCATCTTGACCAAGTTGTTCCGCACATGTTCATCGAGCATTTCTATCAATGAATCGGTACCATGGGTTTTCTGGTTGATACTATCAATGAACACTGTGTTATCTTTCCGATGCGCCCGATTGGCCACAATTTCCGATATGGCTTGTTGCTTTCTAAGAGGTGCTGCACGCCCCAGGTACTTTCGCATTGGTCTTTTCCATGCTTCAGAATTTGAGAGATTCATCTCCACGTGCTTCGTGACCAGGTATTGCTCTTCTGAAACCAGATTTGCGATGATATGCAATAGTTTCTTTTGAGGGATTGTATCAAAGCAAGCTTGAATATCAACCTTGACGAAGAAGAGACGAGGAAAGCGACTACCTTCGATATTAGAAATGCGTTGTACCAACTGTTGCTTGAAAACTTTCAACCGAGGGTGCAGTTCTCCCATAGATTGCATTGCTGCCCCTGATTTAGTGGGAGAATGATCTCGCTCATAGTTCAACATGTTATAGACGGGAGCCAGATTTGAATTGATACTGGGTGCGAGATATCTGCGTTTCTTGTTATAGATGCTTTGCTTGAGAGCCCGTTTGCGAAGATTTAAGATAGGTCGTATGCCCGTTGATTTTGGAAGAAGACGAAGAGCACCAACTCCTAAAGAGCTGCTTGCAAGCATCCGCTGAACACTTTCTGGATCAAGTTCCTCAAACATGGTGGCCTTCAGTCGCAATAGAGGCTGCTCTGTTAGGCGTTTCCATACATCATGGCGAAAGTAGAAGAGGCGATATCGATGAACCTGCGATTCTGTTACGTAAAAGTTGGTCCGGATCAAATCCATCAGAAGGGAGTCAAAGATATAGAAAATGAATTCGTGCAGCAACTCTGTTCGTTTCTGCAAGTCTGAGAAGGACATTTTATCTTTGGCATCATCAGATTGCCGTTGGAGCTTGGGTGATACCAGCCAGGAAATACAAGTAATCTAAAGTAAAATCACGTCAGACTGGGTCCTTGCAAGATCAAATCGGGAAAACTAACCTTTAAGCCATTGCACAGCTCATGTAGACTGAGACTTTCATATCGTCGCATCTTGATAAACTTATCTACATTTTTCATAATAGCTTTGCGATTTGCTATGCCATCAACACCATCACCGAAAAATCGCGGAGGGATTAAGTTCTGTAGGACAGAACGGCAAAAAGCTGAAACCGAAGATGGGGGAGTTGCATAATCACCCATGCTGACTTTTGGCTTCGACTTTGGACTCTTCCGTGGGGTAGAAGCTTTGGCTTCTTGCCATCGTCCTTTTATTGACGCCTGAGTTATCAGTTTTTCTGTAGAAGAAGCCAACTCGTTGCCTGTGGTATCATCTGGTAAGGACGAGGGTGCGCCGAGTGTCCATGGAACATTTGCCTGATGGGGTTAGCTACTGAGAGACGGAATGAAGTGAAGAGGAGTAGCTCACCTCCATGGGGCAATAATATTCCAGCAGCGCCCGATATGAACATCGAGCATGACGAACTCGTAGACTTTTGGAAAGCTCAGTCGCCTTTCCTCGCAGTCGCTTTGGGCACTTTGAAATGGGATCCTCGGTATTCGCTGAACTTTGCTCCGCTGATTGAACAGGTCGCCGTTTTAGTGCCTGCCGAGATATTTTCTCTTCTCGGAAATTCGGAGCTGTGAAAGGATTGGTATAGTAATTTGCGTCTATTTTTCGGACAAAAACGTTCTGCAAGCCAAACTGTCGGGGAAAGATGTACTTCATCACATACATATCCTCAGCTGTCGAGTCCAATGACGAGAAGCGGTTCAAGACATCTATCCGATATGTAAATATGACCATCTGTAAATAAAATCCCTAGATAGATAGATATACATACGATTCCTGCTCAGTCCAGAGGGTTCCTTCTGATTGGAGTCAACTTTCGGCCGACTGTATAGTATGCGACGGCGGGACAGCACGATGCTATTGAGACCATAGGGTTCTCCTCGACTATCACCGCGATCGCGTTTCTTTTTTGTCTCTTTCTGACCCAAGTCCAGTCCATCAAGTTCTGAAAACCTCTCCCTGACTTGTTCCAGGGAAGACAAAGGTAGCCCTAAGAGCGTGTGAGTGGTGATAATGTATAGCGATAGATCCCACCTACCACTTAGTTGGTAGTAAATCCCCTTTGAAACGTTGATGGGGCTGAAAATGCCACAATCAAAGAGCAGCCGCATCATGATATCGTTACCATTCTGGCCCAAAAGGCCCAGGATATCTGTCCATGGAGCCTCTGTCAAGGTTCGGACATTCGGGTTGGGAAACTCAGCTACCAGCCCTGGGATAATGCTTTCCGGGCCATTGTCCCTCGAAAGGCGTTTGAAGCCATGAGTCAACAAATGCGGAGATTTCTGGTATGAACCATAACGATTAAAGAGTTGTCCGATCACGAATTCAACCACCTGCGAAAGACTTAGTACCCTCTACATCTGTCAGATTGTAATATGCTCAATGCGTACCTCAGACTGGGGAGAGTCCGGACCACTGTCTGTGCTAGCTAAGATTGACCGCGACTGGGACTGGCTGAAAGCAAGATAGCCCCGCTGGCGTTCGGAGTTGAGTTCCGGAGGTGATTTCTTCAAAACTCCCACCAGTGTGGAGTCTAGTAGGGTTGCCAATGGTTTGACATTGCTTTGCGCCGAGGCCTCGAGTGAGGCTATGCGTCGTCGTCGCAATTTGGAAGATCTCGGAAGTTGGTCCAGTAGGTACTGTCGTAATGTAAGGACATTTCGGTAGTACAGTGAAATCAAAGGGTGAGAAGTCTGGTTTTTTGGCACAATGGGGCCTTTGGAGGACTTGAAACGCCCAAGGGTTTTGGTGATACTCGTCTGAGACGAGGGCGTGGGACCGTGGGTCTTGACGGGTCTCTTCCGCTTGCTTCCCATTGTTGAAAAAGGGGATTGGAGAAAGGATTAATTTGGGGAATTCACGGAGCTCATGGTCCGATGGTCCGATGGTTTATGGTGTTCAGTAGTGAGGATGTGGATGCGAGGTGAAAATTGGCAGATGGGGTCCGATAAAATATTACACAGTACGCAACACAATACGAAGTATGAATCCAAGGTTACTGATGGGATCAGCAACCAAAATATCAAACCACGTTTTTCTACTTTCTAACCTAATACTGTACATATATCTTTTTTCTTTCAATGTCCGTACTTCAATCTAGAATATTTTCTCCACATCTCAATCCTACGATCTTGCGGACGAACTTGAAGCTTTGGGCTTCAATTATCGCCAATCAGGGCAAAGCGACATGGGGGCGAGGATTCATTGACCCACGGGAAGCCATAACAGGTCTAGAAAGGGCCGTTGTAACCGTCTCCACTGCGTTCCAAGGTTTGGTGCGAACAGGGGAAATGTGGAAATGTGTAGATGAAACAGTACACAAATACTTTGTAGTGTCGAGGACTGAGATGAATAGTCATCAATAATACCCAATACAATATTTAAATATTGCATACAAAAACAATAGAATGCAAGCAAAGAAATAATCTCAAATACTATTACACACTCAATACTCAATACCTAATACCCAATACCCATACCTCAATACCAAACTTACTCAAACTTTCGACTTCAAAGTCTAATTACGACTCGTCAATTTGTCCTGTCCTTCTTCAACCTTCAACCTCTCACCTTCTTTGTCGTCTACACCAACCGGATATCTGGATATCTGCCCCCCGTCTTTCCTTTCGTCTAGAACTGTGAACTGGTTTCGCGTTATCTTCTTTTACAACCACCTATCAGAAGCCACATCTGGTAGACGCCGAACAAACGTCAGCGCCGCTAACTCCCTCGCCTTTTTATTCGTCACTTTCATAATAATCCCTGCTTGTTACGGAGTTTGAAGTTGGTACATCCATATCTTAGGCTCAAGCAGCTCGATCTCCCATCTGCAACCATTTCCGACGCTACTCTGGTCTTTTCTGATCTACCTGATATTTCCCCTCAGAACCGAACCCACCTACTCTCCCTCTTTTCCCTCTTCATTTCTTTTGCGAAATATTGAAAACGAATTTGGAATCTGTGAAATATAAATCTTGAATGGGGGTGCACTACCCAGGATTGCTTTGTAGCCTGACTTCAACCAACAACTTCCCTGCCTTGTTGGGCGTTCGTCTGGAACAACGCATTAGTTCAACACCAACTCGGAATCACCCAGTGGAAAATATGCAAAATGTCTGGCAATATTGAGCAGGCTTCTGACATCCGAAAACCGCCTCCGTTTGGGCGACAATCATCGGCTCCGTCGTATAGCCAATCCCAGGACAGCGCTCATAGATCCTCTTCATTTGAGGTCCCACTTGTCGCACCATACTACCCACCCGTGTTCTCCTTTTGTTCGGACTTCGAATCAAGCCGCTCCGTGGCCCCAATTCTTCACGCTGACGATCCATCGGGTAAACGCTCAGGGCGCGAGTCTCCCAACCCGGACGATTATTATCGATCGGAGGGGTTGGTAGTGTTGGCGCCCAATGTGACAGTTGCGAACGACAACATGGCAACGGGCGATGCTGGTCTGGATGCGCAAATGTCTCCACTGCCACCAACCGTCGTAGAGTTGTCGCAACAGAGACGACCTGCTTTTCGATCAATCTCCGATTCGCCAACATTAGGAGGACCGCCCATCCTTGTCCCTGCAACACGTTCCACTCCCAGGGCACGACAATCTTCGTTCAAAGACCTCATCAACAAATTTAACAATACTTCCGACGAAGTAATTCCCCTTCCTACCGTAATATCAAAGACACCATCGCAATCAGTGACTTCTTTGGGAGTAACTGACGACATCAAGCGCTCGAGAGATTTGCCACGACCTCGGGCCCAACGAGATTCCCTACCCTCGATCACTGTCAACCAGTCTCAGGGGCATGAGTGTGTCGAGTCGACACCAGATTCGCCCATCGAGCAGCAGCAAACCCCAGAGCCGCTGAATGTCATTCCTCCTTTGTTCCAACAATCTCCAACCTCTTTTTCTCGGCGACCGTTGTTATTGGAATCGTTAGCCATCGATACACAGGTGAAAACCCTGGGTATCCCAACGCACCTGAGACGTCGTGGCTCTGACGGGAGCATACAAAGTCCGAACACGGCGACGTCGATCGACCAGTTCAATACACCACTCACTCCTACAGCCTGGTATCTTGGGCAAGCAAACTCTCTCGAAGCGGTCCACGCCGGTGCGGGTCTCACTGCAAGTCATCGTAGGACTCAAAGTGAACGAACCAAAAATCCTTTGGGGCTATCCCTTGCTGAGCCGTGGGACCCTCAGATGGCGGTGTCCGCACCCTTGCATATGGGAAAGCCAATTGACGAGTTTGAGACTCCCGGAAGTCCAAATTCCAGATCCCGCATTCCTATATCCTCCCATCGCCTCAGTGCTGCATCCGGCTCAGAGGGCCTATCACCCACCAACAACAATCTCCCTTTCAGCGTTAGATCCAGCAGCATTCATCTGCCTCCGAAGGGCTCTAGTCGCCTTCCTAAACCGTCTGTAAAAGATAGTACAACTATCTTGGCCAAGGAAGCCCCGTTAACGGCTCGCGGAACGGGCACCCGTCGTAATCAAGCACCCGATCGGCTTCTACAAGCCTACATCACTACTACTCCTCCTAAAAAGTCTCCTCCCTTACGAAGTTCCCGACCGAGACAACCGGTCTCTAGTCCAGCATCTTCACAATCCAAAGCTAGTGACCGAGTCTCCCCATTTCAAAAGACCATTGATCGTCTTGCCGAACCACGCTACCCCCGTCCTCGACAGCGCCGACTACCTGAGCTGGGCAGCGTGGATTTCGAAACCCGGCGGCAAAATATTCAACAAGCTTTCAATCGGACCGTCCAGGAGAATGAGCGAAAAGAGGCAGCTGCAGAGAGTAGACGCCGGACCCAGGAACGAGAAGCAGCTCAGGCAGAGGCTCAAGCTAAATCGCAAGTGGATGAACATAACACATCCAGTACGCCGATAACTAGTTCTCTACCCCCACAGGAAAGTAGAGAAATGGCGATTACGTTGATTGAGCCAGCTGAGCTTGTGAATGAAAACCAAACCGAGACCTTTCCGCTACACCTCGATACGCCAAAAGCAACAATGGATTCTCCGACCTTGGGATTGCCCGATGCGAATAATCACGCGCCAACACTCACTATTGATCTGAAGTCACTCAAAGCTGACGATACTCCGCCCTCACCTGTCTCCGAGGCGGCCTCCGATGGTACTCAAGCCACAACGTTTGATCCAGAGCCTCAAGCCGGGTCAATTCACCGTAGAAACAGTGAATCGCATCGCACTCTTTTAAATCATATTATGCAGATTCGTGACAACAGTTCAGGCAGTGAATCATGCGATGATGATGAGCCGGATTGCTCTATGTCAGAGACTGATGATAAAGAATCCATTCATAATATGACTCGCCGGTCGAGTTATCTTCGCGAATCAAACAACACGGGTACTGAGGAGCCTCAGCAAAGACAATCACAAGACCCTGACCATCGTTGGAGTTCAAGCTCTTGGTCGTCATCTTTACACCACCAAGCATCTACCTGTGATGAACAATGTGATGACAGTAGTGATGACATCGTTCTCCAAATGCCCATGCCAGGGCAAGAGACCGAACCCGTTACAGAATCTTGCTCCGCCATCTCTACACGTCCTGAATCATTAGCGTATAGTGACCCGGATGCCCCGATCCAAGACCTTGGTCTGATGGGACCAGAGACTTTGGGTGCATCACCACCTGTATCCTTGAACATGTTCTCCACACCCCCAAGTTTGGCACGACAGGGTCGTTGGGATTCACGACGTATCACTCAGTTATACCTGGAGGAACTGACTCGAACGAGTGGTAGCAGGGTTTCACTTCCAGAAAACATTCTGTCTCGAAGTGCTAAAAAAATTGATCATGACGTTCGTGCTACAGCTCAGACCAATAGCTTGACTGACGAACCCGTGATTGTGCCAAGGTTTCAGGAACAACAACCTGTTGCAGACCGAGTTCCCCATACTTCAAGCCTTAGCCAGCGTGATGATTGGGAACATGCATCTCCGTCCATCATGGACTGGATGCAGGTCGCTGCGGAAGATGAAGCTATCACTCCTTCAACTGACAAGCTCAGTAATATGCACGATGTGCCTACTCCGCGAGTTCGACGACCGGTGAGTCAATTCAATAGGATAAGTAAACCAGATTCAGGCCTCGGCTTGAACATAATCAATTCCCGAGGATCGACCGAGTCCTCGCATCCTATGAAAGAACTTCAGATTGAACCAGTCAAGGTCGATGTACAACCATATGATCCTTATCAGGTCGTTCCAAACCGCCTTCAATCTTCCAATGGTGTTTACAGTACTGGGGGTAGTGGGGAGTCGTCATTCCGACCCTTGGACTCGACACATTCATTCCAGACCTATCAAACTGCAGATTCTTCTACCACATCCTTTGCTCCAACTGAGTCTCCCATGCGAATGGAGTCGAGGAAATCACCATCGCCCGAGCAGCGACGCCTAAAGAAACGGCGCAATGTCATCAAGGAGCTTGTCGACACTGAGTATACTTTCGGGCATGATATGAAAGTTGTCGATGATATCTACAAAGGTACATCCGGATCATGTTTGGACCTCTCGGCCGAAGACGTGAAGATCCTCTTTGCCAATTCCGATCAAGTTGTACAGTTTTCTCAGTCCTTTCAGGATTCTCTCAAGAAGGCTTCGAAAAGTGTCTATGTTATGCCTCGGTCACAGCGATGGAGTAGTAAGCGCAGCACCCGAGCCAGTCGCCCTACTTCTGCAGTTTCTCCTGATGTGAGTAAATCTGACCTGGAGAAGGACCGCGCCACTTTCGTCGGTGAGGCTTTCCTTGCCCACGTGGTTCAGATGGAGAAGGTTTATTCAGACTACCTGAAGAACCACGAGGCTGCCAACAAGAAACTTCAGATCTTGCAAAGCAGTCCGAAGGTTGCCATCTGGTTGAAGGAGTGTCGTGACTGGGCATCAGATCTTACGAGCGCCTGGGACCTGGACTCGTTGCTTGTCAAGCCAGTTCAGCGAATTCTCAAATACCCCCTCCTCCTATCCCAGCTTTTAGATGCAACACCCAAAGATCACCCTGATTATGCCAATATTGCGGAGGCGTTGCAAGAAGTCACCAGCATTTCTGTCCGAATTAATGAAATGAAGAGGCGCGCTGATCTTGTGGGTCAGGTGGTTGGCCGGAAACGCAATCAGTCTGATGTTCGTACGGGTCTTTCTAAGGCCTTTGGTCGTCGAACCGAAAAGCTTCGCCAACAAGTTGGTCTGTCCGATATGTTCGAGGACCAGATTTATAATTCTTTATCACATAAGTTTGGTGACGGATTCTTCCAACTGCAGGTTGTCATGCGTGATGTGGAAATGTATACCCGTGAGATGCAAGGCGCTATGGATCAATTCAACGAGTTCATTTCCTCGATTGAAGGTATTATTGACGTTTCCTCGTCCAACTACGCAGATTTGGAGGGCAAGTGGCGCAATTTCAGCATATCATGCCAGGCAATTACTTCGACTGCCTTGCCAGAACACGTGAGTCATTTTCTTCCCTTCAATGGTATATAGTACTCATTCATGAAATAGCTTGAAGTTGTTCGAACATCTGTGATACAGCCAATGGTCACGTTGCTCAAGCTTCACGACGGCCCCCAACGAGTGATGAAAAAGCGCGATAAACGTCTGTTAGATTACGCGCGTTACAAAGCCGTCATAGACCGTGGTGATAGACCTGACAAGAAAACCCAGGAGCAAGGCGAACAGTTCATCGCCTTGAACGAAACTCTCAAGGATGAGTTGCCAAGGCTATATGCGCTGACAGCAAAACTCATGGAGGCTGCTCTGAAAAACTTCGTTGAAATCCAGACAACATGGTGGAATATCCTGCAGAAGAAGTTGAGCGTTCATATTGAGGCTTTTCCAGACGATATAGAAAAAATAATTCGCGACTGGAATAGTGACTACACTTTCTCCGACGCACAAGTGCTATCCCTCGGGATTTGCAATGGTGCCCTCTTGGCAGATACCGTCAACCTGGTTAATTTCAATACTCCGCCTGGTCGACCTTCTACGATGAACAGTAGTAGTTCCATCCACCGTCCGAACTCGATGTCAGATGAGTCTGCAAAGGTCTCGTATGAGTCTGCCGGCAGCCATTTCTATTCTCCTCAACTGGATGGCAGCAGTCATTCAATGCTCCGTCGCCGGGCAGATTCCTCGGTTTCAGGGGGACCCGAGACCCCAGATATTGCGCGCAGTCAGCTCTTACAGCAGGTGACCAACCCTGCTTCCTATCCCCAAGCTATCAAGAGAGCCGACAGCGAGCCATTCCCCAGCCTACCAGCACTGAGTCTTGATACTCCTCTTTTGACTGAGATTATGAATGCGAGATCACCCAATGAGAACATCTCCCCACCATCCCCTGGTGGTAGATACACGGGCTTCTTTTCTTCTGCAATGCCCATGTCCGATGAACCCTCCGAACCCGAACTAGAAGCCTCTCACGTCTTGGATGCCCAATCTTCGAAGGAACCCTCGATACTGTTTCTTGCTGCAAGCATCTATGAGTTCAACATTGATCGTGCCCGTCGCGAGGCGGGATACCCTTACCTGACATATGTTCCAGGTGAAATTTTCGACATCATCGCCGAGAAAGGCGAGCTCTGGCTTGCCCGTAACCAAGATGATGACTCGAAACTCGTCGGTTGGATATGGAGCAAACACTTCGCCAAACTGTCGTCGTAGCTGTCACCAGTTTGACTCGTCAGTTATATCGTAACTGTTTCATCTTTATCTCCTTGGAAACACAACATAACCCCGAACTTCTAAACTCACGTGCTATAGATTTTGATTCTACAAGCCTTCCTTGACCTTTCATTTCATATTCCCTATTCCTTTTCTTTCCATCCACATTGTCCTATTTTTTTTTTTCCTTTGCTTTTAATTTCGAGATATGCGTGTGATGGATATTCCATTGGAGTTACATATGGCATAATGGGATGTACGTTTAGATACCCCTTACATTTTATTTTGAATGTTTACTATTTTAATTGTAACTTTTTCAATTATGGTAAGATAGGTTAGATTTTTTGGCTACTTTATTTTTATTCACCCGTAGCTGACTATTGAGAGATATCTATGTCTACGTAGGAAGCTTTGCTTTAGTACGAAGCTCATATAGGCGGATCAGCACCCCTTTCCCCTCCCCTCTACTCATTGATAGAAATCTCCTATCTTGAAGAAGTTGAGTCAATCATGGATGGTACAATACCTTGCTCCGTGATGCCTATCTATAGCACGATGCGTACAGAATTCAGTGGAATCGGTTGAAAGCCTACCTAGGTATGCTGCAGCTACCGAATCGTAGCCAATACCTTGGAAAAAACTAAGTAATCACACGATCCTGGCAGCCACATTTGTCATAACCCAGTTCCAGCTCCAATATCTATCAACTAACTCCACTCGACCAAGGTGGGAACGAATCATGCAATGTTCCACGGTTGTAACAGGTTGAATCCTGGCGAACTATCACGTGGTTGTACCACGTGACCCACCAACCGCATACCTCACGATTCCACACCGAATTGTTCACGTTCTTCAAGGATTTTGTAAATAGCATGTGCCTAGCTAGTTCTGAATTCAAGATTAGCTTTAGCCCTTCACAACGGTGATGCTAACTTCGTAGAGAGAGATTCAGCTCAAGTCCAGTGGAGCAGCAACTCTAGCTGATTCTCCCTCTAGGAGGTTAACAGCACCGTGGTAGTAAGGAGAGCCAAATATAACGAGCAAATGCCTCATTGCTGTCATTTCAGAGTGCTTACCAGCACGTTTGTTTTTTTTTTAAATAGATTTGGAAGCAGAGAAACCTAGCTTTTTATCCCGGGATAATATATGTGCATTGTATGTCCATCAAGCTTTAAGGGAGCTGAATCAATATCAGTTTAGCTTCTTATGCTGGAAGTTGAGGGTACAAACTTGAATTTCTCGTCGAAATATAGGGGAGGGGGCATAGTCTATGAGATATTCGATGTTATTTGCAGTCTAGCTAGAGAGTATTAGACCACTCTGGCATTTCTTTCTCCATGAGATTAAATGTCAATTTTCTCTTGGAGTGCGTCAAGCGCGTGTTCCTTAAATGTGAAGGTGTATGGTAACTAGGTTGACACTAGACAAATTTGATGTGTAAATTGCTTATAATTAGGCGTATTAATTTTAAGGTGAGTAGTTCAGGATACAAAGACTTTCAACGTTGATCAAAGTTATTGAAATAGAAGTGGGGCTACGAACTTCTTATCTCCCCCTCTAATCTTATCCCCGAATCACGTAACTTATCTAGTACTATGTCGAACTAGAGTTCCAAAGTTGGCTCACGCTATTATATATATAGAAGAGCGCAGACGGTAGTGGACCAAATTTGAAGACTTCAACTCATATTCAATTACTACCTTAGATAGAAGTATGTTTCTGCAGTCTACCTGCTTGATCTCTATTTTCGAGTAGTTCTGCTTTCGTATCTATCACGGTTATGGCGTAGTCAAGTGGATTTATCATCGATTTTTGGGTGACAAGATCACTCAGATTCGGATTCTAAAAAGACAGCCTTGAAATCGAGGTATTTAAAGACAAGTTAAATGAAGAGGAGACCTTGGCGAAAGGGGGAGATTTAGTTAGTTATCATGAATGGGTGGTTTGAGTCGTCATTAGGCATACAAATCAAGAGAGTAGGAAAGGAATTTTGCCTTGCATAATGAGCTGAATATCAGAGTGTAATAGAGGTAAATCTTGCAGAAGAGCCCTCGCCGTATACCTAGTCTATCCCTTATAGTTCCAAGATTTGAACATGGCCTCAAAACGGTCTTGCTCAGCTTTGGTTAACGAAGTTTCAGACTTAGGATCTGGCTCATAGCACAGGATTTCCGATAATTTCTTTCTTTAGAGGGGCCTGGGCCAGTCAATCTTGTCGAAGAAAGGGTGTGATGTGATTTCTTCGGACCCGTTTACTCCTAGGCGCTGGAGGGGACCAGGAAAGAGGAGTTTGTTCAGAAGATCCTCGGCGGCTTGTGAGAGAGGTATACCATTGGAGTAGTTGGAACCTCGGGGCTATGCCGGCATCATCGGCGGGATTGAATGGCAATCGGTGAACATTGGTGGAAACAACACCAAGTAGGCTAGAGCAGCATAATGACCATTGCCTTGTATGGCCAGTAAATCTAGGGTCAAACAATCATCGACATACTACCATTGCCTTGTATGGCCAGTAAATCTAGGGTCAAACAATCATCGACATACTGCTGATCAAGTTTTTTAACATTGCCATATGGAGGCTGCGGCCAAGGAGATCGATTACCAGATGTATTACGGACATAAAGATCAAATTCACCGAGGAAGAGATAGTCGGTGAGGTCAATGAAAACATTCTGCGGTTTCAATCTGCCGTACAAAATATTGAGATTATCGAGACAATCCACACAGAAAATTTGAGCTGCATAGAAACGAGCTTCGGTAAGCTCAAGAAATATTGCCTTTCCAGCAATCGGGTAGATCATCATTATGAAGAAAAGAGCACATAACATAATTTTTTAGCGCTAAATAGCTCCTTAAATGCTAAATTTCAGGGGCATGATAGAGGGACTGTTCATTTGAGGGCTGATCTAAGAGCTGTGATATCGTATTTTTCTTTGAGAAGCCCTATATAAGAGTAGTATAGATTACCTAGGTAGCATTTTTCTTCCTATGGATATCGATACACCGGTTAGAAAGAGCTACGGAAGTGATACCGCTCGGTCACTTTACTCCAAAAAGGACAAAAATACCGAATAATCAGCGTATGCCCTAACTCAATGACTTTTGACATGTACGTTGATGTTCGAACTGTTCAAGTATTGGTACCACACTCGTGTAGATAAATTGGGTCATAATGGAAATAGAGCCTCTACCGAAGATAATAAACTATTAATGTGTGATTTCTAAGTTTTTAGTGAGCAGAGGTTGGAATTCAGATTTGCCCAAAAATATGTCTGTATTTACTTTGGCGCTAGGAGTAGTAGGCTGATATGACCAAATCTGGAGCTCAGCTAGTTGTATGTGTAGTTTTACATATTAGAGCTGTTTTGCTAACTGTGAAGCTCGGGTAGCGAGCGTGAGAGATGATTTGGCTCTTGTCAAAGTCGATTATAGCATACGCACTGGGTTCACGGAGGATTTCGTGTCGCAAAAGCCTGTAATGAAAGGTAATTCATGTAATGTAAGGCCCGGTTATCCCCTTGACTGTCGAATTTGGCCAAATTAGCGCCTTGGCGAAACGTAAGATTATCATTGGCTATCATAGATTATTAAGCTATTTGATAACGCATAAAGTAAATCACATACGACCCGTGATTACATACGACCCGTGAATTAGACCCACTTTTATTTCATCTTTTACATTATTTATCCCATAACTCCATTAAATTCAATAAAAATATGTAAATAAACTATTGAATCGGGCGCTGTGGACACGTCTCTCTCCTATGCCCGGTTTCCCGACATATCCCACACCTACGTGGCCGATGGCCTGGTTGAGAAGAAGCCGGGGTTTGGTGTTGGTTTACACCATCACTATTTTCAACACCATTAATTGACGCGTCGATAAGCTGTTGTGCTTCATGGAGCGCAAGACCACCTTCAATAGCCATTCGGCGGTTAGGGCGTGCCTTTTTTTTCTTCTCTTTTATGTTGGCTTTGCGAAGAGCGGCGATTTCCTGAGCTTGTATTGCCACATGTTGGTGTATAGCTACTGCGCCTTTCAAGAACTGGTCTAAGATCTGCTTTGTTTGTGTAGATGGCGATCGTGACACTGTACGTAATAGAGCTTTATGTTGGCGACGTATATCCTTCTGTGACATTGGTGTCTTTGGAGTATAGTTCTGGCTAGAGTCGCTCCCCCGGGATGGTGGTGGTGGTGGTGGTGTTGGTGTACGAAGCGAGATAGTAAGCTTTGAAAGCACCCTTTCTGGATCAAATGGTGTAATTCCAGTAGCAGCGAACGCATTAGATGCAGATCTAATAGCCTCTTCGCGCGCGATAGGGTAAATAGCTAGGAAATCTCTCTTATCGATAGAGTTGAATCCTAGCTCCATTTGAGAGCTAACTAGCCGGCCATATGACCTCTTTAAAATGGCGAAACAGCCTACATCGAGAGGCTGTAAAAGATGGGATGAATGCGGCGGCATACATATTGGTATAATGTTGTTTTGTTGGCATGCCTGGTCGAAATCAGGCGTAAGGTGGCTACCATGGCCATCTAGAATCAATAGCCTATATCGCCCCTTCGTACGTGTTATGGTAGAGGGGATGAATAGCTTTTGTAGCCAACGAAGGCCTATTTGGTCTGATGTCCAGCCATTAGGGCTTACTTCAAAGCGCGTATTAGGTGGTAAATCGACATCGTGAAACCAACGTTGCATCATGTTTTTGCCCTTGAATATGATACATGGTGGAGGCGCCCAGCCAGTTGAATTTAGACATTCAATAGCCGTAACCCATTCGCGATTCCCGGGTTGTATCTTTTCTCGTCGGCCATAATAGCTAGCTCTAGTAACGATTTTGGCAGTAGCGGTTGTCCCATCGCGAAACCAGTTTCATCAAAGTTGTAAATGTCGTCTTCATGAATCCCATTCTCGCGAATAGTCTTTTCAACTAAGATAAACCAATCGCGAATAATCTTAAGGTCTTCCTGTTTTGCGCGCTCAAAATTGTAACGTTTTGAATAGCGAGTTTCGATTTCAGGTGTACGCTTGATGAAGTTTGAAACCCAATTTCGTCCGATTGTAAGAGGTGGGTCGATTCCGCGGTCGGCGAGTAGAATATTGGCGATTTGAGCGACATAATGAGGTCTAGGGGCAGATCCACGGTCATCTAAAGAGAAAATCCATTTGAGAAGAGTTTTTTCTTCAGATTCAGTCAATTTATGACCATTTGCGCGCTTCTCGACGCGATATTTAACACCAGATAGGCGATCGTGGAGGGTTGAGCGGGGTACATTAAAGGTAGATGCAGCTTAGGTTGTATTGGTAATTTCGCCATTATTTATAGCTTTAATAGCTAATAAGATCCTACCCTCCTGTTCAACCCGTTTCTGAGCTATTTGAGCATTCTTAGGTGGCATGGTGGGTGGTTGAAAAAGTAAGACACGTAAATGACGCGTTAAAAAAAATGAAATTCACGGGTCGTATGTAATCACGGGTCGTATGTGATTTACTTTAGTTATTAGGATTATTTACACACTTCTCTCCCTTTGTTTAGACTCTGTTTTTTTGGCGCGTTTTTGACATATTTTGTGACACGTTTTCCATGATGGACGACATAATCTTTATCTCATCTATAGCTGGATCGCCTATTCAATCGCCGAAAACAGAGCCAGAACCAGAGCCAGAGCCAACTGAATTATTGGCTGATATGCTTCCTGAAAACGCGTTTTTTGAACCGCTTGAAATGCCTTCAGAACCTTCTTCGCCGAATATTCATTTGAGTGGCTACCAAATTACAACTCCTCTTGGTTTTTTCTCTTTGTTTTTTACCGATGCTTTATTTACCTTACTATCTCTGAATACTAATAAATATGCGAATCTAAAGGGTGCTGGGTCTTTTGGTAGGCTTTGGCCTAATACTACACCCTCTGAGATTAAGCTGTTTATTGCGATTTGGATATATATGGGTATCTATCAAGCTCCACAAATGGAGATGTATTGGTCAACAACATCGCCATTCCAATTGCCTCGCAAATATCTGGGATTAGGTCGTTTTCAACAAATTAAGCGGTTTGTCCATGTTTCTGACCCGGATCCTGAGGCCATTACCCAAGAGGCTTTACGGCTACATCTGAAACCAAATCAGATGTGGTGGTATAAGCTAGAGCCATTCGCTTCTAGCATTCGAGAAGCATGTTTGAAATATTGGGAGCCATCAAATACAGTTGCAATCGACGGATCTGTGATCCTTGCTTTTGGACGTTCTCAACATACATTCAAGATGCCTAATAAACCAATTCCCCAGGGTTATAAGCTATTTACTATAGCTGATCAGGGATACATGTTATATTGGATTTGGGCAAGCCGGCAGAAGTCTATAGTGGAGGTAAAAAAGCTTGAAAACCTGACTATGACAGGATCTATGGTAAGACATCGCTCTCTTTTATCTCTTATGGTTCATAGCCTGGTTTACATCCTGTTTTGTATCCTGTTTTACGGCCTATAAATCAGGCTGTAAACCAGGCTGTAAACTAGGCTGTAAACTAGGCTATAAATCAGGCTTAGAGGCTGTAAGCCGATATCACTCTTCATTTATTTCTCTATTTATCTCTCTATTTATCTCTCTATTTATCTCTCTATTTATCTCTCTATCTATCTCTCTATCCATCTCTCTACCTATATCTCTAATATCTCTCGATTTATCTCTCTAATAGGTCATTCAATTGATTGAAAAAGCTCTTCCTAAATGCCCGAATAGATATGTGGTCTATATGGATAATTATTTTACAACTATCCAATTATTCCAATATCTTCGGGATAGAGGGATTGGTGCCTGTGGGACAACAAGACCAAAAGAATCTAGAGGGCGTTTTCCAAAGGCTCTTCATTTGCTAAAGGAGTCAAAAAAAAGCTCAGAAATGGAATACTTCATATGGAGCTTCAGTCGATTTGGTCTTATGTATTGTATGGCAGGATAATAGTGTTGTTACAGCCTTGTCAACAGTACATACTATTAATAAGGCTTCAGATTGGATCACTCGTCTCCGAAAACGACCAGCGAAGACTTCCACGAGCGCGAAAATTGCCCGAGAGCCTTTCAAGGATTCCCCTACAAAAGATCTTCCTATTCCTTGTCTAATCAATGACTATAATCATGAGATGAGAGCTGTTAATCGGGCAAATCAACTTCGTGCAAGCTATAAGACACACCGGAAGACGCTTCGCTCTTGGTGGCCAATCTTTTATTGGCTTCTTGATATATCTATTGTTAGTGCTTACTGCAAAGATTGCTCGCCAAAAGCAGGGTTTATCCCCAATAACTCAGCTTGACTTTAGGATACAGCTTTATAAAGAGCTCTTTAAAGAGGGAGAGAGAAAGTGAGAGGGAAAGATATAGGCCTAAGAGAGAGTCTGGTTTACAGCCTGATTTACAGCCTAGGAGGCATCAGTTGGAGAGAATACAGAGGCGAGCACCCTGTAAATTCTGCACCCAACAGGCTCAGAAAGCTAAGTCTCAGGGAAATCCTCCTTTCAATCCATTTCGAACGCGTTGGGGCTGTAAATCCTGTAAGATCCCTTTATGTAGGCCTGATACAAGGTCTTGTTGGAATCATTTCCATGCCATACGCCAGCCTTTACGCGACAGAGATGTAAATAGAATGTAACTAGATAATAGAACTAAGCCTGTTCTAGTTTAGCTCTTTAATGGTAATAAGAAATAGGCCGTGTCATTTGGCCTTTTTGCCAAGGCGCTAATTTGGCCAAATTCGACAGTCAAGGGGATAGCCTAACTGCCACTATTTTAGCGCATTGAGCTTTCAGAATCCATAATAGGAAAAAGCCAATGAGCTGTTCCACATATTTCTTTCCGACCCCTGAGTTGCCCCACAATTACTGGGAATATATCCTATAAACATCAACAAATGCACACAAATTCAGGGCTTTCAACATGGGGCGTTGGGCTTAGGGTATTATCGTGCTAAGCTACCGATCTGAGACTTCGGCACGATGGAGAAAGATGTTCAGACTTCCTCAAATCGTTTGTGATGATTCTATCCGCCCACTCCTTGCAAAATTTCTTGAAATCTAGGGGAAGCAAAGAGTCCTGCACTCAATCCACGCATCGCATGCTAAACAAATGTCATTATCAAAGTAATTTCTAATGTGCTACCGGAAACTGGACTTTGTGTACGATGCCGGTAGACTCTGAGGGTATTCGGATCAGAGTTTAGCATGGAAGTCTGACGGTCGAAAATGGCGGTGGAGCGCTGAGTGGGGATAGTAGCGAGTTAAGAAGAGACTAGCGATAAAAAGACTTCTTTTCCACATCTCTGAAATTTGCAATCTTTGTTGTGGTTCAGCTGTATTCTCAAACACCATGACCGCTTCAAAATCTGCGAAGGCAAAGGGCCCGGCGATCAAGGTCACACCAGCTACACCTCTACTGAAAAAGGCATCAACTGGCAAAAACTATGATGGAACGAAACGAGTTACGTCTCAATCAACCCTTGTAGGCGACAATGCATCTATTTCTTCGAGTGGAGAGAGCTTCTGGGACAAGGTCGAGGAAGATGTCGACAGCTACTTTGTGAGTAACCAATTCCCTATATTTACAGGTGAGCAGCATCAGAAGAGTTTGGCTAATGACAACAAAGATTGGTCCACGTGACCTGGACGACTACTCAAATCTCCCATATTTCATGAGAGTCAAGAGTAGTGTTCTACCGAAGATGATTCTCCCAATCTTCTTTGTTGGGGTTTGGTCCACAGTTGTTACTTGCGTTTCGATGCTCTACCAAGATCGTAGGTTCTGCTCTCCAGGCGGTTTTGATGTCTTTGAGACTAACCTCAAATTTATAGTTGCTATTTCCTCCCTGCTTCTCAATATTCTTGGTTTTGTCGTTGCTTTGGCTCTTTCCTTCCGTAGTAGTACAGCATATGAGAGGTAAGTCAATTCCTATAACGCTATAAAACCAGCGCCTAATTTTGCCCTAGATATGTTGACGGAAGAAAGGCCTGGACAGCCTTGACTCTTCAATCTCGCAACATGGCTCGAGTGATCTGGCTACACACAGAAGAACGCGAAGGTGAACAGGGTAAAGAAGACATTCTTTCTAAACTGTATGCGCTCCATCATAGCACTTTATCTGCAGGAAGCTGACTCGCTGAAGGACTGCTATCAACCTTATTCTCTCTTTTGCAGTTGCACTGAAGCATCACCTTCGTTTTGAACCTTACACCAAGTATGAAGATATGAAGGATCTTATCAGCAACCTGAAAACTTTTGCTCACGAAGCGTTCAACGATGATGACCCAATTGAGGAAATAAAGTCTTCCTGGAAGTTAATTGGACAGTTTCTTGGTATCTCATTCGCCCTGTCTAACCCAAGAAGATTGCTCAACCGCTCAAAGAAACCAATTGGAAACTTACCCCTGGAGATTTTGAACCATCTGTCCGTATGGGCCCAGGCTTCCATCAAGAGCGGTCTCCTCGAGTTTCCAACGGCTCAATCTACCGTCCGTAAGTTTTTCCGAATTTATATCCATAAGTATCGAGAGCAAGAAACACGATGCATACATTAGTGTTTAAGACATATTTGTGATCTTATAACCCTCACACCACAACAATCTGAGATATTTTGTTAACATCTTTGGGACTAGTTGATGGTATCTCCGCCTTGACGGGATGTATGGGCGAGTCAGAACGAGTTTTGCACACTCCTCTTCCAATGGCATACACTATTGCCTTTTCGCAGATCACCATGATTTACGTCTACATCCTGCCCTTCCAACTCCTCGATACTCTTGGCTGGGTCACAATCCCAGGTACTATGATTGCGGCCTACATCATCTTGGGTATCTCAAAGATTGGTAATGAATTGGAGAACCCCTTCGGACTCGACGTCAACGACCTGCCACTGGATTCTTTCTGCCAGGAGTTAGCAGCAGAGTTGAACATGATTACTAGCACTCCGCCACCAGTTGTTAACGATTTTGTTGTTACGGATACGAACAAGGTGCTCCATCCAATCTCCAAGAGCGGATATAATGACTGGACAAAACGGAGTGTCAGTGATATTCGCGGTGCACTCAAGGCGAAGAGCATGGTCTCGGGTAGAAAGACTCCAAAGCAGCATTTGGGGCCTAATGGCGTCTAAAAGTTGGATGTGATTTTGAGTTATCACAGTTCACGGGGGTTCAAGAACCTTATAGACTGTATGGTGGCCTATGTGGTTGTATAAAAGTTGTACCGACTTTTTCGGGCATAAATAGTTTAAAAGTCGAGGGAAGTGGTTTCGAAATGTCAACACAAACTGAATGCCAAGAGAGATGAGGGTATCATGAAAGTGGTATTCTGAGTGGCGCAATTCACGGATCATGGAATCCAGGTATCACAATGAGTAGAAGCAGGTCCTATCCCAGGTAAATTTATAAATGCGCCAATACCATATGCAACATGGGCTTGTGAATGATTCAACCACAATGTTTCAAGGCTTTCTAAGTTGAAGATTCCGGCTTTAAGCCTATACTTACATAGTGACTGAACAGGCAGATATATGTATGGCGAAAGGCTCAACATCAAAACGTGGAAAGAATCGCAAGATTGAGATGTAGATCTAAAGAAGAGCAAGCTCTGGATGAAGACTGGCAGCTCTGAGGATCAATGGTCCTAGTCAAGAAGACAGCACCTGGTGCGTTTAATCCGAAGATGACCTTAGGATATTGATCCCTGCTCCCTTTCTTCTTCCAAGGTTCTTTTTAAGGATTTGAAGAAAATAGCGCCATAGCCTATTATCACATTCAAAATCCTAAACAATCCCTAGAAAACCAAATTGTTATTTGTGCAGCCTCAGGAAGATCGTATGCTATAGCTTAAGACAGGAATTTTCATAATTATATCTCCAATAGTCGATACTCAATATTTGAAGTCCCAGGGTGTAGAAAACTAGGTTCATCCATCTCTTGAGACCATTTAGATTCACTATTTGCACAAAGCTAAAGGGGTCTATGGGTGGCTGATAGCTGACCAGGGTCAAAGTCACGATTGATCTTGTACAATTTGCTAAGACTGTTTTTCTATCAGTTGCGTTTTCGAGCGTTCCAGCATTACCTTGAATGGTTGATTTTTGGCTAATAAACGCCAATTCCAACACCATGAGCTTGTTTAAGTCCTCTTTCGCCAAGAAATCGCAAGGATTAAGACGTCCTCGATGGCCTACATGATGGCGCAGATGGCAATGTTGAAAGTTGACCTTTCTAAATGTTTTGTGCCACTTCGGTGGCTAATATTGATTAACAGCTCTTCAAAGGCTCGAGGTTACAGCAGCTTTGATCAGCTAATTTTGCCACATGAGAGAATTACTTGGGAAAGGTATCAGTTTTTAGAGCCTGAGACTCAGAAATATGAAAATCCATCATTGGGAACATTGTATAATCAATTTAACCAAACTAAGCATCAAACCTCGGTCTAAATAAATATAGGGATGTAAATATATGATACTTACATGAATCGATATGTTGACCACGTGACCCCGCCACATGACGCAGGAGCCTAACAACCCAAGTCTTCATCGTTTTTATTCCGGTGCCTGGTCATCTTGAGAATCTGTGTAATTACATTCTTTCTTTTTCCAAGATTGACGGCATTCCTCTCATCGCTGTCACTAAGCTACATATATATTCGTTGCGCCCAAGATCCTAACAGAATCTATCGTGATAAGGACCATACCGAGGCCTGCGAGATCAATAGCATTAACTTAGGGCTGGATTAGGATTCTTTATCAGCTCATGATTCATCTCATTCAAATTTCCGCCCTTCCCGTCACCCATAAGGCTGACAACGGCGCCTGTCTCTCCGAACGTGTCGCCCAATCCGGATTCTCCGACCGGTCTCCACTTAGCCGGTGCAGAACTGGGGGTGAATGAAACGGCTGATTGCCGCTCTCCGACGCCGACTACTCGTCTCGATCACGATCGCGTGTATACAAGTAGTCTTACAGACCCGCCAGAAGCTGCATTTTCCAATTATCGTCACTTTGTTGCCATTAGTCGAATTCACCCAACCTTAGTTTGACCTCTTACTTCGACAACTAGCTTTGCACATACGTACCTTGGTACAATCCCTACAGCGGCACAATTTATTTGTATTGTTCATATTCGTGTCTTGAAGTTGCTAAAATCTCGCGACAATGCTGGACGGGGGGCTTGGGAAGCTGCACAGGAGGATGCGGGGTAGATTGGGTGACACTGTGAGTTGGGTCCTATATTGACTTCAAATACACCAATGGCTAACTGGTGCAGTTGAGTCCAGAGGATCCCTATCTGAGTTGTGAGTCACTTAATTTACTGCCGTAAATACTCTCTGCAGTATGTTAACGAGACGTTTCTATTTCTTGAAGACTATGACGTTCGATGTAAGGGATCTTCAGATGATAAAGACTCGAGCTTTAGCTAATATAGCTACAGTGACAAGAGAGGACATGCAAACTCTGAAGAACGACTGGCTCACAGATAATGTGGGTTTGTGCGCGCGACACGCAGCACATATCTTCATGTTTGGACACCCAAGCTAATGTATTACAGGTCATCTCATTTTGGGAGGAGTAAGTCCCCTCGACCATTCGACCAGACCTTGCAGCCCAACGATTCAAAAGCACAGCACTGATGCTCAGTTATTTCAGATATCTCGAACACGAATTTCTCACTCGATACAAGTCTTCCAACATTATCCTCCTCCGCCCCAGCATGTCCTTCATGATCCTCCAAACACCTGACCCTCGAACACTCCGTGAAGCTTTACCAGACTTCACTCGCGCCACGCATGTCTTTCTCCCTATAAATGACAATCGCAATGTTACTCAAGCCGAAGGAGGCTCGCATTGGTCCTTGTTATTAATATCTATAGTTGATCGCATCGCCTTTCATTACGACTCTCTTTACCAAGGAAATGTTTGGGAAGCTGATACCGTGACCCGTAAATTTGGTGCGCTTTTGAACATGCCAATTCGATTCTTGCATTTGCATGATTCCCCTCAACAAGACGGTGGCAGCGACTGTGGTGTATTTGTGTGCATGAATATGCGACATCTCCTTCTGAAGCGACTTCTCATGGCTAGTGCCCATGAGAAAGTGAGCATGAGTCTTGGAGGACGAAAGGTTGATGCCAGTGCGGCACGGAAAGAAATGGCCAAGATCATCGAAGGATTCCGGAAAGAGGGCGAGCGCCGACGATCGTAAGAGGTTCAATTCATTTACTGTTTTATGTTTAGTACTGACTCTTTGAATCACAGGGCAAGTCATAGTCCGATGGGTAAAAAATCGAGGAGTCCACCTCGAATTGAATAGCCCCGTCTCTGTCCATGCTGTTTATGAGTTTATGCCTGACGATGTTTACACTTTGTGTATGCACTATTTTCTTAGTATCCTTTCTTTCCAAGAAAATAAGTCGTGAAAATTTACATTTATGTTGCATAAATATGCTGTTAATCTCTATAGTTGACCGCACCACATTCCACTATCACTCTCTGTACCAAGGACATGTCTGGGAAGCTGATAGCGTAACTCATGTCAATTGTCTTGAAATTAAAGACGATTGTATATTTCGACAATTGTCTACGTAATACCTCAATACCCCACGCACTTTCTTCTTTTAAGGTTCATCACGTATGAGATTATGCCCCGAGAGCCAGTGAGAAGTCTGAGGTTGCAATTTTGCGAATCGTTACGAGAATGGCTGCTTTTAGAACCAAGTCTATTCCCTGGCTACCCATTGAATAAATTAACTCATGGCCGGTGCAAGACTCTTGAATAGCTTTGGCTCAAGAGCCTGTAGGTATCTTCTCCCTACCGTCTTCCTCGCAATTCGTTCTCCTTTCTATCACTCACATCGCTCCTGTTCTTAATGTAACTTTCCCTTTTCTTTTCTCACTGGCATTTCTGCAGACGGTTGGCAAAGTCGAATTCTCAGCCTGCCCAAGGCGCTGGCCACGAACCTTCGGTCTTTTCAATAGATCTGGAGAGCCAATGAGAATCGCATTCCATATACAGATCTTTCACTGTAGCCCTTCCTCGTTTCTATGTCTTCTTTGGTTTTTGTTTTGAACAATGGGGTTTAGGACTAGCTAAGTTTCAGGGAGATTTTAGATTGGACTTGATCTCACGTCTTCTCATAATATCTAGCCTGGGTTGAGGGTGAGCGTCATAGCAAGGCGAAACTACAATGGAGTTGGACGTCGTTGCATGACATAAGGCTGAGTCTGCGTTTAAAAGAGTTTAGCAAGTTGGACCGAGCATCTTATTATCTCATCTTCACTCGATAACGATAGGACTTGTCCAGAGAGAAGAGAGTTGATGAAACCCCGCGAGCAGGTCAGCTTCACCGGCGATGGACCAAATTACTTGGTCTAATCTGAGGGTGGAAACCTTCCAAGGTTGGAATAGAGCGTTCAAAGTCACATGGTTGAGCTTGTTGGAATCTATATTCATCACCCAAGCACTTCACGGCTTTTGAAACTGCATTTGAACTTCTCTCAAGAAGGTAATGAATGGAATCAGGTTTCATTTTCCAAGCCTTAAAAAGCTACTTCCTGGTTCCAAGGGTTTATCCATTTATTCCAGTATATACCTTGCATTAGATTGATTCATCAATATATCCTTATGTTCTTGAGCTTGAGCCAGGAAGGATCTATATGTGTTCCCGCTTCGTTTCCTCAAAAACTACCTAGACAGTTTTTAGGGCATGGAAAAGAAGATTAGTACTTTGTAGTAAAATTAAGGTTAGCTAAAGAGGTACGAACCAGTGGTCCCGTGTGGGTCCCGGTCCCCAGCGCGAAGATGCTAGCTGCCTGGTCTATATAAGCTGTTTGCACCCACCTATATTGTTATACCGACGACCTTTGAAGGTTTTGAAACATTTACTGTCGTCTTTCGTGCTTTTTCTTCATTTTTAACCAAATATCTTTTATACTTGTTGGGATATCGGACAACGACACCCCGGCTTAGACCACATCCCGAATCCATGTTCGAAGTGCATCAAACAACAACCTTGAACAATGTGCATATAACTGGGATATCCCGTCTTCACCGGCTCTTCTGTATTAGATGATGGATCACATTCGTCTCAGACAGAAGAGCAACTTGTAGGATAGATAGCTAGTCACCATGAATGAAAAATCAGATTTTTACAACCACTTCAAGAGAACGCAAAGATATTATAGGGGCGTAAAGCGTTTCCTGTAATAGGTATTAGAAGTGGGCATTAGCCTCTCATTAACCTTGCTATACCCACCGGTGTACCGACAATAATATTTGTGGGCCCTTGACTTAGGCTTGTAAATATACTCTCGAGGTCACAAGAACGCACATGATATGCGGATAGCGATCCTGAATACGAACAACTTGCTAGGATTTTGCCCAAATCTCTTTGTCCCTCTACTCAAACTCTGGAACCTCCATTTCGTCTTGCGGGCGTTAAACTTCTCAAGCTCCTGAAGCGGTGTGTAATAGCATCCCACCAGGTATTTTCTCGTTGTAGAGAACACATGTCTTTTCTAAACCATACCGTACGAGAGGATCGAGGAAGGTTTCAAGGCCAGCTATGCCTTGAGCCATGTATTGAAATAGTCAGTACCTTTTTGAAAATATTCGATTCTTCTCTCCTCTTTGAGCAGATTAGTGGCACAGGTGACTGCTGATGATTTGCTAGAATCATAGTTTGGGTCGATGATCAATTTTCTCCATCGGATATTCGAATGGGGAGAGTGAACGTAATTAGAGAAGGCTGTCTGTTTAAGTGTTGGAAGGACTCGGAAGCACTTTACAGAGTTGAGCGCTCGTTCGATTTCGTGCTTGTAGGTACTCTAACTGCTCTAGGGCTATTCCTTGCCGTTCAGTTAGTATGATAAAGTGGCTATGAACCGCGTTTCCGCGAATCATATACACGATGCTTTCTGGTCGAGTTATGGTTGGTCCAGACTCGTGTCGGGAATCCATTATCAGTTTTGGCCCGTTCAAATCAAGCCTGCTTAACCTTGATCTCTCAGATGTACCTATCGTCTATATGTGCATGCAGCTCGTCATAAACAAGTCAGAGTGCACAATAAGTCTTTTATTCGCCCCAATCCGATTATAAGCTTCAGATATCAATGGATATTGAATCACAAGTACTTAGCTAGATCCATGGCCAGGTGGATTGATGAATGTTGTTGACTTATCCCGGGCCATATGACTGACTACCTTGGAATGGAATGATGGTTCAAACCATCGATACCTAAGTACCAGGCCTAGCTCGTTCGTAGTATCGGACAATATCAGTGATAGATTCCAAGCTTAGACCCTCAGGACGGTTCCAACCGCAACAATTTGTTGGAGCATTCATCTAGACAGGAAGGCATTCAATACCCGTGAACGGACCCAGAATTAATTATTAACCTAAGTACAAGCAAGAAACAAAAGATGTATAATTTTATGAGTACGGTGATCTTTCCACAGCAAGCCTTGTTATTGAGCTCACTTCCAAGTGACAACGTTGCAAGCTTGGAAAGCCACAATTGAGACATGCCCAAAAACCCAAGGTATATAAGCCCCAATTGCAAGGCTAGTGACAACAGTGAACATGGTCTCGTTCAAACAGCGACATCTTCATTCCCAGAGCCCGAGAAATCGCCCAGGCCCGGGAAATCGCCTAGACCAGCGAAATCCCCTGGGCCAATGTCTGCGCTGGAGTCAATTTCACGACGGTCGAGCTGGACGTTGCCCTCATTTCCAACCCCATTCGCATTTCCGTATCCGCCAGTCGTCTGCCTTGCAATAAGGGGTTCGCGGCGGTCGAGCTGCGTGTTTGCGATGTTGTCGATGCCATTTGCGTTGCCGTATCCGCCAACCCAGCTGTCGCCGGAGTCGGGAACTGGGGCGGCGAGAGTAACTGGGAGAGCCTGGAGGAGGAGGACTGAGAGGGCTAGGAGTGATGTGAAGGAGTGCATTTTGGATTTGATGATTCTGTTGGTAGAACTCGAGAAAGGTGTGGCTTTTGGCTGCGAGGATGGAATATAGTAGGAGACTTGATTGAGGGTTGAGATGAAGAATCCCTATGGACTATGGCATAATACACCCGAGGTTATAAGAACAAAATAAACTATCCCTGTGAATTTTAGTCGTCCCAAATTGCCTGAATGAGCCTGTGAAATGACGGTTGCGACCGAAGTATGCGCCACTCAATACTAGATAATCCGAAAACAAAAGCACCGTCTGGTATGTTCGAGTCGATGACGGCTAAATAGTCCGCTCCAAAAACTGGTATCAGGGTTTTCGAGTCGTGTTATGACTCAGTTTGGTATTTGGAGGAACGTCTATTCGGCCGAGGGTGTTATTGCCGCCCCTTCATTGGGCTGGTATGTTCCAGACATTCTGGAAAGCGGAGTACGAATGGAAAAAACGAGACGGAAAGAGTGATATGGACCAAACTACTCCTTAGGAGTACACACACTAGTTCGCCGGAACCCAGAAATCCCCTTAAGATCACCAAATGCGATAAGAAAAGCGCCCGCAACACCAAACTGATGATGAAAGACAGTCGAGAAAAGAATAACCAGTAAATCGAAACGAGCCCACGCAACTCTCGTAAAGAAAAAAAAAGACACCACCGGGAACCCACGAAAATTGTAATGTATCAAGTTTAAGCTCAAGTGTAGACGAGGCGATACCACGGAAAGAAACCCCCGATGATAGCCAAATCCATATAGATCGATACGTGAGAATGTGCTGAGCAGTCGCATTCCAAGGGATGATAGATGCGAATGTGAAAATTGGAGAATTGAGTGTGAGTGTGCAGAGAGTGAAAGGGGGAAAGGTGTGAGAAAAGAATCCGGTTCGATGCAATCGACCTCAGCCATCGTAAAAAGTCTGCGAACGTTCAGCGTAAAGAGGAAATGGTGAGGAGGGTGAGACTGAAGAATGTCAGTCGTGATAGCTTATTCAAGATAAGCATAAGATCTTTTCATCTTGAGTTTAAGGTGGAGTCGGGGTCTGTCCGACTTCGGGATTGTCCCGACGCTTGTCGCGGCTCCGCATGTACATCGCGTCTGGAGCAGAATCAAATTCAGACGAGTTGATAGCTCTAGGTACCGAGACATGTTGCTGCACCACCATCTCGCGTGCGTAGAACTCCACAAGCCGTGTCCCATAAGCCTCGAGCTCTTCCACTGAAATAGCGAGACGGAAATCGTTCAGCATGAGAAATTGCAGCTCTAGGTGATTCAGCTCCGCTAATGGCAGACCGCCAACCTGCATACCAGTAAATGAGTAAAGAAAATGGGTAAGAAAGCTGTAGAACGCATGATAACATACCTTGGCATATCGAGAATTGGTGTAAAACACATCCGAAAAGAATTTGCTCGCACAAGTCACGCCTGCGATAACCAGTCGATGGATATTAAAGCTATCGACGACAAAGAATTGGGAGAGATGATCATCTTCTCCATGGGGGTATAACGATGGTGAGATGGACGAGTTTGGGCTCTTAGGGACCTGTGCTGTCATGCCTGCTGACGATGGTGGTGTCACCATAGAAGAATCATGTGTCGGTCGGCCTGCCGGAGATTCAAACGCTTCGTATGAAAGGTCGGAGTGATCGAGCGAAGGTGTTTGCCCACGATACTTAAATTGATTGACCAACTCTGTCATCCGATCGAAGTAGACAAGCAAGCTCAAAAAGACCTCATAGGTTGTTGGACAGTATTTATGGATACGAGTGAGGTAACTGAGGATTGTGATACTAGGAACGTTTTTGCCGTGGAATGCAAGGACGCTGGTAGCCTGTGGGCTCAAGTTATTGCTGGCTTCGGGGAGGGGAATATTGCGATGGTTGTGCTCGTGTTGCAAGTCGTTGGTGGTTGTAATCTTGGTGAGTAGTCCTGCGACCATCTCAATGATGTCTCCGACAGGCATGGAGCTGATTTCGAAATGTCGTTGCTGTCCCGGGACATGTGTTCGACGTGGTGCCAGCCACTCTTCACTGGCTAGACTCTGGATATGTGAGAGGCTCTTTACGTGGATCCGACTGGGAGAATTTGCTAGAGAACCTGGCACCGACTGCATTGATGGGTAGGTGGGATGCAGGCGTGGCGAATCCGGAGAGGCCTGGGCGTACTGTGGGGCTGTCATAGATTCAGCAGGAGCATTTCCGTGTGAGTACTGAGGGGTGTGAGTATTGGAGTGAGATGGATTATCAGACGGATAGGCATGTTGAGATGTCATGGATGGCGGGTGAGAGGGGGTAGAGTTGGAAGAGGTAGAGTTGATGTAGGCGGGGACATCGCTGGGTTGCGCGGGAAGCCGAGAAGAGCCTAGAGGCGGCGGGACGGTCGAAGTAGGAGTAGCATTGGTAGAAGTCGATCTAGAGCGAGTTCTCTCTAGTTGAGGTGCGCGGGAATAAACGTCCGCATTGAAACCTCCAAGCATCTTGCTGTCGAGTTGATCCGACTGCACGTGGTTGAGGATAACGGATCCCATGTCCAGTTGAAGACGTAATCTGTCTAGTCTGCGGTTGAAGCACCAGAGCGAGTTAGTCCCAATAAAGCATTGGAAAGGGTCTGAGACTGGTCCAGCATGTGAAATACGTGGGATGATGTGGGAAAGAGTGAAATAGCTGAGGGGTTGGGTTCTTACCTATGACGATGACGAAAGGTCGAAAGTGAAGGAAGAACTGAAGATAGATCAGATTCCCCCGAGTAGAGAGAATAAAGCTTGAAATCACCAAAGATGGCAATCCATTGCGATAGAAGAAACGGGGAAATACGGACGAGAGGAAAGAAGAAGAGCTGTTGGAAGGAATCGGGTTTCCGTTCCACAACGATGAGATCAGTTTGAAGCGAACCAAAGATGCGAGTTATTCCCAAACTCCACAAATATTTAAGGGGGGAAATTCCTGTTTCAACTACATAAGAGAAAGAGGTAAAAAAGCAAAAATAAAATAAAAGCTATATCTTTTTATTTTTTTTCAAGGTCCCAATACGATCTTACGGGATCAATCATAAAATGTATAGACGGTGTGAAAGAGGTATCGGACGAATGATAGCGCGATAAATGCGCCCGTGCTGTTTTATCTGTACTTTGTACTAATGTTGTCGTATTACTATATTAGATCAATGGACTCAACAGCAGTACTCTTATCATACCTATAGGCTATAGGTAATTAGGCCATAGATAGTTATGTTCTCTATAATCCCTTATATAGAAAATAACAGTGATGCCATTTGTCTGTAGATCTTCCCTGAAATCAAGAATTAAACTGATTATCTTCTATACATCAAATATCATTTCCTTATCAATTTGATAGAGTTGACAGTTGACTTCATGATGTAATAATTATATACCATATACTCCATATCTTAGGATAATCTCCGGTCATAATGCTTCTAATCAATTCTACCCAAGTCGCTCAATGTTCTTTCAAACACTAGCGCCGATATGATGCATCAATGGCCCGTGGGGTTAAAATTGCGGAGAGAAAAAAATCAAACCATTTCATTTGCACAGGTTCAATAGTATACTACTAGGTCTCTCTAATTTGTCACTCCAGGTCCAGTGTAGCCATTGTCTGGCAGGTAAAGGTGTCGAACGGAGCCCTTCTTAGTCAAGACAACCATTCGAATAACACCACCAGAGCTACCATCCCACTTGATCGCTTCCTGAAGAGAGCTTCGCACAAAGTCAATGCCCTCTTCCTCTGTCATCTGCTCTTTCCAGTGCGCATCGGTATAACCGTAGATGTAGGTCGATCCTGATCCTCCAATTGCAAACGACTGCTTGTGTAGCGATCCTCCCAGCGGTATCGAGTACACCTGGCCACCGTGTCGTGGATCATATCCAGCAATGATGATACCGGCGCTATAGATAAACAGTTAGCATGATATGCAGAGGCAAACTCACACGGAGTCAGCTGACCTTAGAGAATCCTTATTCTCATAGCACAATTCCTGGAAAAGTGATGCAGCCACCTGAGTGCTAGGAGCCTCTCCGTTGACAACACCGTACATGTTGAGATGGTAGGAGACAATGTCCGCCACAGCTTGGGTGTCGGCTGCCGAACCCGATCGGCAGCACCAAATGGTATCGTGAACCTGTGTCAATTTGTCGGTGACTCGATTGGCAATGTAGGCACCAGTAGTTGTGCGACTGTCTGCACCCAGAATAACACCGTCCTTGAAGTTGATAGCCATGCTGTGATCTGTGTTAGAAAAAGACTGGCGTGGGCTTTGGGAGCTCCGAGCTACTCACATGGAGGTTCCGAGGCTAGAGAACGAGTGGTAGTCAGCATTTGATGTAGATACAAAAAGATGAGCTAATTCGTAAACTCACTTGACCTCTCCGCTTTTAAGGTGGTTCATGTCGACGTGGATGCCATCTAGTGATGAGAGATTAGCTTGTTGGCCAGCTGATGACGATAGCTCAGCTTACCTTCGCCGAGCATGCCCGTTGTGCCTTGGCCAATCATATTGTTACTGAATGGATCTATGAGCTTGAAAATGAAATATAAGCCAGGAAAAAGGATGGGGAGGGAAGAAATTCGCTTGTTAAGGGAGGATGGATGATGCTATCATGAAGCTGAGGAAGGCAGAAGCTCACGCGTCCGGGCGGTGAGTGTCCGCCGCAGGGTTGATAGGGCGCAATTTGGTTATCGCCCGCGACTCTCCTGACACTCCAGGCATCTGGGCCTCTACTTTTCTTGTCTCATTCAAATCAGATCAGGGGTTACTGGAGTTAGTTACAATTAACCCGTTCTTCCTTCGCCGCCAAAATTCCTTCCCAATCAACTCCAGCGCGCGCCATGTCCGAATCTCCACCGCCCCCTTCATGGAGCTTCGGCACCATGGCCAACAACGCCGCACAATTCTTACGTCTGCCAGTCCTGGCTTCAACTGGCCTGGCTGTAGTCGCCAGTGGAATCCTATATTTCAAGCAGAAGTAAGCAGATGCACCTCCACAACCCCCACCGTGGCGACGGCAGCTTGGCTAATCAGACAACTAGTGAGATCGTTTACCCCCGCAATATTCCTGCGGATGCGCGGACCAACGTGCCCAGTCCTCGTCAATTCAATATCAAAGACTTTGAAGATCTGCAGATCCCGACCCCGGACGGAGAATCGCTCCATGCCTTCTTGTTGCGGCCACCTAAGACACGGTTCCGCCGCAACCTTACTGTGATAATGTTCCACGGAAATGCAGGAAACATTGGCCATAGAGTTCCTATCGCAAAGGCTCTTATGGATACCCTTCAGTGTAATGTTTTCTTGCTGGAATACCGGGGTTATGGATTGTCAACTGGTGTGCCTGAAGAGGCCGGTTTGAAGGTTGACGCTCAGACGGGGTTGGACTATTTGCGACAACGTTCAGAAACCTGCGATACTAAGTTGGTTGTCTATGGTCAGAGCCTTGGTGGTGCTGTGGCTATTAACCTGGTTGCCACCAACCAGGAGCAGGGTGATATTGCCGGCCTGATCTTGGAGAACACCTTCCTAAGCATTCGGAAAATGATTCCTTCGTAAGTTTTCTACCTGACCAGCATTCATCCGCTGAGAATAGCACAACTAATCGTTATTCTAGTGTTTTCCCTCCTGCTCGGTATATCGCACGCCTATGCCATCAATATTGGACCAGTGAGGAGGTGATACCTAAGATCACCGAGGTGCCCATTCTCTTCTTGAGTGGATTGAAGGATGACCTTGTGCCGTTCGTATTCCTCTTGATATCTGTCTGTTCATATCTAATTTGATTTAGTCCATCCCATATGACTCAATTGTTCTCTGTCAGCAACACCAAGCGCAAGATATGGCGCACACTCCCTGGAGGAGGCCACAATGACAGCGTCGCCGAAGATGGCTACTTTGACCACATTCACTCCTTCGTCTCTGAAGAAGTTGATGACTGAATAATGGGTTGCTAAACTAACAACCAAGAAACCTGGAGCTTCGGTCTTGGCTAGGCAAACAAACGCCATAATGACACCCGTACCTGATACCCTTTCCTATTCGCCAGACACGAGTTCTTATGTCTTTTTATTTGGAATCGGGAAATTGAATGAGCACTTGATATGTCTGGATTTACGAAGTCGATGAGGATACGTACTGATATGCTATCAAGCCCATGATTCAAGGGATTATGTGCCCCTCGATTCCATTCTTTTTGCTCTTTAATGTTTTCTTTTCTTTTTTCTCACAACACAATGTGATTTAGACTTATTGGCGGCTCATAATTTTCTGACTTCTTCTTTCGGGCTCGCTGTCTTTTGGATTCTTGTACATGGATATAAGACGGTGTATTGTTCTTGTCAGATACTTCTATCAAACTCTTCATTTGAATGCTTTTCTTCTCAGATTTGTCTTGCTGTAGTCTAATTCCCTTGGACAGAGACTAGGGGAGAAGAATCATTTTTTTCAGTGTCACTTTGCTTCTACTCCAGGTCCCCATCACTCGGGGATGAATCCTACTTTACCTTTACTTCACTCTCACTCTCACTTTAACTGTTTTTTTAAACACCCGTCTCTAGGTAACTATGTACCTACCACCTATATAAGCAGGATTCCCCTTCTACATATTTCTTCTCTTCTAAATATTCTTCCACTTTTTCTTTCACCTACTCCTCTACCTCCTCAAGGGTTCTTTCTTCACTACCTAATATTAATCACAAGGGCACATTCGTCATGCTTTGGAGATTCCTCGTCATGCTCGCACGCACGCAATTGACCATACTTGGCCATCAACCTCAGTATGGATCCAAATATTGATCCAGAATTTGTATCATGGGAGTTTCATCGTCCTGCCAAAGCACAGAACCACTCTTCTTTCAACCCTATCTAGAAGCGAAGTCTACAGGTCATTCAGAGTAGTCTATTTTCACCTCTGATGTTTGATGATCTGGTAAATATGACAGATATTGCGCAGAATCTCCATAACATTCAGATTCACGCTAATCGCCAAGCCTAAGAAGAAATTCGGTCTTTCAGAATGAGGAAACATTCGATGTTTGAGGCAGCAGACATGGGTGAACATATTGTGCCTGTTCTCCACAAAATGGAGTCCCATGTAGCCCTGTCTGACCCTTTTCTAACCTGTGACATGCCGTCAACATGGTACGCCATCAGGCTGGGGCTCTCACCTCCATTTTTGTTGGTCTCGATTTTCGTTGGCACGCACGTTAAATCACAGCATTGATAATTCGATCCGTTTGATCAAACGTTTGTGGGGGTATGGTCGCTCAATGGTTGTTCTCTCGAGTATGAGACTTTGCTTGCCACTTTTTACGATGAAGCGACCAGGGCTCATTCATGTTTCCGCTTTGGGGTTCGTCCTCAATTCTCATCAGTCTGCAACCACATTCACCCTAACCTTCCAATAATGGAATGTGTCTCAAACGTGAGATGACGAAAACAAAGTCCAACAGGCTTTCCCGTTACCAGGCAAGTGAAGCTCAAAAGAAAACCCGCCAGAAATCTAACCTGTTACAGAGTGTTGTTAGACAAAAAGAGCAGGCATACACTCTTGGTGATGCTTATTGTGGTGCAGGAGGTGTTTAATATGACGCCAGAGCAGCTAGATTTGATTCAAAATGGGCAGGGAATATTGCTACACATGCCTGTAAGACATATCAAATAACCTTTTCATTGTCAATGCAGTTCTCCATACTCCTGCGATCCATCCTCGGTGCTACTTACCAGACGGGCTATCCGCCGGGCTGTTCGTTCTGTTGCAATAACATTTCCTACAGTCACACCTGATCCGAGCCGTCTCGCAAGCCAGTCTGCAGCTGAGAAAGAGATGTATGATTCAGATCGAATAATACCCCATCCTTTCGATGGATTTTCATCTTTGAGGCTGAAGGCGCGGTTGAAGAGTGGCTACTTTACCAATGATCGTTGTTCTGGTATCTGTTGGGCCTATTAATCTTGTGGTGGTTGTTTCCTCGGCGATATTTTCCATCAGTGAGATGAAGCTTTTGATTACGGCCATGTCCTGGTTGCTTCACCTATGTTATTTGTGGGCCCCATTACTAGATAGCGCTGCTAGTATAGAAAAAAAAAAAAGTGTTTTGAGCATTTCAGTACTAAGATTTTAGAGTTAAGGTGTAAACTAAACTGTTTTAATAACTCTACTCTGCTGCGTCAATCGTAATATGGAACAGCAACCTAAACACTATGGTCAGTTGCCACTTTCCGTCTCCTGTAACTCTTCATGCTGAATTTCCTCATGCTGAATTTCCTCATGCTGGATTTCCTCATGCTGAAGTTCTTCATGCTGGAGTTCTTCATGCTGGAGTTCTTCATGGGCAACTCTCTCCTGCTCTCGCTCAACCTCCTCTTCCTTTTCCTCAGCTTCCTCCCAGCTCTCGACAACTTCAGGCGCAGGTTGTGCGCGCAATGCCTTGCCCGCACTAACACCCGAGCGAAGAACCAGTCGTTGCTTCTTGCCAGTAGCGCCATCTGGCATTCCGCCTCCCACAAGGGCAGAGAACCTGGACTGGCTACCAAAGGAGCTCTGCATTGGTGTGCTGCTCCTAGTACTGGGCGTGCTACTTTCTCCGGGCTTCTTACTTCTTGAAGCAACCTGAGCCCAGCCGTCGCCACTAGATTGTTCCCTCGCCGAGTCACGGGCTACCTTTGCCTCGTATGCAGCAAGGCGTTGAGCTTCGCGTTCTTTTGTACGCTCTCGTTCGCGGAACTTCACGCAGCCGCGCACACTCATGCCGCCGATTCCGATCTGAGTGCCACTTCCTAAACCAAATATGGGCGGTGTCCAGGTTAGTGGCTTCAAGACGAAGACGTGACGGTGTGGTTCTGGGTCGTGGCTTTCTGTGACAAATCCCCAGTCCGCTGCTAGACAGTGGCTGAATGCACGGAGGGTGGCCTTAGCAGGCTGGAACCGGATCGATCGAGTGGACGGATCGGCTGCCAGAGAATGAAGGGTTGATTCGTAAGTTTGAAGGGTGGATAGGGGAGACATTGAGGCAAGTTTTATGTAGTGATCGAGGGTTTCGGATGAGTAGGGTAGGTTATTAGGCGTGAAGGCCTGCACAGTTGTGGCCTGATTAATGTTGACGCCGAGGGCAGACGCTAAAGAGCGGTTGCGTTCTAGACGGGTGCATTCATCGTCGCAGGTGAGTGGGGTAAGTACTGGCAAACGCTCAGGTTGCTGAAGCTGGCCTTTGGAGGTGATAGCCTTGACAGCATTACAACGTCTTGTCTGGTGTAATCGTCCGCAACTACATGCTACCTCAATCAAGGATGAACAAGCTGTCTTCTCGGGACACGGATAAGGCGCATGGCATGGCACGGTGCAAGGATGGCCACACAAGGACTTGTTCTTTCCACAATCCTGTTCGCAAGTTTTATTTGCGTCTTCACATTCACCCAGTCGATGGCAATCTTTCTTGCAAAAGTGAGAGCCACATTTAAGTGGCTTCCCGCAGATTTGACCGCATCGCGTATCTGAGAGCCAGCAGGGTACATTTTTCATTACCCGCTTGCCACACAGACAATCCTTGTCAGTCAAGAAAGGGCATTTGGGGCAGGTCTCATCATCTGTATGGCAATTGTGCGCAGTCTGGGGGTGTCCACACACTTTGGGCCTGTCGCAAGGACGAGAGCATGGAGGAGGTTTAGTTCCACATGGCTGTGGCGGGTAAAGAACAGATCTTCCGCAATTACACGAAATCTCCTCGAAGACGGCATCCCGGCAAGTGTTGCAAGGACCTTTATGACAGAGTTCCGGACACGTGTGTCGTCCGCATTTCAGCATCCGACCACATATACGAGTACATATGTGCTCCGCTTCAAAGTCCTCATCCGAAGGACGAAGGTGGGCCTTCAACTTGCGGCGCAAGGCCTGGCGTTCGATGGCCTTGGTCTCTCCAGGGCAGCATCTCTCACTGCATGTATGGCGACTGCAATGAAGATTCGTCTTGCAAACACGGAAACACATAGGAGGTTGAATATCGCCTTGATGGCAGATGGTCATTGACGTAGTACGACCGCATTGACATGAAATAGGCACGTCACGTCGACATACGCCACAGGGGCCTGTATGGCAAATCTTATCGCAGGAATGTCCACATGCAAGCATCTTGCCGCATGCTTCCAGGCAGTTAGCAATCGGGTCTTCGCAAGAGCTACGAGGAGTGAAGCCAGGAATGCTAGCTAATTCTGTTTTCCCACATGGGCACCGTTTAACAACGTTCGGTGATCGAGGACAATGAGCGGGGTGTAAATGCTGAGAGTGGCAGCCCTTTTGGCATGAGTGAACCCCACAGTCCAATGGGCGGTTGCAAGAAGTTTTGCAGCTAAATCGTCCTTCCCATTCCCGTGTGGAGCCATCGTCTTCATTAAACAGTTGGCTCTGGATTTTCTCCTCCGTAGAACTGCACATCATTTCACTGACTTCCTTTCCACAGTAGCAAGACACGGTAAGCTTGACTTCGCAAGCACCACACAAGCCCTCGTGGCAAGGGAGAGGGCAGGTGTGTTCACCACATGGTAGCAAGTCTCCACATATCTCCCCGCAGCTCCAGCCATTTTCATAATCAGTGGTTTGGCATCGGTTTGTTGAAGAATTTCGACCACAATAACAATCTTGAGTTGGTCCCATTGCTGTACAAGGAGCACATGGGCCAGCGTGACAGGTTGCATCACATGGATGAGGACAGCCCTTGCGGGCTCGCGAGCATGTCTGACCACATGAGTGCGGCGGCAAACCAGGGTATGGTTTTGGTTCAACCTCCTTCTCACACCAGCAGGTATATCCTGAAGGAAATGTTTCGTGTGACAGATTGCATCCAGGGCATCGCCAGGCACGAGCGGCATCGCTATTCGCCGGCTGTCTTGCTGCGGCGGCCCCCTCATTTGTCGACCATTTCTTAATGCAGCTGAGGTGGAAAACTGTCCAACACAGCTCACATGACCAAATCTTAGTTCTTCTGCTGAGTTCATTCGTGCAAATAGGGCACTCGTAGAGATTATTGGCGATATCCTCATGGGTACGCGTGGCAATATCCTCGGCCGATGACTTTGTCTTGGGTGACTTCGGCGGTGGTTTGGTAACTGACTTCCCCTTTCCTTTGCTTGGAGCTCCAGATTCTGACGGGGATGGCCGAGTGTTGGATGCCGACGTGCCAGGTACAAAAGACGGCGCATTGCCCCGTAAGCCCTCACTGTCCTCTACTCCCTGTAGCTGTTCTCCTGAAACTTGATCAGGCCGCGTCAACCGAGCCCCAAACCCTCGTGCCCTCATTCCCCGACTCCGCGGGGCAGAGGTATCTCCACTCTGCTCTCCATTTGGTGCCTGTTGAGGTTGGGTTGCTTTCCCAGGACCCCCACGACCTCTTCTCCTTTGCCGCGGACGACCATCGTTTAGAGGTCCCGGAACCGAAGGGGCATTTTGCTGAGGCTGATGAGGCTGTTCATCGGTTGACGGAGCTGGTCTATTCTGTTGTCTTTCGCGATTATGGGTAGGTCGAGGACGACGTTTGCGCGAGCGTGGTGCACCAGGGTTCGCAGATGGCGGAGTTTGTTCCATGGTCTCAGGGACCAGAAAAGGTCGGTCTACCACTGAGGCTGTGCTCATGCAAATATTAAAATGTCGCGAGTAATCCGGTGTTTGGATCGAAATGGTGATTGGAAATAAGTGAATAGAGCAATTGGATGGCTGAGAAGAGAGACTTGACAGAGCGAGAGTATAAAATGATGAGTGGCAGACTAGAGTGAGAATGGAATGACAGAAAGTCAGAAAAAGCTGTAAGGGTATAGGGAAACAACAACCGAGTACTATGTGCGGAGTAGATAAAAACCTCGCGCGGCAGTATTAGGCGGGGAGTTTGGCGGTGGCAATGCGGCACAGTGAGTCAGTCAGCATCCACTGTGAGTCATTGGGCCCACTACATGAGTAAAGACATCAATATTAATATACTACGTAATTTAAGCTGAAGATTTGAGTACGACTGTAAACAAAGAAATAAGTGATAAAGCAATGCTTCCAAGGTTACGTTATCTTATGTACTTCTCACAAGACCTCGGTAGTCTTCTACATAAGTAGGTTAGGGCACCAAATGTTAAGTAGTAAGGGCAAACTTCAACTCTTAGTTTTTCACTTTGTACATCTTTTTGACTGTTCCTGATTTGAAATTGAAGTTGGATAATATGCAGTCTAGCTTCCAGGTGAAAGCCTCCACCAAAGACACCACCTGAGCATAGTATGGCGTGTATCATGACTATCATTTTGTATCCGTGGATGATAGGGATCTATATTTGACGTTGCAGTGATTGAATATGGATTAAGTAGAGCTTGTTTTAAACCATATTTGACTCCGGATTTTCTGACCCCAGTTTATGTTATCCTGGTTTCTTTACTGCATATAACCACTTCTAACTACACTCCCCGACTCATATGTCGAACATGACAGAATATTCTACCCTTCAGACTAAACCTCCAAGGCTCCCAAGGATCCGTTCTACGAAACTGAAGTTGAAATGAGGTGTTGACTCAGGTAAAAGTTGAAAAATGGCCTATTATTGAGCAGGACTAATTGACTGCCACCAACCATTCATAAATACGATACAGAAGAACCCCTAAGAAATAACACTAGCAATTGAAAAGCGCTATGCAAACCAAAATCAACCATTCGCCTCGTAAAAGCTCATGATATAAGAAAGAAATCATGCTTTTGAAACACTCCAATACTTGTAACACACAATCAAATGGTTTAGATAGTGACAACAATCTCACCGCGGTCATTACGTCTCAACCGTAATCCACGCCAGAGATCCTTTTCATCTTCACTACGACGTTCAGGATCAGCGTCGTAGTCATCAGAAAAGTCCCGATGGAAACGCTTCAATGCCTTATGGACTGAACAGCCGCGCTCACCATCTGACACAAGGGAGAGGAAGTGCTGGGCCATTTCACGCTGGAGGACATCTTCTCTACGAGCTGGTGCCTCGGAATGACGGTAAATTGTCACCTGACGGCTATCCCGATGGGAGGAATGCTCATCGGCATGCTTTTGACGACGAGACGGACGATCACCGTCGTTGGGGTTGCTGCTCTTGCGCTTGGATTTACGCTCGGTGTGGTTGTCTGAAGCGGCGCGGGAGCGGTGGGACTTCCTTTTGCGCACTTCGAGTTGGCCGTCGCCGCTAGATATGCTACCCCGACGCACGAGAGCGTGGGATGTGTCGTGGCTGCCACTTCCATTTGAGGCTACGGAGCCTGTGCCACTGAACATTGATGAGACGAGGCGCTCGGCGCGGTTCCTGATTGAGATTCCGAGGCCGTCGCTGTTGCTGTTCTCTTTGCCAGTGCGGCGGGTTTTTTTAATCGGGGATGATGAGTCCTGATGGGCATTAAGGCCGTGATCAGGGGTGTCATCGATGGAAGGGGATCGCATCATCCGGCTCAATCCACCAGTCAGGCCGGAGTGTTTAAGCATTGGGGTGCCTGCGTTGTTGATAATGCTAGAAGGCGCATCCATCATGGGGGTGTCATCTAGCTCGGGGCTGTTGAATGACTCTGGTTGATCGCGCTTGCGCTTCTTCTCGCTGACAATTCCCTTCTTCTCCTTCTTCTTTTTAGGCGCAGGAGTCACAACCTCTAACTCCTTGGTTGGGGGAATGGGCTCGGCACCATATGAAAATCCATTCTCTTCATAAGGGATGTCGTAGTTTCCTTCACTGTCCGTCTTGGTGTCGAGGTGAGCCAGGGATTTGCTGGGCTCGAAGACCGATTTGGCATGCGACACCATGGTCATCTGTTCCTTAGGACCGGCCAGGGTAACCCTAGATGCGTTGGGGGTCTCATCGGTGACCAGATAGTCAAACACATTGACAGCCTTGCCGCCGTTCGCAGCTTTGGGTGTTTTTACAGCACCCGCAGGTGGGGGAGTAGGGGCCGGAGGAGGCGGTCGGTTAATGAGGTGCTCACCATCAGAGCCGTCTTCGACACGGGCTTGCTTGTTGGCGTTGGGATTGAGTTTCGCGTTCTTGTTCTGGTTATTCTGGGCCTTTTTTTGACCCTTAGTCGGTTTCTCCTTGTACAGAGCGCCTTGATACTTTTGCGCCTCTGTCATACAGGACTGGAAGGAAAACCCTTGTCAGCAACAGGTCTAATCCATCGATGGAAACATGGACATACTGTGTGCGATCTGTACTCGGTTCCGTTGAAATGAACCATACAATCGATACAGGTGTATGAGGCACCACGGCATTGACCGCGATGGGGATCGAGCTTCTTCTTGGTGAGAACATCACCACATCCCTAGAGTAAACTCGTAAGCAAACCGAGAAGACAAGGCGACGACAGCGCGAAGGCGAACGCCAGTATATGCGAACTAACCTCGCATTGGAAAGACACCATATTGATGTTCAAGAATCGGCTTCCGATACAGAGTAGAAATATTAAGCGCCGGCGCAAAGTAAACCAAGAAAGGTATAAATGGAAAGCGCAAAAGCAACAAGGGCAATGTTGTGCGGGGAGGTAAAGTCTGGGGAATGCGGATCAAGTGGAAGCAGAGCACGGAGTAGAAGACCTTAAGATATCCCTTCGGGAAGAAAATAAAGTCGCGCCTGCTGAGTTTCAGAAAGCGCAATGTAATGCTTTTTCCTTTTTTTTTTTTTTTTTTTTTCTTTTTGCGCGTCGAAATTTGAAAGCGCGTGGACCAACGCTAGTCCTAATATGGAAATACACTAGGCTTGGATAGGAGAGATGTCGATAAGAAGGTGGAGAGTGAAGTAGATATTGAAACTACTTTGTAGAAGAATAAAGATGAAAGGATTAATTGCTACTTATACATGAAGATATAAACTCTCTCACAATATTCAGATAATTGCTTTTACTGATAAACATATTTAAGGCAAACTATGGTTCCTTAGGCCGCAACTCAGTCAGGAGACCAGACCCTTTCATTTGTCACCTGAAGTCTTACATCCCGCTTTCCCGAAACTTTGATGGTCTGCGATATCTAGTATAGACCATAGACTTCAAAATTGAGGGCGCTTTGTACCCGAATTGGCCATGTGAGATATACTATTACAAGGTATTTGAGGATTCGGCAGTAATCTCTTGAAGTAGTCTCCACAATACTTTGGAATGCGCGATGCTTTCTAATACTATAAGCGGGTCATGCGCAACATTGAAACGAGTGGATCATCGGATCCTGGGTCATGCACTCGTGAGGATCGACCTTGCAAAAGTACTGCATACACGACGGTAACCATATTGGACGAAGAAGTATGTGAATGATAAGGAGTAGAGCCTACCTAGGTACACCGCTCAAAAGTCGTATAGTACATATAGAGGAGAAGATTCAAAAAACGAAAAGAAAAGATGTATTATACAATACAGAGACCAGCTCTGACAAATGCTGTGAAAGAATGAAGTCAAATCAACACTTTTGACAAAGTGATGATTCGAGCTTAAATAATAGTTTCGTCAACCACGCGTAGTTCTAAAATGTAAGTCAGTAATATATCCCGCAGACGGCACTGGAAAGTGTAACTGACGCTTCTTTTGAGATCTCCACAGCCAGGTGATCGAAGGACGCATCTTCGCTCGATTCATCAGTCCTCGATGCAGCCAAGAGTCCATTTTTGTCCTTGCTATCAGCTTCTTCCTTGCTATCAGCTTCTTCCTTGCTATCAGCTTCTTCCTTGCTATCAGCTTCTTCCTTGCTATCAACTTCTTCATTGATATAGCTTTCTTCCGTAATATCACTTTCTTCTGTGATATCGCTTTCTTCCTTGCTATTGCCCTCTTTCCCCTCTTCATCTCCCGAACATCCACAATCATAGAACTCTCCAAGCTTACTGCAGTCGAACTCAGGCTTCTTGAGCATCGTATTGACTTCGTTGTGGATGAAGCAGGCCCAGCCTGCTGCGTTGTTGCGTGATGAGACCTGTGGTGGGTATTTGCTCAGGTGACCCTGGAAATGCTCAGCGCATTCGCCGCTACTTTATTGTTAGTCCCGTCGCAAAAAATGAAACAAGTCGGGGCTAGTCCAAGAACGATATGAGGCAAAGAATAGAACGTACCATGGGTATAGTCGTGCGAAGAGGTAAATGAACGAGTGTAGCGTTTCCTGCTCGTCGAGGGTTGGCTTCTCAGGAAATCGTGCCATGACTGTGTGGAAGTATCGCCATGTTGCACGGCCTAGCTCAGCTCTACAGATGGGCGCACACCATTTATCAGCATGACTGCCATAGGTAGCCTGGATATCAAGTCCTTTGCTTACTTCGCTGTTTCGTTCCCCAACTTCGGCATCACCACGCCTCCTTTCAATGTGTTCGGTTGGAGGGTTATGGCGGGCGTCGGTGTTGGGGAGTGGTCTATATGACCGGGCGCTCGGATCGCAGGACTGAGAGGAGCTTGTGGTCTCATGAGGAGAAATAGAATGAGACATAATGAAATTCCGGCGCCAATGACGATGCGCCGGGTGATTTGGGGGTGGATCATGTTGGCAGGGGATACTGAGATCGGTTTTGCGGAATGTCGTCAATAAGTTTATTCGTGGAGTACGGGAAATCCCCTGAACATGAAAGGGAAGATTTCAATCCAAAATGAGAGAATGAGAGGTTTGTAGACAGGTTGAAATCTTTCGGTTCATTAAGAGATAACTTGTTGGGGCCGAAGGAGGCTTAGTCAGTCAGGGTCTCACATCCTTTGTTTGATTTTGAGCATCATCAAATTAGAAGCTGATCATTAAATTAGTTTCAAACCTGATCTATTAATTAACTAGACTCTATTGAGCCTAAGAAACTAAATAAAACCTGTTCTTTGCTTAGACCCTCTCAATAATCTCTTCATGAACGATATCTGCAGTTATCTGAAGACCCACATCAGATAGGATTGACTACAAGCTAACCCGAACTTATAGAAGTGTCAGAACCCTAGAACTAGCACGCTTCGAAGTTATTGAAAATTCCAAAATTGCTCAACTGCGGACTCAAAAGGCTGCATCCTGGGTGATTGAGTCGCTGAGACTGGGAGGCAAATCCTCCTTGTCTGTGCCCCAGCTACTCTCTCGGTCACCCAGCGTCAACTCCAAAGACAAACCTTGAGTAAAGAAATCATGTCCAATCCAGTTCTTAGTATAAGGCACATCATCAAGTTTCACACTCTGAATAAAGATATTCTTATAAGTAGGATCGAAGTTCATATTCCGAATTGTCGCAGTTCGATTAGTCTCCGGATTCGTGATCTCGACCGCCTCAAAAAATGGGGGCGTGATAAGGTAAACGTTCTGGCCAGGATTAGGAAACAGACCCATCATACTCCATGCCAGGAACGAGCCCATAGCACCAGAATCATCGTTTCCGGGAAGGCCGTCGTAGGAGGAGTTGAAAGATGTGGGTATATAGCTGTGCGCCCGTTTTGCGGAGAGGGCTGGTCGTCCGGCGTAGTGGTATTCATAGACAGTTAAGAAGACAGGTTCGTTGCTTATATCGGCTAAACCAGATTCGTGGAAGTAGTCTAGGCGTTTCACGAATGAGTCTGATCCGCCTAGGAGCTTGATGAGGCTTGCCATGTCATGGGGAACGTAGCTAGAGCTCGTTAGGATTTAAATCAGAAGGAGATGTTGATTGAACGTACAAAAGATATTCCCATATACTTGACTCGAATGTTTCGGATGGGTTCGAAGTCAGCGAGCACCATGATGCGAGAGCACTACAGGCAATTGGGTCCTGTAAGCCCCAAGTGCCATTGAGATACTTGGGCTGGAAAAAGCCCGTGAAGCCAGTATCAGTTCCATTTTCCAGGTAGGAAGTCTGACTGTCTTTATAAAGGTTCTGCCAGTTATTCGAGCGAGAAAGATAGGTAGTGTAGTCCTTCTTGCCGAGACCCTTGGCCACAATCGCCAGACTGTGGTCGTTATAAGCATACTCAACCGTTCGTGAAATACTGCGTGAGTTTGTGCCGAATCCTAGATAGTCAAAATCCTGATATGGTATGTAATTGAGCCACCTCCAACTTTGAAGGCCACCTCGCCCTTCGTATGACCATTCCAAAGGCTCATTCTCGGCATCGTTGACCATCGCCTTGTACGCTAGCTCCCAGTCGATACCTGTAAGGTTTTTGACAAATGCATCTGCAAGAACAATATCGGCATTAGAGCCACCTTGCGTCCATCCTTTGCATAGGGTCATTCGACAATCCGGAAGCCACCCTTCGTGCTTAAATGTATCAAGTAGACTGCGAACCATTCTGGACTGTGCGTGTGGATCCAAAATAGTAAGAAACGGATGTTGGGCCCGAAATGAGTCCCAGATACAGTAGAACGAGTCAAAGTAGGGCTCATCACTTTCCCACAAGGGATTTTCTCCAGTCATGTCCTGTGGTGAGAGCATCGTCCGATAAATACCACTCCAAAACGCTCTCAACATTCTATCACCGACTCCTCCAGAGACAACCTTAATAGGACTAAGTTTCTCTCTCCAGGCATCTTCAGCAGCACTCTGTAGCTCCTTAAATTTAAGCAGTGGATTCGGAATCTCCGTCTCAGCATTTGAGCAGGCCTGCTCAGAGCTAATATAACTCACACCAACTCTTGTAGTAATAACTCCATCCCTAGGCCGATCAAACTCCATGAACCCACCCGCCTGAAGATAAAAGTTATTGAAACCACGCGTAACAAAAAGCTCCTTCGGTTGAGATCCAGCACGATCATTCACCCAAACACCACTATCACGTATCTTCGCACCGACAAAGTCAGCACAGAAATAGGCCCGATAAGATCCAGCGCCAAAACTAGGCAGAAACGTAGCATTTCCCACCATACGTCCAGACTCATCAATATCAATACTGCCGTTCTGCCGACTATCCCACAAATCAGTCAAATCAAGCAAGATAACCGGATTCATCGCCTCGCCATCCCCAGTCTTCGTCTCTGGAAAAGCAAATCTGTATAAAGCCGTACGGCGAGAAGCAGTCATTTCGGCAAGAATGCCATTTTGGAGCTCTATGTTGAAATACCCCGGGCGCGCCGTGACAGATTCATTCACGTAGTGAGTCGCGCGCGCAGTCTTGGTAAACTTGCAGTTATCGATAGCATTGTCTGCACAGTATTGTGGGAATATGGGGAATTGACCCATGGACGGATTCCCGCCTGTGCCGCTGTCGTGCATGTGCGAGAAGCCGGTGACATTGCTTCCGTCTGTTGAGAACCCTCCTGTATTGAGGCCGTCTACGTCGGCGACTGGCTTTGCTAGGCCGTAGGGGAGACTTGCGCCTGCGAAGACATTTCCGCCGCTAGTTGACCCAATCAAGGGGTCGACATATTTGAGGTCGTCTGCTACTGCTGTTGTTGTTGAAGAATATTGTATCAGGAGGAAGAGTTGAATAACGGAAGACAAGCGGAAAGGAAGCATCTCAATTATATCTGAGTATTGGTGCTTAAGAGGACCCGTGGGCGTTGTTGGAGAATTATTTTGGCGTTATTGTATTAAAGACCTCGGGTGTTTATATGCATGCCTGTCTACTTGAATGTGGAAGTACTTACTTAGGTAGTACAAGCGGTTGCCGATGCCTTTTCCAAGACTTAAATTGCTACAATAATTTGTCTGATTTGTCGTCAATCTATTTCCTCCTAGTATCTGTTTTCTCTACTCCGTGTGTTTTGGTCAATTTACTCACCCGATCAAGCTGATGAAATAAAATATCCTTAGACTTTTACTCTACAACCTATCTTCGCTCTACATACAGCTTGTAGTTTGTGATATTGAAATCATAGCCTTGAAAGTGGACACGTCAAATGAAAATATTGTCTTATCTCTATCTCGATTCAATACCCATAGCATGATACATGCTTCCAACTTGGAAGGATCAAAACCAGCACTTTATCGGATATGGGAGTGATTTTGAGAGAAAATTGAGCTGTTTGATAACAACGTCGCATTTTAATATGCATGACGATCAAGGTAGCTGTTCTGCGTTAGTCTGAGATGCAGTGGTCTTGAAAGACTTCGAAGGATTCAGTGCGGGGTTCTTAGCAGCAAGGTTGATGAAGCTACTACGCATTGAATGTATTAAGGTACACCGTTAAGGTATTCATTAGGCTATTGCGCACAGTATCTTGCTTAGTAATTCAAGCTTTTTGGTCGCCATAAGCCTGAGCCAACCCCTCAGCAACTAAAGCTTTTCGCTGAGGACTATATCGCATCAGCAAAAAGACTACCGTCTCAGAAGTCAGCTTATAAACCGCTCCCGGATCTTCATTAAGAGATTATATTTCGCTATAAGCGTAGTTCTTATGAACTAAAGATATATTAATTAGCTTTGCCACTAAGAAAGAAGGTCATGAAGTTAATTGTATTTAGAGCATCATCCTTCACTTAACGAGGAATAGATCTAGAGGCTTCTCGTTCCTAATTTAAGGTAAACCCGATGAGGTTAATAGTCACAGCAAAAGGATTAATCTCTGTATCTCAATTGAGTATCTTGATCCACCTCAATCTCGTTTCGTGTATGAGTCCATTGTAACAATTTCTCTCTTGATTATCCCCCTCACGGTATCATCAAGTATACCTTTTATTGAGCATTGATACTACTTGATTAAATCAACAGTCATAACTGCTATCTGGCTTCGAACTTATAGTGTATCTTGATATTCTGGCCGTCTTCAGTCTAAATACAGACTATTATTATTTTATTTCACTACAAAAGTGAGTGAACATCTTCATTTACATGATACAAGACTCGAGCATGCGTTAATAACATGCTATTTATGAGCTGAATCATCAGATTATATATCCAAACCGGGATATTTATGTACTTGAAGGGCCAAACCGGGCGGCCTCCTTGGGCCAGTGGCCTTTCCCGGCGTCGAACAAGTAGAGGGTCCTGTACTAAGAGTAGAGGATCAATAGGCGGTGCCTCCCCTACCCAAAGGTACTATTACTGGTAGAAATGAGATGGCTCAAAGCTCTTCTTCTCACTTAGAAACTGAATAATCAGGTGGATGTATGGATAACTACTACTACTACGACGACTCGGTAGGGATGGTAACGGATTGACGGATTCGAATCCGTCAAATCCGTTATATTTCCTATTTAGGTTTAGAGGATTAGAGTACTATTTTTACCTTTATTTATTTACAAAGTAACTAAAAATGGAGCTAACTCGACGTATAACTCAACGCCATCAAAAAGATCTAGACCATTATTATATTCCTAATGATGGTTATTGTCGATCAACTACGTTGAAAGGACAGGGTTCACACGTTGCACTATATACACTGGAAAAGGGTATGGTTCGTCCTAGATTCTTAGTATATACGTTGTGCAAAGTGGTGTGAAATGTGTTCGATTCATGTAGCTACTTGAGTTCCTAATATAGTTGTTCCCCCGTGACTCGGGGGTCTGTTTGTTCCGTTCCGGGTTTATGGTATTGCATGATTGCAATATCCATGTTCCGACAGTTATATTCCTAATGATGGTTATATTCCTAATGATGGTTATATTCCTAATGATGGTTATATTCCTAATGATGGTCATATTCCTAATGATGGTTATGTTCCTAATTATCTTTTAACTGAATGATAAATCGAATCACAATACAATGTATCTGTTGGAACGAATATCAGCTGACATACCAAGATCATGTGATCTTGGCATGGCAGCTACTATATCTTCTTTCATCTGAGCATTTTAGAATGACACTTCACTTTTACCCAATATGCATACACCTATTATATACGTACAGAAACGATATCAATAGTTGTCTGCTTCGGTAATAACCTAGTCAACCGACAGTATCTCAATCCACGAATTTCTTTCCATCATCTTAATCTACTCTAATCCTATCATCTTAACAATCTCCTCTATTCTCTGATCGCCCTCTCCTTTCTTCAACCTCTTGTCCGATGTTTCCGCCATAATTGTTAACATTTTTAAACCTATTCTTAAGTTGGATACGAGCTGTTGCACACGGTGAACTGCGCCAATGGAAATTTTCATCTGAGTCCAGTACTTGACCATAGAATTAAGTGACTGGCTGAAGGTTAGCACAATATTGAGTGCTACGCCCACCGAGCCGCCTATAAATTGATCATGAAGTGACGTGGCGGGTATCATAATAGTGACAGCCACAACAGCAATAAGTAAATGAAGTGTCACAGTGAGCCATTGCTGGATGCAGTAGAGGGAGCATACAGGACGCTGGAACTCATTGAGAAGATGTTTTCCACGTTCCTATTACTGAAGTTGCCAACCGGAGGCTCGAATAGTGGATACCCCTTGGATTGTCTCCAGAAAACGAGTGAATAGTGAAGCCAGATATACCCGGCAGAGCGAATTTAGTAGGAGTATACCGACCAGCTCCCATCACGCCTGGAAAATCGGCTTTAACTGTATTCATTTCGAAAACTTAATCTGTAGTAGCATCTGGATATCTGGATGTTCGGTGGTTCTCGTGTCCTTAGGCGTTTCAAAGTTGAAGCCGGCTAGTTGATGCAAATTCGTTGGGTCCGAGTCTAGTTCAATATCCAGCTCAATATCTGAAGGTAAATTAGAATATGGCCCGTGGTATTTCACTTGTCCAGCAATGAGAATGACTATATCATCTGCCTGTGGAAGGATCTGGCCTGGAAATTGTCAACTACCTCGAGTTCAGTTCTTTGTATACCAGACTAACGTGAATTCGTGGCCAGGACTACCGTAATGCTCCATCTCTGCTAAAAAGATGCGCATTGATCAATGTGGTAATTATGGAATATAACCCACTGACTATATCGTCAAGCACAACAATAGGCTGTCTGGAGTACACGCATCGAGCCAAAGCCTATGAAGTCATTAGTTCGTATCTATGTCATGAATATTGTGCAAAATGTGAAGGGCTAAAGCTAATCTTGAATTCAGAACTAGCTAGGCACATGCTATTTACAAAATCCTTGAAGAACGTGAACAATTCGGGGTGGAATCGTGAGGTATGCGGTTGGTGGGTCACGTGGTACAACCACGTGATAGTTCACCAGGATTCAACCTGTTACAATACCCCCCTCCTATTCTCCTGTTTTCCGGGGTCCATTCGAAGTCGTAATTGGTCCGTATCGTAGTTCAAAGGTGTCGAGAGCTGTGCAGTTTTCCATTGCGTCGATAGGTTCCCATGTCAGTTCTGCGTATCCTCGCCATTTCACTAATGCTTCCCTCCGCGATCCACGTCCAATTTTTCGTGTCCTTGCTTGTAGGATCTCTTCAATTTCGTATTCCAGATCTCCTTCGACTAACAGCGGAGGCGGTTGCGAATCGTCCACGATTTGTGACGGTAACGGGTCCGTTGCCGCGGGTCTTATTAACTCAACATGGAAGACAGGATGTATGCCGCTTGGCACATCCAGCTTCACTATATGAGAGGATGGCACTTCTAGAACTGTGTATTTGGCGTGGAGCTAGTCTAGTTTCTTTAAAGGCCGTATCGTGTGTACATTCCGTAGGTTTAGCCATACTTTATCGTTGATATTATAGACTGGAGCGGCTCGTCTTGAACGATTCGCTTGTTCCTGTTGGTGTTCTTGGGCGATAGCCATCGCTGCATTTGCCTAATCGGTGGCGTCTCGTAGCTGGTTCGTGAATGTTTCCGCTGCGATCTCTGGTCCTCTCTCTGCTTAGACTTCTATCACTTCGACTGGATCGACATGGTATCCGTGTGTGAAGAAGAATGGAGATAGTCTAGTAGAGGTTGCGTCTCGGTTATTGATCGCCATGGCTACGATAGGTAGTAAACTTGCCCAGTCGTCCTGTGTGTATGTAGTAAAGGCGCGTAGAATTCGTTCGACTTCTTGATTTACGCGTTCCGTAGCTCCATTAGTTTAGGGGTGGAATGCGGTAGATAATCGGCGTCGAATCTTTAGCTTTTCGCACACGATTCGCCAGAACCCCCCTATGAACTATGGGCCGCGGTTACTAGTGATCGCTATCGGTAAACCATGATGCATATAAATATGCTTCATAAAGACATCTGCGACGCTTTCCATAGTAATACTATGCATATCTATTAGGATCACTCCTTTAGATAGCCGATCAGTAATTACTAGATAATTCGTCGCTCTTTCTTTCCCAGTGGGTGGAAGTTCTATGATGAAATCCATGGATAGTTCGGCCCAGATTCGTTATGGAATCGGTAACGGTTTAAGTAGGCCTTGCTTCGAATCTCTCTAAATCGTGTTTCGTCCGCAAATGGTGTAATTCCTTAAGAATCTCCGTACATCGTTCGTCATTCCTGGCCAAAAGAATCTACGGGCCAGTATCGTATAGGTTGCGTCCCGTCCTAGATATCCAGTCGTGTAGGAATCGTGGACCTTCTAGATCAAGGTTGTGCGTAGTAGTTCGTTATCTAGAATCTATGTCCTTTTCCTAAAGCGTAGAAGATTTCG